GATGTGGTCAGAGAGTCTAAACTTACTTCACACAATAGTCACCAGAGGCTTTTCTCTGACTGAAACTGGCTGTGTACTTTCACACGACCATAACTTACATAAGACACAAAGCCTGTACACAAACATGTCCTGCTCTTATTTACTCTTCAGGGCGCATTGTGGATCTGATTCAGCTCATTGCCTTTACACCATGGAGCACTGCAAAAAAAGAGAGTTAGTTTAGTTTAGTCAAGCAGTAGTTTGGAGTAATTTGTCGGTCTACTCTAGATCTATTTTCAAGGATATTTTATAAACAGGAAACATTTTTCTCAAGTTTTTTAAAATTAAGAATACATTTTTGGCACTTGTCTTATTTTTTTCCCTCCAATTTGTGACTATTATCTGAATTAGAAGGAATTAAAGGCCCTTGTTTACAATATGTTTGCTATAGGTAATACATTTTAAAATAAATTTTCCTCTACTTATATCACGTCTGCTGCCCATGTCCAACCAGAAAGTAAAATTATAAAGGCTTAGGTTTATATATATTATATTTATAGCACAGTTCATACACAAACTAATTCAAAGTGCTTTACAGAATAAGAAATACATTAAAATCACAATAAAAACAAATCAAAACAAAAATAATCATCATAAAATTAAAAAGAAAGAAAGAGACATTAAATTAGACAGAAGAGTGCAGAATGAAAAATGAAAACCTTTCAGCCATACGCAGCGAAACAAAACCGTTTTGAGTCTGGATTTAAAAAGAGTAAAAGTAAAGACCTGTCTCACATCTTCACAAAAACTGTTCCAGGTTTTAGTCGTCACCATGATTGTCAAACTAGTTATTAAATTGTCTTAAAGTTGGTGGAAGGACGGCCACCTGCTTGTCACCATGGAGGTATTATTGCTTTTCCTAAAAAATTTTAAAGTTCCACAGCTTGGCATTAAACTTACCCATCTCTGTGGATAGAGCAGGCCAAGTTACTGGTCAGATCTGTGGAGAGGTGACCCCGCACACTGAAGAAACACATGTTTTAGAAGTTTTTTTGCAATGAAAGCACTGGAATTGAAATTGACTCAATGCCCCAGAAACCTCCCCCAGAAAAGCTTTTTATTGTATTTTTTTTTTTTTTTTTAAGGTAATTTTGCAGCACTACAAAACAAAACAAAACAAAACATAGACTACAAACCCGTGGATCATGACCAAAAGGGTTTAGGCTGAAGTAAAAAGTAATTATAACGCCAAACCCAATTAAACTATGACAGAATTCCAGGAATGTATGAACAGCAAGTTTGCATTTACAATTTCATTTGCAACTTACTGTATATATAAGAAACAAAATATAAATGAAAACAAACTAAATTTAATGCATAATTCATTCATTCCCGAGCTCTATATCTTTCAAAACATAATGCTTTATACTCTTTTTTTTTTACAGACTTTTTTTTAAAATCATCAGTCAGATTGTTCCATAACCCATGTTAACTACATTTTACTAAAATCTGTTGTCTAACAAGGCAAGGCAAGTTTATTTGTCACAATTCGTACACAAAGTAATTCAAAGCACAGAATTTAAAATCATAATAAAAACAAATCAAAACATAAATAATCATGAAGATTAAAATTTTAAAAAAGAAAGACATAAATTGGAGAGAAGAGTGCGGAATGAACCTGTCATATGCATTTTAAATTTAGACTTACTCACTAATCAAATTTATACTATAAACTTGTCAAACTTGGCCTGTCATCATACTATAAAGACTTACCTTTCAGTATATGGAAAATATATTATGGTGTCAATATTTATTATGTGTACTTTTTCCTTATACTACTGTGACATTTTTGAATATTTTTTGGCCATACAATAAGATTTAATCTGTAAAAGGTTGACTTAATAACTTCTATGACTCATTACAGATGCTAAAGTGTCTCATTCTGCTGTTTATTTGTTGCAGTTCATGATTTTTTTTTAACAATATTGTACTTTTTTAACAATTTTTGTGGTTTAAATCTGCTCTTGGGTTTTTGCGTCTATATTTATTTGAGTATTATATTATTGTGACAGGTCTGATTTAGTGTTAAATATAAAATGACGTTAACTACTGTACGTTTTACTGAAATTAGTAATCTGACCTGTCATATACACACCTTAAACCTCGACTTACTCACTAGTTTCACAAATCTATACTAGTCAAGGCTTAACTGAACCTATACATTCTCTCTTTTGTATATGTTGCCGTGTTTGTCTAATCCTGGTCATTTCTCATGTTTTGTGGAGCACAGCTGAGTTCCTCCCCCGGCTCCTGCCCTCTGTGTCTCTCGTTTTGTCTGAGATTTTCAGCGAGTTTGCACTTCCTCCTCGGCTCACACGCCCCTCTGCACGCACAGCCGCTCTGCCTCTGCAATGCACCATATACAAACTGTCACTGTACGACGGGGAGGGGGCCCAGCGTACGGGCGCTCGCTGCAAAATATCCACGTTAGTTAAAGGACCTGTGATTTGAACGTGTCCTTGGCTAGATTAAAGCTCTTTATATCGTGAATTGTCTTGTATAAGATGCTAAATAAGACCAAAATTGAGACTGTGAAATATAATCTACTCATTTTATGCAATATTTTGTTGTGCTTTAACTAATTCAGAAGCTACAGGGTCATTTCTTTTCATCCAATTCAGGGAAATCATTATTAGTGATGGGAATTTTACATCTTTTATGGCATCTGAATCTTTTGGATCAGCTTATGTCAAGACAGAAACCAGTAATTTTAACAACAAACTCATTACAGAGCGAAATGATCAAGGCCCAGCTTGATTTTAAATGTTTCAAAGTGAGAATGGAAATGTGTTTGTCCTTTGAAATGATTTATAATCTAAATTAAACTTAGCATGACAATAATTATAATTGAAAAACTTACTGTTATTACAACACCAAATATGTTTTTTGTGCACAAAGATCTCACTCTTGTTGTTTACTCTTTTTCTGTGCTGCTTCTTGTGTTGGTTCAACATTATTCAGTGTAAAAATCATACAAATTGCATACAAATTACAATGAAAAACAGTTTGGTTCTTTAAAAAAACTTAAATCCTGCACATAAACAAATGTTACATCACAAATTATTTCAGAAAATTATGGGAAACCAACTGCCTGAAACTATCCCAGACACTTTATTCTCTGTCATGATGCATTTTTAAGAGTAACTAAAACACTTGAAGGTGGAGATTGTAAAACAATTTGCAAAGAACCACCTGAAACGATCTCCAACAGTTGTTTCTGTGTCCTGGTGCAATGCCACAGCGGCAGGATGGACTAAGTGGGCGGGGCTGACTCTTGGTTTTTAAATCAGGTACAGACCTTTTAAGATTTACCTTGAATTTGGGATGTTAGTTTGGAATAACGACGCATCATAACATTCCTACGTATCTATCCATGAGTTTAAGAATGATGGGAAATCCTGCCCATTGTCAAAGTAATTAACAATTCACAAGATAATATTACTAGTATCTCTTTGAATAGGAAAACGTTCTCAAAGTTCACCATCGAGCTGCAGGACAGGTCAGAATCATATAATAGCATTTGCCTTTATAGATTGCAGATGTTTTGACCTTGTTTATAGTTTGGTAATATCTCTGTAATTACTGGGCCTGTTCAAATAAAACTGGCATTAAGTTCATTGTCTTTTTCATCAGCACAACTGGACTATTACATGTCAAATCGTTTTTTTCAGCAGTGTAATTATTTAACCACAAAGACGTACTTATTGTCAGGATTTTAAGATAAAAGATTAATGTGGCAAGTTTGTGGGCAGAGCTCCTAAAAATAATAAGATTCAAGATTTGTGGATTGTCAAAAACTGTGAATCGCCCAATCTGACACAGTCTCCTCTCCATCAAAAAATGTCATATCCCAATTTACAATGTCACGAGCTCCTCTTTCAAGATTTTATGTGCTAAATTTCAAGTGTTTCAGTATGTTATATGGCTGATTTTAATCTTTAATTTAGATTTTTTAATGTTTATTAAGAGATAAACTTTCTTGGAATGACGTCAGTATCATAAAACAATGTAAATGTTCTGTCATACCCACAGATCTAATGACCTCTTTTTCAAACCCAGATACTTATTCTTCAAACGCCTTTTAAACAAGGTTAGACATACATTTTTTTGCAGTGTGTATTCTTGGCCGTGTCTCTCACCTTACTCATCGAACATCGTCCTCCCTGTCAACAACAAGTCTGATCTCATGACTCAGGGCCTCTCGGATTTAAAATTCCCACAGGGGGCGATGTGCTGCCGCCTGCTCCATCTTAAACAGCATTTGTGTAAAGACGGGGCACAGCCTCTGCAGCAGCTGCCTCTCTCCTCCTGTGCTAACGTGAACCACAGGAAGATGACTAACAAAAGCATGGCTCTAATTTACAAATCAAGCTCATAAAAGACACACTATTCACCTTTTGAAACGATAAAACCAAAAACAGTCATGTGCAGGACAAGTTCGTAATAATAATGCATTTGATTAAACAAAGCACAGGCAGCAGCTTTAAAAACAATGCAGGTAATAAACTTTTGTAAAGAAACAAAAGAACCGAAATACAGAAAAGATCAAACGATTACCCACTAGAAGCTGAACGTGTATTTAATGAAGTTGTAGAGGTCGCTTTTCCAGTGAATACTTCATACTGACTTTGATACGACCATATAAAACACATTTTTGTATAGTAGAATTCGATCTTTCATCACAAAATAATAGCAGTTTCTTTAATACAGTTGTTTGGTTATTCTGATAAATATAACATTTTAAAACTATTTGACTTCCTATTTATATAATTTTCCTCAATATCAGTAGTATTGATAATTGTGCATAATCAAATCTGTACATTAATTGGTGACGGTTTGAATCATTTGCTTTTGTTATGACTGTTCTTGTTAATTTAAATCTCCACGCTGAGTCTACGGTGTAAAGAGTTTGTCAGTCTGTAGCAGTGCACCATGTCTGACTCCTGCGTGTGTTTGTGCAGGTGGGAGGAGGAGAGCACCGTGAGGATGGACCTGCAGCAGAAGATTTCAGACCTTCAGGAGGTAGGACTGTCACCATAACACAGTTTGAAGGACGATATATCGCTACAAATAAATATTGTGATAAACGATAATATTGAAACTAATTTATGCCACTGACACAATAACAGTAAAGCAGGATAATCTGAGTAAACAGATTTTAAATAGACAATATCAGCTACAATAAACAGTGTTGGGAGTAATGCATTATAAAAGTAACGAATTACTGTAATGCGTTGCTTTTTGCTGTAATGCAATAATGTAAGGCATTACAGGGAAAAAAATGTAATATTTTACTCGGTACAAATGTCAGTAACGCGCGATATAATCCATTTTTAACCTGGATTGAAGTGGTGGGTTTTTCGTTTTTCTTACATACAAATTCGCTAAAATCACAGCGATATCAGCAGCGGTGAAACGCCATCGTTACGGTTTCGAATGTCAGGACGGGCCTGGAGGTGCGCCCACATAGACCGACCGGGCGAAAGGACCGACTCAGAGCTTCACGCTGTACGGGGCTCAGTGCAGCTGATGTCCGATCGCGCTTTGCAGACATCCTGCTTCACGGGCTTGGGGTTCTCTCAGGGTGGTCCTAGATTCCAAATCCTAGTCCAAGATTAGTCCTGGTTTAATCCTGGTTTGGTCCTGGTTTAGACCTAGTTTAGTCCTGGTTCAGTCCTGGTTCAGTCCTGGTTCAGTCCTGGTTTAGTCCTGGTTCAGGCTTGGTTCAGTTCTGGTTTAGTTTTGGTTTAGTCCTGATTCAGTCCTGGTTTAGTCCTGGTTCAGTCCTGGTTTAGTCCTGGGTTCAATCCTGGTTTAGTCCTGGTCGAGTCCTGGTTTAGTCCTGGTTGAGACCTGGTTCAATCCTGGTTTAGTCCTGGTCGAGACCTGGTTTAGTCCTGGTTTAGTCCCGATTGAGTCCTGGTTCAGTCCTCTGTTCAGTCCTGGTTTAGTCCTGGTTTAGATCTGGTTTAGTCCTGGTTTAGTCTTGGGTCTGGTTTAGTCCTGGTTTAGTCCTGATTCAGTCCTGGTTCAGTCCTCGCTTCAGTCTTGGTTTAGTCCTGGTTCACTCCTGGTCGAGACCTGGTTTAGTCCTGGTTTAGTCCTGTTTGAGTCCTAGTTCAGTCCTCTGTTCAGTCCTGGTTTAGTCCTGGTTTAGATCTGGTTTAGTCCTGGTTTAGTCTTGGTCTAGTCCTGGTTTAGTCCTGGTTTAGTCCTGATTCAGTCCTGGTTCAGTCCTCGCTTCAGTCCTGGTTTAGTCCTGGTTCACTCCTGGTCGAGACCTGGTTTAGTCCTGGTTTAGTCCCGCTTGAGTCCTGGTTCAGTCCTCTGTTCAGTCCTGGTTTAGTCCTGGTTTAGATTTGGTTTAGTCCTGGTTTAGTCTTGGTCTAGTCCTGGTTTAGTCCTGGTTTAGTCCTGATTCAGTCCTGGTTCAGTCCTCGCTTCAGTCTTGGTTTAGTCCTGGTTCACTCCTGGTCGAGACCTGGTTTAGTCCTGGTTTAGTCCTGTTTGAGTCCTGGTTCAGTCCTCTGTTCAGTCCTGGTTTAGTCCTGGTTTAGATCTGGTTTAGTCCTGGTTTAGTCTTGGTCTAGTCCTGGTTTAGTCCTGTTTAGTCCTGATTCAGTCCTGGTTCAGTCCTCGCTTCAGTCCTGGTTTAGTCCTGGTTCACTCCTGGTTGAGACCTGGTTTAGTCCTGATTGAGTCCTGGTTCAGTCCTCTGTTCAGTCCTCAGTTTAGTCCTGGTTTAGACCTGTTTTAGTCCTGGTTCAGTCCTGGTTCAGTCCTCAGTTTAGTCCTGGTTCAGTCCATATACTGCGCAAATGTTCGGCATCTTCAGTTATTTTGTTGAGAGTAACTTAAAGTGCTGTAGTAGTCGTTTAATTTTTTACCTTTTTAGCAGAATGAATGAATAATTAACCACTGAAGTAACAGCTCGAATCTTATCATACACCATTAAAAAAATAATAATAAAAAACTACAGTAATTAGAACGATTACAGTAATTAATTTGTGTTTGATTTGTCAGTTTGAGACACTGACTGGTTTCAAGAGGACTTCAAATAAGTAAATTAACTGCACTTTCTTACATTTCTTAGCAGCGTTGGATGGTCAACATTGCAAATAAAAATTCTAAAGATTTTCTAAAGGCACAATAAATAATAAGATAAATAAAACTGGCAAAAAAAAAAAAAAAAGAAAAAAAATAACTTAAAGAAAATCCTCAGTAGTTCTGTCACAACAAATACTATATCGACTTCTGTGCCTCATTAACTAATTTATTCAATTTATATCAATATTGTACTTATAGAATAGTTTTTTAGGGGAAATCTTCACCTCAACTCTGAAACTATTGACACATTTTTACAGGTGACGTAATGATGAAATGAAAGTATGAGCAATATTTTTGCACGTGTGAGTTGAGTAAGACCGCTGAACACTGAATACAATTACTAAAGCTAATATAAACATACATATTTATCAATTTACCAATGTTTTTTTTTAATATTCAAATCAAGATACATGTCCTTAATTTAACTAAATGAACAAATCTATATATTAACGGTGTAAAAAATAAACCAGTAGCGTTCTGTCTGCCAACATGGCTTCTGTATAAACTTTTTTTAATTTTATTTCCGCTCTGGTTGCACGTGTGGATTTCCTGTTGTTCCTGTTGTGTGTCAGGCCCCTGCCGCTTCCTGTGTTCCTTTAATCTACCCGTGAGGTGCTGTGACCCATTTAGCGAAATCTGCCACTCAAACCAGAGACCACAAGTCGAAGAGCACTCACTTGACCAGGATTGTCTCGCATAAATAATTAAGACGAAAAACAATGAGTAAATCAATGCCGATGACAGCCTCCAGTCCAACTCGATTCTTTTTCAATGTAGAATAAATTAAATGAATGAATAAAGTGTGTATTATCTTTAGTGCTGTCATGCGATTAAAAAAATTTATAGATTAATTAATTATGATCTGTAATTAATTAATCTAATTAATCTAATTTTAATCTCATCTAAAAATAAAGTCATTTATTGTTTAACAAATCTCTCCAAATTGTCTGTTGAGCCCAAGTCTCCATGAATAAGAAAATGTTTGCTGTAAAGTAGCAAAGACGAGGAAATCTGAACATAATAACTTTTGTCTACTTAAAGACAATAAAAAGTCCAGTCTTTCCTTAACCATATTAAAAATATTATTGATAGAGAAATGCTTTATATATGAGATCACTGGTTTTAGTCCTTGTTTTAGTCTTGGTTTAGACCTGCTTTAGTCCTACTTTAGTCTTAGTTTAGTCCTGGAATGGATTAATCCTGGTTTTAGTCCTGGTGTTAGTTCTGGTTTAGTCCTGGTTTAGTCCTGGTTTAGACCTGGTTTTAGTTCTGGTTTTAGTTCTGGTTTAGTCCTGGTTTAGACCTGGTTTAGTCCTGGTTTTAGTTCTGGTTTAGACCTGGTTTAGTCCTGGTTTAGTCCTGGTTTAGACCTGGTTTTAGTTCTGGTTTTAGTTCTGGTTTTAGTTCTGGTTTAGTTCTGGTTTAGTCCTGGTTTAGTCCTGGACTGGATTAGTCCTGGTTTTAGTCTTGGTGTTAGTTCTGGATTAGAGGCGCACAGGAGGAAGCGCGGTTTACGCAGCGTAGCGAGAAAACACGATCCACACGCGGCTCACGGGAGCACGTCGGTGTCCGCGCAGTAACTACGGAAAGAAACGTGGTCCGCGCGTTCTCAGGTTGATGACGATGATGAAGGTGTGTGTGTTTGTGTGTTTTTGTGTTTGTGTGTGTTTGTGTGTGTGTGCGTGTCCCCTCATGTGGCAGGTCACTATAGGACAGTAGTGCAGACATCATGAGCCTATGCAGGTTGTTTTCAGGCGATATTATATTTGTTATTTTCTTTTATATTTCACGTCGGGAGAATAATTTCCAAGACACGAATGTGTTTTTACCTGTGCACTGCTGCCTCTGTTCTACTGGCTCTTCGACCTCGTCCATTGTGCCTGACGCCGCCTACGTTACCATAATGTTTACATCACTCTTACTGCGCGCGTTTTGTGTGGGTTTCCAACAATGAGTGGAATTACCGAAATAAAAAAAATTATAAATGTGTTTTGTGTGTGTGTGTGTGTGTTGTTGTCCCAGCAACGCATAAAAACAGATTTTATAATAAAGCAACTCGCATACAGAAACAGTAAAGTTAGAGATTAAAAATGAGATTAACGCGATTAAAAAACATAACGCGCTAAATATGACTGTAATTAATTAATCGCAATTAACGCGATAATTTGACACCCCTAATTATCTTATACTCTGTAAAACATTATGCAGTTTAAATGACTTGAATTTAATCTTGTGGTGAAAGGTTTAGTTTAGTTTTGTTCAGTTCTATGGTAATTTTAAAGTGGAAAAAACCTCATCCAGCTGCAGGTCTGCTCCAGCTCCTCTGAAGAATTTGTCAAATGCAGATGTCAATAAAGTAGGGCTGCTCGATTATGGAAAAAATCATTATCAAGATTTCTTTCCTCAATATTGAAATCATGATTATTCAAACTATTATTTTTTAGTTACACGATACATTTATTCAGCATTTCTATCTCTCAAAAAAACACTTTATTATTGATAATTTACATAAAACTTTCAAATGGACAACCTTATCTTATAGCAGTTTTGCGATGTATAAAACATAAAATGAAGGAAGTATACGTTGAACATGAGATAAGGCACAGAAAAACATAAATGCATAAAAAAAACTTAATATCCAGCTATTCTACAATCTCTATATTTAAAGAACAAAATAAATATGCTTATTTAAAAATATCCCAAAATAAACTTTGTTAAGCTAAATCGTTTCCGCTCAATTATATAAGTTTGGAGATCGTTTGACACAGAAATTAAAATCGGGATCAAAATTTTGATTAATTGCACAGCCTTACAATAAAGTACAATTAAGAGGTAAAACATAGTGCTATTTTGCTGGAAAAGTGGTCAAATCTAAAACATTCTCTTTGTTCCGGCTTTAAATCCTTGATCTTGGGAATCGCTTGATAACAGTGAATATATGTCTCTTCGCTGTTTGGCTGGTGCCCGAACTCGCACTTTTGGCGTTTTTGCAAAATGTCTAGTGTATTCTGATTCTTGACCTAGTCGCTGGGGAGAAATGAAATTGACAGGAGGCATTAGGTGGCACGAGCCTGGCTATTGAATTAGACCCCTCAACACCCAATATTTTACTAAAGTGACAGGTGCAACTACTATGTTTATATAAACATTCATATTTATTTCTGGATGTAACAATAACTAAAATATCATGATACTGTATCGTCAAAAGTCTCAATAATATCGTGGGCAGTCATAATATATCGAGTTATAAGTTTTATAGTAGCATCAGTTATAAACATCGGGAACTACATATACCATGTTTCATTTCAGTGCAGAAAACATGAAGTTATGTGTGTTTTACTTGAATTCTTGGGATTATGACAGAAATAATTCACACCAAAATCTTGTCAAGCTATTTTAAAAGCAAAAAAGTGTCACATCTCCAATTATATTAGCCTCTTCAAAATATAATAATAATAAATATTGTACCGAGAGATTTGGATATTGTTACATCGCAAATATAAAATGTAGAAAGTAGTATGAAAAAAACACTGAATGAGATGGTTTGGATTCATTTAAACTTTGACTTGGTTTCTTGTGTTTTCAGGATTAGATTTTTTGTGTTTACATAACTTGATTCTGTTGTGTGATTTCAGGACTTGCAGGAGAGCGAGGGCTGTCAGGACGAGCTGGCTCTCCGAGTGCAGCAGCTGAAAGCAGAGCTGGTCCTGTTCAAAGGCCTCATGAGCAACGTGAGTTCACGCAGACAGTTTCAGTTACATAAGCCCATAATCGTGCACTCAATGGGACTATTGTGTGTTCACTGGACATGCATTCTTTAATATAAAAGGACCAGAAGACTGGCATTGTCCCAGTTAAATGGTTAATTGATGTGGTTTAATCTATGAAGTGAGATCTTTTCATCCTCTCTTAATACTTTGACTCAACTCAAATTACAGTGATACAGAACCTTCATCTTAAAGCTGTAATTCTTAACATGCTACGCTACTCAACCTCAGGGCAACTATCGGCGCAGAAGAAGCTGACCTACAACGTGCAAAATGTGCTAAGTGGATGAAAAATGCAACATAAATCTTCTTTGAGTCTCCTAAAAGCACGTTACCAAAGTGATCTAATAATATTCTAAATACTATGCCATAATAATATATTTCAGAATCCCCATATTACGCTATTTTATTCTATATTATAATGTTGTCAAGTCAAAATGCCCATTCATTAAAATTCAATATAAAATAACAAAATATAAAATTTGTTTCATATATCTAATCATTTAAAATTGTATAAAAAATATATTTAATATTAAAAGAATAATTGGTAAAATTTTACATGATTTAAAGTTGTATCCTAAGTTAGTATGCAAAAGGTACAGTATATTAATAATTAAATAGATTAATTAAAATGCAAATAGATTAAAATACAGATAGATAATGTTATTCCACGTATTTGTTTACTTTAAAGGTTTTCGACTTACTACTACTACTACTGCTACTACTGCTACTACTGCTACTACTACTACTACTACTACTGCTACTACTGCTACTACTACTACTACTACTACTACTACTACTACTACTACTACTACTACTGCTACTACTACTACTACTACTACTACTACTACTACTGCTACTACTACTGCTACTACTACTACTACTACTACTACTACTACTACTACTACTGCTACTACTACTACTACTACTACTGCTACTACTACTACTACTACTACTGCTACTACTACTACTACTACTACTACTGCTACTACTGCTACTACTACTACTACTACTACTACTACTGCTACTGCTACTACTGCTACTACTACTACTGCTACTACTACTACTGCTACTACTACTACTACTGCTACTACTGCTACTACTACTACTACTGCTACTACTACTACTACTACTGCTACTACTACTACTACTGCTACTACTACTACTACTACTGCTACTACTACTGCTACTACTACTACTACTACTACTACTACTGCTACTACTACTACTACTGCTACTACTGCTACTACTACTACTACTACTACTGCTACTACTGCTACTGCTACTACTGCTACTACTACTGCTACTACTCTACTACTACTACTACTACTGCTACTACTGCTACTACTGCTACTACTCCTGCTACTGCTGCTGCTGAAAAAGCTATAAAAATTCTCTTGTCTTGAAGCTGAGTTAGAGTTTTGTTTTGTTTCATTCACATTTAAAACACACTTAAGAAATTCTGCAAAATACAGGAAGTGCTCCACTGTGTTTCTGAACTCTATACATCTTCAGTAGAATCATTTGGATAATTTCACCTCTGAAATTGCAATCTGTACTGAACAAAAGGTAAAAGGAGCTGCTCACTTGAAAATTATTACACAACATCACAAGATGGAACAGAGCATTTTGATGTTTGGAGATGTAGACAAACTAATAATAAAAGATTATTCAAACATGTGAATGAAACAAAACACAACTCCAGGTCTGTTTTTGATGAGGTAACAACATTATAACATATATAAACTTCTACAGCTTGTGTAAAAGCCTTTTCCTTTAACTATTTTGTCTCCAGAATCTGTCGGAGTTGGACAGTAAGATCCAGGAGAAGGCCATGAAGGTGGACATGGACATCTGCCGCCGCATTGAGATCACCACCCGCCTGTGTGACGTGGCTCAGCAGAGGAACTGTGAGGACGTCATACAGATGTACCAGGTACCGGTACATCTCACTGTTTCATGAGGTGATGTCCAGATGTTGTGGCAGATAACCAATATTTCTATGTCAACTTATAGTAAAGTTCACACATTTACTTCACAAAAAATAAATAATAACAAATTGTGTTTAACTAGGATATCATTCATTGCATGGCTGTGTAAACATACAAACATATTTTTCTCAGCTGAAAAAAACAAATCTGATGCACTGAGGACAAACTGGGAATGAGATGGGCACACCTAGACTGGGAAAGAGCAGAAATGAATTCACAAAATTTCCAGTATTTGCATTTGTATAAGTAATATAAAGGTATATACAGACATTAGAATAGGACAAAATGAGGACCAGATGACCCATCCAAGTCTACATCAGGACTAAACTGGGCTCAAACCAGGACCAAACAAGGACGTATGAGCATAACCTGAGTGCACTTCTCTATTCACATCAAAATTGGGACTAAACCAGAACTAAACTCAAACCAAATCCACATCTGGACAAAGAGTGGCTCAATTTATCACCAAATAACAAATACTGATACGTGATTCTTATTATTAGTAATCCTAATATGATCTATTTCAGGTTCCAAACAACCAGCTGAATATCCGTCGTAAGCCCACTCCTCTGTCGTACAACGGGAGTGAGTGTGATGAGCCGGTCAGCACCTCGGAGAGCGATGGGGGCGTGGCCAAAGAGGAGGAGCCTCACTGCGGCTCCTCGGCCAATCAGATCAACGAGGAGATGCAGAAGATGCTCAACCAACTGTGAGTGTCTGTCATACTCATTACATTACAGACTATTAGATATGGTCAAGTCTTGGTTACCTTTTATTTTAAGAGTTAGGATTACTAAAGTGTAGTGTGAAGTACATTGTCATGATTTGCAATTTTGCTCATTGTAAAAGTTTAAAGAACCAGCAGATTGTGCAGAAAAACGACTTATTTGAGTTTAATTTTAACCATTTTATAATGTTCTCTAAACTTGACATACAGGTAATTGTGTCTTGTTTAATTTTATTCATTTTTAACCATAAAAACACATGTACTTTACTGTATGAATGCATTACATGTAAATATATGTTACATGGCAAAGCATCTCCATGGAGACAAGCAGGTGGGCTTTCTGTAGTGGAAAGTTCCACAGTGCACCAATAAATAGCCAGATTTAAATCATATTATTCTAGTTGTAAAGAGCAGATTTTTAATAGGTTTCCTCTTGTCTGCTGCAGGCGTGAGTGTGAGTTTGAGGACGACTGTGACAGTTTGGCCTGGGAGGAGACTGAGGAGACTCTGCTGCTCTGGGAGGATTTCCCAGGATGCACTCTGCCTCCGGATCCAGCCCACCCACCAGGAGAGGTAACCACCACACAGCCCATGCATATTTATGATTAGGCATGAGAACAGGCTCTCTCTCTCTTATGTAAACTTTGTTGGATGGCAAAATAAGGTTCCACTGACAAAACATTTCCGGCAGGTCACAGTGACGGAAGTGAGGCTCAAATACAAAATGCGACCTAACAATTGTAGCTACAACATGATAATATAGTCACAGCTCAAGCAATGTTGACGGTGATAAGTGGTGAAAATTACAGGTCTTAAAATGAATTAAGAAGGAATTATTTTCACATACTAGCTCAAGATCTGGAGATGTGTTCCTCCAGCGCCCTGCACCTAACAAATCAAATGCAGAGGGACACATTTCTCTACAGCAGGGATGTCAAACTCAAATTCACAGAGAGCCAAAATTAAAAACTGGGACTAAGTCGAGGGCCAAATTAAATATTTATTGAAAATTTTCAACAACATCTGCATGTTTTCTCTTCTTTCGAGATATGTAATGTTAAACCTTTTGTTATTAAAATAAATGTTTAATAATTGTTTTGCTTAAACATTGAATCCAGAGCAAGCAAATTATAAAATAATAACACAATTTTAAATAAATAATGTGTCTCTATAGCCTGTAGCCGGCGGGCCAGCTCTAATACAGAATTGATATGATCTCGCGGGCCAAATATAATTATTTTGATTTTGACATGTCTCCTCTACAGGGACAATACAGCAAGTTCACTAATAAATAAAAACTATGACATTATTACACATATACAGTTACATTGACTTAAATTACATTGAGGTTACATTAAAATCTCTGTGAGAAGCTTTAGATTAGAGGGAAGAGTCATGTTTGAAACAGAATCTGGATATGTGATATTTAGTTTGCCGTTAGCTGAGAAGCACAGGCTCCATTTCTTACAAAATTACACTGGTATATTTATGTGAAGGAGAATGATACAGACATGGAGACACACACTGTACCCGAGCAGTGATATTACCAGAAAAGTTACACAGTACACCTTTAAAGAGACTGTTCCATTGTTTGAGACTGATGTAATTATTGCGTGTGCTCCTATTGTTGCTGCGTGGCTTTTATCAACACTAGCACCATATACTTTTGATGATGTTTTCTCTATTTTGCTGTAATGAAATCCAGACCAGCACATTGATTTTGAGTGTCTTTTTCTTGTCCAGGGGCTTTTTCGGGTCAACACAAGTGCATTCAGATACGTAATGAAGGCTGTATTGAGCGGATTAGTTTGCAGTTATTTTTAGTCACCAGCTGTTTGGAGTCATATGTTGGTGTATATGAGCTGTAAGCATAGTTTTAGTTTTAGTTTTAGTTTTAGCGTGCGCCTTTCTTTGCATCACTGTTTTGTGTTAATATTACCACAGTGGGAGGACAATACAGCAAAAAAAGATCTCTATATTGAGTTTCACCATAATTCATTCATAACTAAAGTTTAGTCTGGTTTAGTCTTGGTCTAGTCTAGGTTTATTTTTGGGCTTATTCCAGTTTCGATGTGTAAGTGTGAAGTTTGAGCTCAGTTCACGCTTTACCTGTTTCCCCACACTAAGGCTCGGAGGCGTAGGTGAGAATAGAAAGCCTTTCTAATAAACAGAAAAAGACTGAATCACAATATGACCGCCTCAACAGATAAAATAACGCAGAATCTTAACTTAATATAACTTGATTCTTGTCTATCCCACTGTGCAATAAGTGTCCCCATTGTGTCTGTGTCCTTCAGGAGGACTGCCTGGAGAAGGTGATTAATGACACAGAGTGTTTGTTTAAGTCCAGAGAGAAGGAGTACCAAGAGACCATCGACCAGATTGAGGTCAGATGCTGCTGCTGCTTCTTCCTACTATAGACTCAGTAGTAGTTTTATGAGTTTTTAATCAGCTGTGATCACAAAACCTGTTTAAATGGAGATACAGGGCTGGCCAGAATTAGGTACCTGGCAATATTTAGTCCTACTGCACAAAGAATAATAGTTTTTAAGGTATTGTAGTTTTTTAGCAGTATAAACCAGAGGTGGGACCAAGTCGTCGTTTTGGAACTCTCAAGTAAGTCTCAAGTTTTAGACCTCAAGTCCAAGTCGAGTCCCAAGTCAAAGACAGGCAAGTCCAAGTCGAGTCTCGAGTCACTGGCCCGTAAGTCTGAGTCAAGTCCAAATTGTCTGTTTTGAGCTTCAAGTAATTTAAGTCTTTAAACCAACTTTCCAAATATAGCTTAGATTTTTGCAATTTATATGAATTTTAAACTAACTTGTACTTAAAAAATCATAGTATATTTATATATGAGTATTTATAGAGTATGTAAGAGTTGTAGAAATGTTTTGACAATCATTATGATCAAAATAGAAAGAATTCAGATTTAAAAGTGATTCTCAAGTCTTCTCAAGTCACAGACCTCAAGTCCATGTCAGGTCCCAAGTCTCTGACCTTCCCAGTCAAGTCTCAAGTCTTAGTCCATTTTATCAAGTCAAGTCTCAAGTCCTAAAAATGACGACTCAAGTCTGAGTTGAGTCCAGATCACGACTTGCAAGTCCCCACCTCTGGTATAAACGTTTGTAATTTAATAAATCATAGAGAGATAAGTTCAATGCCACACTGCAGAACATTTCAGGCAAAGCAATAACATCTCAATGGAGACAAGCAGGTGGTGGACACCCCACTAAAAGCAGTTTGTAACACTATGAAACTGTGTGTTGTGTGCTTAGCTTGAACTGGCCACAGCCAAGAGTGACATGAACCGACACCTGCACGAGTACATGGAGATGTGCTCCATGAAGAGAGGCCTGGATGTGCAGATGGAGACCTGCAGGAGGCTCATCACACAGAGCGGAGACAGGTGAATACACATCTGAAACTCAGCTCGATGTTAACACTTTCTGCACACTCACGAACTCACAACTGTCTTTATCAAACTCTCTTTCACTAACAGTGTTTCTCTAAATGTTTGTCTATATTCTTAATATTCTGGCAGACAAATTACAGCCATAGTGCAGGGCTGTGTAAGGAGAGGAAGTAAGGCAGTAGTGTGAGCACCTTATTATAGCGTTTATTGAGCGGCAAAAGTTTTCCATGTAGAGAGAGAACCAGGAGAAGAGGAGATGCTTTTCTGCCTCTGTTGTAGCTCTCATCCCTGCACCCAAAGTTTACAGTGGTACTTGTGTTGATCACAGAGCAAAGACCTGTCTGTCCTGCAGTAATGCCAAACTCTGGTGTTTTTACTAGTGGTCTAGTGTTAATCTCAAACCCCAATTGATATTTTACAATGACATTACGCTGGGGGTGTATAGTATTTATATCTGTAGTGGAATGTTTAGCAGTTACCATGGTGAGACAATGCACATGTTGATAAACACTGCCAAAAAGTTTTTAAAGTTTGAGGAATAAATACAAATAAAATGGATTTAAACAACACATTTTCAGTTCAGTTCAGTAGACCGTTCATGGTCCTGTTTAGGTGTTTGGTTTTCAACAAAAAGGTGACAGTGACAGTTGATTGTGATTTATAAACTGTGCGTTAAACAAAGATCAGATTAAAAAATGCAACAGAAACAGAAAAACAGAAGAAAAATCTGAAATAACAGTGATTACAGTTAGAATCACACCCCCAGGGAATGTTGATGAAACCCGCTCCAGAGTATCATTTGTGTTAATCAGCGTCTGTCTTTTATCAGTTCTTTAAAGGGCCTGTACCTGATTTCAGACTGTGAGTCAGGAACATGCTTCAGTTTGTACTTTCAGTCATGCCCACTTAGTCCTGTCTTGTCACTGTGTTGTTTTGTTTCTGTGACAACATCACACAGAAACAATTGTCTGGGATGGTGTCATGCAGTTCTTTCCTTATAGTGTTCTAATCTCTTAGGTATTTTGTGTTCAGCTTCAGTGACAGAGAATCAAGTGTGTGGGAAGTTAGGTTTCCATTCACAATGTCTGATTGGACAAAAAAGATGTCCCTGTCTTCTTATAACTTATTCTGTACAAGTTATTACCTGAGATGTCAAATGAATAGTTTTTGATGGAACTTTTGGCTCCTTTATGGATACAAGACTTTCTTTTACTCTCTCTACTCTCTTTTAATATTTATTTATACGACAGAAACCATTATGAAAACTCATTTTAACAGCAAACTAATCACAGAGAGAAATGAACGAGGCCCAGATGAGTTTAAAGTGGTTCAAACTGAGAGTCAGAGTGTGTTTACCCACTGGAATGATGCATAATCTAAATACTGTGTTGCACTACAGCAGAGGTTTTCTATAGAGACGCCAAAGAGCCACCGGGGAGACTCGACACACACGTGAAAAAAATAATAATAATGGTCCACATCTGTAAACATCTGCAGCAGTGTTGATATCAGTAATTGTGTGTGCCTGTATTAGCTGTAAAATGATGTGTCACCTTTTTTGCCCCGTGTACGACGCGTGAACCATATCTTCTCGCGTACGCTGCACGGTCCCTGCATCTAAATCAGGAATAAAACCAGGACTAAACAAGGACTAAAACCAGGACTAAAATCAGGACTAAAATCAGGTCTAAACTAAACTAAACCAACCAGGTCTAAAAACCAGGACTAAACCAGGTCTAAACCAGGACTAAACCAGGTCTAAAACTAAAACCAGGACTAAAAACCAGGACTAAACCTAACCAGGTCTAAACCAGGACTAAACCAGGTCTAAACTAGGACTAAAACCAGGTCTAAACCAGGACTAAACCAGGTCTAAAACCAGGACTAAACCAGGAAACCACTAAACAGGACCAGGACTAAACCAGGACTAAACCAGGACTAAACCAGGACTAAAACCTCAACTAGGAACTAGGAACTAAAACCAGGACTAAACTAAAAACCAGGACTAAACCAACTGGAAACTCAACTAACCAGGACTAAAATCAGGACTAAAACCAGGAAAACCAGGTCTAAACCAGGTCTAAACCAGGACTAAACCCAGGACTAAAACTCAACTAAAACCAGGACTAATATAAAAGGTCTAAACCAGGTCTAAACCAGGTCTAAAACCAGGACTAATAAACCAGGATCTAAACCAGGTCTAAAGTCTAAACCAGCTAAACCAGGTCTAAACCAGGACTAAACCTGAACTAAAACCAGGATTACACCAGGTCTAAACCAGGACTAAACTAAAACCAGGTCTAAACTCTAAACCAGGTCTAAACCAGGTCTAAAACCAGGTCTAAACCAGGATTAAACCAAGACTACATTCAGGACTACAATGAGGACTAAAACCAGGACTAAAACCAGGTCTAAACCAGGTCTAAACCAACACTAATCCCAGGACTAAAATCAGGACTAAAATCAGGTCTAAAACCAGGTCTAAACCAGGTCTAAACCAACACTAAACCCAGGACTAATATCAGGACTAAAACCAGGACTAAAATCAGGACTAAAACCAGGATTTAACCAGGACTAAACTGTCTCTCATGTTGCCTATTCTGCTTTGGTTCTTTAAAAAAATACTATCTGATTTCAAAAATTCACATTAAGGAACCATTCAAAAGAACCAACTTTTTCACGAACGTCACATCACTAGACTCGTTTATATTTTACCACACGATGCCTGATGTAAACATTTGTCTTGACAAGGTTAAATTCAGATCAAATACAGGATTCTGTCTTTGTGTTTGCAGTAACACCACGGGCCCTGTGTCCTCTGACGACAGCGATCAGAACAACAGCGACCGCTCGTCCGCCTCTCCCTCCTCCACCTCGGGAAAATCCTGACACCTCCTCATCACCAAAGCAGGACTGTCCTCTCACCTCCACTACCGTAATGCACCAAACGCAAGAGACACCGGAAACTAAGATTACATGGCTACGTTCACACACACGACACATATCAATTGGGACTAAACCCGGAGCTAAAACTGGACTGGACCAGGACTAAACCAGGACCAAACGAAGTCTTTAACAGGACTCAACTGGGATCAAACTAGAACTGGTGTGAACGCAATCTTGAAGGTGGTTTTCTCGAGATTGGTCCACCACCTGAATGACCATGGAGATGTTATTGCTTTGCTCAAATGTTCCACAGTGCAGCATTAAACTTATCAACCTTGTATTCTTCTAATTTAAGATGTTTTTATTTCTCAAAAGTATCTCTAAAAACATGGATCTGAACTGTAACTTGGCCTGCTTGTGTCCATGAAAATACACAACATTTCAGGCAAAGCAGTAAAATCTCCACGGAGACAAACAAGTGATGCACCTTCTCCCAGAAAAGTTACACACTGCACCTTTAAGCATCACCTCTTTAAAATATCAGAAGTGGTTGGAGTGGTCAGGAGAGGAGGGTACAGTTTCTGAATTTGTCGCTAAACTTACACAGTCCTTGAGTTATTGATTGCGACCACTCTGGTGCTCCCCTGTGGCGTCGAGACTATAAAATATAAATAAGTCCAATTCTGTGAAAAATAATACGAGCTCTTGTTGTGGCGTGAACAAGAGGAAACCGATGTCATGATGTAGTTTAATGGCCTTAACACGTTTGCTTCTGCGCGTTCATTGTCTTAAACAGGTCAATACAAAGTGCGCGATTTTGCACTAAAATAATTGTTGCAAAAAAGTGACTGAATGAGCAGGCTGTCCATGTGTCATTCGCTGAGGTAAAATATTGTTTAGTACTACACATGATACACTGTACCTACTTCAGGATGTACAAGACTTTAGTAATGTCCTGTAATAACATTTATAGTGTGTAACTATAAAGATGTAACACCCTTTAACCCTAAACCAGTGGCTCTCAAACCTTTCACACCAAAGAGTACCACGAGCTCTAAACCAGGTCTACAACAGGAATATTCCAGGTCAAATCTAGGGCTAACCAGGTCTAAAAGTGGATTATGTCATTTCCACTAAACCAGGTGTGTCAAACTCAAATTCACAGAGGCCAAAATTAAAAACTGGGACTAAGTCATGGGCCAAATTAAATATTTATTGAAAAATTTCAACAACATCTGCATGTTTTCTCTTCTTTTGAGATATGTAATGTTAAACCTTTTCTTATTAAAATAAATGTTTAATAATAGTTTTGTTTAAACACTGAATCCAGAACAAGCATAATATAAAAAATAATAACACAATTTTAAATAAATAATGTCTCTATAGTCTATCTGTACAAGGTGGGGAACCTCTAATGCATATTTGATATGATCTCATGGGCCAAATATAATTATATCGTGGGCCAAATTTACTAAACTCTAGTGTAGTACCTGAAACTTGTTTACCACAGTTTGAGGAAAAACTCCCCTGAACCATAATTACAATGTAATTACATGTCATTACACGGTATGTACAATTCAGGATGCACAATATAAAAAATAATAATATTAACTGTGATTAGATTTGAGATATATGTTTTAAAAAGAAGGTCAAAGAACTCTAGAAACGTTATCTTTAGAGAAAAGACAGATAACCTAATGCAAGATACCCAAGAATTTCAGAACTTGTTTGTAGAGATTTACATCTACAACAACACTTTTCTCTTGACATTTCTATTGCAATAACTTGTGCAGTCCTGTACATGCAATAGTAGTAGGCAGGTAGGTCATGTATCACGGGGTAGTAAGAAATAAAGCTCTTTTTTTCTTTAAAAACATATATTTGTAAATAACACAGATTATAATGTACAGCCAGTGTAAATATTTCATACATTTACAGCCACAAATACTAAGTTATTGCTTTAGATCTACCAGACCTTTATTTGACTTTGTCGTACATTTGCATCGAGGAAGGACAGAAGAAGCTTAACCCCCTTGAAAATTGACATACAAGTCCAAAAAACTGAGCTAAAGTTTACTGTAGACAAGCACCAGAAAAGTCACACAGTGCATCTTTAAGAGAAATGGCAGAGCTCCGATCAGCTGCGGCCAACCCTCAGAGTTATCAGTTATCAGAGTTTATTTTTAGACGTAAAAGCTTTTTGGTGAGACCAGGACCTAAATATGAACTGTACAGAGCTCAGTGATATCAGACATATAATAACCCAGTTGTACAGTTAAATGAATTAGCCACATTTTAGTGCCAAAAACAAGATCCACTGGCTAATTTAAGAATGATCACTACCGCTGCCCGAGCTGTTTCACCAAGGTGCTTGATGTAAATAATGAAATCTGTTGTTGAGCTTGTAAATAATCGCTTAGGAATATAAACTAGATGAAAAATAGAAAAGTACCCTGCAAAAAAAGGAAAATTATGATCTAAAATGATTTGAATATTACAATCTTTGACCAAGCTTTGAGCAATTTAAACTAGTATATTTGACTTTCCTGATTGGCCGAATTTTTCCCCAGTTTTGTCAAGATTCATTCAAATCAAAATCAGTCAAAAGTACTCAAAAAAGATGATGAAAACAAGTCATTTTAATTCAGGTTGACCTTATTTTTGCTGTGTACAATGTATGGATTCTGTATAAACTCCTGATGTACATGAAATACGTTGTGTGAAGAGAGACGGATCATGTAGAGCTTTGAAATGGTGCATGCGCTGCTTTTGGATCATTAGACCCAAATGTTTAGCTTGAGAGGGAGTTTTGGGAGCACTTCTACACCGTAAAAATGTATCTGTGCAAAAGTTAAAAGTGACTTGAATGAAAAATATGAATCTTGAGTAATTTGAGTAAAATATGAATCTTGAGGAATCTTGAGTAAAATATTAAACTTGAGTAGTTTTTTTTTCCAGTTTCTGGATATTCCTAAATATTTTTGATTTACTTGTTTTCAATGCAAAATGATCTGTAAATCCAAATACCAACAAAGTGCGTTCTCACTGAATTACCTGAAAGCAAATTCAATCTTGGCATTGGCAGATCATTTTACCATTGAAACAAGTACCAAGTATCTGTATCCACAAATTTAAAGCTACCATCTTTAATTAATTAGACTTTACGACTGAGCTATGTCATATTTTAATACAACACCATGTGATATCATGAGTTTTTGGTTGTTGAATAAGAAAAGAGGTGAGAACCACAACCACATTTTTCGAAGGTTGAATACAAACACATACACAGCTCTGGCTCTACTGCCGACATGCAACGACAGAGAGACTCAGTGTCAGGAACAGACAGTTTTTATACACTGTGGTGGGCAACAGGTGTGAGGCTCATGTCAAACCATAGACAGAGATCTCCAACCTTTTTCCTTTGTGTGAGCTCCTTTACAAACAAAAATGCCAGAGAGCTACTCAATTTAGCGGCTGCAAGAAATCGAGACGATTATAAGAAAGATTGTCCATTGTCCATTTATTAGTGCACAAAGTTGGGCTTCAAAATGACATAATTACTGTAGTAATAGGCATGTAATTAACCGCATTTTTGTTATTCAGTACAATGGTCTAATTCAGAAATCCCTTGGCGAGCTACTTGGAATGGGCTGGAGAGCTACTGGTAGCTCCCGAGCTACAGGTTGGAGACCCCTGCCATAGACTGTATAAAAGAAGTGGACTAAGCGAGTGTGACGTCTCCCACAGCGTTCAGCGCCGCTCAAATGATGCTCACGATGCTCACGATCACAGGAGCGAATCTGGAACGAGGCTCTATGTTATGAATAGGATTTTTTTGACAGACAAAATAGCGAAAAATCATGTAGAGCGGGTTAATACGAATATTTTACGACCACAATGACGAGGCTCACTGCTGCAGTTGGCGACAGTATCCTAATGTAAGTCAATTGGAGCCAGAGTCAGAAGGAGCCGGAAGAGCCTCCTGGCGAACTTCCTATTTGGCACACGGCGGCTGGAGTTAGTTATGTCCACTCATATACAGTCTATGTGTCAAACAGAGTGATCAAAACATGGTCAGGCAACAACTGTAGTCGTAAAAGTGACTGTGAAACCTTAATTTTAGCAACAACAAATGGTCGATTGGGGTCCTTAAACATTTCTTAACGTAATTTTTGGAAATAACAGAGTTTTTCTCATACTCCTTATCTTTTTATCTATCTATTTGTTTATCTGTCTGTCTATTTATTTATCTGTGTACTTCTGTCTGAGCGTGAGGGGAACAGCTTTCACATCTGCCAACAAAAACCCCAAAAACTTACGAATGGCAGCTTTGACTCAAGATTACTCAACTCAAGATCAGTTTTCAAGTTGATTTAACTGATGCACAGGTATTATTTTTGTGTGTATCTGTATAGTCTTTATGCACTAGGTGAATCTAATGTAAGCATGTACCGGGGCGTGTGTTTGGGGTGTAGATGATTTAATTAAGACTTGAAATGTATAATGTATTAAACAATTATCTCAAATACTTTCACTGCAAAAAATAAATATTCACATGAGTTGAAATTACTTAAAGAATGTAAGTTAGTAGTTTGTTGATTTAACTTGAGTTAGGATGTCATTATTTTAAGGAAAGCTTGCAAAATGAGTAAAATTATTGTAGTTTATTGCAGTTTTCTTACTCCAAATGATAATTGTGCTTCATCATGTTGTAATTTTAACTCAGATATTTATTCTTTGCAGTGCTTTTTTTCTGTGATTCTGGTTTTATGTTCTATTAACCAGCCATTCTTCACTAATACAGCTCTAACAATGTTCACTTGGTGTCAGTAACACAGGAAATGCAAACGCTTCAGCAGTGATAAAACAATATAATATGACATCATCTAGTTTGTCATGAACTCAACACGTAACTGGTTTTCAATGTTCACCGGATCCACGCAGTTTCAAATGATGGTTATTTGTGTTTTAAACTTTTGTTACAGCTTTGATGCTTTCTGTCATATAGAGCGTAGGCTATTGTTGTTCCTTTAGAGCAGGGGTGTCCAAACTTTGAAGACGTCTGGAATCTCCGTCTGTCTAAACTAAAAGCTAATCTGGAAATGACTAAACAGCAAAATGAAAACGTCAACGCGTAGCTCAGTCTTGGTGCTGTCTTGATGTTTTGAAACTTTTCTCTGTTGGCTCGTCCATTTCGTTAATAAATGAACATGATGTGACGCTGTTGGACTTGAAGAAAAAGGCTCGTTCGAGGGTAGAATTTCCAAAGTCTGGTTTTCCAGGCTTGTCCAAACTAGTCTGGGGACAGTTTGAATAATTTAGTTTGACCATTACCCCTTGCCCATGGAGTATTTCAAAGCAAAGTGCGTGTGACAGGTTTTTATGACTCTCTAATTCTCTAATTCCTACTTAATTCGGAGGGATAATAACTGTTGTAAATATAAATTTTACTTCAAGAATATAAAAGAAGGAGAGAATGAGAACGTTGCACATTAATTACTTGAAATGCGTGCGTTGGAGGAGAGGGATCAGCCCAAAAACAGAGCGAAATCGGGCAAAAAACAACAACATTTCGGCACTAGGAAACGTTGCAAGTAAGACGGTGTGCAGGATTTTTCTCTATGTTCTTCGGCTATTCCGATCAAGAAGAAATTTGTGAAGAAAAGTAAAAAAATATGCTGAAAATTATAGAAAGTAGAGTTCTAACAAAATGATGAGAGAATTCTATCTAAAGGTTTGGAGTAATTTACATTTCAACAAAATTATGGTGTTTTATTTTATTTTATGTTGTCAAATAATAATCTCTGTGTATGAGGACAATTTTAGTTGCCACCTAACAGTTATGAAATTCCATAGTGTGATGCCATGATTTCCAAACAAGAAGTAAGATGCAAAAATATTGACAAACTGGAAAAAAGTATCCGTTAGACCAAATTATGATACTTGTACGTACTATATTACACTATAAAAGATGTTATGTAACAACTTGAAACAGTGTAGGACCTGTTAGTAGTAAATGAGTCCAAATCAAATCAAAATTCATGTTCTGATTTCAAATAATAGATTTTCATTTCCTTATATTTTGGTTTTTCGCAGAGTCGCCATCACGTGACCTAAATATGACCCACACGTGACCCTCCTCATGTATTTTTACACTTGCATAAAAGAGTTTGGACACCTCTGTTTTAGAGTTTGCATAAATGAATGTTGCTTCTTTGTAAAGGGACAGAAACAGTGGGTCATTTTCATGTCCTTTACAAGAACTTGAACTAAGATGTAATGTAAAAAAGTGCAGGTTAAACTGTATATTGAATGAGGAAAGATAATAAAGAAACAGCAAAGCTTACATGTGTCTGTGATGTAATTTACTTTCTGACGAAATTTGTTTGTTAACCAGAATATTTTACGGCTCGTGTGGAAAATGATGGTTACTTCTACGTGTTAGTCACATCTGTGCATGGTTCTATATGCACCCGAGCAGAGGCAGTGGTTTAGACAGGAAATTAAAAAAAACATAAGGAAACTACTCACTGGTCTGGTGACAGACGCAGAGAGACAAGCTTGAAATCAACACGGTGAATCTTCCCAGAACCACACAAACCAAGGTACGTTTTAATGTTACTTCGTTTAGATTTTTAAAGCAACTATTTTTCTTAGTGTACTGTATGTACTAGTGTTATTATTATTACATATATTTTCATTAGATTAACTTGTGAGCCTTTACTAATGCCAATTTTGGATGCATTGTACACAAAAGTTGACTATCTAGAAGTAACTGGACTTTAGCAGAGTTTTTGAGTTGTTTCACTGCAATAAACAACATCTAGCTAAGTTAAAATGACTTAAACTAAGAACATTTTTATTTTATTTGAGTAGATTCAAAATGACAAGTAAATTGATATTAATTTTTCTTAATGCGTGTGTTTTTTCTTTGTAAGTGCATAGAGTTGTATATAATTTTACTTGTCGAGTGAAATTCAAATCATGATCAAACTTTCTTTAATTCAAGTAATCTTAATTTGGCTAGATTTTAGTTTTTGCAGTGTTTAGCTGGTTAAGATTTATCAATGTTTTCAAAGTTTTCAAAGCTGACGTTCCTGCTAATAAAGTGCTGTTGTCTTAAAGGTGCATTGTGTAACTTTTGTGGTACAGGGTCTGTCAAATGCTTTTCTTCCTGAAGATGTTTTTTTTTTTTTGTCTGGGATGTTCCACAGTATGTTATTAAACCTTCCTATCTTCATGGAGACAAAAGCAAACCAAATTACAGGTTAGAGGAGGTCTGGGGAGAGGCAACCCTTCTCACGGTCAGAATCCTTGTTTTTGTAGGTGTTTTTTGATTTGTAAAACCACCTGTAATTTCATAAAGGTGAAGTTTAATGTCATAGTATGGAACATTCCAGGCAGATCAGTGACATGTCATTGTGTCATCATCGTATCATGTGTACCGCAGAAACAAAAACAAAGTTTCACATTGCACTAACCCATAAGCAGTTGAATGTTGAATATCTATAGTAACGGGACTTACTCAGAAGGTTTATCCAGATTTTTAAGTTGTTTTGGCTACATTTTCAGTCGTTATTTTTTCCTCATTACTCAATACGTGCTTTTATCTTAATTCCCAAATAAATAGTTTGCTTAAAATACGGCAAACACATTAAAAACTTGAATCATACTAAATAATCTAGATCTATTAACAAAATTTGTGACATTTTTTGCAATGTACCTACAATTTACACTGCAAAAAGTTCAATATTTATGTCATGGATATTCAACTTTTAGCAATGTAAATAGATTCAGGATTTATTCAAGGTTTATCCAAAAGTTTGAGTTGTTTTAGCCAGTTAAGAGTCATTAATATATTTTCAGTCTTTATTTTTTCTTCCAGCTAAAGTACCTGCTCAAAAACTTATCACGTGCTGTTTTCTTAACTCATAAATAATTTGCAATATCACCCATCAGTAATAACTCGAAACATATTAAATAATCTAGAGCTATTGACAAAATTAGTGACATTTTTTGCAGTGTATCTACAATTTACATTGCAAAAAGTTCAATATCTGTGTCATGGATATTAAACTTTTCGCAGGACTTATTCAAGGTTTATTGAGTTGTTTTAATGTTTTTCATTGTTTTCCAAGTCTATTACGTCACTTTAAAACGATATTTATTCATCAAAAATAACTTAAATCACACTAAATAGTCAAGATCTGTTAAATAAGTGAATCTAACAGTGCTTTTGTTTTCTTTTTGGCAGTGTATTCACGGTTTGGGCTCATATTGACTGATTGATTGATCTGCTCAAGGGAAAAGCAACGCAATGGGTCTCGTGAGGGGTTTACTCTTGTGGTTATTGGCTGTCACTTTGGTCATCACCTCTGCCTCGGTAAACTGCTTTTCAAGTTTCATGCCAAATGTGTTTATTTTTTCCACTGCAAATGACGTGTAAAGCTAACAAATACTTGTACTACAGACTGAAATGTGTCGGAACGGCTGTAAAAAGTGCAACCCAGGTAAGAAAATAAAGCAATATTATGTAACTTTTTAAAGGTTCTGCTGTGTTTTAGAATTTTTAGCTCGTCAAAACCATGCCTGGAGTTGTGTTTTGTTTAAGTAACACTTTATTATCAGTCTTATCTACATCTCCAAAGCCCAAAATGCTCTGTTCCACCTTGTGATGTCACGAAGCAGTAGTTTTCAAGTTACCTTTTACCTTTTTTTTTTACTAGAGATTGCAAATTATCCAAGTGATTCTAGGGAAGGTGTATGGAGTGTAAAATGACTGCATTGCCACATGACGTCACAAGGTGGAACAAAGAGTTTTCAGTCTGAGAGAAGCCAAAAGCGTCCAAAATATACAGAGTTTGTGCGTTTTTTTTTTTTTTTGTTTTTGGTGAGGACACAACATTATAACACACAGCAGATCAGAAAATAGTCTAACATGAGCCCTTTAATACATATGAAATGCTGTTTAAGATGATTTGTACAATTTGTTGTTATCTCGTCTTACATATTGGGCCTATTTTAGCTCTGATGTGAACTTGATCTAGCCTTTGTTCAGTCCTGATTGAGTCTAGGTTTAGTTTTGGATTAAGTCCTGATGTAATCCTGATTGTGCAGGTGAACACACTCTTAGTTTTACATGCATTAAGTGTCTGAGAAAAAGTACTGCAAGTTCTCAGGCACCTGACCACATCCTCAATTAATACAAAGTATGCATGTGTACAAGAAAGGATGCAACAGAAAGCGCCTACTTTAACTTTGAGATGGAGACAGATAAGAACTTGTTGGAAGGATGTGCAGCTTACGTCTTTAAATGCAAATGCAAGAGGAGGAAATGGATGTATCGAACAATGAAAAGTTATGATGATGATAAAAATGCAGTCTTTATATACTAATGATCAGTAAACATGTCAAAACTATATACTCATTTTAGCAGGTATTCATAGTTGGACACTGAAGCTTTCCTGTTTCCATATTATCTTGATCTTTATCGAAAAAAATAAAACTGTGATAATGTTAAAGAAACTATTTTTGAGCTTTGACATTTGTGTATTTGTGGATTTATCAGTGTGGTGTCAAAATCATCCCTTAAATAACAGTTGTATCTGGAAGACACAGTACAATGCATTTTAAAATAATCCTTCCATTTTAAATAATCTATTTAAAGGTCCTATATTACACAAAATGGACTCATGTGAGCTTTAAGCGGTGTTAGAATGCTGTTACCTCCCAAAAACATACCTGAAAACAAAGCCTAAATATGCAGGGTTTGTGTGTTTAACATGTGTGAGTGAAACAAAACACAACTCCCGATATGTTTGTGATGAGGAAACTACATTATAACAGATAAGAAAATACTGTAACATGGGCCCTTTAATTATTGTGTTCCCATTGTTTACCTCTTTGTTTTGTATATTTGTCGTTATCATTTAGAAAGAATTCAGATTACTCACATTAGATAAAGTGTAAAAGTTTTTTCAAACACAGATCCTAAAGATTTCTTACACGAGACTGTTACGTTATGATAGACTGAACTGTGTGTGTGTGTGTGTGTGTCTGTCTCTGTCGTAGGAGAGTTCCAGACTAATTGTGCCTGTAAACCCTGTCCCAGTAACACCTACACCTCAATGATGAACTGTGAAAGCAGCTGCCACGGCTGCTACAGCGACTGCAGAGCAGGTATATGGCTCTATTTTTAGTAGTAGTAGTAGCAGTAGTAGTATTTAGGTCACATGAGGAGACAGTGGTCAAGTACTTCACAATAGGTTTAAAGCAGAAGTAAAAGTAGATGTGGGAGTTATATCAATACTTTTATAATATTGCAATAGTTGTTTTGTTGAAAAAAATTTAAAATTGAGTCATTTCATTAAAATTACCTCAAAAGAAAAATATATAATTTGACAAACAAAGGTATTGATACTTTACAGCGGATGTCATTAAATCTCTGAAAGTGTGATTTGAACTGGACACTGCTCTATCTGAAGCTCTGTTACTCAAGTTAAACTTTAATCTGAGGTTTGTTTTAACACAATCTGACCAGAAAGAACTGTCTTAGTTGGAACTACAACAGGTGAGCTGATTTTTAGGCCTCAATTTTTCACTTAATCTCACCTTTTTGTTGAAAATCAAACACAAAAACAAGACCATGAATGCACATTTTGATCATAGGCTCCTGTGTACTGTGTCCATTTTGTATTTTCTTTCTTGAGTTGGTAAACTTTTGCAGATGTGTGCAATGTGTCATCAAAACCAACTGATAAATATTCCACTTTAGTAAATACATGCCTAACACCTCCAGCATGAAGCCACCGCAAAGTATAAATAAAGTAATATTTCTGTACATCTGCTGTCAATGCTCCACTCATGCTGTGTGTATTAATGATCAGAGTGAGCTATAATAGTTACCACCACCAACTGTGGAATGAATGAATAATGCAGCTTCTCTAAAGGTGATAGACTATGACAAACTTTGATCCACAAGAGAAATAATTTGGACACAGTAGTTCACACATCACAATAAATACAATAATAAAGTGCAAAAATGTAAATGTTAATAATAAATTCAAAATAAGTGGCAAAAACAGCAACAGACTGGAGTCAAATATCCCTTAAACCCAATGCATTATCACTATTTCTTACAGATTTACATATGAAGGTGGTCAAGAACTGCACCAAAACGTCAGACCTGCGCTGCGAATGTGTGGAAGGTTTTCATTGCGTCGCCAAGGACATGGTGACAGGAACCTGCACAAGGTGTCAGCGCACGCAGCCCCGAGTCACACCTGGTAACTCAACATATACTATAACCATATATTAACTGAGAAATAAAACTCAACAAAATGATTCAAACTTTTCCACACATGTTCTCAATTGACGTGTGTGTTCTATGCAGTGCTGGGAAGTAACTGTAATTTACTGTGATTTATTTTGACTGTACTCTGTAGAGTTACTTTTTCACTGGATGATATTCAGAGTACTATTATTTTCCTAAAATTAACTGAATACATGGCAGTATTTGATCACACATTTTAGACATCAAACTGCACAGAATTATTGAGAAAAACACAATACTCTTGTTGTGAATGCACGAGTGATTTTTCCTTCTCCAGTATTCTTAAAATAAATGTTTAATAATAGTTTTGCTTAAACACTGAATCCAGAACAAGCGTAATATAAAATAATAACAAAATTTTAAATAAATAATGTCTCTATAGCCTATTTGTAGCGGGCGGGCCAGCTCTAATACATATGTGACATGATCTCGCTTTTAATGCAGGTATTCAGTATTCTGTTACTACATTTTCAAAGTATTCCTCCCGTCTATGGATTGTTAGCTGGATGTCAGCAAAGACTGTTCATCTTTATTAGGCTGTTTGAGACCAGCTGATAAAAGATTTGTTTATTTTAATATAAATTTTAGACTGTGATTAAGACAGATTTAGACAGCATAATAACTGTTACGTGCCGGGCTGGTCTAGGGTCGGTTTGGCATGAGCGTAACAGTAAAGATGAACAAAAAACATGAAAAATTATGTAAACATTGATTTATTTATTAAAAAAGTGCAAAAATGTGAATGACAAAATTACTGAATAATTTAACAAAGAGCAACTAAAGTCTAAACTGGAACAGAAACTACAGTCCAAGCTGAATGAGGACACAGTCACCACTGAACTGCTGTTTGCTCTGTCTTTAAACCCAGCTGACTGACACCTGTGCTCATCTCACCTGTCCCTCACCTGTCTCTCACCTGTCTCTCTCCTGTCCCTCTCCTGTCCCTCTCCTGTCCCTCACCTGTCTCTCACCTGTCTCTCACCTGTCCCTCTCCTGTCCCTCTCCTGTCCCTCACCCAGACATAGGGGAGAGCCAGGACAGACACACACACAAAATCCAACAAAAACCATGTAAAAGTTACTTCCAAAAAGGGGATAAGTAGTTTAACCTACGAACTGAACAGTGGACGATGACGTATTCAGTTTTGTTTCTTAAAGGTGCACTATGTAACTTTCAGGTTGGGGGTCCGTCACCTGCTTGTTTCTGTGGATATGTCATTGCTCTGCCTGGAATGTTCCACAGTATGACATTAATCAGCTCTACCTTACATTTATTTAATCACAAGTGGCTTTAGAGCTCAAAATACCTAGAATAACAGGCATTCTGACTGTGAGCGAGGTCGCCTCTCCACAGATCTGACCTGTAACTTGGACTAGTTTGGTCTCCATGAAGATAGAGAAGATAGAAAGGTTTAGTGCCATATGGTGAAGCATTCCAGACAAAGTAATAATATCATCATGGAGAAAAACATTTGATGGACCCCCCCCCTTACACAAGCTACACAATGCACCTTTAAGAAAAAGTACAGATGCATGAAAAAATCTACTTCTGTAAAAGTATTAAATTTACCCCTTTAAAAACGTACTTAAACACTAAAAAGTATGAGTATTTCACACAGATTTTGAGATCTACTGAAACTTGAAATGTAATGATTTTGACATAAATTTGAGCTGAGATTTGTTCAAGAGAAACAACTGATAGTTAAAAATAAACATTTCAACAGGTCTCAAACAATAATAAAACAAAATAATAAAAAAATTACTTTTCAGTTCAGTTAAAAAAATGTAGTGGTAGTGGAGTCGGAAGTACAGATACCTGCTCTCAAATACATGTACCTAAATTATGTAAATACAGTACAGTACTTTACTTTTTTACGTTCCACCACTGGAATTGAAATGGAAATGTTTTAATAATTGTATGATGGGAGGAATCTTGTGTCCTTGTGTGAAAATTAACAAAGTGACAGCTGTTATTTGCTTCTCCTGTAAAGATATTAGAGTAAATTTTTCTTCGTTGTAGTTACCTATATTCACCAGCAGATGGCGTCATACTCACATTATGGGCTAGAAACACGCGGGAGCAAGTCTTTCATTAGTCCATGTGGTTCAAAGCCAGTACATTTAAAAAAACTATTTCTTTTTTTTCTTTGTTTTTTCTTTAGCTACTGCACGGACAACGCCCTGCACCTCTCTCAAGTGAGTGATGTTTTTCATAAAGGTCTTTTTTTTTAAACCTTGCTATAATTTTGTTTCCTTGACTCTTGAGTCAAATGCAAATATGAGTCTCGTGAGCTTTTAGTCTTGTTATAATGCTGTTACCTCCTCCAAAATATACCTGGACTTATGTTTTGTTTCATTCACATGTTTCATAATCACTTTATTATTAGTCCGTCTCCATCTCCAAATCTCAAAATGCCACCTTCCACTTTGTGATGTCATGAAGTGGTAGTTTTCAAGTTAGTTTACAGCTACTTTTTACCTTTAATTCAACAGAGATTTGCAATACCAGAGCTGAAATTAATGAAATTCTAGTGAAGATGTATGGTGCACAAAGTAACTTTTCTAATGGAGGGTCCACAGCCTGCTCGTCTCCATGGATTTGTTATTGCTTTGCCTTGAATGTTCCACAGTATGGCTTTTGGGCAACAGTGCGAACTCAGATGCATGTATTTCAAGGTATATTTAGCAATTTAAACACGGTGAATGAATGAACGCGCGATAAATATCTTTGATTTCAAGAAAAGAAATATCTCCATGGAGACACAAGTGGTAAAAAAAGTTACTTTGTGCAGCTTTAAAACTGGAAATTGTGAAATATGATGGAGCCTAGTAAAACAGGATCTTAGTGGACAGTGCTTCTACAGATTATTGTACAGAATTTGTTTCATTTTGTTTCGTTTTTTGATCTTTAGGTGCAGCTCAGAGTCCACCTCAAGAAACACAACAAATCATACAACAGGTAAGTGTAGTAGTAGTAGTAGTAGCAGTAGTGATAGTAGTGGTAGTAGTAGCAGTAGTAGTAGTATAGTAGTAGTAGTAGTATAGTAGTAGTAGCAGTAGTAGTAGTAGTAGTAGTAGCAGTAGTAGTAGTAGTAGCAGTAGTAGCAGTAGTAGTAGTAGGAGGAGTAGCAGTAGTAGTAGTAGTATAGTAGTAGTAGTAGTAGTAGTAGTAGTAGTAGCAGTAGTAGTAGTAGCAGTAGTAGTAGTAGTAGTAGCAGTAGTAGTAGTAGTAGTAGTAGTAGTAGTAGCAGAAGTAGTAGTATAGTAGTAGTAGCAGTAGTAGTAGTAGTAGTAGCAGTAGTAGCAGTAGGAGTAGCAGTAGTAGTAGTAGTAGTATAGTAGTAGTAGTAGTTGTAGTAGTAGTAGCAGTAGTAGCAGTAGTAGCAGTAGGAGTAGCAGTAGTAGTAGTAGTATAGTAGTAGTTGTAGTAGCAGTAGTAGTAGTATAGTAGTAGTAGCAGTAGTAGTAGTAGTAGTAGCAGTAGTAGTAGTAGTAGTAGTAGCAGTAGTAGTAGTTGTATAGTAGTAGCAGCATTAGTAGTAGTAGGAGTAGCAGTAGTAGTAGTAGAAGTAGTAGTAGTATAGTAGTAGTAGCAGTAGTAGTAGTATAGTAGTAGTAGCAGAAGTAGTAGTATAGTAGTAGTAGCAGTAGTAGTAGTAGTAGCAGTAGTAGTAGTAGGAGTAGCAGTAGTAGTAGTAGTAGTAGTAGTATAGTAGTAGTAGTAGTAGTTGTAGTAGTAGTAGCAGTAGTAGTAGTATAGTAGTAGTAGCAGTAGTAGTAGTAGGAGTAGCAGTAGTAGTAGGAGTAGCAGTAGTAGTTGTATAGTAGTAGCAGCATTAGTAGTAGTAGGAGTAGCAGTAGTAGTAGTAGAAGTAGTAGTAGTATAGTAGTAGTAGCAGTAGTAGTAGTAGGAGTAGCAGTAGTAGTTGTATAGTAGTAGCAGCATTAATAGTAGTAGGAGTAGCAGTAGTAGTAGTAGCAGTAGTAGTAGTATAGTAGTAGTATAGTAGTAGTAGTAGTAGTAGTAGTAGTAGCAGTAGTAGTAGTATAGTAGTAGTAGCAGTAGTAGTAGTAGGAGTAGCAGTAGTAGTAGGAGTAGCAGTAGTAGTTGTATAGTAGTAGCAGCATTAGTAGTAGTAGGAGTAGCAGTAGTAGTAGTAGAAGTAGTAGTAGTATAGTAGTAGTAGCAGTAGTAGGAGTAGCAGTAGTAGTAGTAGTATAGTAGCAGTAGTAGTAGTAGTATAGTAGTAGTAGCAGTAGTAGTATAGTAGTAGTAGCAGTAGTAGTAGGAGTAGCAGTAGTAGTTGTAGTAGTAGCAGTAGTACTAGTCTTTGATATTGTTAGTTAAATGAAAGGCAATCTAAAATCTTTCATTGTGCATTTATTTGTGTATTTACTTTTCAGACAAATCCTCAAACCTCCTCGTAGCCATCCTGTGCCCCCTGTTAGTGATTGTGGGGCTGTGTCTGGTGTTCCTGTTTTGTTTGGGATGCCCTAGACACGACACACGATTTAAGCAAAGTAAGTTCACACATTTTGAGCACATTTGAGCATCATGAGCAAAGAAAAGTGACTGGATCTCTCTTTTTCAGCTGTGAAGAAGCTGTGCAGTGTGGTAAGAAACTCATTTTGACTGATTATTCGACTGTATACGTTTTCCATACGGCTAATTTCCTATATTTTTTTTATTCTGCAGGAAGTTATAGACACTGCACACCTAACAAGACAGATATCTACTGAAAAGCAACAGACAAGTCCCATGGCAACAGCTAACATGGGTAGGCCTAATGTTAAATAAAGTTCAGTTCTTAAAATGACATGTTATAGTAAAAAAAAAGTCTAAAGTTAAATCTAAGAAAATAAATTGTAGAAATTGTATTGCAGTTCACTCTTTATGCCACAATAAAATGGATCAATTTGCAGAAATCTATAAACTATTGTTTTTTGTCAAACATGTGACAAAAACACCACCTCCTACTTTATCGACTCTAGTTGCTAATTACCTCCGCCAAGGAGGTTATGTTTATGCCGGCGTTTGTCTGTCTGTCTGTTTGTTTGTTTGTTTGTTTGTCTGTTAGCAACATAACTCAAAAAGTTATGGACCGATTTTGATGAAATTTTCAGGATTTGTTGGAAATGTGAAAAGGAAGAACTGATTTCATTTTGGGGGTGATCCGGAAGAAATCCTGGATTCTGGATCACTTTGAAATTTTAGTTAACATTGTGGTAAATGGGGACAAAAAATTTGTTTCTCAATATCTCGGTTAATTATTGACCAAACCCCATGAAATTTGACTCAGGGATGGACAATGGGATCCTCTTTCATATTCCAAAGGCTGATCCGGATCTGATCCAGAAGACTGATTTTATCGCAATTTATATACAAAATGGGGGTAGTCCTTGGCGGAGGTCTGCGCTCTCTGAGTGCTTTTCTAGTTTAAAATTAATGTAAAGGAAACATGCGCATTAAGTGCCTAAGTATTTCAAAAACATAGAAAAGCTGTTTAAAAGATCCAGTATGGCTCCATCTGTGCCGTACAATATGCAGTAAAAACATAAATATATTATCATTTAGTCATATCAATTTTGTGAAATTATTCTCTAGTCCAATGTCTCTAAAAAAATTTTACACACAAAACTGAAAAATAGCGACTTCTGGTGGCACTAGAGCTCCAGGTTACACTTAGTTTATTCTAATTATAAACATTTCATAGATACTTCAGTGAAAGGGTCTTTTTCCTTCAGTGAGCTACTTCTACAAATCGAAAATGACAAAGAGCTACGCATTAGAGCCATGGCAAGCCTTAGACAGGGAACGATTAGATGGCTATAAAACAAAAAAAACACTATCTATATATTAGTGCACAGTTGGGCATCAAAATTATATATATAATTCAGAAATCCCTTGGTGAGCTACTCTGAATGATGTGAAGAGCTACTGGTAACTCCTGAGCTACAAGTTGGAGACTCCTGCTTTAGTGTCTTTTATGTTCTCTCAAATGTTAGATCAGCCCTTGTGGTACTTGGGAAGGCAAATATTTACTGAGGAATAATGCTAGTCTACTACATTTTCTTCACCTCTGCAACCAAACTTTGCCACTTTGTAAAACTCTTTAAACTTAATTCATCCATTTTTAGATCGCCACATCATTGTAATTGGTTAAATCCACCTGTCACTCACTCAAATGACACAAAACTGACACACGTGAGCTTTAACCCATGTTAGAATATTGTTACCATGTCAAAAATATAGCTGGATTTGAGTTTTGTTTCATTTGCACATGTCTGATAAAGTCTTTATTTGTGCTCTGTTCCACCTTAAGATGACCTCGAGCGGTAGTTTTAGCAGCTCACTTTTACCTTTAGTTCAGTTGAGCGTGGCAATTCCAGGGCTGTAATTATCCAAATGAAATAGCGAAGGTGTTTAGTTGTATTGTTGTTGTAAAAGTTGTTTCTTTTTGAGAGAGGAACCTAGAAGAATGTAGAGTTTGTGTGTTAAACGTGTGAATGAAACAAAATACAACTGCAGGTGTGTTTTAGATGAGAAAACAACATTATCATATTTATCACATAGATCAGAAAATGTCATAACAATTCCCAAATACTATTTTCACTTCTTAATGTTTCTTTTAGGTCCAGTGCATGTCCACAACCCGGGCACAGTTATCTTCAGTCTTCTTGGCGACATCTCAGGACAGATCGGAGAAACAAAAGAGGGGAAGCTGAAAGTGAGGCAGCCTAGCGGAGATGAAGAGTACTGCACCGTGTGTCAGCCCACCCCCTCTCCCACCCTGCCCCTGTCAGAGGAGGAGCACCCTGGGGAGTTCAGCAGCACCTTCTTCCCCTCTCAGGAGCAGGGCAAAGACAGTCACGTGTCTATGGAGGAGCAGCCATGACATTGTTAACTGGGATCAACTGGGATACACACTGGTGAATCTCCCTGAGTTCAGATGGATGTGACTGACAGGTGGATCAGCCAATCAGGGACATGCAAGGCCCATCCGTATCAAAACAAATGTGGCAGCTTAAGTGGGGAAAAAAGAAAGGAAGAAAATACGACAGTGGACTGAAAAACATCATGGATTTCTGCACAATCAATGAGTGAAGCACTAAGCTCTGTTCATCTGAGGTGAGAGAAGTTTGATTTTGTTCAAATGATGCGTGACCAGTGAGCGTCGCTGAAATAAACAGTTGTGATTGCAAGGTTGCGTTGGAGCCTGGCTTGATATGCAGATGGGGTGTGGCCTAAACTGGTATCCCTTTGTAAACACATACAGAGAGATCATTGTGGACTGGCCAAGCAAATGACCCTCAATGATCTATAGAGAATAAAACCTACACAATGTGAGAGTGGACTGGACAAGGCTTGAATGAAAAACAGGAATCCCGTTTTCTTTGTTTGTTACGGGCCAAATGCTACTGTGATCATGTAAACGAACAGTGACAACAGTGAAAGTGCTACACGTTCATTTTAAAATGGACCTATTATGCAAATGTTATAGTTGTTTCCCCTCAATATTCACTCACCCACCGTCGTTGGGTGATTTGTGCATGTGTGAGCAACGTTTACTCGGTTATTTTCAAGACTTTTTGCGCCCCTCAGCTCCTACGTTCACCGTGAGGAGGATTAGTTGTCTGCAAAAATATGAAAATATCGATATATCGTATCGTTAATGTGATGAGAGAGTATCCATATCATGGGCTGCTGTATCAATATATTGCAAAGAGTATTTTCTGGTATATTTTACTAAATTATTTTGTTACAGCGCTACAGTTTTCTTGCTTGTTCAGAGGAAGGAAACTCATTTATGTGAAACATTTAACATTTTCACACTTTTGATTATTAAAATGTGTGTGTTTTATATTCACTTTACACAAGAAATGGTTTAACAAAGACTTTTAGTGTCACAGCCATGATTTAGCCTTTATTTTTACTGAACCGAATTGAATCGTTTTGAAATATATCGTACTGAATCGATAGTGCACTGTATCGAGATATGTATTGTATCGTAGTCTATGTATTGAAGTATGTATCGTATCGGCAACTTCTTAATGATTCCCAGCCCTATGGAGCTGATCTGCAGCTGTCCACAGGAGGTGCCCACATCTCTACAGCTCTTTGTTGTGATGACATTTACAGCAACGTCACAGCTCATTGGGCACCACAGTTTTTTAACTTGGAAATCAGGGGACTTGTTTCTTTCATGAAGTTGTTTTAGATCAGGGGTGTCAAACTCAAATTCACAGAGGGCCAAAATTCAAAACTGGGACTAAGTCGTGGGCTAAACTAAGTATTTATTGAACATTTTCAACAACATCTGCATGTTTTCTCTTCTTAATGTTAAACCTTTTGTTATTAAAATAAATGTTTAATAATAGTTTTGCTTAAACACTGAATCCAGAACAAGCAAAATATAAAATAATAGCAACATTTTAAATAAATAGTCTATCTGTACAAGGTGGGCCAGCTCTAATACATGTTTAATATGATCTCACGTGCCAAATATAATTATATCACGGGCCAAATTTGGCCCCCGGGCCTGAGTTTGACCTGCCAGTTTTAGATGAATATTGTGACTGAAAATGTTCAAATTGTAACATGATCCACAGGTGTCATAGATTTTAACTACAACACAAGCACAACACGTCTTGTTTAAAGGTGCTCTATGTAACTTTTTAGTAAGTGTCTGCCACCTTTTTTCTCCATGATGATTTTTCTTTGCCTGGAATGTTCCACAGTATGGCATTAAATTATGTATCTTGCATTTATTCAGTTACAGGTGTTTAAAAAAATTAAAACTCTAAAAATGTGTATTCTTACGGTGAAGGGTCAAAGTGTCCAAGTAATTTCCCCTGTGGATCAATAAAGTCTGTCGAAGTCTAAGTCGTTTCTCCACAGATCTGACCTGGTGGCATCACTTGCTTGTTACAACGGAGATGGATAATTTAATGCCATATTATGGAACATTGCAGGCAAACCAATAACAGCTCAGTAGAGCATCTGAAAATATTTAAAACTTGTGTTCAAGAGAAGTGCATAAATACTGCAAAAAAAGTATTGTTTTAAGTGTGGATATCAGAATAAAAAGTGTATTTACTGTATGTCTGAAAATCACTTTGACCTACAGAACATTTTACAGGATACAATTAGGTCATGAACTTCCAATCCATGGATTTCAAGTGATGAAAATGTACGACTGTTGCCATAGCAATAAGCAATACAAAACTGAATGATCAAAAGTTCTCAAATCTATTCATATTCATATTCATAAAACCCACAAATTGATTCTTATCTCAAATTCTGATAGGTACAGTTGTAGTTTTATTAAATGTACAATTCTGTAAGTCTGTTTAACATCCATACTTGAGGCTCAGTCTTTATATACAAAAGTAAATTCATGTATAGTGTACCACACATACCATATTACACCATAGTGCAAACCAACACTTGCTTCACTCTTATCTGAGGTACCGTTTCTCCTTCCTCTCAGGAAACTGCACTTTAGTTCAGATACAGCTCCGGTTTTCAAAGTAATTTTAGATACGTATTATCAGGTCTCTTATCTCTGCTTTTTGAGTCATGGTTTAGTTTTGTCTCACACTTCGATGGGCTGGTCAAATTTGCTGAACATTTCCTGGACGGGTGTACTGGCTTCTTCATCCTCCTCCTCTTCTTCATCATGCATGAACACTGTGGCTGGCACTGACAAGTTTTTTTTGCAGTACTCTGAGCATTAAAACAGAAGAGCAAACCGTTAAATGGTAACTTTATGCCTTCACATGATTCTATCATTCAGCCTCTAACAATAAGCCAGGTCAAAACATCTGCATTTTACAAGACAAATTTTACCCAAGAATTTTGACCTGCCCTCCAGCTCTGTGTTATTGAAAGGCCCAATACTGCACAAAATTGACTCTTGTGAGATTTAAGCCATGTTGTTACCTCCTCAAAAACTTGCTTGCAGTTGTGTTACACACATGTTTGAGTAATTTGTAATTCATCTGTCTACCTCTCCAAAGCTCAAAAAGCTCTGTCCCACCTTGTGATGTCATATTGTGGTACCCATAGCAAAGCAAAATTAAAGATGAGATCTCATTTATGTTACATTTACATCTCCTTGATATAAATGAGCACTAATCGAGACCAAAGTGGTTTTCTCATTCTTCTCAAATATCTCTCCTGAGAAATAAGTCTCACAGTGAGCTTTGTATGAGTTCTCTAAATTCTCTCACAGCTGTCTCTATTCTTGATCTCAACTAAGAGAAAAATATATTGCGCTGTCTCAATTTGAGATCCTTACTTGGAAGATCTTACTTAGAAGCTCAAATGAATCTCAAGAAATGAGACTGAACAGTAGACAAGCAACACATCGTTTCCTATGGGCAGTTTTCAAGTTAACCTTTTTTAGTTTAGCAGAGATTGGCAATTCCAGGTCTGAAATGATCCAAATGATTCTAGTAAAGGTATGTGGAGTTTAAAAACACAGTGGAGCACTTGCTGTATCACCACATAACATCACAAAGAGGAACGAAAGAGTGTTTTCTGTTTGAGAGAAAACTAAATATACAAGGTTTATGTATTAATCATGTGTGTGTAAAACAAAACACAACACTCCGGATATGTTTGTGATGAGGAAACAACATTATTAACATGATATGGATCAGAACATCATAATATAAGCTCTTTAAACACTCTAAGAATATCATATGAAGCCAACAATGACGTAAAACACAGTAAAGCGATTCTGATGAAGTCTACATACGTTTGCTGTGTGAGAACCAGTTGAGCAGAGGTTTGCTCTTTGTCACAATCCCCAGAATGATAGCAAAACACAACAGACAGATGATAATCGTGAACCAAACCGTATCTGCAACGACAAAACCACATAAGCACTCACTCACGGCTGGGTTACTTAGCTATAAAAAAAAGGATTCATGTACTCTGAATACCTTGGATAGGTTTTGTAGGGACCACTGCAAAAGAAAATAAATTATGAATCAGTTATTTGCTTTGGCTTGTTAATCTTTTCTGCTTCATTTGCAGAATAATACCATACCTGTAGTTCTGCGGAGGATGGTGGATGGCGTTGTTGTGGATGTTGACTTTATACAATCTGTGCACGTGCTGTCTCTGCATTTAAATCCCGCTTTGCACTTGCAGGATGTGTCATGAGTGCTGTTACACGGAGAATCCAGTTCCATGTTATCTGCAATGCAAAATATGCGAAATAGTTAGACTCCATCTTTGAATGTTTGTCCAGGTTTATGGTTAAAAGTTTCTGATCTATGTAACTAGAAAAGCACTCAGAGAGCGCAGACCTCCGCCAAGGACTACCCCCATTTTTTTATATAAATTGTGATAAAATCAGTCTTCTGGATCAGATCCGGATCAGCCTTTGCAATATGAAAGAGAATCTCATTGTCCATCCCTGAGTCAAATTTCATGGGGTTTGGTCAATAATTAACCGAGATATTGAGAAACAAATTTTTGGCCCCATTTACCACAATGTTAACTAAAATTTCAAAGTGATCCAGAATCCAGGAATTTCTTCCGGATCACCCCCAAAATGAAATCAGTTCTTTCTTTTCACATTTCCAACAAATCCTGAAAATTTCATCAAAATCGGTCCATAACTTTTTGAGTTATGTTGCTAACAGACAAACAAACAAACAAACAGACAAACGCCGGCAAAAACATAACCTCCTTGGCGGAGGTAATGAAGTTTCCTCATCAAAAAGCACAGCTGGAGTTTTGTTTAGTATCATTCACACATGTTTAGCACACAAATCCTGCATATTTAGGTTGTTAGATTAGGTTTAGGTTAATATTTAGTTCTTCTCTAAAACAGACAACACCGGTAAAACAGGAGGTGCTCCACTGTGTTTTTAAGCTCCATAGACCTTTTTCACAACAGTCGTAAGTGCTGTGATTCCGGTTAATGCTTTTCTATGGCAAAATGTCTGTGGAAATGTCTTGCGTATTTTCCACCAGCTTCATAAATCTGCCCCATCACCAAATCTTCGTCCAACAAGGTCGACAAAGGATAAACATTCTCCCATGAAGAATTTATCCACAACTATCAAGGTATGAAAGACGAAAACGTAAAAGGCAAACAAGCATTAGTGAACTACTCCTGAGCAAAACTAACATTATGGTCATGAATAAAACATAAGTAATTTGTGAACTCGGACTGATTCTACAATTAAAATTTAAAATCTTTTTCATGATGTAGATATTCACAGATTACATGTCTCGCTTTTAAACTGCACAAATCTCGCTGTCTGTGCTAATATCTACATCATGAAATCGATTTTTTAAATTTAAATCCTAGAATCAGTCTGAGTTAAGTTACTTATTAGGGCTGTAACGATATCCAAGTCTCACAATATGATATCGTCAAGCTATGAACCTCACAGTACGATATTTATTGCGATATCATGGGAAAGCTCACGATATGATGGGGAGGCTTACAATTAGGGATGTAACGATATCCAAATCTCTCGGTATGATATTTTCACGATATACATCTCACAGTACGATATTTATTGCAATATTTTGTGAAGGCTTACAAACAAAACTGTTAATATGCTACTTTTTCCTCTTAAAAAGCCTTGACAAGACTTAATCCAAAGAACTAAGACTTAAAAGTGCTTAGAACTGTTATTTCTTCTTGTAGTCTACATTGAAATGGAGCAAAGAATCATGGTCTATGTAGTTCCCTCTGTCTGTTTTTTAGCTATTGCTGCACCATAACTCTTAATTTAAGAATAGAGACTTGTAATTCGATATATTGTGATGGTCCATGATATTATTGTGAGAACTTTGACGATACAATATCATCATTTCAGACTTGGAACTGCCAATTTCTGCTCAACTAAAGGTAAAAGGAGCTGTTAACTTGAAAACTAGCTTCATGACATCACAAGGTGGAACAGATCAATTGGGATGTAGTCAGAGTTCAGTGTTTTTAAGGTGATAACAGCATTATAACATCGCTGAAATGCCCATTAATACTTCAGTAAGTACTAATAATGCCTTGGATTTATATCTCACCTTTCAAGACACTCAAAGCATGTTACAGTACATTATTAATTCACTCCATACTTTGTGGTAATATACTGTTGTAACCACAGCTGCCCTGGGGTCGATTGACACTGACACTGAGGCTGCCACTCTGCGCTATAATAATGTTCTCAAGACCGCACTAATCGAGACCAAGATCAGACCGAGACCACAGGGTTCTGAAACCAAGAAAAGACCTCTGAGGGTCGAGACCGAGACAAGACCGAGACTTTTAAAGATCGAGACCAAGACAAGACAGAGACCATGGCCCATCGAGATCAAATCAAGACCATCTTTGTCATTTTCTAAATTTATTTGCATTTTACAGTTATTCTGGCACATATATCAATGTTTTTATAGATCGATTCTCATTTGATCTGATTAATGTTCATTTAGGCATAAAATAAGCCAAGCAAACTGTATTACACTGAAAAACCCCTTCTTTAAGAGAATTTCCACTGGCACTTTACAGAAAACTGTGAAGAAAGTGAAGAAAGTGCATAGGATTTTTAAACCTGTTTTTTTTTAAGTGTCTAATTGAAGTTACATTCTCTTACTGGTTTTGCAGTGATATTTTAGCCAGGCTGGCACCACCTAGTACCTCCACTCAATTTCCTTTCTCTCCAGCGACTAGGTCAGGAATAGGAATACACTAGAACTAGATGGTTTGCAAGGACCTTGGAAGTGCACTTTCGGTCACCAGCCAATCAGCGAAGAGCCATATATTCTGTGTTGTCAACGATTCCCGAGATCGAGGATTTAAAGCCAAAATAAAGAGAATGTTTGGTGAATTTTACAAGGGTAAAGACGTTATTGCCCTTCTTCCTTTGGGAAAAACTTAATATACCAGATAACCCTGTTAGCGGCACATTACACACATCACGACCAAACAGCAGCGACTGGTAAATTAAAAAAGTACCTGCTTACCGTCGAGCAAATTAATTCTAACACTGTGAGGTCAGATGGTTTCTATGAAGTGAAACCGGCTAATGAATCAGGTTAGTGATATTTATCAGCCTCTGCACATTTACCAAACGCACATCATGACAAATACAGATGCATTTGTGCACTTTTATTAGGGAAACTTCAACCACATGTCGCGGTAAGAGGTTAATTGTCAGCTGTAATGAAATATGAATGCACTCGTCGAGCATCAGACCTCGAGACAAGACAAGACCAAGTCCAAGCGCCTTCAAGACCGAGACAAGACCACGTCCAAATATGCTCAAGTCCGAGATGAGACCAGATCATAAAAAAACTTCAGACCAGTCTGAACACTTACGCTATCACACATCCTGTTCATAATGGGCAATGTGGGTGAAGAGTCTTGCCTAAGGACACAGCAGCAGCTTTCACTAAACACATCCTTTTCACACATGCTATTTTGTCACTATCAATACTTTGCAGTAGGTGACATCAACATTCCCCGGGGGTGTGAAGCTAAATGTAAACACTACACTGTTTGAAACTCTCTGTTACTCAAATATGACTTTACCCTGAGCTTTATTTTAACACAATCTAATCATAAAGAACTGACTTAGCTGGAAGAGCAACACGTGAGCTGATCTGTGCGATTAAAATCTAAAGAAATTACAGTCACAAGAAAGATTTCCAGTCACAAGATAGATTTACAGTATTTTCACCATTTTAAACCATGAAGACTTGTATTGATGTGAGATTTCAGATTGTCTAATAACCTATATGGATTGTGTCTCCATGGTAACTGCTGAACATTTCGTTATATAGACATGCATGTAGAACCACACAGGCAGAAAAACATCAACAAAATCAATATAGGGGAATTCCACAATCACACAAGCTTTAAAGTTGACAGTTGATAAGATTGCATAAGTACACAACGTCCCTTGACTTGGTGCGTCAGTCCATGGAGATGTAAGTTTAATGCCACATTGTGCAACATTCCAGTCAAAAGATAATGGAGAGATGCAGATACAGACCCTCCAGCGCAACAGATGTCACGCAAAATTAGGTTCAACATGTTTCAAAATGTCTGTCTTTCTATTTTATTCAGTTTAAAAATAGTGCCCCACCCTTATTTAACAGGCTATAGGCTCAGGGCGTTTTTGACACTTCTCATTAAGAGCTGACTATTTCACTTAAGAGCATGATTCAGAATCTACTCGAATGAGTCAATGAATGGGCTCAGCCGGTAAAAAGCTGGTTCTAGTTTCCCCTTGAGAGACAGTAAATAAAAAGGTATGACAGTGCTGTCTGAGCAGCTGTGACTGCTCTGCAAAGAAAGGGTTTTCACTTTGAGACATATTTGCAATTCTAACGCAGACAGCTTCAAAATGTGAACTTAAAGAGGAGCAATTTCACTTTAATTTTACACATAACATATCTTTCATTTTTATGTTGATACTTTGCAGTGATATCATGCTGAGAATGTCAAAAAAAAGTTTAGAGATTGTCTGAAAACTCAAGAAAAAAACGCAAAAGTACTGTAGTGTAGTGTTGTTTTTATCATGCTTTTTTATATTTATGGAAAATTTCTGTGCAGGGACATTGGTGACGTTGGCTTGTGGGCTGAGTATTAAACAGAATCGCTAACCATAAGGTGGGCTTGAATACTGCCCCGAAGAAACTGTTAGATTACTCGAACTTCAACAAAACCTCTTCAGACATGTTTTGATGAAGGAACATTTACAACATGGTAGAAATTTCATGTCCAAAAAGTCAACTTTACACAATCCCCCCTCTGTAACACTGTAAATCTGTATTATTAAAGCAGTTTTGAGTATTTTGGTCTTTTTTCTGTTGTGGTTTTGAGTCGGATGTGCGGGGGCCTCTGATCATGACTCCAGGTGTACAGAGCTATAGGTTTAAATAGGACAGACAGTCTTTGGGTTTGTGCTGCTGTAAAGAACATCAAACACTTGAGACAAGCACAGCGTTGCTTATGTGACATTTCTAAATGTTAAACTCAAAAACATGTTATTTCCATCGTGTGCAGCTCATTAATTGTGGTTTCCTCTGTAAATGTAATAGACGCGGGGCTACACGTACTGCGTAAATTTTCTATTGCTCTAACTTTTCTCACAAGTACAATCGCAGAAATTAATAATACTTCTTAATAACTGACTTTCTGAGTATCACCAGATCTAAATCAGGACTAAACCTAGGGGCTGGTCCAAAAAAAGACAGATTTCATGACATACGCTTCTGGAGAAGTTGATCTAAAACACAATGTAGTAGATTTTTTTCTGTTTAAAAATGTGAAAAACAGAACCAGTCCATTTTAAACAGTTAGCAATGGTCCAATGTTATTCCTCAGATAACTTTTGCATTCAGAGCATCATAATTATTCATGTTGATTAGTTTTGAAGTGCTTTTCACAACTTTGTTAGGAGAGAATGGTGTTTTTCTATCACAGTAAACCTAACAACACCATGCTAACTGTGCGCTTGTTGATTCTCTGACAAAAAACCCCTTTATAATTAGATGCAGACACACAAAGTTGGCTTATTCTGACCTGCTTATAACTTATCTGTACCAGGACAAGACATATTTGAACCTAATGGGACTATTATCTTGCTTGAGCACAGATATGTATGTAAATAAACAACTCTTAAAGGGACACTTCGGAATTTTGGACACAGGACGTCATTTCCTAGTGAGCCAGAGTGTTGGAGACGTGTGGAGACACTTTTTAAAATATTCCGTCCAGTCCTTGTATTTGCAGAGGTCGCTGGTGTTAGGCTAGTGCTAGGGCACGGCCATAGTTATCCTGCCACTAAAAACAGTCTTACCCACTCCACAAAACACCCGAACCAAATCTATTATTACGCCAGACTGTCGATGTGAATGTCTGTGTCGATATAATAATGTTTGAAATAAAACTAACCTTGCATTTGAAGGATTTATGTCTGAGCAACAGCAGTGAGTTGTACTTCCTAATAGAAAGTTTGGGAGCGGCGGACTGATATATGAGAAAATAGTCCCTCAACATGCGACGATTCATGCTATGCAAGGTTAGTTTTATTTCAAACGTTATTCTATCTGTGCCCAAATAATTAAATTGTGGATCAATAAAGTTTATCTAAGTCTAAGTCTAAGATGTTACTGCAAGTGTGTAGTTAGCATGCTAGTTGTTGTAAGCATTACCGTGAAAGTGAAAAGCACTTATAAACTCACAGAGGTGAATAATTAGGCTGCTCAGAGTGCATAAAGTAAGCGAGGATTAACTTTGGACCACTGCAAACAGCACTGAACTAGTTTCGTTTTCACATTTTTAAAACTGTAAAAATCTGCTACAGAGTCTTTAAGCAGTAGTGAAATTAAACTAACCCAAGAGCACAATCTACAATTGAATGTAACAAAGACAGATGACCATGAGTACCACCGGAGAAAGCCTGTGAACCACATGTTGTAAACCACTGCTCTAGTCTTTCTCTGACTATCTCCCACCATGAGAACATGAATGGGAAAGCCCCCTGAACTTCTGGTAAACTTGTCTGAAATGATTGACAGTTAGAAGACAGTTGGTAACCTGTGGCTCTTTTACTCTGATGAATCGATCGTTCGTGATTTGTGTTTTTATGATTCAAACAACAACAACATGCAGATTGTGATATCTGGAGATGTACGGTATTTCACAAGAACTACTGAATCAGATCTAGACTAAACAGCATTTGTATTTAGCATGCAAGATCAGAAATGCAATGGTTATTACTTGGAACATTTAATTACAAGAGCTGTTTTGCTAATCATAATAGCGGTTTCTTCAAAATGATGTGTCTTTGTGTTATGCTAAACTTGTAAACACACACACGTCGAGGCTATGTGCTTTTTGGGGACATTACATTGACCTACATTAACTTCCTGGTGATTGATCCTATCGTAACCATAACTACTACATGACGAACCTTAACCTAAACCCGAATAAACCTATCTTAACTCACATCTGTGCTTGGGTTTCAGCTTCCTACTATAAGCAACATAAATACAGTGTACTGTTATATAAATATCTATTTTTCGTTTATAAAGAAGCATTTTATGGAGCTAAATTATTCCCTGATTGTGGGAAAGTTGGACCTGCGTGGGTAGTGTTGTGTTTATTTGTAGTTATAAGTCTGTAACATGTCCTCTGTAAAGGACATTTTGGCGTTAAATCCATGTGAAGTTAACAACCTAACATAGTTTTTTTTTTTTTTTTTTTTTTTTTTTTTTTTAACATAGCGCAGCCACAAACTAACTCCTATTCAGTTTTTTTTTTTTTTTTATCCTGGACATGGGCAGCGGAATCTAATCCCCCTATTAAGAGTCTATCTCAAAACACTTAAAAGACTGACTGAAGACACAAATGAATGGGCCGAGTCTCAGGAGGATATAATATTTTGTATTAAGCTATTAATCGCTGTGACAACAGTTCTAATGTGTGATCATTCAGAAACCCATGGATACTTTAAATCATGTTGTTGATCGAATAATAAAAGACTTTACTCGTGTCTGGTTTTGTTGAGTTTATATAGATTTCCTAAGCTTGTAAAAGGACCAAACCAAGTCGACATCAGGATTAAACTAGGCTCAAACCAGGACCGTACCAGGACAAGTGGCAAGCCAATATATACACACAAACTTATATCTGCAGTTCAGTCCTACACTACCGGTCAAAAGTTTTAGAACACCCTAATTTATTGCAATTTAAGTCGTGCAAGTCCAATGAAGAGCTTGAAATGGTACAAACGTAAATACTGAACAGCCAGAGGTTAAAAAACAGATAAAAGATAAAAAACACAAGTTCAAGCTCTGCCAAAACGACCTCAGGAAAAAAGAACAAGATGGTAAAGCTTGAAAACATGGAGTGTCCAGCACAGTCTCCAGACTTAAACCCCATGGAGCTGGTTTGGAATGAACTGGACAGAAGAGTGAAAGCAAAGCAACCAACAAGTGCCACACATTTATGGGAACTTCTGCAACAGACTTCGGAAGAACTTGCTGAAGAATATTTGATTTCTGTTGTAAAAAGTACGAGCCACGAGTGTGTTCAGCTGTTATATCTGCCAAAGGAAAAAAAAATTGACAAAGTGTGGTGTTCTAAAACTTTTGATCGGTAGTGAATGTATGAATGAAGTTAATGAACGAGGACAAAGGTGCAGGTTGGCAATCACACTTCCGTCAGCTGTGGCTACAAGTACCGCTGAGTCTGAACAGTACGTGAATGAGGCAGGAAACAGTAATAGTACGAGTAAGATGACAGTAAGGCCTATTCATACAAGTAGTGCAGCGTTTCTCATAAAACCCTAGCTAAGACCGGGTGGAGACTCGTGTAGTGCCAAATGATATCTGCAGTACTTCTTATAATGCTAGTACTACATAAAAACAACAAAAGTTACACAGTTATCAGGTTATAATGCATGAAACACTTACCTGTCTCACAGTCGCTGCAGCGTTTACAAGAACTGGCTTGATATGTGTCTGCGTAGCGTCTTCCAGTGCAGTTAACACATTGGATATGACATGTGTTTTCGTCACGTTTTTCCATGTACGTTCCTGAATTTTCGTACAAAAATGGTTAAAATATCATCTCAGAAATGAATACAATCACAATGTTGCTTTGGATATTGACTAATTAAAGGTGGACAGTGTTATTTTTCTGGTTGAGGGTCAGCCACATGCTTGTTTCTGTGGAGATGTTTGCAGAATGTTCTGCAGTACTGGTGGTTTTCAGATTACAGATTGTGATGATATCAAACTCTCAGATGGAGGAGACAGTTTACCCCGTTGAACACACTGCGCTTTGTCACGAAATCTACAAAACGTAAATGCACAAATGTTGAACTTGATCATTTCTATTAGTGACTAGACCCAAGAACTCACTGTATTACAAGAAAAAGATGGATTACAACTATATTAACTATATTAAATTATATATGCCTATTATGTTATGGTGTCACCAGAAACCCAGCAATGACATTAAACATACACTACCAGTCAAAAGTTTTAGAACACCCTAATTCTTCCAGTTATTTATTGTAATTCAAGTCGTGCAAGTCCAATGAAGAGCTTGAAATGGTACAAAGGTAAGAACTGAACAGACAGAGGTTAAAAAAAATAAAGCTCAAGCTCAAGCTCTGCTAAAACTACCTCAGGAAAAAAGAACAAGATGATAAGCTTGAAAACCAGACTTAAACCCCATCGAGCTGGTTTGGGATGAACTGGACAGAAGAGTCAAAACCAAGAAACCTACAAGTGCCACACATTTATGGGAACTTCTGCAACAGACTTGGGAAGAACTTTCTGAAGAATATTTGATTTCTATTGTAAAAAGAATGCCGTGAGTGCACAGAAAAACAAAAATGTGGCTGTCAGAGGGAGCAGGTAGAGGGTGCTCTTGGAAAAAGGATCAAAACTTTAAACACAACGGAATCCAGGCACTCCAAAGAACTTAAAATTGCACAAGGAAAAATATAGTTATAAAAGGCCTTTATTTAGATGGTCAAAGTTCTGTTCAGCTGTTATATCTGCCAAAGGTGGACACTTTCATGAATCAAAAGTTTAGAATACCTTTTGGTCAAAAGTAAACAGTAAAAAACTGCAAAAAGGGTGGTGCTCTAAACTTTTGACCGTTAGTGTATCTACCTCCAGACATCGCTCATAGCAAGAATGCATGTTATTCAAGATATGAGATTGAGCAATAAAACATCTGGGAATGAATAAACACAAAATAGCTAAAGGGCCCAAATGACAGTGTTCTCTACTTTGTTTCTTCATCACAATCACACCTGGAGTTGAGTTTTGTTTCATTCACACATGTTTAACACGCAAACCCTGCATATTTAGGCTGAGCTCTTCTCTCAAACAGAAAAAATGTTAAACTCCAAACACCTTCACTGGAATCATTTGGATCATTTCATTGCTCATCTTTACTGAACAAAAAGTAAAAGGTGAAAACTTGAAAACTACAACTGGATTTGTAATATAGGACCTTTAAGTTTAATGTCATACTGTGAAACATTCCTACAATAACATCAATAAGAGACAAGGAACCAGCAAATGCAGAACCAGAAAAACTTGGATACTTGTGTAATCTTTATTAAGGAATATTTGGGGAAATTCCTGCTTTTCATAATGCCGTCTGAACATCATCATTGGGATAACGCAAGAGAATCATGTGTCTTAACCTGTGTCTGCTGCCTGCTTCATGTTATTGTTGTTGTTATGTTATTGATTTTCCTAGAATGCTCCCTACTATGACTTTCATTCATTCATTCATTCATTATGGGCGTTTCTTCTGTGAATAGGGGAGACTCTCCATAGGTCTGAACTGTAATGTAGCGTAGTGCTGTAACCTGCTTTTCTCCCTCATGATAGACAGGTTTAATCGATACTGTGGAACATTCAAGACAAAGCTATAACATTTCCATGGAGACAAGCAGGTGGCGGACTCTTTAAATACATTTTCACACATCTGACGGTTAATAAACACTGTAGCTTTAGGATTTGTTCAAATGAAATGTAAGGAAATCTCTCATTTACCTGGTTTACACATGTTGCAGCAGAACGTAGGGTTTTTACTCGGCCTTGAATATTGCGTTGAGTTGCATTGAAGACACCGGATGAGGTCGATGGATTGGAGAAGGAAGAACAGTGTCAAAGTAGTGAAGCAAAAGCCATTCATCTGTAAAACAAAAAACAAAAAAACATAACAGAGAGGTCGGATCAATGGAAGATTAACGGTGGGCTGCGTAACTTTTCTGATGAAGGATTTGCCACCTGCTTGTTTCCATGGAGATGTTATTGCTTTACTTATATTATTAAACTAATCTATAACTTAGAAGATAAGCAGATGGCACCCCCAAGTTAAGTTACAGGTCAGATCTATGGGAAAGCTACCCCTCTCACTGTAAAAAATAATGTTTTCTAATGTATTTTTGAGCAGTATAAACACATGTATTGAACTGTTGGACCATGTTTTTTATGCTGGACTGCCTTGTTAGATTATGTTTGTTAAGTTAGGTTAGGTAAGGTTGCTTTATTTGTACTCAGGTAAAATGGTTTTGCAGTTAAAGAGGCTAACTACAAACTATAGACAATAGAAACATATATAAATAGACAATATATAAACTAGAAACATGTATAAAACAGATTATAATAGTTTTACAGGGCTCTAGTGCAGAATGGTTCAACAAATAAGTCAAGAAAATCAACTTGGTATCAAAAGAAAACACATTTTAAAGAAGCAGAATAAAAGGTTTTCTCAATAATTCACTCAGTCAGTTTGAACTCTTACCTTGTGAAGCTGACACTTGGACACTGTGAGCAGAGACTGAAGTGTGTCAGCCCGTTATCTGTCATATGTCAAACGGTGACTCAAACTGAAAACCTTCATTTGCCCTTTGCCGATGTAAATGAGGTAAAACACAGTTCTCTGTCACTGCCCTGAGCTGAGCAGACCCTTGCTCTTCTGCACAAACCTTGGATTTTTTCCACTCAGCCAACCTCATTTCAAAGTAAACTCTTGGTTTATTTCCATGGCCAGTAAAAATCAACCCAATGACCCAATTTGTGTTGTTTTTTTTTCATGTTATAGATGTGTGCATTACAACACACTATGAGACATGTTCTTGTCAAAACCTGCAGATGTAAAATAGGATCAGATCACTCACATCAGATGAACTTAACTGTTAAAATGGCAGTTCAATTATATGATTTGAACTCCAGAAACCCAGAAAGGTACAGGTTAGATTTTTGGTGTGCATGCGTTATTGTTGACAAATCATCTACATCTTACTGTGTAGTTTTAGGGGGGCTTGACTTCAGTGGTTTATTATGGTATGTGTGAAGGAGTCAGAGTTCACGGAACTCTTTCACTGTGGCACACAAATGACTGTGCCTAAAAGGGCCTATGCAGTAAATTACTTCATTATAGGTTTCATTTTAAGATGTTTGACCGTAATTAGACGAAGGTTTAATCATAACATAGATGAGCAGTCGGTCGTTTTCATGGAACTATATTTAAGGCTAAATGTACACTGCCTGTAGTAAACTAGTAATTCCGCTTGAGCACGAGGGCTGCGGTCAGGGGCCTGTGCGTGACCGCGCGCGCAAACCCAACGTGTGTGCACGTGCACGTCCTGAGAGTCACAGTTTGGTTGTAGCGTTTCTCTGAGAGCCACTTGAACTCTGTGCTGGAGGATGTGGGTTTATGTGGGTTTTCTACGGAAGACTGTGTACGGCACAGCGACCTCTTCCGCAAGACACAGAAAAGCAGTTTTTCAATAATGTGATCTTAAAACACGGGGCCAATATGCACATTATTAGGTGCACTAAACACTAACCAGGCGCCATACTGAGGACTTTCGGCTCTTGTAGCTCGGGTCATTGTTTTTGGTTTGCGCGCGTATGGCATAAGTGCAGTTGTATCTCCTGCCCGGGCATTCCTTGCCATAGAGCATGAGTTGTTTTCCCTCCACAAGTATCTTCTTGCCAGACTTCATAATTCCTTGAAACAGCGACGTGACGCAGCTATTTCCCGTCTAGGCCCGCCCCGCGTTTGTCTGTAGCAAGGGGCAAAGCGCTGCTTCTCTGCTTTAACCAAGTAGCTCAATTTTTCATTTCCCCTGAAGTGGAGTTATCTGTGAAAATGGGGAGCAGGTGAAGGAACCCACCTGTCCGCGTGCCGTGCTCAGACTCAGGTAAGTGACGGTAAAGTGTCTGTGTCTCATTGTGGGAAAGAAGATTCATATCGGACTTGAGGCTGAGGAGTGGGCGTTCTGTGGTGCGAAACAAAACGAAACCAATGTAAAGTTAATGTAGTCATTAGGCGTTTTTCTTACACGCCATATGTAAAATCCCAGCTGATACAAACTCTTTACAGCTGTGTACGTGTCGTGTCTTTGTATGGTATGGGTGCTCTTCTCTGTGACAGTGGGGAAAGGGGAAAGCGACCGAACCAGTGGCGCAGACAGCGGAGTATTGTGCAATTGGAGCGCAGTGCTTTACAGTGCATGTGACAAGGGCCTGTAATAGACTCTGCATTAACACTGACTTTTATGGTGATTTTTATCCTGGTTATAGCCCATAAAATATCAACAATCGGTTTACATCTACTCATTTATTTTGCCAAAGCTCAAGCTCTCAAGCAACTTCAATGTGCACTATGTAACTTTTCTGGTAGGGGGCCCACATATGCTTGTCCCGATGGAGATGTTATTCTTTGCTGGAATGTTCCACAGTATTGCATTAAACCTATCTATCTTGCATTTATTCAGTTACAGAAGTTTTTATTGCTGAAAAAAATACCTTGAACACACTTTTTTCCTGTGAGTGGGGTCATGGAAACAGATGCGTTTAATGCCAGACTGCATAAAAGAATTACTTCTCCATAGAGACAATCAGGTGAAAAGTTACATGGTGCATCTTTAATATTATACAACATGTCATTCATATCATTCATTGCTCTGTTCATTGTGGTTTTGTTGATCTGGTGTCTAAATGTTTTGCAGGTTGCTCCTGATGGATTGAAGTGGACCATGGAAGTGCCGGGGAAGAACCGACATTTAATTATATCCATTCTGCTTCTCTTGGTGAGGAATTGACCCAGATACCCAAATAATCACATTTAGGATTTTCCCTAGTGTTGTCACGATACAAAAATTTCAAGCTTGATTTCGATACTAAGGAATAGACTCGATACTGATTCCGATACCACAGTCTTATTTAACACTTGTTGTTCTGATACAGCTCAAGATACAAACAGCTCATTCTAAACTATTCAGTAAAGGTTAAAGGTGCACTGTGTAACTTGTCCCGTGGAGGGTTCCGTCACCTGCTTGTCTCCATGGAGATGTGCCTACAATGTTCCGCAGTATGGCCATAATCTTCTGAATCTCCATGGCAACTTGCAAGCCAAATTACGGGTTAGATTTGTGGAGAGGCGACCCCACTCACAGTAAGAGTGGATGATTTTTTAACACCTGTAGTTGAAGAAATGCAAGACAGATTAATGTAATACCGTACTGTGGAACATTTAAACCAAAGCATTAACATGTCCATGGAGTGCAGGCCCTCTCCAGAAAAGTTACACAGTGCACCTTTAATTTCCCTCCTGTGAATGTGACTTGTTTCGATACTAGTTTTAATTACAATTAGAGTCAGATTTTTGATGATGATGAACAAAAAATATGAAATAGTTTAAAAATATAACTAGTAAAGAAACTAGCGCTATTACCCTTTAGCCGTAAATGCTGCGCGCCGCGGTAATTAATTATATGCGCAAATGTCATAATTCACACGTCTGTTCACAGCTCATTTACATATCAGTGCTGGTCCAGTAACAAATATACGGCCAATGCAGTCACTTTAGAACAGACCAATAGAAAACAGTCTGTTTATGTGCGGGAGCTACAGCAGCTAACCCATAACAAATGACCAAAACTAGCTTCAAAGTCGACATATTTCCAACACTCACCGCTCACACAGGCTCCTCCCACATCACAAGTCTGCACTAATGAATGTCCTTTTAATTCAGACTCAAACCGATTGTCCGTAAAAAGAATACAATCTCAATGTTTGGATCTGTGTCTGCGGATGTAAACAAACGCACGTGAGTGACGTGACTCTATGGTGTGTTCAGGGACAATACGGACACACGCACGGATAAATGACTCCGTAGATAAATACTGATGTGGAGCCACATATTAGGACATTTATCTGTCTGTAAATTGGATTAAATGAACAGAATGTAGAGAGTCTAAGATTTTTAACGACGTATCACATGCCCACGTGAAATATCGGCCCCTATCAGCAAGCATATCGGCCTATAGCCGATATGCCTCGAGGTGCCCATATCAGCCGATAATATCGGCCAACCGATATATCAGTCGGGCTCTAATTGATACCTGCTTAAATGAGTATCAAGTTCTGAATCTAGTTTTAGTATCGATCAATGTTTAATATTTTTGTTTGGCTACTGTCCCCTGATTGTGTTCACTTGTGTCTGTCCCCAGGTCCTGTCCATCCCTGCTGCTGTGAGCCAGTGCCAGAAGGAACTAGAGTTTAAAACAGATGACAATCTTTGCTGTGAAAAATGTCGTGCAGGTGTGTGGTCAAACTCCAACAAGGAGCTATCTCATCATTTGCATTTGGGATGAAAAATTTCACAAGATATTTTATTATTTTTAATCACAATTATAAATAATATTAAATTATAACAATTATTCATATTGAAATAATTTGGTCAAAGTTTTTTTAATGCAATAGATTTATATAGCGGCTTTCAAGATTCTACAAGCTAGCCACAGCTGCCCTAGGGCAGACTGACAGGAGCAAGGCTGTCAGTCTTTGCCATCAGCCTCTGACCAGCACCAACACTCACACACACCACCGTCATACTAGGCAAGGTGGGTGAAGTGTCTAAAGACACAGCAAAAGAATTTTGTCCGAGCTGTTGCTCCATGCACATTGTACATTTTAGGGTGCATTCCCGCTTGTTCTGATTTGAGCCCATTTTGGTCCTGGTTTAGATTTGGTCCAGGTTTAACCCTGGGTTTAGTCTTAGTTTATTCTCATGTTTGATGTGATATGTGTGCAAGTGTGACCACAGCCTTTAACACGTCCATGTGCAGTAATGTTTGCAAGCAAGCAAATGTCTGTATATAGCACCCTTCACACACAAGGAAGTCACACCTGCTTCACATCAAGAAGTTACAACACAGAACAAATAAAAATAACACACTATTACAATACAGTCAATACAACAATATGGTGGTCATAGCAGTCCCTAAAAGCAAATACAAATAATCTGAATTAACCAAGCTCTTTATGTCTTATTCACAGGTTATAAGCTTGTGGACCCCTGCCATGGGCCAAATGAGAGGACCACCTGTGCAGTCTGCCCCAGTGGACAGTTCATGGACAAACCAAACTACTCTCGTAACTGTCGCTCCTGCAGAATCTGCAAATGTAAGATTACATCACCAAGGTTATGTGACATCATCAAGCTAAAGAGCCTATAGTTTAAAGGGATTATATTAAACTATATTTAATTAAGATAACTAGAGTTGTGTTTTGTTTCTTTCACACATGTTTAACACACAAATGTTCTCTCAAATGGAAAACACACATTTTCACCTTGTGATGTCATGTGGTGCTCCATTGTATTTTTATGCTCCATACACCTTCACTAGAGTCATTTGGATGATTTCAACCCTAGAATTTCCAATCTATACTGAACCAAAAGTAAAAAATAGCTGTTAACTTCAAGACTATAGCTTCATGACATCACAAGGTGGAATAGAGCTTTTTGAGCATTGGAGATGTAGATCTTCAGTTTTGATATTCATGTTTTGCTATGTGGTATTCTCTTATCCACAGCACAGTTCTTTGAAATTGAAGTGTCAAAGTGTCAGAAGAACAAGGACACAGTGTGCCGCTGCATGGATGGATACTACAAATCCAACATAGACACCTACAAATACCAGTGCCTCGAGTGCCCAACCTGTAAAGAAAACGAACAAGAAACCAAGAAATGTAAGAATGACAAAAGCAATGCAAAAAGAAATATCTAGAAGTTACTTAAAGGAACTTTATGTAGCTTGTGCTCTCTGTTTTAAAAAGGTACTACAGTCACAATTTAATTGAACTGGTTTCATTCTCAGGATATAGACATCATGTACTGCAGCTACAGAAGCACAGTTGGATAACTGTTTATAGTGAGGATTCAGATTCAGATTAGAGAGAGGCATTTCAGGTTTAAACCAACTAGATTTTAGCCTTGAAACTGGCAACCCAAATGAGAGAGTCGTGAGAGAGTCTGCTTTCTGATTGGATAATCTTCTGGAGAACCAAAACACCAAATTATCATATAGACATGTTGTCTTGGCCATCATGCCCAAGGTTTTTGTACAATAAATCAGCATGACAATTGTTAACAGTAAAGGCTACAGTTTATTTGAACATGTTTATCTTATATCTGGGGACACAGATAGGTCATTTAAATCAAAATCTTACATATCGTTCCTTTAAGTTAAGTTCATCTCTTGGGTATTTTTTTTGCCTTATTCAGATTTGTTTTACATGATGCACATTAAGATGTTTCTGATCTTGTTTCTAAGATAAGACACTGCTAAAAATGTATTCAGTTGTATTTATACTTTCTTGTAGCTTACTAATAGCTGGCGCAACCTAGTGTCTCCGCTTAATTTCATTTCTCTCCAGCGACTAGGTCAGAAATTGGAATGCAATAGACGGTTTGCAAGAACTCTGGAAGTGTGAGTTTGGGCACCAGCCAATCAGCGAAGAGCCATACATTCTGTGTTTGCAACGATTCCCGAGATCGAGGATTTTAAGCTGGAACAAAGAGAATGTTTTATGAATTTTATCAAGGGGAAAGACGTTATTCTTCCTACGGGATTTGGGAAAAGCTTAATATACCAGTTAGCGGCGCATTACATACGTCACGACCAAACAGCAGCGATTGGTTAAATAAAAAAAGTACCTGCCTACCGTCGAGCGAACAAATCCTAACGCTGCGAAGTCAGACAGGTACTACGACGTGAAACTGGATGATGAATCAGTCTAGCCTACTGACTTGTTATAGAAGAAAAACTCATCAAAACAAATCATTTAATGTTTTCTATTGAGAATAAGGCATTTTGTTTGAAAATTTCCCAAATCTCATGTTTTTTCTTTGAAGTGTATCTGAGTTTTGGTTAGAGGCAGGCATAAAATTCTTAATTCATTTTGTTCACGTATTATTTGCAAAAATATTTAATTCAAGGATTCTGAATATTTATTTAGTGTGAGAGTAAATGTGCTGAAAAGTTGTTTATGAATTCAAATTTTGCATCAAGAAAACAAACTGACCCAAGATGTAAACAATGAATTTAGATTATGAATTGGAAATTTCTCAAATGCAGATTAATATTACAAACTGAAGTAATTTTAACCTTTTTCTGGCCTTTTTCTGTGTGTTTCAGGTACCCCCGACTCAAAAACTGAGTGTAAATGTAAAGACGGCTACTATAGAGAGAAGAACAAGTGTCTGCCCTGCACTGGGTAGGAAGCCTTTAGTCATGTTGCCTTATTTGGTTTAGTCTATTTTAGATACTCCATTGGGGAAGTGTGTTGGACAGCTTAACTTAATAATTCCATAACTGTCAGCAATAAAAAAGTGACACCTAATCCACTAAAAAATATGTTTTTTTATTCAAATAAAAAATCCTCGGCTTTGGATAATTATATGAAACATTTTAGCTTTAGTTCAGTTTTTTTTTAACCTGTGCTGACTCATTGCATTAGTTGGTTTCAGTTTCATTTTTTTCCCATTTCCTGAAAAAATGTTTTTGGTATGTGGACTAAACCACGTAGGATTATGCAAAAATGTGTACTGGTTAGACGTATGAAATTTTGAAGATAAATAATTGAGACTAAACTAACTTAATCACTCAACTACTCCAGCCAACCTATACATGTATGTTTTTACAGTGGTCAGTGTAGGATATGTAGTTAGAACACAAAGTTTCACCTCTCCTGTGCACTTCTGTTTATCTCTTCCTCTCACATTGTTCTGCTTCCTCCTTTAGTGATGAACATTTCCCTCTTTTTCACAGTTGTACCAAAGACTGCTTAGACCACTGCCCAAAAGAAGAGCTGTCCAGAGGTAATTTGAATGGGCCATACTTTTAAAAGCCTCTAAACCAAAACTCTGAATACTTTTCTGACTTAAAGCGCTTTGTGTTGCATTTTTTTGTATGAAAAGCTCTCTATAAATAAAGTTTGACTGATTATTTTCAGTCCAGTTAAAGGATTAAAGTATGTAAGATTTTGATTTCGATCTGTGTCCCCTAATACAGTATAAACATGTTCAAATCAAATTAAGTTTTATTCTTATCTATTAAAATGCTTTATTCTTAATTATAAAAACACTGGACATGATGTTCAATTTGTTTATACTATAATTTGTTGTTTTGGGCCTTAAGATGACTCTCCAATCAGAAAGCAGCTTGTCTCAGCCAGTTGAACAAGCTGAGCGCTGTTGGTTTTTACCCACTATTTTCCCATTTTTGTCATTGTTATTTTGTGTTTTAGTTATTTTAAATATGCTTTATTAAACCTTTACCTTGACCTTTGACCAGTTTCAGTCCTGAACTCCAGTTAGTTTAAACCCAAAAGTACTCTGATTTAAATAGTGTCTCCTAAACCCCAGTGCAGCCAAATCCTTAATCAGTGCTAGTGCAGGCTACTTACAGTTCCTTAAACGTCCTATATGTTGTAAAAGCTGTTTCCTCTCCAAAAACATACTCGAAGTTGTATTTTGTTTCATTAGGGTTAGGGTTATTATTAGTCTGTTTATACTTCCAAAGCTCAAAGTGCAGTAGTTTTCAAGTTAACATTTACCTTTTACCTTTTGATTATCACAGTGAAGGTGCGTGGGATTTAAAAACACAGTGGAGCACTTCCTGTATTAAAGTGTTTTCTGTTTTGAGAGGAGACCATGCCCTAAATATGCAAGATTTTTTGTGTTAAGTGTGTGAATGAAACAAAACACAACTCTAGGTGTGTTTTTGATGAGGAAACAACATTGTAACATAGATCAGAAATGGTGTAAAGTAGAAAGTACAGAGCTAAAATACTTTAAAGTAGAAGTAAATGAAATAAAAATAATGCTTCACACTTGTAGGGCCTTTTATGAGCTTGTCAATGAGTCATTCTCTCCATACAGACTGGTGGTTAGGTTCTTTCTTAAGCATTAACCAATCAGGAGGCTCTCTAAAACACCTCCACTGCTTTTTTATTTACCACACATATTATTATTAAATGATGTTGTAATGCAGCTCTAGAGCTCTGTGTTCAGAAGTAGCTGTACCACCAATGCATTATAATAGTTATTATTTAAGGTCAACTAATAATGTTCTTTTACAAGTGCTTTTTATATTGAAATTACTTTAAAGAAATACAAGGAAGTGTCTGGTCTGTTTCAGTGAAGTGTATTTTAAACCCTTTTTATAGACCTTGACAGTAAATGTTGATGAATATGCAATGCTAAAAGTCTCTGGCTAAATTAGCAGCCTACTATCTATCCACTGTGATCGTTATAATTAAAGGTAATCTATGTTTTCTTTCACAGTTATACCAGTGTCACATTCCTCTCTCATAAACGTGATCGCTGGAGTGAGTGTGGCCGTCATAGTCACATTGGTGCTGGTGGTTACTGTTACACACTTTGCTACAAAACGTCAAACTACGAGACAGCTGCTGTCCTCCTCTCAGTTCAGAGAGACTCCACAAACATTCGAGGTTTGATTTGGATTATTATTGGATCACGTTTTCTCCAATAGAAAACTGATGTTATGTTTTAACATCAGGCACTTCAATAACTTAAAGACAGTAAACTATTCAATTGCAGGTGTTTTATTGCACAAAGTACCTTGAAAAACACACATTCCTTCTGTAAACAAGGTCTCTTCTCCACAGATCTGACCTGTAACTTGGTCTAATCTTGTCTCCTTTGAGAGCTTATTGCATTGCTTGGTATGTTCCACAGTATTGCTTTAAATGTCTTGACCAAAAAGTTGATGCAACGATGCTTAGTTATAGGTCAGGTCTGTGGAGAGGCTTTTTTTTGTGTTTTTGAGAAATTTAAACATTTGTTATTGAATGCCATACCGTGGAAGATGCAATGTAAAGAAATAGCATGTCCATGGAAATGACTAAATGGGGTACCCTCGATCAGAAAAATTACACTGTGCACTCTGTTAAAAATCAATATTGGTCAGAAAATGTGATTTCCAAAAGCATTCACTCTTTTGTTTGTTCTTTGATTGACAGGAGCTTACAGTCCATTGTGACGAGCCTTTAACCCAGTGTCTTCAGTCTCAGGAGGTGCCCCTCAGTGTGATGAGCCTGGAGCAGTCTAACCTGCCCGACTGTGTCCCCCTGGAAGTAAAGAGTAAGACACTTCTCACGTGCTTTTAATGACAAAATGTGGATGCCCATAAACAAAGATGTAAGAAGTGATTGGTACCAGTTTAGGTGGTTTTCAGATTCTTGAGTTTGATGACGTTTTAACTATTGATTACCATATTTTTTTTGACTATAAGTCACTCTGGAGTATAAATCGCACCAGTCAAAAAATGCGTAATGAAGAAGAAAAAAACATATATAAGTCGAACTGGACTATAAGTTGCACTTTTTTGGATGAAATTTATTTTATAAAATCAGAGACCAGGAACCAACATTTCATCTTGAAAGGCAAGTTACAGTAATAGCAATAGAATAAAGAACAGGTCGAATAGGCGTCTTGTATGTTAGCGTCACATATGAACAGTTCTTCAGATAACTATAGCATAAACAACAGAACATGTTTACCAAACTCTCCATCTCACTCCAAATCACTAAATCCACTGAATAATTCTTCCTCTGTGTCACTTCTGAGCAACTCCATGACTTCCGGAGGTAAACAGAGTGCCTCTTATTTCTGTGTAGCTGTCGTCAGACTCAGCATCAGTTCTAGTTGATCCATCCAATGACTTCCAGGAAAGTTGCATGACGCACTCTCCCGGTTAGCATGAAGCTGTGTTGTTCATCCCCGGTTTCTGCCAGTCTCTCACAAGTTTCTTGCTCACTCCAAACTTTCTTTCTGCTGCTTGTTTACCATTTTGGGTTGAATAATTCACTACTTGCAGCAGGACAGAGGCTTTTTCTGCAGGAGACATGCACAGTAGAGTGAAGTGACAGTGGTACAGGAGTAATACGAGCAGCAGATACTGACACACAAGACTAGAGCGCCCTCTCGTGGCTGTCAGTGTGAAAATTTTAATATATTAACTTTATTAACGCTTTGGGGTATAAGTCGCAGGACCACCCAAACCATGAAAAAAAATGCGACTTATAGTCCGAAAAATATGGTACATGTGCTTTACCAGGAAATATCCAAAAGGTAAATTCATAAATGCTGAACCTGGTATTTTCAATTATTTACAAAACTTAAGAACTAATTTTGGCTACTCCCCATCTGTATCAAGTAATATTGGCCTATAGAAAGTTGTGATCATCTGAACCTCAGCCAAATGCAGTGGTTCAGTTGTAGATAACTGAGACAAACTGAGTTGATGTGATAGGCTGCTTCTGGGAGATTAGAAGTGTGGTCGAGGTGAGCTGTGGTTCGCTGGAGAGGAGAGGGAGGCTGAGGTTTGGTCCTGCTCCTGAATCTCACTCAATCATATTAACTTCACTTAAACCGCATATGACAGGACTCTCTAATTTTGACTTAATTTGGTGATAATGTGTGATAATACCTGTTGTAAATATATTAAATATTGAGTATCAATTATAGGTTTACACCAACCAAGAAGAATTTCTGAAGAAAAGTTAAAAAATATATTGAAAATTACAAAATTACAGGAAAAGAGAGCGTTCTAGTCCAATTTTTATTACAGACAATAACTTCTGTGTATATTAGAGAAGTTTTCATCTACTATGCATGGTTGCTCGGGAATTTCCCACCAAGAAGTAAAATCTGAAACCTAAAATTGGCCAAACTGGGTAAAAACACATAAGCAAAATCTTAAATATAATGATCTGAACTATGTTATAGTAAAATGTGTACTTCAGCCTGTCACAGGAAATGTGTAACAAATTGATTAATCATTTTCTATCACAGCACAATTGGCCCACTGGATTTAAGAATAGTTTTGATCTCTCCAGTAACAGGGCTAATGCAAAAAACAAAACAAAACAAAACAAAAAACACTTTAAGGAAGGCAGAGGCAGTTTTTTTCTATTTATGCAAGTCGTATTTTTAATTTTGCTGTGCTAATAGTGATTCATGTAGATGTTTTATTTCTTATGGTTGCTCCTATATGGTTTTTGAATTTATGTTTTTTTTTTATTATTTAAAACAACACAGATACATTTTATTGTATTCTGTGAAATATTATAGCCAAAGGAACAACGTTTCCGGGCCAAATAAGAGTCAAACAAACATGACATGCTTTTAGTACAGTCTGTTTGTTGGCCAAAAGTTACACGGTGGGGCTTTAATTATTTACACATTTCTACATTGTTTTTTTTCTGTATTTAATTTTAGTCTTTATTGCACCATATTATGAAGCAATGTTGAGTAATATTGACTGCATTTGTTTGTTATTATTGTTTGTTGCTATCTATTTTGTAATCTGTTATAATGGTTCCTCTTCGAAAACATACCTGGAGTTTTTTTGTTTTGTTTCATTCACACACGTTCGAAACACAAACCCTGCATATTTAGGCCGAGTTCTTCTTTCATACTGAAAACACACCGAAAACAAAATGCTCTGTTCTACCTTGTGACACCATGTGGTAATAGAGGAAATGCTCGACTGTGTAAACACAACTCTCTGTTTTTGTTACATATTTTTCCTTATTGATCATTATTTATTTTATTGATTATGGATTTATTAATTGTGTTGTTTGTGTGTGCAGTGGCAGAGCTGATCTACTCCGTGTTGGATCTCGTGCCCGTGCTGCAGATCAAACAGTTGGTGCGTTCTTTGGGGGTCAGCGACATTGTGATCGAGCGCGCCGAGCTGGACCACCGCTCGACAAAGGAGGCCCACTACCAGATGCTCAGGGCCTGGGCGGAGCAGCGCAGCGTCACCTGTCCGGGGGGTGGACAGGTGCTGCACCTGCCACGAATGCAAGAGCTGCTGGACAAACTGAGACTGATGCACCTGGAGCAGACGGCGCAGGAGCTCGAGACAAAGTTTAACCTTCCGTGAATTTTTCGACGCACTTCAACATGGAGCAACGTGACCAAAAAAACCTGCATTATGCTTTTTAAAGGTGCACTATGTCGCCACGGAGATGATATTGCATTGCTTAGAATGTTTCACAGTATGGCATTATCTATTTCTATGGACTCAGAGGAAAGCAGGTGATGCCATCAGACTGAGTTGTAGCTCAGATCTGTGGAGAATGTTTTTGTATATATTTTTGAGCTGTATAAACACCTAAATAAATGCAATATATGTAAATATAATGCCATATTGTGGAACAATTCAGGCAAAGCACAGCAATAACAAGGCGGACCTTTGACCAAAAAGGTTACTAGTGCAGCTTTAAATACTTTTGTGCACCTTACCCTTTGTATTTTTTAAATATTTTTTGTATATGAGAATGTAAAAGTCTATAGAGAAGTAATACTGCCATAACCACAGTACATGTCAGACAATTACTGCGCCCTCTGCTGGCTGACAACGACATGGGCTTTAAAGCAGCTTTAAAGAGGCACACATAAATGATCAGAACATGTAAGGAATGGACTTTAAAAACATGGAGGAGCACTTCTTGGCAGGGATTGCTCAAACATGCATGCATTAATGAGACAAAATACAACTCCAGTTCCAAGTTTTTTTTTTGTTTTTTTTGTGAGAATATTATTTTAACATGACTGAAAGCAAAGACAGGTCAGGATAATATTCAACAAATAAGCCAAGTACTGTTTAAAAAGCTGTTTTATTGTACACAACCAACATTCTCATGCAGTAATCCTAGGAGTTAAATAGGACAAGATGAGGACACGTTGCACTGTTTTGCTGTTTTCCTTAGATGCAAAGAACTGTTACTGTTGAAAATAGATTATATATTTTGTAAGTTAGGTGCGGGATTGGTATTGGAGTGGGTTCACTTGGTCCGGGTTTAGTCCTGGTCTGGTCTTGGTTTAATTTCAGGTTTTGTTCCAGTTTCAGTGTGGTGCGTGTGACTGTGGCCTTAACGTAATTTGTGCACAAGTGAACCAAGATGTGAAACTAACTGCATCATGGGTTTTGACTTCCTGTTTATAGGTGCCATTCTGAACACTTTTCACCTTTCAGAAGATGCAATATTTAGTTTTGAATCGTTTATTGCCATGCCAACGGTGCTAATTTTTCTGAAACCAAGGATATATTAACAAAGCATATTATTATCCAGAAACAATTCAATATTTTGGATGGACTGATTGCTTCTCTGTATAATCCAGCTGTGTGCTCAAACTCGGACACTGTTCCTCACTCGTTCCTCCTATCGCTCGGCCTCTTTCTTTCACGATGAGTGCGTGATTGACAGGTGGATTTAACCAATCACAGTGAAGTGAAGCAAGGACACTACTTCAGCGACCTCTTATAGTCAATATAAACTCAGGATTTCAACATTATGCTTTTAAAGGATTATATATTTTGAAACTCTCCTGTGCAATTGTGATGTATTTTTACTGACTGCTGTAAAATAACTGGGTTTTGTAGTCCTCTTTGACATTTAAAATCCCTCTCTTTAGGATTTCCAGAGTCTAATTTGCATTCCTTTAAGCCCCATCATCTCAGCATTACACATATGACAGACAAAAACAGCAGGACACACCTATTTTCGTCTCTGCCAGGAACTTAAGACCAGTCTCGGCATGTTAGTGAATCACACACAGTCAAGCACAAACCATTTTTATCGCTTTTATAATTGCTCAGTGTTAATAAGTGTTGTATTGTAATCCTACTGTAACAGAGACATGTATTCCACCAGCAAAGATCAATTTTATATTTGGTGATTTTTTAAAAAAAATAAATATATTGTTATTATTACATAAGTTTCTATATTGTGGTATTAATTCTGTCTACTCACTGTATATGAAATTGTAAATCTTTCTGTACATGCTTAGAAATTGTTGACAGCTTGGCAAGGGTATGAGACTAATGAGCTTTTTATGATTTTAGTGTGACATAAACGGGCTTGAAGAACCACATTCCACCTAATCATCACGTTCATTAAACATTGAGAATATATTTACTCTTGTCTATATAATTTCCTCCTTGCAAAGTGACCCAAATGGCCTGCGCTGTACCAGCTGAGGAATGCAACAGAGTATAAAAGTAAAAGTATAATTACAGTAATAGGTATCTGCTTCACTTTACTTTTTAAATACATTTTGCAGTGCATACTTTTTACTTTTACTTCACTAATTTTGAGAGGATGCATCTGTACTTTCTATTTCACAACATTTTAGATCTGGACTTTTCTTAATAGTTTTTAGACCTGCTGAAATGGCTGAGACTTATGTGACTTTTTAGCACATTTAATTTGAGTTAACATCACAAATTTGAGCAAATCAAATGCACAAATGGACAAAAACAGCTTGGAAAAATTAAGAAATTGATCGAATCCCTTAACGTCAGCATTAAAAAAAAATGTGGATCACTGCTTTTTAAAACATCTCTGCAAAACAGTTTCTTTTTACACTTAAAGTACATTTTTAAACAGGTACTTTAATAGTTTTACTCAAGTAGATTTGTCCTTGAGTAATCTTTTGCAGCTGTATTTGTACTTTTACTCAAGTAACAAAACTGAGTACTTCATCCTGTAATCTTTGATAAGAAAGGGGTTTTCCTTTTTGTGCATTGATTGTAATTCTAAATTTCAGATAACAATTTCCTAAAAAACATTCATGTTTAATTGACATGAAACAGGCGTATGTTACTGTTAATATGCAAATGCTGTAGGGAAGTTGAACACATGCAGTAATTTAACATGCTACAAGCAAAAATGATTAAATATTTCAGTTTTTTTTACTTTAGGATAATTCATAAATAGGTTACATAGAGCCTACAATACATACTCTCTCCAAACAATGTCATTTTAAAACAATATATTTTGTGTTTACTGCTTTATTTTAAATGTCATTCAATCCACCTCTTCCTTCTCTTGTAAACTGGGAACCCCATTTCTTCCTATTTAGACACAAATAGGACTAAAAAAAATCTCCAAAACCTTCTACTTCCTGTTTAAGAATGGGACCAGGTTATGTAAATCTGAAAACCACTTCACTTTGAAACAATATTTGCTGAGTAGTCTATTTTTGAACGCCATTCAAAAGCACCTCTGGGCAACTGGGTAACCTGGGCCACTTTTTCCTGTTTGCCTAATCAATAATAATCCTGAGTAATGACGAACTGGAAAGAAAGCAGGCGAGAAATCTGTCAGCACCTCTCGCACCTCTAAGCATTTAACTAACAACGCATTATCCAACCACGCTGCGGCTCTTTCCCCGGCGGTACGCACTGATTTGAAGCCGGATCCGGTTGTTCCTGTCGGGCGGGTTGAGAGGAGTGGGCAGGGCGCAGGTGAAAGCGCGGAGAGGGCGGTACCGAGCGCAGCCACCCGGGCACCGAGAGCGACGCGCCAGGCTGGAGCAGGAGCTGGACCAGAAGAGAAACCAAAGATGATCGAGTGAAACAAAATGGATCCAAACAAGAACAGGTAAGAGACTTTTTTTTTTAATAGGTTTGATGAAAGTAAGAGTGAAATTACTAGAGAATTAAAGCTGGTTTTGTTGACTCCCTGTGCAAAAAGTGACGTCCCCACGCGTAAATTCTCTTCTGTTTACGTTTTAAAGCACTGATTGATTGACAAGACAAAACCAATCTAAGCTTAGTTTTTCATTTAAAAACGCTCCTAAAATCATTATCTTATTTTAATATAGTTTTAGTGTTAGTGACAGGACTTTTAGACTAACGTAACAATTGTATTTAGGCCAAATTAATTTCCAAATTATTCTAAAAAAGTAATGATTATTTTAATGATTATGCTACTGCATGTTTTATTGCTTATGAAAATACTTCTAGATTGATTAATACAATTTTATATGTACACAGTTAAAGAAATATTACTTTCTTTTGCCATGAGAAGTAGTTTATGTTGAAGCAGTGATTGATTTAGCCTATTAAAGACATTTAACCGTACCTTTTTTAAACACAAAATTTCATAAAATCATTAGCTAGATACATTTTTTTTCAGTAAGTATATATAGTTGGATTATTGCAAGTGAAAGGACATGTAAACATTGCTGCCTGTGCTGAAAACCATTGCACCAGTGCTTTGAAGTCTGCTGTCTCACTGTTGACAATGGGAAGTTGAACACTTAATCTTTTAACGCACAACATTTTTATTTTCCTATTGTTCCTGAATGTCGACCATTTTGAGCAGATATTTTCATTGAGACAGAGAAGCTCCCTGAGAAAAGCGCCGCATTCTTGGTGTAACTTTACTTATCTACATGTGTGAGAGGCCGCTGTCTGTCAGGTGATGTCAGGTGAAGGATGTGGAACAGAGATTTAAACATGTGAAACTCTCCGATCCTGTACAGAGGCGCTGCTTTCAGATGGGGGGCTGTAGGAAACATGAAGTGGGCTTAGTTAGGGTGTTTTTGAATAATGTTTGGCATTTTGACCCAGTATGTGTCACAAAACTTTATGTTTCAAACCGTAGACCGTAGTTATAATGATGCGTAAAGTATTTATTGCACAAAACTGACTCTTGTGAGCTTTAAGTCATGTTATAATGCTGGTACCTCTTCAAAAAACAAACAAAAACCTAGAGTTGTGTTTAGTTTCATTAACACGTGCTTGAGTAATCCTTTGTTTTTAATCCGTCTACATCTCCAAAACTCAAAATGCTCTGTTCGACCTCGTGGTATCATGTAGCAGAGGTGGGACCAAGTCGTTGTTTTGCAAGTCTCAAGTCTTTAACCTCAAGTCCGAGTCAAGTCCCAAGTCCTAATACATGCAAGTCCAAGTCAAGTCTCGAATCACTGGCGCATAAGTCCAAGTCAAGTCCAAGTCGTCTGCTTTGAGCTTCAAGTCATTTCAAGTCTTTAAACCAAAGTGCGAAATATAGCTTAGATTTTTGCAGTTTATTTGAATTTTAAATTAACTTGTACTTAAAATAATCATAGTTTATTTATATGTGAGTATGTATAGAGTATATAAGTGTTGTAGAAATGTATTTTTTTCCATTTTAAATGTCTTGACAAGATTTTAGAGTGAATCATTACGGTCAAAATAGAAACAATTCAGATTTAAAAGTGCTTCTCAAGTCTTCTCAAGTCACAAGCCTCAAGTCCGAGTCAAGTCCCAACTCAGTGACCTTCAAGTCCAAGTCGAGTCACAAGTCTTACTTCATTATATCAAGTCAAGTCTCAGGTCCTAAAAATGGAGGTTTAAGTTTGACCCGAGTCTCAGTTCACAACTTGTAAGTCCTCACCTCTGTCATGTAGTAATTGTTTTCAAGTTCCCTTTACATTTAGTTCAGTAAAAATGGGCAATTCCAGGAGTGTTTTCTGTTTCAGAGAAGTACTGAAACAAAACACAACTCCAGGTATGTTTGTGATGAAGGAATAACTTTATAAAAAAAAAAAAAAGAAATACTACAACTCTTATCAGCTACATCTAGCCTACACATTTTCTTCCGTGTTGATTCTTTTCTCATCGTTACTGAAACAGAAATCAGATTATGATCAAAAAAATAACACCAAGTTGTATTATCTGTTCTTCATTGACTTACTGTACGGCTGATGATTTTTCACTTTCCTTGAGATTATTATAATATGTATTGGCCCAAAGTATACATTCACGTGTGCGTTAAAGCAAAAGCAGAAGAAGAAGATGTTAAATGTGACGCAGGACAACCTGACTTAGATCTGTATGTATCGAAATGGTGAGGTCTCTTTAGTGGATAGGGAAGTAGCTCCTCAAGGAAATGTTTATTCAGTCTTTGTACAGATCTTTGGTGTGATTTTATGTGTAAACAAAGGCAGCAGCGGCTTAATGATTAGAGTGTGTGTAAATGGACCTCAAATTTTGGCAGTTCAAGTGATGACTACTGTATCTGAAAAGGTGCTGCAAAAACAAATGGGTTATTAGTATTTTCTAAGTTTGTGTAATACAATATACATAACTTAATGAGATAAAAACTTACATAGGTAGCTACACAGTAGATACATTTACATGGCCAGTTAAAATCTGATTACTACAATAGTCAGATAACTCAATAATTAGACGTTTTGTGTAAGGATGTAACAATAACCAAAATTTCATGATATCTTATTGTCAAAAGTCTCACAATAATATCGTGGACTTTCACAAAATATCGAATTACAAGTTCCTTTGCTTAAATGCATTGTTTTACAGCAGCAACGGCTTATAAACATAGGGAACTACATATCCCATGATTCATTTCAGCGCAGACAACATGAAGAAATATGTTTTTTACTTGAATTCTTGGGATTTTGATGGAAATAATTCTTTTCAACATTTTCTCAAGGTGTTTTAAAAGCAAAAAAGCGTCCTATCTACAATTATTTTAGTCTCTCCAAATTATCGCAATAAATATCGTACCGTGAGATGCATATCGTGATAATCTCGTACAGAGAGATTTAGGTATCGTAACATCCTTAGTGGTGTGTGTTTAATAAAATAAACCTGATGATTAAAAACACTTAGTCACACGTGTCAGTACAACAATGGATTTGTAGAGTAAAGTAAAAGTTGTATGTGGAAGACAAATGACAGTGAACTTTAACATAAAATGTACAGCTTTAACGCCTGCTCTTTTATTTTAGTCTTGCCACATTAGTTTGCCTTTTTTGCATAATTGTGCTTGTCAAAACCTGCACAGTGTGAACAGTGAACAGAAATAAATTTGATCACTCACATCAGATGTAATGCGATACATGACTTTTCAGATAATGATCAGATTTCTAGTATCCATGTAAACAGACTGAGTTCATTAGAAGAGTATTTATGCTACTAGACATGCCTGGAACCCAACAAACAGAAACAAGAGACGCACTCCTGTTTAAAAATGTTCAGCAGAGAAATCCAAGATCTGCCCAAGTACAAATAATTACCCCCCTCCTCTTCTCTTCTTCTTCTTAAGTGTATTACGTATCTTCATCCTTGTTGATAGTGAATGGAACTGCATGTACCCTGTGCTCTTACATCACTGAACTTTGCAGGAGCTTTAACCTGCAGCCAGAAGAAACAAACTAGATTTACCAATTTCTGAGTATATGCACTGATTAATGATTCTCTGCAGGTTCAGGCATTTAGTGATGATTCAGATCAGATCATTCAAAGTCATTTTAGGTTTAAACTAACTGGATTTGGGCGTTGAAACTGGTGCTTATTCTGCTTTGTGATTGGATAGACGTCTTGAGAACCAAAACAAAAATTATAGCATCAACGACTTGCTCATCATGTCCAGTGGTTTTATAACTAACTAATAATCTAACTTATAAATCAGCCTTACAGTTGTTAAAGTAAAAGTTAGGGCTGGGAAAAATCGAGAGACCGTGAAACTGTCTAATCGTCAAATCACCAATGATGTAGTCGGGGTTTGAATCAAAACGTCTTGAGACAATCTGCCAGTAAAAACATTTGGTTTGGAGCTGAGTTCAAACTCTGGAGGGAAAAAGTTAAGTGTTATATTGCACGGATTGAGAGATAGTATTGATTTCAAGACATTTTTATTTAGTTTTTGTAAAGATTAAAAAGTAAAACCTACATACAGTTCCTTAAATGTTGTATTGATGTGTGCTTTATCTTATCTCACGGTGGCCTGCTGTTCATTGTATTAGAGAAACCAGGAACACATTGTCTTTAACAATAAAGCTAGTTTCCTGATTTAAAACATGATAAACTTTTGTCCATCCTTTTGTTTAGTGTTAGAGATAGTTCCCATTTTTAGCTGTAAAAAGGGTATATTTTGGTATAGAGTTCAACAAAATAATCGCCAAAACACCACCAGACTGTGCTGAGAAAAGCTACTTATGCATCATTATTTTCACTTATAACAAAGTACAATATAATAGTTAATATTAACATTATAATAAGCCATAGTATTTTAAAACTCTCTGTAATTTTAATAAATATTGTAATATTATCATTCACAATCATTTTGACTATTAAATTTCAATAAAGGAGGGTTGATACTAAAATTTCAAACCCGATTTTGATACTAACGAAAATTTAGACTAATTTCTTTTATATTACTATGTGGTCTTATATTTGTGTGATCCTTCAGTGGTCCAGGTCAGTTCCTTAATGGTCCATGAGCAGTTACTAGTCTATGTGCTCTTATACCTGTTCTGATACAGCTCAAGATCAAACTAAAGCTTTTCAGGAGGTTAATTTCTGTCCTGTGAATGAATGACCTGGTTTAGACCTGGTTTAGAACTGGTTTAGAACTAGTTTAGAACTAGTTTAGACCTTGTTTAGATTTGGTTTAGACCTGGTTTAGATTTTGTTTAGACCTGGTTTAGACCTGATTTAGACCTGGTTTAGACCTGGTTTAGACCTGGTTTAGACCTTGTTTAGATTTTGTTTAAATCTGGTTTAGATTTAGTTTAGACCTGATTTAGACCTGGTTTAGACGTTGTTTGGACCTGGTTTAGACCTGATTTAGACCCGTTTTAGACCTGATTTAGAACTGGTTTAGACCTTGTTTAGATTTTGTTTAAATCTGGTTTAGATTTAGTTTAGACCTCATTTAGACCTGGTTTAGACCTCATTTAGACCTGGTTTAGACCTGGGTTGGACCTGGTTTAGGTTTTGTTTAGACTTTGTTTAGATTTTGTTAAGACCTGATTTAGACCTGGTTTGGACTTTGTTTATGAAATTTCAAAATACTAAAATTTCAAACCTGATTTTGTTACTAAAGAATATTTAGACTAAATTATAGTATTTTCTTTTATATCACCATGTGGCCTTATATCTGTGTGATCCCTCAGTGGTCCAGGTCAGTTCCTTAGTGGTCCATGGGTGTTTACTAGTCTATGTGCTCTTATATTTGTTCTGATACAGCTCAAGATCATTCTAAAGCTTTTCAGGAAAGGTTAATTTCTGTCCTGTAAATGAGTGACCTGGTTTAAACCTAATTTAGACCTTATTTAGATCTGGTTTAGACCTAGTTTAGACCTGATTTAGACCTGGTTTAGATTTTGTTTAGACCTGGTTTAGATTTTGTTTAGACCTGGTTTAGACCTGATTTAGACCTGATTTAGACCTGGTTTAGACCTGGTTTAGACCTTGTTTAGATTTTGTTTAGATCTGGTTTAGATTTAGTTTAGACCTGGTTTAGACCTGATTTAGACCTGGTTTAGACCTGGTTTGGACCTGGTTTAGACCTGTTTTAGACCCATTTTAGGCTTGATTTAGAACTGGTTTAGATTTTGTTTAGACCTGGTTTAGACCTCATTTAGACCTGGTTTAGACCTGGGTTGGACCTGGTTTAGGTTTTGTTTAGACTTTGTTTAGATTTTGTTTATACCTGATTTAGACCTGGTTTAAACCTGTTTTAGACCTGATTTAGACCTGGTTTGGACCTTGTTTATGAAATTTCAAAATACTAAAATTTCAAACCTGATTTTGATACTAAAGAATATTTAGACTAAATTATAGTATTTTCTTTTATATCACCATGTGGCCTTATATCTGTGTGATCCCTCAGTGGTCCAGGTCGGTTCCTTAGTGGTCCATGAGCAGTTACTAGTCTATGTGCTCTTATATTTGTTCTGATACAGCTCAAGATCATTCTAAAGCTTTTCAGGAGGTTAATTTCTCTCCTGTGAATGAGTGACCTGGTTTAAACCTGGTTTAAACCTGTTTTAGACCTGGTTTAGAACTGGTTTAGACCTTGTTTAGACTTGGTTTAGACCTGGTTTAGATTTTATTTAGACCTGGTGTAGACCTGGTTTAGACCTGGTTTAGAATTAGACGTGGTTTGGACCTTGTTTATGATATTTCAGAATACTAAAAATTTCAAACCTGATTTTGATACTGAAGAATATTTAGACTAAATTATAGTATTTTCTTTAATTTAATTTAATTTCTGTCCTGTAAATGAGTGACCCGGTTTAAACCTGTTTTAGACCTGGTTTAGACTTGGTTTAGCCCTTATTTAGACCTTATTTAGACCTGGTTTAGACCTGATTTAGACCTTGTTTGGACCTAGTTTAGACCTGATTTAGACCTGGTTTAGAACTGGTTTAGACCTTGTTTAGATTTTGTTTAGACCTGGTTTAGATTTTGTTTAGACCTGGTTTAGACCTGTTTTAGACCTGGTTTAGGTTTTGTTTAGACCTGGTTTAGACCTCTTTTAGACCTGGTTTAGGTTTTGTTTAGACCTTGTTTAGATTTTGTTTAGACCTGATTTAGACCTGATTTAGACCTGGTTTGGACCTGGTTTATGAAATTTCAAGATACTAAAATTTCAAATCTGATTTTGATACTAAAGAATATTTAGACTAAATTGTAGTATTTTCTCAGTGGTCCAGGCCGGTTCCTTAGTGGTCCATTACTGGTCTATATGCTCTTATATTTATTCTGATACAGCTCTAGATCAAACTAAAGCTTTTTAGGAGTTTCATTTCTGTCCTGTGAACGTGATATTTTAGTATCAATACCTGCTCACGTGAATATCTAGTTTCGATACTAGTTTCAGTATCGATTAGTTTCTGATTTTTAATAGTTTTGAGAACCCTACAGCACATCTAAATATAGTCCAATGTCCATTTCTTACACTGAGCCTGTTGCTTCAAAAGAAACAGGTCTGAGATAAAACATGTCCCATTAAAAGTCCTGAGCAAACACTTGGCATAGCCTCAGACACACCTTCACTTTGAGCTCACAAGTCAAACAATGTGAAAACCGCTGGCACAGATAGAGGACGTGCTTTTCACTGCACTGTGGTTCTGCATTCATCTTCTAAAGCTATAGACTGGTTTTATTCTAATACTTTAATCAATAAAATACCTCTATTGTATGATTTAATCTTGTTTTTTGTACCCTATGACCTGGAGCCATACAGAATGTCTTAAATACTGATGCCGATCCTGCTGTTATTCATTGTCCTGGTTTGGTCCTGGTTTAGTCTAACTTTTTTTTGCCGCATGCTTAAGTAATCCTTATTTAGTCCTGGTTTAGACTGGACTAAGACCTGGTTTAGTCTTGGTTTAGACATGCTTTAATTCTCCACTTTAGAGACCTTGTTAAATGGTTTTAGTTCTGGTTTACACCATCTCCTCGCCCAGGTTCCTGTTTTGGACGTGGTTTAAAAATGATTTATTTAGTCCATCTGATTTCAACATGGTCCAGACTTGGTTCAGTCAAAGTTCAGATCTAGGTTAAACCTGGTTAAGACCTGGTATAGTCCTTCTTTAGACCCAGTTTAGACGTGGTTTAGTTCTGGTTAAATCCAGGTTTAGTCCTGGTTTAGACCTTATTAAGTGCTGACTTACTTCTTACCTTTTGTTCAGGTCTGATTTATACATGTTTTAGTCCTAATGGTCATGATTCAGAACTCATTTGGTCCTTGTTTGGACCAGGTTTAGATCTGGTTTGAAGCCTCTTTTAGGCCTGGTTTAGTCCTTGTTTAGTTCGTGTTTACACCTTGTTTAGTTCTTGTTTAGACCTGGTTTAATCCTGTTTTAGACCTGGTTTGAACTTGCTTAAGATCTGGTTTGGACCTGGTTTAGAGCTGGTTTAGTTCTAGTATAGACCTGGTTTAGACCTGATTTAGACCTGGTTTGGACCCAGTTTAGTCCTTCTTCTTTAGACCTGGTTTAGACCTGGTTTAGACTTGATTTAGATCTGGTTTAGACTTACTTTAGACCCGGTTTAGACCTGATTTAGACCTGATTTAGACCTGGTTTAGACCTGGTTTAGACTTGGTTTAGACTTACTTTAGACCTGGTTTAGACCTGATTTAGACCTGGTTTAGACCTGATTTAGATCTGGTTTAGACTTACTTTAGACCCGGTTTAGACCTGATTTAGACCTGATTTAGACTTACTTTAGACCTGGTTTCGATCTTGTTTGAACCTGGTTTAGACCTGGTTTAGACCTAGTTCAGACCGGGTTTAGACCTTGTTTGGACATGGTTTGGGCCGTGTTTAGACCTGGTTTGAGATCTCCATGGTTACTACCCTGTTACTTTCTCTTCCTCCAGCCTCCCCAGGGCTCCTCACCTGAATGGAGCGGTGAACGGCTCTGCTCTGGACAACGGGGCGGATCCGTGGACTGCGGAGGGCGAGAAGCAGAGGGACGGTGAAGCGAGAGAGACCCCCGGCGATGTGTCCCCCGCCACTGTAGAACCCACTCTGCACCACCGGGGGTCAGCAGAGAGCCACAAGAAGTTCTACAGCTACCAGGCACGTGTCAAAACAGAAAAACAAACTGAAAATGCACAAAAGTTCAATGTCTGTTAGAGACGGAAACCACAAAACCACTGTATTAATCATTCATCTCAAAGTTCCACAGTATGACATTAAACCTCTCTATGTTCTTGCATAAAGAAATACCTTGCATTTGTACTGTAAGTGAGCTTGCTTCTCCACAGATCTGACCTGTAAAGCCAGAAAAGTTCATATAAAGTTAATATAAACGTATGGATCACTAACACGCAGTTATTTTGTTTTTTTTAGATTTATGTTTTGGCTATTTTCTGTTTACTTGATTTCTTGGTACCTCTTTATAATAACTACACATTAATTAACCTTAATAAAGCATGAATAAAGACTTAATTAATAATGATCAAATAGTTTATTAAGAAAGATTCAGGCTTAGTAACTACTTAAAAAGGGAAAAAAATTGTGTTATGAATAAAATTTTTGACTCGATTGTTAAAAGTTTTGTTATTATAATATAAATCATTACATTTACATTTACAAAAAATAAAATAAAATCAACATTCTGATTGGGATAAACTCAGCCCAGAGTCCTGAGGCGTTTATTATGTAACCAGACGTGTTCTTGTTTTGTTTTTCCAGAGGCGGACGAAGCAGAAGGTGGTGACGGACTTTTCCACCATCAGCAAAGGGACGTCTGCAGCGGCCAAACCCAGAGCCGCTCTCAGACAAGTGCTGTTTAATCAGTCTGACAAGAACCAGACTCCAGAGGTACTGCCCTGCCCCACCTGCTCCTCCGTCTGCCCCACCTGCCCGTTTTTCTGCCCCTCCTGCTGATTTAGACTTTAGTTTAGTCATAGTTTAGACTTGGTTTACTCATGATTCTGTTCTAGCTTTGTCCTTTCTCATCACTTCGTCTGATTTAGTCACGTTTAGACCTGGTTTAATCCTGCTTTAGACCTGGTTTAGGCCTTGTTCAGACCTGGTTTAAACCTGGTTTAGTCCTGGTCTAGACCTTCTTTAGACCTGGCTTAATCCTTGTTTAGTCCTGGTTTAGACCTGGTTTAGTCCTTGTTTGGTCTATGTTTGGTCCTGTTTACACCTTGCTTAGTCTTCGTTTAGTCCTGCTTTAGACCTAGTTTAGACCTATCTGGCTTAGTTCTTGTTTATTCCTGATTTAGACCTCGTTTAGACCTGGTGTAGTCCTGGTTTGGTCTTTGTTTGGTCTTGGTTTAGACCTGGTTTAGTCTTGGTTTAGACCTGCTTTAGTCCTGGTTTAGACCTGCTTCAGTCATCCTTGTCTATTCCTGGTTTTGACCTGGTTTAGTCCCACTTTAGACTTAGTCCTTGTTTGGTTGTGGTTTAGACCTGACTTAGTCCTGATTTAGTCCTGGTTTTGTCTTGGTTTAGTCCTGCTTTAGTCCTGCTTTAGCCCTGGTTAGACCTAGTTTAGTCCTGATTTAGTCCTGGTTTAGTCTTGGTTTAGTCCTGATTTAGTCCTGGTTTAGTCCTGGTTTCGACGTGGTTTCTACCTAGTTTAGTTCTGATTTAGTCCTGCTTTAGATGTTGTTTAGACCTGGTTTAGTCTTGCTTTAGACTAGACTAGTTTAGTCCTGGTTTAGATCTGGTTTAGTCTTGGTTTATACCTAGTTTAGATGTGGTTTAGTCCTGTTTTAATCCTGGTTTTGGTCCCTCCTCCTCTTGTACGTGCCAGCGCGCTCTTGCAGATTCAAACATGTTCAGAGGTGCCACTCAAACCTCTGCCAAACTTTATGCTTCACTAGATCAACTAATTTTCCTTTTGTGTCAGTTTTTCTCTGTGGTTCAGAGTCGTGTTGTCATAATAGAAAAACGTCAGACTCGTTTTCAATACTAAACTCACAGATACCTCAATCATAACACAAACGCTCTTTCAGATACTTCAATCATAATAAAAACACTCTTTCTTTAGACAGTAGAATGTGATTTTCAACATTAAATCAGAGTGTTTTCTTTTATATTTCCATGTGGTGTTATATTTGTGTAATCCTTCAGTCGTCCAGGTCGGTGCCGTAATGGTCCAGGGGCGTTTACAAGTCTCTGGGCTCTTAAACTTGTTGTGGTGAATCCGTGTGTCATTAGTTCATTTGTTTTTCAAAATAAAACCAAAAATAAGAAAAAAAAAAAAAAAAAGTATTATTTGTCTCCAAAATCAAAATGAAAAAAGGGATCATGATTTGGTTTTTCAGTTTTTCAGACTTTTGCACCACATACGGACTGAACCAGGACTAAACCAGGACTGAGTGTCAGAACGGGTCCGGAGGTCTGCCCGCGTAGACCGTCGGGTGATCAGGACTGAGACCGGGACCAGACCTGGACTGAGACCAGGACCAGAGCAGGACCAGACCGGGACCAGACCGGGTCTTACACTGGGACTGAGACCAGGACTGACCAGTTTAGTCCTGGTTTAGTTCTGGTTTAGACCTGATTTATTCCTGGTTCAGTTCTGGTTTAGACCTGGTTTAGACCTAATTCAGTCCTGGTTCAGTTCTGGTATAGTCCTGATATAGTCCTGTTTTAGACCTGGTTTAGTCATGGATCAGTTCCTGGTTTAGTCCTGGTTCAGTCCTGGTTTAGACCTGGTTTAGTCTTAGTTCAATACTGGTTCAGTTCTGGTTTAGTCCTGGTTCAGTCCTGGTTTAGACCTGGTTCAGTTCTGGTTTAGACCTGGTTCAGACCTGGTTTAGTCCTAGTTCAGTTCAGGTTCACTCCCGGTCTGGTCCTGGTCTCAGTCCTGATCAAGTCCTGTTTTAGTCCTGGTTCAGTCCTGGTTCAGTCTTGGTTCAGTCCTGGTTCAGTCCTGGTTCAGTCCGACCCGGTGCAGGACTCTGGTCTGATATTAGTTTCTATGATATTTGCAGATGTTCTTGTGCACTGAAACTTGATCTGAAAAAAAATCATAGATGAAACCGAAATCTCAATATCTGCCAGAAAAAATCACAATTCAGTTTTTTTCTTAAAATCACTCAGCTCCATTTCAAACAAAGAAACAACATCTCCATGGAGAAAATCACCAGAAAAGTTACACAATACACGTTTAATTCCGTCATTGTTACACTATTTTTTCAAACTATGACTTTGAAAAGAGACAAAAATCACCGGCAATTTAACCTTTTTGTTCAAGCTTAAAATGTAAACTCCTGGAAAATTGTTCTCCACACGTGTGCACAAACTTCTGGCATCACTTCTCGACTCCAAAACGGTTGACATTTCTCGCCTCAGGGCACAACAAATACTTTTCGGTTTATCGGTGAACACTCCCCCACAAAGCCATTGTTTCAGACTTAGTATTAGTTTGTTTTGTGAATGAACCTCGTACCACTGGATTTCAGGTCGCATCTTGTCTCAACACACATGGGATTCAAAACTTTAGTACGATTATGAGTTTGCAAACACATATTCTCCTTACTTTGGACTAGAGCGGCAAAAATATTGAAAATCTGATACTTATCGAGACGAAAACTAGCACTGAAAGTTGATATTCATTTCAAAAAGTCACATTCACAGAACAGAACTGAACCTTTGCTGAATAACTTTAGATTTTGAGCTGTATCATATCATTTGTTCATTCGTTTTTCAAAATAAAACCAAAAATAAGAAAATTTAAAATTAAAAAAATGATTTGTCTCCAAAACCAAAAGAAAAAAACAGATAATGATTCGGTTTTTCAGTTTTCGATTTTGTGTTTAAATGAAAAATTGAGTAAACGGATAACGGCAGTTTCCTGTTTCTGTGACTTAAACTGTGATGCTGGACTGAACCAGGACTGAACCAGGTCTAAAACGGGTCTAAACCAGGTCTAAACCAGGTCTAAACCAGGTCTAAACCAGGACTAAACCAGGACTACACCAGGACTGAACCAGGACTGAACCAGGACTAAAACAGGACTAAAACAGGACTAAAACAGGACTGAACCAGGACTGAACCAGGACTAAACCAGGAATAAACCAGGACTGAATCAGGGCTAAATCAGGACTAAAACAGGTCTTTGATTAATCATTAACATTTTTATATTAACATTATCATTATTATTACTATTGCAAATCCGCATAAATAAACTAAACTTTACAACATATAAAATTAAAATGTGTTTACTGCAGCTTTGTCACATTTGTTTAAGTTTTACAGAAACAAACTTAAAACTGCATGGCTCATTTGCATAAACTAAGCGCTGAAAAAACAGATCTTTCCTTGAGCACTGATGCGATCAGCTTCTGTTGGACTAAAGGTCACGACTCAGTGGAATATGTGTGTTGTTTCTGTGACAGAGGATGTTGATGATGTGCACATGTGTGAAAGAGTTTATGAAACAAAACCTGGGTCAGTTAGGAGCACTGCAAAAAAAGCAGCTTTGACGCTCCAAAAATCGTGTTGTCTGAGATTGCGATTTTTCGGTCCAAAATGATAGATCATTCTAGCCAGGCTGGTGCCACCTAGTGCCTCCGCTCCATTTCATTTGTCTCCAGCGACTAGGTCAGGAATCGGAATACACTAGATGGTTTGCAAGAACCTTGGAAGTGCGAGTTCGGGCACCAGCCAATCAGTAATGAGCCATATATTCTGTGTTGGCAACGATTCCTGAGATCGAGGATTTTAAACCAGAACAAAGAGAATGTTTGGTGAATTTTATCAAGGGGAAAGACATTATTGCTCTTCTTCCTATGGGATTTGGGAAAAGCTTAATATACCAGTTAGCCCTGTTAGCAGCGCATTACATATGTCACAACCAAATAAGATAATTACCCGCCTACCGTTGAGCGAACGAATCCTAACGCTGCGAGGTCAGACGGTTTCTACGAAGTAAAACCGGCTGATGAATCAGGCTAAGATCGTTCAGCCCTAGTCTGAAATGTTTCGTAGTATGGCATTAAACCTTTCTATTTTCCAGTCAGTCAGAATGCCTGTTTTTCTAGGTATTTTTGAGCTATATAAACACCTGTAACTGAATAAATGTAATTAGTTTAATGCCATACTGTGGAACATTCAAAGCCGACTGATGACTTACCCATAGAAACAAGAAGGTGACCAAAAAGTTACACAGTGCACCTTTTAAATAGCAATAAATTAACAATTGTAAGGCCTAATTGTGAACTTATTTATGCCCTATAAATTAAATCAAAACCTTCGTATTGTTCTTGTGGATCCAATCTTGTCTCATATTGTTCGTTTTCACACACATCACATTTAAATCTGGTGAGCGTAGAACCACTAACCTTTGAGTGTGTGGGCAAGAATCTCTACCACCTGAGCCACTACCTGACCAAAAATGTTGAGAATAATTGAGTTTGTAACATTTGTGCAGCAGGTGCCCGGTCAGCTGGATCTGCTGAAGCACAACCTGGAGGCGTTCACCGTCCCCGTGAGCCTGAGGTGGAGATGGGCCGAGGAAAACCAGGGCACGTCTCTGGAGAGTAACTGGACCGACATCGTGCGCTCACACTCAGTAAGCTCAGTAAGAGGAACAAAGTATTTCAAACAGATTTGGGAGAATTACTAAAAGGAAATCTTAGTAAACAAAAAACTACCAAATCAGCAACTGAATAATCTATGAACAGTGGTTATTTTTGTTTGTATATGTGCTAAAAAATTATCCCTTGGCCTTTTACTTCACTTTTTTTGTCGAGTCAGAGGAGAAAAACAGATAACTGCTCTCAAATGGAGTGATGTAAAAGGAAAATACAGATACCTTAAATGTTGTACAGTGCTTATGGTTTAGTCCTGGTTTAGTCCTGGTTTAGTCCTGGTTTAGACATGGTTTAGTCCTGGTTTAGTCCTGGTTTAGTCCTGGTTTAGACATGGTTTAGTCCTGGTTTAGTCCTGGTTTAGTCCTGGTTTAGACATGGTTTAGTCCTGGCTTTGACATGGTTTAGTAGTGGTTCTTTTCATAGCTTTGCTTACTCTCGCTCTAGATCTATTTTAGACCTAATTTCAAACTGATTTAGATCTGGTTTAGACCTGGTTTAGACCAGCTTTAGACCTCATTTAGATTTGGTTTAGACATGGTTCCGAACTAGTTTAGACCTAGTTAAGACCTCCTTTAGATTTGGTTTAGTCCTGGTTCAGACCTCATTTAGATTTGGTTTAGACATGGTTCAGAACTACTTTAGACCTGGTTTGGAACTAGTTTAGACCTCATTTAGATTTGGTTTAGACCTGGTTTAGGCCTGGTGTAAACCGCATTTAGACATGGTTTAGACCTAGTTTAAAGCTGCTTTAGACCTGGTTTAAAACTGGTTTAGACCTTGTTTTAGATTTGATTTAGACCTGGTTTAGAACTCACTTAGAACTCGTTTAGAACTGGTTTGGACCTGGTTTAGACCTCATTTAGATTTGGTTTAGACCTGGTTTAGATCTGGTTTAATCATTTTGAGTATTGGTTTTGTTCTGGCTTTGACCTTTCTCACCCCTGACTTACTTCTGGTTAGTACTTTTATATTTGTGACTCTCATCACTGCCAAAGAGAGATTTTACTTCAGCTGTGCTTCTTACGTTTTACTTTGTACCACTGTATTTATGTAGCATTTTTTTATTCTGTATTATTTAAATGAGCAAATTAATCATTTATAAAAGCAATGATTTGTAGAATATTTTTATGCCAATCTATCTCAATTACGCGCTTTATCTTTTGTTTAGCTGATGACAAAGATGCAGAGGAACCAACAGGATGCATTGTGGGAGTTTGTGTCCACAGAGCTCATCTACATAAACAAACTCCTGGTGATCAGAGACGTAAGGACTCTTTTATATTTACATTGCAGTGTGTTTAGTTTAGTTGCTCCTCTGACCTGTTCATGTTGACCCCACAGCTGGTTCTGGAGTCTCTTCTACACCTGCAGAAACAAGGATTTCTCTTAGAGGTAAATTTTGTGCATATTACAAGTCACCTTATGCCGGAAGTTTCTGTGGGTGCCGCCTTCGAAATTTGGGTCAAATTATTTTGCATGTGGCTGCCACTCTATTCAGCAAATAAGTTCTAGCATTCTATTAAGCTGCTTTAAAACCACCCTGGTTTAGACCTGGTTTAGACCTGGTTTATTATTTGTTTAGACCTGGTTTAGACCTGGTTCAGACCTGGTTCAGTCCTGGTTTAGACCTGGTTTAGATATCGTTTAGTCCAGATTTAGTCCTGGTTTAGACCTGGTTTATTATTTGTTTAGACCTGGTTTAGTTCTGGTTCAGTACTGGTTCAGTCCTGATTTAGACCTGGTTTAGTCCTGGTTTAGACCTGGTTTAGACCTGGTTTAGACTTGGTTTAGACCTGGTTTAGTTCTGGTTTAGAGCTGGCTTAGTCCTGGTTTAGTCCTGGTTTAGTCCCTTTTTCATACCTGGTTAGACCTGGTTCAGACCTGGTTCAGACCTGGTTCAGACCTGGTTAGTCCTGGTTTAGACGTGGTTTTGTCCTGGTTCAGACCTGGTTTAGTTCTGGTTTCGTTCTGGTTTAGATCTGGTTTAGTCCTGGGTTAGACCTGGTTAAGCCTGGTTCAGACCTGTTTTAGACCTAGTTTAGACCTGGTTTAGACCTAGTTTAGACCTGGTTAAGCCTGGTTCAGACCTGGTTTAGACCTAGTTTAGACCTGGTTTAGACCTGGTTTAGACCTAGTTTAGACCTAGTTCAGACCTGGTTTAGACCTAGTTTAGACCTGGTTTAGACCTTAGTTCTTGCAGCCTGCGAAGCCGCTTTAGAACCACCCAGTGAGTCAGTTCAGTTTTGACTTGTTGGTGCACACGAACACTGAACATTTTACACAAATCAATCTATTTTATATTATCAGTTCTCTATATAAATAATCGGGCTCCCCCTTAACCGGACGTGCCGCCACAACGAAGTGCAGTTTGGCAACATTTAGAGATAAAAGTGGGTCAGGGCTGAATAAGGCCAATAGGACCGCAAGATAAACTGCAGTAGGCTGAGTTCACATCACAACAGTCTAAAATACCGAAAGTTTAGACTGAGCTGGAGGACAGGTTAGAATTATACGGTGAAATTTACAGATTTGTTGGCCTGGTTTTCTGTTAGTTTCTGTCGTTAAGATCTCTGCAAACATGTTCTGAAATGCATGGGATTCTTGTATTACTTTAGCAGTTTATATTTCTGTCTTCTTTCAGATCTTAAAGTCCCGGATGTGTAACAGTATGCTCTGTGAACTCATCTTGATTTACAAACAGAAATCACAAATTAAAATGAAATGGAAGTTGCAATATTTAAGTCAATATGATGTTTTTTTCCTCCAGGTCACTCAGCCTTAATTGTTTTATATCAGATGTATCAACTTTTATGCACTGTAATTGATAAGAGATGGACGATATTGACCAAAAAATAAAACTAAATTATAACCTTTAATCAGACCTTATTTTTGAAATGCATGTTAAATGTGTATTCATGTCTTTTAATTATTATAAATTATTATTCTACAGCCAAAACACATGAGGTCCTGAGTAGCTCCAGTTAGTGACATACTCCAGTTTTGCTTTGCTTGTAATGAAATGCAGTAGAGGATACAATAATAATAGTAGTTTTTCATGATATTACTTTACCAATAAAAACATCTGCAGTAAATGGAAGATAAATTGTTTTAATGTCATACTGTGGAACATTCCATGCAAAGCAAACATTTCCAAAATAACTATAAAAAGTTGCATACTGCATGTTTAATTTCAAAACCGCAACTAAAATAGTCTATTATGTCTCTCCTCTGCAAGCAAACCATCTTAATTCTCATATTACTGACTCGTACAACAACATCCGTTCAGTGTTTAAAGCAGAACAGCAGGTGGAAACTGTAGCATTTTTCCACTGCTTCAATGGAAACTGCAGTGCAGACATGTTTTGATCATATTTCTGTTGTTTCCTGTTGCCTAGGTGACCCCTCAGCTCCTCTTCTCAAACCTGCCGTCCATCATCAGCGCTCATCAGCTGTTCTGGCAGGAAGTCCTGTACCCCATGGTACAGGAAGTGCGGAGGACAGGTGCGCCCTTTGACCCCATGCGGTTAGAGGCTGGCTGTCTGCAGGTGAATATTGTATTAGGTTCTGTAGTTAGTATTCACATGTATTCTTTATTTGTAGTATGTATTATTCTGCTAGTTATTCTCCCCCTTTTCCTTTTCTTCCAAAAGGCCTACTATTAATTATTATTAATTAATCATTGCATTTATATAGCGCCTTTCAAGACACCCAAGTTATTTACAGAACATTATTTATTCTTTCCACACTCAGCGGTGGTAAGCTACTACTGTAGCCACAGCTGCCCTGAGACAGACTGATGGTACTAGTGCTTTTTATTACCATTTGAATATTTTCTGTATTCTGTATTTCTTATGATCTTCTAAATGTGCAATTGTTTTTAACTCTGATTTAATATCTACTATTGCACACTGAAAATGTAAGGTACAGTATAAATAAAATGTTTTATAATTGAATAATAATTATTATTTTCCATTTGGCTATTTCTAAAACACACATTATTCAAGCCTTTGGAACTATTTAGCATTTCTCTAATAATCCAATCCTTTCTACATTCTGTTTGAATCCAGAAGAGTCTGGAATCGTAGAACGTAGAACATGAAAATCCTCTGTCCAAACTTGAGACGACCCAACTACAGCCGGTAATTTGTATCACGTGTCTCTCAAAAGTGGATGACATCTCCTCACGAAAGTTTTTCTGTTATTCAGAACAAAATATATTATTTCTTATACCTGAAATATATACAAGTTTGATGCTTCGCTTGTTAATTCTGCAGAAATCTGCACTGCCTCTCTGTCCTCTGTGTTGTTTTTTTCCTTGTAAACTTCCACAAATTTGCAAAAATTAGTGAAGCATTGCAAATTAACCTTAAAAAAACAATAAGGGGCCAAGAACACAAGAATGCTTTCCTTTTTCTTTTCTTTCTGCTTCTGTTTAACTTCATCACTCTGTTGATGTCTTATATATAATGAAATAAATAAATATATAAAAAATTGCTTCTGTAGCGTAATAAAGACATACAAATAAAAATACATACTTTTTCACAAGACTTTTTCCAGACTAGTTGATCACTTTATAATTTGTTTTTTTTTTCTCTGCAGTTTCGGAAGCGTTTCTCTTCGTACAAGCACTACTGTTGGGAAGAGGAGAGCACTCAGGAGTTTGCACGTCGACTTCAGGAAAGCAACCCGCAGTTCCACACTTATGTTCAGGTATCCACCCTATCCTATACTCTATCCTGTCACACTGTTGTCACAATACTAAATATTCAAACTCAATTTCAGTACTAAAGAATTCACTCAATGCTCGATACCAATTACTATACCACAATGAAGATTTTTTTGTAACAGTATGTAATTTTCAATATAAAATAATAGTGCTTTCTTATCATAGCATAGGGTCTTGTATTCATTCTGATAATTCTCAAAATCATACTAAAACTGTTCAGGAAAGCTCTTTTTTCTCTGTTAATGTCATTTTTTGCAGTATCAATACTAGAGATTGACTGATGCCAATACCGATTGTTAAGGATCCAGAGAAAATATTATTATTATATTAAAATATTAATATTTTCAGAGAGTGGCGATTCCATGGCAGATATTACTGCAGTGTCATTCAGAAACCTGACACGTAGATTTTTCTGTGTAAATACGGAACAAAGAAATTAATATTGTGCTTCTTTTACTTTTTCCAACTAAAACTAAGTGGGTGTATGGGCCCTGAAAACACTTTGCGGTGATACTTTTCAGTGGCACCACGCTGGGGGTGTTCTACATGTATCTCTATTAGTGGAATGTTCAACAGCTAATATGGTGACACAATGCACACATTAGCAAAAACTGCCAAAAATGTTGAATATACTTTTTTTTGTTTTTTCCTTGTAAGCCCCCATAAACTTGCACAAAATAGTGAAACTTTGCAAATTAACCTTAAAAAAAATAAGGGGCCAAAAACATAAGATTGCTTTTCATTCTGATAAATTTTTGATTTTTGAAATTTTTGATTTTTGTTATTTTTGACAACCCTGTATGACAGAGTACATTATGTTTATCAAGTCATTCCAATCTATTTTATGGAGTAAAGAAAGCTTTCAGAAATATTTGTGTGCTTAATATAGAAGTCCATGCATATTCGGCTGTAGTTGAGCATAAAATAAATATTTGTATATTCCCAAATGAGTCCAGTCGTACATAAAATGTGTTGTACGAATACGAATTCACAGACGCGACTTTACAGTTCAGTCCTGGTTCAGTCCTGGGATCAGTCCTGGTTCTGTCCTGGTTCCGTCCTGGTTCAGTCCTGGTTCAGTCCGTGTGCGGCGCAAAAGTGCGGCATCTAGATCGATGTTTCTTCTGCTCAATAAATAATCCCTGTGAAGTGATGACGTATTAATGACGTAGTTTGTGAATTCATATTCATACTGAAGAAAGCGTAATCGTAAATTTTCATTTCATGATTGTAATTCTTGAAGTTGTAATGGTTCAGTTCGTATTCTGATGGATAAAATACACACATTACATTTTATGTACAACTGGACTCATTCAAGAGTTTATGAATATTTATTTTATGCTCAACTACAGCCGCATATGCACGGATTACTATCCTGTGCACACAAATATTTCTGAAAGCCTGAATGTTTTGACAGTTAAGATGCATACACTTTATATTATTTTGATATACTTTTGATACTTGTACTTTAATAGTAATAACATCATGGGGTTGTTTTTATGCCCCGTGTGGGCGACTCTCTGCAGTCACTTCCTGACGACCATCTTCTTATGACATCTACATTTTCTATAAATGATTCTGTTTCACATAAATGCTCTTAACTTCAGAGAGTATAGATACTGTGGCAAATATTACTGCAGTGTCATTCAGAAACCCGACACGCTGAGTTTTCTGTGTAAATATGGAACAAAGAAATGAATATTGTGCTTATTTAACTTTTTCCAACTAAAATTGCGTGGGTGTAGGGGTCATGAAAATTGATTCTTTGCAGTTGCATCACACTGGGGGGTGTTCTACATGTATCTTAGCGGAATGTTCAGCAATTACCATGGTGACACAATGCACACATTAGCAACAACCAGTAGTCTGAAAACATTCATGGTCGAAAAAAAGGTGAGGGTGACTAAATGGAAAACTGAAGAGCTAGGTGTAATTTTATGTGTTAGAGACTCGTTTAAGCACTTAAACCAGCTCATCTGCTGCAGTTTCAACCAAGTCAGACTGTGTTCAAATAAATTCAGATCAAGTCCAAGCTGAGAAACAGAGCCTCTAACAGAGCAGTGGTTTCAGTTTCACACTCCCAGAGAAAGTAGATGACGTCAGTCTTAAAGTAGCAACAGGAAATGTTGAAAACATCTTAACCAAGTGTTGAAAACATCATGACCACATTCTACAGACAAACCATTCAGAGCATCCTTTCCAGCTGCATCACTGTGTGGGGGGAATCTGCACTGATCACGACAGGAGAGCCCTGCAGCCCCACACAGTCAACACAGCCAGGAAGATCATTGATGCACCACTCAATCAATCAATCAAACTTTATTTATAGAGCACTTTTCATACAAAAAAATCAACACAAAGCTCTCCTCTCCTTGCAAGAAATATACACCACCTGCCTCACCCACATATACTTCACCTGCCTCACCTGCATATACTCCACCTGCCTCACCCACATATACTCCACCTGCCACACCCACAAACTCCACCTGCCTCACCCACATATACTCCACCTGCCACACCCACAAACTCCACCTGCCTCACCCACATATACTCCACTTGCCTCACCCACATATACTCCACCTGCCTCACCCGCAAAGCAAGTCGCCCCGCACATAATCTGTTCAGCCTCGTGCCCTTCAGGAGGAGGTACAGGAGCCTCCATTCCCGCAGCACTAGACTCACTCACAGCTTCATCCACCAGGCTGTTAGGATGCTGAACTCTCTCCCCTCTAACCACCGGCCAGGGAGCTAGGAATCTGCGTCTCCCCAAAGAACACTTGGACTTTCACATTTGTTATTATTTATTTATACGCTTGGGAATGAGAAACATAATTTTAAGCCTCTATGCTCAGACAACTTGCCCAAGGACACAACAGCAGCATGCGCAGGTCAAAGCTGGAATTGGACTGTTGCTACAGCGTTTAGCTACTAAATAGGGTTACAATAATTGATCAGAATAATTAACTTGTAACTTGTCTGCAGTCGTTAACTATTTTAAAGGGTCTATATTATGCTATTTTCTGATCTATGTTATAATGTTGTTTCCTCATCAAAAACATACTTGGAGTTTTGTTTTGTTGTAAAAAGGTAGTTGTTAACTTGAAAACTATTGCTTCATGACAGTTCTACTGCTTCATCACAAGGTGGAACTGTGCATTTTGAGCTTTAAGTAATCTTTTATTATTAAACTGTCTGCATCTCCACACATGTGTGAATGAAACAAAACACAACTCATAACCCCAGACATGTTTTTGATGAGGTACCAACATTCTAAAATGGCTTGAAGCTCACAAGCGTCATTTTTTGCGTAATATAGGGCCTATAATAATCGTTGATAGTTATCTGTACTTAAAACACATGCCAGAAAGGTTTTATTACAAAGACACATTTAAAAATTTTAATGTCAAAAATGAATACATGATTTCTGATTTTAATCAATGTTAAACGTGTGTGTGGAGTGGAGTTCTTATCTCAAACCTTAAATATCCTGTGTGCATGTTTATTACAATGTGCCTAACAGTGTTTCTAACTGTGCTGTGTTGTGTTTAGTGGATAGAGACCCACCCTCAGGGCGAGCGGATGCGTCTGGGAGACATGCAGGCCAAACCTCACCAGAGGATCACAAAGTACCCCCTTCTGCTCGGAGCAGTGCTCAAGAACACGTCCCACCCCAATGTCCAGCAGGCGCTCAGAGCCATGGTGAGGAGGGACAGGACATCTCTCTATCACGTTTGACTTCTCATCATTTTATTTCAACCATCCCTGATGAGTTTTTAAGTGTTTTCCTCAGCATTTGTATTTCTCACATGATAAGGACCTGAGACCTGAGGCCTGTTCCCTTTAAGTATTCAACCCCATGCACCAGGATAATGTGTCATTTTGGTTCCAGACTACATCTGTTTTTAATCTGTCAGTAGTGAATGCCCCACACTCTGGTGACATTGTTTATGGAGCTAAAATGACAACAAAATAACATTCTCATATACTGTACCTGATCAATGTCCTAACACCAGTTTGGATGTCAAGCATTTTAGTCCCCCTGGTGCTTTGTGGCAGCACATGGATTTCCATAGCCAGAAACAATTCCGATTTTGACATTAAATCATTTTCTGTTCATATAACTTGACTCATCCTGACTTTGTGCTTCCAGTTGTCGACTGTGATGCGTTTTCTGGAAAGTATCAACGACTACATGAGGTTTAAAGATGAGGAGCTGGCTCTGTCCATCTCTGCTGAGCGGGTGGAGGGCTACGAAGTGGAGGGAATTAATGAAGAAATCGACAGGGTAAAAAAAGTTCTTTAGGGTTTAACAAATGCAGCACAACTGTCCATAGATTTTGTTGTGACAGTGAATGTTTCCTGTGTTTTCCTGTATTCAGCGCGTGCGTGAGGTGAGCACGTTTGACCTGACGTGTCCCGTCAGTGGAGTGGGTCCAGAGGTGATCAGGAGACTGCTGCTGGAGGAGAACCTCAAGATCAGGGGCCGGAAGGACAGTAAAGTAAGAAACACACACCTTAAAAAAAAACATCTTTGTGCACTGAAAAATGAATATGCTTTAAAATGATGTGGAGAGAATAGAATAGTTGCCTTGTGTTTAAATATGTTTGATTATTTCACATTTACATTTGGGTTGTACAATAGTTTTAAAGTTTTTATTTCAGTTATTTGAACTAAGAAAAACTGTTTAAAATATATTATATTTGATTTTATTCTATTTAAAGTAAACCTGTCATCTCTACTCAAAAGAAGCCATTATACTTATAGATATTTCCACTGAGTAGACAGAACGCCTTATGTAAACTTCTCTCCAATGTTTCAGATGGAGGTTGTGGCTCTTCTGTTTTCTGATGTGCTGCTCATGACTAAAGTCCAGAAGAAAGGGGAGCGTCTGAAGGTGATCCGCCCTCCTCTGGCCCTGGACAGAACCCACTGCTTCGCTCTCAAAGACGGCTGTGAGTCCAGATACTGATGATGAATACTACGTTTCACTTGTCTCAAAGTATTTCTGACAGGAACTACTCAAAACAAATCAAATATTAATTTAAACTAATATTCCTTATTTTCAGTGTCAGTATTACAGATGCCTGACTCACCATTTGTCTCTTTTGTGTAGGCTCCTTTGTCCTGGTGGAGGTTGGGGAGCTGCTCAGTGTCATGAACGTCTACATCTTTTTGACAGGCACTGCCCACAGCTGCTCCACCTGGGTCTCCACCATCCAACAGGCAAAGGTAAGCCACGCCCCCAGGTAACGATAAGCCACACGCCCAGGTAAATTTAAGCCACACCCCCAGGTAAAAGTAAGCCACGCCCCCAGGCAAAGGTAACCACACCCCCCAGGCAAAGGTACACCACACTCTGTGCTCTGTTTGAATCTGCATCATCAGCTTAACTCATGTGTCTTTATTAGGAAACTCTGAAGGACATACGGCACAAAGAGCGAAGCAGACAGATGGAGAAGTGGAGGCTGCTACAGGCGTCTAAGTCTCTGAGCGAAGTCAGTGATGAACCAGAGACAGAGGCTCTGCCCACCACTCCATCTGAAGACAAGGCCTTTGAGGACAATCAGGAAATAACTGAGCCTAAACCAGTGAGTGGCCCCCACTCGACCCAGACAGTGAATGGCCCACAGGCCCCACAGGCCCCACAGGCCCCACAGGCCCCACAGGCCCCACAGGCCCCACAGGACCCACAGGACCCACAGGCGCCTCAGGAACCTCAGGTGGTGAATGGTCTGCAGTCTCCTCAGGCAGTGAATGGTGTCCAGTCTCCTCAATCAGATGAGCCTGGGGACCGCAGTATGCCTTTCTGGCAGGTCCAACGCCCTCACCCCCCCCCTCAAAGGAAATCAGCTCGTAGGACGCTCCCCGCTCGGCATCCGGTGTTTCCAGGCTACGAGTTTATTGAAATGGAAGTGAGAAGTCCAAAGTTTAGAGTGAACAGCGAGAACCGCCTGCAGGAGTCTTCATGTGGAGCTGAGACTTCTGGCATGAAAGGAAAAAAAGTGCAGTCCGCCCCTGATCTGGAGCAACATTTCCTCTTTAACAAAATACAAACTCACAACACAAGACCGCATAACCTGCTGCTGAGAGGGCATCTGGATGACTCAGCAATGACTTGGAGGCGGTCAAGTGAGGTCTTATCCAAAAGGAGGCCCTCAGACCCTGTGCTTGTGGTTCAGGGCACTGGCAGAAACAGTCAGTCAGAGAGTACAGAGCCCTCAGAGGCCAAGGGCTTCCCCAATGGCCTGCGGTCACCTGGTGTGAGGAGGAGGAGGCCCCAGAGCACCCAGGGCCCTAGCCACACAGCCAAGCCCCCCCTGCAGAGGGCGGCAAACAGCTGGTCTGTGTCCAATTCTTCCTCAGACTCAGACAGCAGTATCCCAGCAAAGAGAAACTCACTTCCCTCTGAGAAGAGCACTTACCGAGTACTCACTGTGAACTCCCTGAAGCCAAACCAGGGCATGTTCTGGACCATGGTGAACAACCCTGAGGCCTACTCTGAGCCTGAGCTCCCAGAGCTCAAACAGGACAACAAAAGACCCAAGACCAAGACTCAGCGCAGTGCCTCCATCCCCAACATTGTCCTCCCGGAGAGGAGCCTCCAGAGGTCCTCAGGCAGCATGACCCTGCCCCCTCCCTCTCCTCTGCAGGGGCTGCTGGACCGGGCCAAAGAGCGGGGCAAGGAGACTGTGAGGCGGGACTCTTATGGCCTGTTAAGGCCAGGGTTTCCCCACTCTCCCTCCGTCTCCTCCACCCCCTCTCCCTCCCCCAGTGAGGCGGAGAAAGAGAGCGAGTGGGAGGAGGAGGTGGAGCTGCTGAGGCACAGGGTCCTGAGTGTGAGTCAGGGCTGGAGAGAGCAGCTGGTGGACGGGGACGACGATGACCACAGGAACAGGTCAGTGTCAGGAGGGACTTGATGATGGAGAGACTATACACTATACAAATTGTCTAATCATCTCATCTATGTAAAATTAAATATTATTAACAAATTGCTTCTTTTTTATTGTAAAAAAAAACAACCAACTGCTGAAAGATTTATTAGCAACTTTCCAAACCTTTTCATTTAGATGACTACATAATTTAAACCTAGCTGGATCGGTAATGGTAAAAAAAAAAAAAAAAAGTTAAAGTCTGGTCATTTGTCCATTTGTTCCAGTGCGATGTTCTCAGACGGAGTGAACGTGGACTGGCCCGGCTGGTGCTTTGACGATGAGGAGGTGATGGATCATCTACAGCCTGGAGGAGAGGGTCTACTCGAGGGCATCAGCAAGTCTCTGACCTGCTGTGACCTGCAGGAACTGTCCGAACATGAAGAAGGAGAGTGCAGTCAAGTCTAACTACTGCCAACCCTATAGTACAGCTAGCACTCGCACCTCATAACCAGAAGGTCCCAGGTTCACTTCCCGAACTGGACGGTACCTTTCTGTGTGCGGTTTCACACAGAAAGTGTTACCCAGCCCATGTTGATCCCTCGGTGCTTCTCTGCAGTCGCCCACTGCTCCTGATAGGATTGAAGGATGGGTCAAATGCGTCACATTTTCCCCACAGACAATAGAGTTAACCTTGACTTTAACCATGGACCAGAAATAAGACATGCGGGCTGAGAATCAAAAGGGAGTCAGTGATATTCAGGTAAATATCTACTATTTAAAAAAACTAAATCACCCTTCATGTAATGTATATATGAGGTGGCTATAATCCATCCTGCTTCATCTATATATTTATATAGAGGGTTATTTTTGTGTCTTTTTAAATAGTACATCTTTAGTCTTTCAAGAGCACCTGGTTTTTATATTGTCTGTATTTATCCAGAAGCTAGTCCCATGTCCTGGCATAAGAACTATATGCCAGGACATGGGACTTTTGATCAATAACTCAGAAATCATAGTGAATAGTTTAGGCATATTTTACTTTGAACATAGCTCAACAGAAGCTTTCATCTGCGTATTTATTTGGAACTCCATTTTGCCCAAAGACACTTTTGATTCTCTGCCCTCAATGCTACTAAAATAAAGTACAGATCAACACTTATTGTAAACATGAAATACAGTATCTGACTTATCAGCAGTTTTGTAAAATAATTGTAAAATAACTGTGTACTGTAAAAAAAAAAATCTGTAAAATATATATATTTTTAATAAAATATACAATTTGGACATGTCAGTATTTTAAAGAATTACAAATGTTTAGCTATTTAATTTATATTTCACACCATCTCCATCCATTGTATTGTGCAATAGAGTTACGATTTGGAATAAAAACAGAAATCCAAGTAATTGTTTTTACTTTATTACAATCATTATCTTACAAAAAAAATTATATGTACAGGGTTTAGTTTTAAGCCTATTAACAGCAGGATATAGTAACTTCATTATAAAACTATGAAACAATATTACAACATTTACAATACATCTTTGTGCAAATTTCTCACATATAATATATAAAGACACAGGCAGGTTTATTTTGTAGATCGGCATCTTTGTTTGCTTCTTTCGTCCAGCTCTCGCTCCAGTGAGTTGTTGTGAAGGACGCTCTCCAGGGCGAGAAACTGGAAGGCCTTGTTACGCTGAGGGAACACAACAGAAACGAAAGTCAGACAAAAACCAAAAAACACAGGGCATGAAATTAAAGATGCACTATGTAACCTTACTGGTCTCCATGTTATTGCTTTGCCTGGAATATGCCACAATTTTGTATGCTTAAACTGATTTATATTGTTTTTGAAACTTGCATTCTGAGAGATAATATAAGTTCAATGCCATACTGTGGAACATTCCAGGTAAACCATCTCCCGGAGACGAGCAGGTATTGTGACCTCTACGAGAAATGTTACATAAAACACATTTAACTCTAGTCATTTAGCCAAAGAGATTAATTTATTGGCTGATTAATATCTTTATTGTAGCTCTGTGTCATGTCCGGCCACACTAAAGCTGGTTTAGTCCTGGTTTGAGCCCAGTTTAGTCCTGACATAGACTCGGTTTGGTCCGGCTCAAGTCCTGGTTTAGTCCCAGTTTAGTTATAATACAATAATGTTAATATTTTTGATGCTTACCCTCTGGTAGTTTCTGTACATCTGAATAAGGACGAAGAGAAGAATGAGCACGAGCAGAGTCAGTCCAACCAGGAGGAGAACGGCATTATGGGAAACACGGACAGACCTCTTGCCCCACTGTCCCTCTAGTGGAAAAATACACATCAACATTTATTTTCATTTCACAAAAAAAAAATTAAATGTTATAAATCCAGTACATCTTGTGGTTGAAAATGAAATGTGTTTAATTAAGATCTTTATTTTAGTCGAAAGAACACGCTCTTACCCATGTTGTGAATGTGGTGCGTTACATTTCCCAGAAGTCCTTGTTGTCCGTAAAAGAGACACGTCCACTGTCCTCCTGATGTTTGGCTCACAGTGACCCTCTGACCTGTTTGGACCGAGGCGGTGAACTCGGTCCCGTTCAGGTCAAAGGTCGTGTAGATCCACTTGTATTTTGTGACGGCGCTCGGGTCGCTGAGTCGGCACGTCAGTTCGACAGCTTCCTTTGACAAAATCTCCACCTCAACTGGAGACAGAAGAAGTACAGTTGGATTGTTAGTAAAGACAGTTAGACAGATAGTTAGATATTTTGGAGAGGCTGATACAATTGTAGACAGGACACTTTTTTGCTTTTAAAATACCCTGACAAGATTTTGATGTGAATTATTTCTGTCACAATCCCAAGAATTCAACTAAAAACATATTTCTTCATGTTGTCTGTGCTGAAATGAATCATGGGATATGTAGTTCCTGATGTTTAATAGCTATTGGTACTATAAAACCAAGCATTTAAGCAAAGGATTTTGTAATTTGATATATTGTGACAGACCACGGTATTATTGATTGATATAGATTGAGACTTTTGACGATGATTACGATATCACAATATTTCAGTTATTGTTACATTCCTAGTTGTTAGAGTGAAAATTTGTGTAAAAAATGTGCAAAAAAAATTCTACATGAGTTAAATTTACCGTAATTTTATTTAATTTAGATTCTGGTTTTGAGTGGTCTTGTCTCATGATTTTATTTAGTTTTAGATGTACATATTTTAAAGGGCCCATATTACGCTATTTTGTTTTGTTTCATTCACACAGGCTGAGTTCTCTCAAACAGAAAACACTTTGTTCCACTTTGTAATGTAATTTGGTAATACAGGAAGTGCTCCACTGTGTTTTTAAACTCCACACACCTTCACTAGAATCAGCTGGACAATTTCAGGCATTTCAGGAATTGACAATATGTCCTAATCTAAAGGTAAAAGATGGAATAGAGCACTTTGACTTTTTGAGATGTAGACAGAATAATAATAAAATAATTAAAAAGTTAATCAGACATGTGTGAATGAAACGAAACACAACTCCAGGTAGGTTTATAATGAGATAACAACATCCTAACATGTCTTAAAGCTCACAAGAGTAAATTTTCTGTAAGATATAAATGCTTTAAGCCTACTAACTACATATATAAAGCAGATAAAGATTAAAAAAATAAAATAAAAATCCCTCAAATTTGCAATATGCTTTTTATAATTTTACAATAAACTAAAATATTCAGTAAATAAAAAATATATATAATTAAAATCACTAACTGAACTAGAACTGAACTAACTAACTATATATTTTTTCCATTGTAAAAACTAACCTTTGGCAGTGACCAGCTGCAGTCTCCGCTGTGTCTTCAGTCCCAGGACGGAGGCAGAGCACCTGTACTGACCCGCGTCCTCGAAGCTCACTTCATTTACGGCAGCAGTTTTGTCCCCCGAAGAGAGAGAGGGTGAAGGGGCAGAGAAGGAGGGAGGGAGCGTCAAGGGTTTGGAGGTGGTTTTATTCTCTAATCTTTCCCAGAATGCATTGGAGGGGGTTAGTCCGTCGGAAAAGACACAGGGGAGTGTGACTGCAGAGCCCACAGCTGCATAAACCTGTGCGTTGTCGCTCGGAGGTTGGATAATGCCTAGAAAATAATAGAGATTTTTTATTATTTTACATTAGAAATAAGGTAATTTAAAATCTCAAATGAAACTTTAGGACAGAAATTCTTAAGATGGAGAAACAATTGTATTATAACTGGGAGGTTGGTAGTTCAAATCTCCGTCTAGTCGGTCTTGAGCAAGAGACTTCATCTACTTTGTTAAACTGAGTGAGTGACCAAGCATTCTCTGTAAGGCCCTATTCACCTAACCATATTTTACCAAAATCAAATGTGGAATTATGAAAGAATAATAGACTGCAGAAATATAATTTTGATTACACTACAGCAGCCCAAAGTTTATTTCATTTTTATTTTTATTAACCTTATCTTTCTGCAGTCTTAAAGTAATAAACCTATATTTTTATAACAGATGATAGACTCAGTATTAAACAACTCTAACTGTTTTCTTTTCTTCTATTTCCGTTTGTTTTTATTTCTATTTTCAAGCTAGAATATTTCTTTCGGTAAAGTTAGATCTTAACTTTGTGTGAATTCGCACTGTAGAATATGCAGGCAAGTCATTTTTGCTTGAATTACGAAATGTTTGAAACTAGTCTGATTGATCTACAAAAAGTATAATCTATAGCTCTACTAAAGAATTAAATTTTTAAAAATGCAATAATTAATCCACATTAAATATTAAAGTTTTGAAATTATTATTAATAATTAAATATGTAAGAAGCTTTGAGGGACTAGAAGGTAGAAAAGCGCCGTATAAAACTCCCACCATTTTATAATTAGTCTTTTTGCACAGAGTTTTTCTTTGTAATTCTGCCGATGTTGTATATTTGCATTCGCATATCAAACTCTACTTTTATTTATCTTAATTTAATGCATTCCCTTGCTGTTCTTTTATCATAGTTTATCTTGACTATATGATAAGCAAATTCCTACAGATTTTTTTTATTCTGATACTTTGATTTTGATATTATCCACCTCCTATAACCGTCCTATAACTATTAAATGCTATTGAATATAAGTTCATTAAATTTTATTCCTATTTAATGACTACTTTGTCTCACCTTTCACATCCAAAAGTGCGCTCGCTCTCCCCTCTCCGTCCTTGGAGTTAACCACACAGGTCCAGTTTCCGCTCATCGTCTCTTCACCTTTTATCCTCAGTGCCATGTTCTGATCTCGTTTGATTCTTCTGGCGATGCTCGAGTCCTGTGGCTCATACGGTCGTCCGTTTAACATCCAGCGCTTCGTTGCTCCACTTAGCCTCATCACCTCGCCTTCACTGACACTGCACTGAATGAACACGTTCTGACCCATGAGAGGAACGGGAGGTGAAATTGACACTGCAAAATAAAAATAATAGACGTTTAGGCATTGGTGTGGTCCTGGTTTGAGTCCTGGTGTAGACTGGGTTTGGTCCTGGTCTGGTCCTGGTTTAGTTTAATGTGGACAAGAGCTGGTTTTCAGTATTTTTAAATGAATTACCTCAACGAAAATCCACAAATGTTGAACACATACACGAACACGTTTCTGTTAATGACTATGCTCTTGATCTGAGTATAGAGTTGGGTCCAAGTCGTTGTTTTGCAAATCTCAAGTAAGTCTCAAGTCTTTGCCCTCAAGTCCGAGTCCCCAATCAAATACAGGCAAGTCCAAGTCGAGTCTCAAGTCACTGGCCCAGTCAAATCCAAGTCGTCTGCTTTGAGCTTTAAATCATTTCAAGTCTTTAAACCAAAATACCAAATATAGCTTAGATTTTTGCAATTTATTTGAATTTTAAACAAAATTTTTTCTTTTTAAAAGTTTTGACAAGATCGTAGTGTGAATCATTACGGTCAGAACAGAAAGAATTTAGATGTAAAAATGCTTCTCAAGTCTTCTCAAGTCACAGGCCTCAAGTCTGAGTCTAGTCCCAAGTCAATGACCTTCAAGTCCAAGTCGAGTCCTGAGTCTTAGTCCAGTTTATCAAGTCAAGTCTCAAGTCCTAAAATTAGTGACTCAAGTCTGACTCGAGTTCAAGCCCCACCTCATACTGAGTATATTACAATAGTTATCATGTAAATCTGCATATTAACAATAGATTTGTTATAATTTTGTTTTCATAGGTCATAATTTCAGATGGAGACAGCGCTAATATAACTCTATGGGTGCGGCAAGATTTACCTTGAAATGAAATGTCAGAAATAACAGAATAACCCCAAGTGTTAAACCAGGTTATTATTTGTTAAGAGATTAAATTCACAAATTTGCAAACAGATAGTTATATTCTATGTCAAAAATTGTGAAAATGCAGTGGTTCTGAGCTCGTTAATGGTTAATATTTCTGTAATTACTGGGAATTTCCATCAATTGGTTTTCTTCTGCTTTGAGGCTCACCACAAGAAACTAAAACTAAAACACTGTCCTTCACACTCTGCACAAACACTGGCAGGTGTTAGATTCTAGAAAATGCCAGACAGTGGAGTTTATGTGGGTTTCTCACTTCTACTGTAGTTACTTTCTTCAAAAAACATGCAGTAATCCCAATTCTCCAGTTAAGTAATCTGGGATACTAGCTCAAGAACTGGAGAGGACAAATATTCCTATGCAGACTGTAAAATATACAAAAAAATATATATTATTACTGGTTCAACATTTGTGGATTTTGAAGAATACTTTTTTTTTGTATCCAAAGTTTTGTCTTGGTTAGATCTACTGCAACAATAGTGTAGTACTAAATATTTAGGCCTGGTTTGACCCTAATTTAAGATTTTGAGAGCCATTTCCGTAGAATAATATAGAGTTGACGAAAGTATTGAAAAGCGGATACTTATCAAAACTAAATACTCATTTGAACAGGTAGCAATACTACAAAAAAGTCACATTCACAGGACAGAAATGAACCTTTCCTGAATAGTTTTAGAATGATCTTGACCTTTATCAGAACAAGTTTACACAGATCACATGGTAATATTCAAGAAAGTACTACAATTTAATGTTGAAAATCACATTCTATTGTCTAAAGAAAGAGCGGCTTTAATTATCATTGTGGAATCGGTATCAAGTATTGAGTTTGTCAGTATCAAAATCATTAGAATAGTATTTCCTGTTTCTCTCCATCAGATATTCTAGCCAAATCTAAACGCACATTATAATTTAAGTCCATCTCACCTTTAATAATCCTGAGAGTGACCGTGACAGTCGTGGTCCTCTTGTTGTTCGTCTCCAGAGTGCAGGTGTAAAAGCCTGCGTCCTCCTCCCTCACGCTGAAGATCTGGAGACTGTAGTCCCCCTCGTGGAACTGCTTGTGAGGGCATTTGACACGAGACCCCCAACTCGCACTATAGAAACGCATGCCGCCGCTCTGCATCTTCCAAATTGAGCTAAACACACAAAGAAATCAAAGAAATTAAAGTCAGATTTCAATCCACAGGTATTTTTTGGAACGATAAAACGTGTGCACAAAACAATATTCGTAATTATAATATATGTAGACAACAATTAAAAGGTAAAGTCATGAAGTTCATAAGGCTGAGAGTAAGATTTTTTGCATGAGTTGGTCTTAAGATAAACTTTATTGTTCTGTGTGTATAGCGCAAAATAAAATGGAAAACTATTGCAATTTATTGGCACAAATTCATTTTGGAAAAGCTGACTGAGAATATATCTTATAAAATGTTAGACAGTTGACTAGAATTGCTTTTCAGAGCAGTAGACTTGTTATTTTCTTTTTAATACACTGTTGTACATTTGCAGGGCTTAACTATAAGAGAAAAACAAGATTTGATAACACTAATCACAGTAATTACAGCTTAATAATTAGTGCAATTTTCCAATATAATTTTAGACAAAGCAAATTCACTTAAATTAAAACAAAATTAAAGATTGCTCAAACATGCACAGACTTCGAGAGGGTAAATGAGAAGGGGAAACAACTGTAACGCAAGCTCTGAAAAGTTGATTTTGCAGAGGAGGTCTGCAGCACAATTTTCCAATTTACTTTTACACACAAAAAATGAAAATAAAACAAATAATAAAGACCATATTTAACAGCCACACAGTGAAATAAAGTAAGAAATAAAATAAAGTAAAACCAAAACAAGTAACAACTAAAAAAAATAAACCACCCAAAATCGAAACAAAAAAAAATCTAGAAAAATTTAGATGAATTGATGACATTTCTTATTATTTTTTGAAATATTGTGCAGTTGTAATTTGCATATATAAATAAAAAACAAAAATTCGATAACTCACCCTTTGCTGTTGCTCCATGTAACTGCTGGAGACACTCTTTGGGGGGGCAGGGTACAGGGCAGAACAGCCATAGACCCAACTTCAGCAAAAACCTCTTTATTCTCACAATCTGAAACAAACAAAACAAAAATATATTTCAGTATTTCAATTTCAATTCACTACTATAATAACTTTTCAAAATGTGTATTCCTTGCTCAGTAAAATCACCTTTGAAAAGAAGACATAGAATTACAAAACTGATCAGCTTTGAAATCATTTTGGCCGCCGTGTGCGCTCTGTGAAAGTGAATTGATGAATTGCGTCTCGAGAGATCGGTGGAGGTGTTTTAAAGAAGGGGGCGGGACGTTCAGAACGAGGAGGCTTTGCGCTCGTGTGTGGAGTGTTTTTGTCAAATGGAAAGTATAACACAGAAGTAAACAGGGGAACCCACTTCCTCCCACGGATTCTCTCTCTCATTCACGTAACAGGTCCTCGTTTAACATAATGATGGGAGTCATGTTTGAGTGGAGGATGCCCTCGTTTAATCCTGGTTTTGTTGTGGGTGTAAGTTTGAGTAGGTACGTTTTTAGAATTGGTGCAAACTTAATTTCTATGAGCTACTTTAAGCTCATAGTGATATAGTGATATTAATCTATGGCAGACCTGGGTATTTTACAGAAGTGGGGACTTTGACTTGGACTCGAGTCAGAATTGAGTCACTATTTTTAGGACTTGAGATCTGAATTGATAAAATGGACTAAGTCTTGGGAATCGACTTGGACTTGAGAAGATTTGAGAAGCACTTTTAAATCAGAATTCGCCCTATTCTGACCGTAATGATTCACTCTAAGATCTTGTCAAAACATTTAAAAAGGAAAAATGTCCATTTCTACAACTCTTATATACTCTATAAACACTCATATATAAATATACTATCACTTTATAAGTACAATTTATCTGGAAAGTCAAATAAATTGCAAAAATCTAAGCTCTATTTGGTACTTTGGTTTAAAGACTTAAAATGACTTGAAGCTCAAAGCAGACGACTTGGACTTGACTTGGACTTATGGGCCAGTGACTCGAGACTCGACTTAGACTTGCCTGTATTTGACTTGGGACTTGACTCGGACTTGAGGTCAAAGACTTGAGACTTAGTTGAGACTTGCAAAACAAGGACTTGGCCCCACCTCTGTATTGTTCAGCTCCTGGACCACATAGAGTCCTTTAGTTGACTCTGACCGGCCCTTTTAAGATAATCTGGAATTACAAAATAAACATACTTTATATTTTTACCTCATGCATGGCCTAAAGCCACATTGCTTTTATTTAGAGGTGTTTTTTTTTTTGTAAAACAGCCTCTCTTTTTCATAGCTTAGTCATAACATAAACTCTTACCAGTCTCATCAGTTTATCAAACACAATGACATTTACTGCTTTCTTCTAAAGAAATACAATTAATATTCAGCAGAATTGAGTCAAGCATTTTGGCCCGGCCCTCCACAATATTTTCTGTTTCTCATGTGGTCCCATGGAAAAAACAATTGCCCACCCCTGGGTTATGATTTTGTCACAATACAGTGATTCATAGGACCCACAATGCAATGTTATAATGTTATGGTAATTGATAATGATGAGGGATGTAACGATCCAAATCTCTCTGTACAATATTTTCACGGCATACATCTCACGGTACGATATTTATTGTGATATTTTGGAGAGGCTGATATAATTGTAGAGAGGATACTTTTTTTGCTTTGAACATACCTTGACAAGATTTTGGTGTGAATCATTACTGTCATTAAGTAAAAAACATATTTCTTCATGTTGTTTGCACTGAAATGAATCATGGGATATGTAGTTCCCCATGTTTATAAGCTGTTGCTACTGTAAAACAATGCATTTAAGCAAAGGAATGTGTAATTTAATATATTGTGACTGCGCACGATATTATTGTGAGACTTTTTACGACACAATATCACAATATTTCGATTATTGTTACATCCCAAATAATTATTGATACTTTGCAGATGCCATCAACATGTCGTGATGTAACTGAAAGCACTGCTCTGTCTGAAGCTCTGCAGCATTAATTTACAGTTTTGCTGAAAATCAAACACCTTAACTGGACTGTGAACACTTGTATTGATCACATGCTCCTGAAAATAACAGTTTAAATCCATTTTGTATATATTTTTTCTTTTTTTTATCTGTGTTAAAGACATTGCAAAGTATCGATATTATAAAAGATTCTACAAGTTGAATAATATTAGGCCCATAAAAATAGAATAAATGGTAAAGTGCATGGCTGTGTTGTCAGGTGCACTTCTGTAATAGCACAACTTAAACGGGAATATTGAAATGTTTCTTAATAATATAGGCCATAATGTGTTTGTGTATTTGCATATGTTCCAAATCTATTGTGTGCAAATGTCTTGTCTCTATTCTACAGTGATATCTGATTTAGACGTGGTTTTGTGTGTGGTTCAGGCCTATATTGTGCACATACTGATTAAATGCATGAGTCTGTACTTCAATAACCAGTAAATGGTGTCTGTATATATCTGTGACCAACCACCGATCTGAGAATGATAAATGTACATATTGAAGGCGGTGAATCATGCTCTCCTCTTTCCTTTTCGTCAACACAATGAATAACATGCTCTCATTTCTTCTGGTGGTTCTCAGGATCTGCAGTTACAGGTTCTTGAGTATTGCATGTTTTCATCAGATTTTAGACCCTGGTTTGGACCTGTTTAATCCAGTTTAAATCCTGGTTTATTCTTTAACCTAATATTTTAAACCTGTCCAATAATTTAGACCTGGTTTCAGTCCCAGTTTATTTCTGGTCTAGTTTAGGTCTGAATTAAACTAGACTTGGTTTAGTCCAGTTACTAACTTCCCAATTCCTGCTTTAGTCCTGGTTTAGTCTTGGTTTTTGGTCTAGTCTGAGTTTAGTTTTTATTAAATCCAGTTTATAACCTGTTGTTCTGTCCTAGTTAAGGTTTTAGACCAGGGGTGGGCAAACTACGACCCAGGGGCCATATGCGGCCCTTTAATCTTCTTAATCCAGCCTGCTGACCTTGAAGAACAATAATAATAATAATTTTCAGTGTTTTTCAAAGTCATTTCAATAAATAGTAAATACAATGGGACTTAAAGAGAGATAGTTTGTTGTAGAGCTTTAATGATTTTCAATTATGGGATATTTTAATAACATGGGACATATTTTCTACATATCCAATGTTATTTTGTTCTCTTATGAGGTGGATTGCCAAAAAACTCCATCCATCTGCCCCTGGTTCGGCCCTTCTGTCAAATTTTAGATCCCTTTGTGGCCCTTGAGTCAAAAGGTTTGCCCACCCCTTTTTTAGACAGAAACATTTCAAACATTAAGTGCTAATTTAAACCTGGATTAATCATGTTTTTATGTTGGTTTAAGTTGTATTTTTGTTTTGTTTTGTCATGTTTTAAAGCTATACATTCCTGGCTTAGTCCTGGTTTAGATCCCTATTTTGGACCTTGTTTAATCTGGTTTTATACCTGGTTTAATCTTGGTTTAGTCCTAGTTAAATGTTTAATTAATCCAGTTTAAAACCTGCCTTGTTTTAACCATGGTCCTACAGTTAATCCTGGTTTTTGTCCTTGTTTAGACCTCTTTCAATACTATAGTTGATTCTTGATCGCACTGCTACTCGATAGTTCAAGTTTTCTGAGACTTCTTGGAGTTAAAAGTTTCACAAGCGACTGATGCAACAATTATATCAAACAACAAAATGAAAATCGGTTCTCCTTCCTGTTTTGCGGAGTCCCCAGTGAGAAAACCACAGTGTGTCCTGGTTCACACATACATACTTCTACATACACGTGCCAGCTGTGCCTTTCCTTCACTTCGATCTGAATTTGTGGTCCAATTTTGTGGTCCACTGTAGAAGCCGAGGAAAGCCCCCCTCACATGCAAACGGGCCAGAGGAGTGACACCGCCATGCTAATCTCTCACTGTGGAAAATAAGCAAATAAGACACAGTAAATGTTCTGTTCAGTTTTTCCTACACATTTTGTATGCACAGTAATTTCCATTTACATGGTTACAAAGAATTTAGAAATACTGAGTCTAAGGACCATTCATTGTTAGGGTTTTGTCACTGATTGGACCTATTTAGACCTTTTAGTTACAATCTATGGCTGGTTTTGCTGGTTTCGACCTAGTTTTATTTACCCGGAACGTTCAGAATCATAACCATCTACATTTTTATATTGGACAGGTGTGAATTCTGGATCCAGGCAACAAGTTTTGGCCCTTGTTACGTACTTGAAACCTGAAACTTTAAACCAGTAAGCCTGGTTTAGTCCTGTGCCCTGGTTTCGTCATGGTTCATTTATCTTTTAGCCCTGGTTTTGTCCTGGTTTGATCTTGGTTTTGTCCTGATAGTCGTGTTTTAGACTTGGTTAAGTCGTGGTTTAAACCCGAGTTTACTTCGAGTTTAGACCTGGTTTAGTTTACTGTAGACCTGATTTAGTCCTGATTTGGAGACCACCTGGTTTTAGACTTGACTTAAACCTCGTTTAGTCCCGTGCCTTGGTTTCGTCATGGTTCATTCATCTTTTAGACCTAGTTTCATCTTGGTTTGATCTTGGCTTTGTCCTGATAGTCTTGTTTTAGATTTGGTTAAGTCGTGGTTTAAACCCAATTTCACTTCTAGTTTAGACCTGATTTAGTACTGTTCTAGTCTTTGTTTAGTCTGTAGTCTTTCTGTTGTCTTTTGACCTGGTTTGGTTTTGTTCTAGTTCATGTTTAGTCTAGATTTAGATGTGGTTCAGTCCTATTTTAGTCCCAGTTTAGTTTTGTCTCTTGACATTCACACATGGTTCAGGGACCAAAAACTTTGGTACCGGGCCCCAAAGAAAAATATTATATATCAGAGGTCGTTATTTTGCAAGTCTCAAGTAAGTCTCAAGTCTCTGTTCTTAAGTCTGAGTCCCAAGTCAAATACAGGCAAGTCCAAGTCGAGTCTCGAGTCACTGGCCTAGAAGTCCAAGTCAAGTCCAAGTCGTCTGCTTTGAGCTTCAAGTCATTTCAAGTCTTTAAAACAGAGCACCTTAGATTTTTGTAGTTTTTATGAATTTTAAACTAAATTGTACTTAAAAAGTCTTGGTGCATTTATATATGAGTATTTATATAAGAGTTGTAGAAATTAATTTAGTACATTTTTCCTTTTTAAATGTCTTGACAAAATCTTAGTGTGAATCATTACGGTCAGAACAGAAAGAATTCTGATTTAAAAGTGCTTCTCAAGTCTTCTCAAGTCGCAGGCCTCAAGACCCAAGTCACTGACCTTCAAGTCCAAGTCGACTCCCAAGTCTTAGTCAGTTTTATCAAGTCCTAAAAATAGGGACTCAAGTCTGACTCGAGTCCAAGTCATGACTTGCAAATCCCCACCTCAGACTGAGCGTATTACAATACAGTTATCATGTAAATCTGCATATTAACAATAGATTTGCTATAATTTTGTTCTCATAGGTCATGATTTCAGATGGGAAAAGGGTTAAGATACAGTAACTCTATCGGTGCGGAAAAATTTTCAAATGAAATATCAGAAATAACAGAATAACCACAAGTGTTAAACCAGATTATTATTTGTTAAGACATTAAATCCACAAATTTGCATATTGATAACAGTTATATTCCATGTTTCCAAGTCCCGACCTCTATTATATATTTATTTTTTAAAAAGAAGTAAAGGTCTTTTTAGTCTATCACTATATTTCCTCTGAAAGTATAGTGCAAATAAACCTAAACATCAAACATGAATATTAACACTGTTTTTTTCAAACTATAATTAAATTTTGTGCTTTTATTACTGGCCTGTCCAACTCCACTGGTCTGCAATATATATATATATATATATATATATATATATATATATATATATATATATATATATATATATATATATATATGTATGTATGTATTATGAGTCTTTACAAGAAAAAAAGTTTGGAGACTGCTGCACTAGATGACATAGTTAACATATCACTTTAGATTCTGAGTCGAGGATCTGTGGTGCCAATGCGATGGACAATAGTTCAAACTGTGCTATAAACATTTGACAATATGCAGACTGGTGGAAAAGAAGCAAGGCTTTACCAACCGCTTTAGTCATATCGTTTGTTATTTAGTAAAACAGAAACTTGCGCCAGTGCATTTCTTTTCACACCTTATTTCAGAATTCGTGTTATTGTGAATGATTGTAAACAGGGCAGATCTGCGCAGACACAGTCGCTGCTGATGCGTTTTACTGGCAGCAGGAGACGCAGGTCATGAAAACCAATCCACAAACGCTTCAGTTTCAGTTTAGTCAGCGTTCATAGAAAAAAACATGACGCTTTTTTCTCCAATACAGCACACATCCAATCACTGAGTCTGTTTACAAGTACAGCAATAATTTGATCATCGCCTGATTTCTGGAATTGCTTAGTGTTTATTTTGATCGGAATTAGCACCTGCAGCATGTTGCATCAGATACTTTTACTGGGCTCATTTTAAATTTTAGTTATCATTCAACTAAAAACTATTACATCTCTGCATCAATACTGTGTAACTTGCCACTTGCTCCAGATTAAAAACACTGAATCCAAGTACCACATAAAATGACATGAATCCCAGCTCACACCTGCCTTATGCACATTGTCTTTAACATTTCTTTACAATAATTCTTTCTGAGTTGCTTTTTGAAGCTATAACGAACACTGTGTCCTCTTATATTCAGTGGTAAACAATTCCTTTCCTTTGTGGCTGTAAACTGCATCACTGCATTTTTGCCCTGACTAGTTACTTTTTCAATCAATAACTTAATTAATCCCAAAGGACAATTCAGGTTTGCAGATCTCTGGTCATGCAAAAACATAAATAAATCTCTGGTCATGCACAAACCATAAATAAAATCATGATACAACACACACCATCCAGGGTTTTGGCATAAAACACTGCTCCAGACAAACAATGAGGACTGAAAGAGGGTTTTGGTAAACACAGAGGATATTATAAAATGATATTGAGAAGTTGTAATAATATTTCTTTAAAAGCCTGTTTTGGCATACAACCATCTATCCTTTAAGCCAGGCTGGTGCCTCCACTCAAATTCATTTCTCTCCTGTGACTAGGTCAGGAATCGGAATACACTAAGCAGTTCGCAACAACTCCGAAGTGCGAGTCCAGGCACCAGCCAATCAGTGCAGAGTCATACATTCTGTGTTGGCAACGATTCTCAAGATTGAGGATTTAAAGCTGGAACAAACAGAATGTTCGGTTAATTTTATCAAGGGGAAAGACGTTATTGCCCTTCTTCCTACGGGATTTGGGAAAAGCTTAATATACCAGTTACCAGCCCCATTAGCGTACGTCATATAAACCACGACCAACTAGCAGCAATTGGTTACATTTAAAAAGTACCTGTATACTGTCAATCAAACAAATTCTAACGCTGCAAGGTCAAACGGTTTCCACGAAGTGAAACTGGCTGATGAATCAGGCTACTATCCTTTACCCAAACCCAAAAAATGATCTTATGCATTTTAGCAGCATTAATCCTAAAAGCAGTTTAGTTCCACATATGCAGCTTTGTTTGGCACCAGCTGTTATTTTCTCACATTATTCACTGTTTGACCAAACGACGTCACAATAATCCATGAGATAAAAACAGGCTCTGAATGACATATGGGATGATTTGTTTAGTTAAGTCTTTTGAGCATTTTTATTTCTGCTAGACTATGCCTCATTTTAGAGAGCACAATGTTCACTTGGGGTTTGTTAATATTGCACGTAAAGAGTTGTGAAAATGTCATGATAGGATCTAAACCGGATGTGAGTAATCTGATAATACTCTAATAATATGTAGGCGAAGTGTATCTGTTTTATAATGTGGACGTACCACAGGCCAGTGATCAAATCTCCAGTTTTCTGATTTGACTTGCAGCTTAAATGTTATTGTCAAGCAAAGCAGTTTCTCTGAAACTGAACGACAATGCTTGTCTCAGTGGAAATGTTGTGGTTTTGCCTGCAAACTCCAGAGTATAGCATCAGGCAAACTAGAATTGTTCATTTATTTCAGTGGTTTTACCACTCAAACATACCTCAAAAACATGCAGGAGTAATCAAACATGCATGGATGACATACAAAACCACCCCATTAACTACAAAAACTAATTTTGCATAATACCCAAAAAAGAATATATTGTTTCTTACAGAAGGAACAGCTGTACAGTCCATTTTTTATTTTCATTTGCTTTGAGATATTTTTTTTTCTTGCAGATTGGTTGGCTGAAAGGTGTGTCTCAAAGCCTCGTCTCAGACTTTTGTTTATCACCATTCACTGTATATAAACACAAAAATGTATAAACAAAAGCTTTCTACATTCCACAATGCAGGCAGCTGGAAGCAAAAACAAAATGGAACACAAAGAAGATTTTAATGGGATTATCTTCAGAGTATCATTAAAAAAAAAAAAAAAAAAGAGATGAATGATGAAAAATCAATGGAAATTTTGCAAATGAAAACCACTCGAATACATGTGAGCGATAACAGAACTCCGTTTGAAAACACTCACAACTGTGTTTTACCTCATTTCTTTATTTAACAAGCGATTCTGATAGACACTAAGATGCTTTTTTAAATCTACAATCCAGATTTTTTTTGGTTTTACTGGACAAATCCTTACAAAAAAGTTGAGCCCTCTACAGTTTTTCACTTCATCTAGAGCAGGGGTGTCCAAACTATTTTCAACAACGGCCACATTTCTATACACAGACAAGGCAGAGAGCTGATCGAGGGCCATAGACTGGAGCTCAGTGCAGTGAATTATTGAAATATGTGCAGGTTTAACACGTTAGAATGAACCATCAGTCTTTATTCACGCTAAGATCCTTAAACTCACACACTAAATATTAAATATTCGCTTTATCAAGGTGGATTTAAAAAAAAAACTTGCAGTAAAAAGTTCATTTTTAATTAATGCAAGATAATTTGGGCCAATTCACCTGGAAGTCTGAGGGCCAAGAAAAATTGGGCCCTTTACAAAACAAAAATTGCTACCTTTACAAAACAAAAATGCCAAAGAGCTACTTATTTTAACAGTTGCAAGAAATGTAGTAAATATATAGGCCTTAGATTAGGGAAGGTTAGATAAATAAAATATAAACCATTATTCATTTATTAGTGCAGAAACTGGGCATTAATATGGTAAATTTACAATGGTAGTTAATAAAATTTTACTTATTCAGCACAATATGTATAATTCAGAAATACCTTGGCGAGTTCCTTGGAATGGGATGGAGAGCTACAGGTTGGAGACCCCTGATCTACAGAAATATTACACATTTCATCATAAATCATACTTTTTGTGAAGCTCAGATACAGTTTGAGGTTAGAAATGTGTTTTTTTCCATCCTTCTTAAAAGAGAAAGAAAACTAACCATAACATGTGTACCTTGGAAAATCAAAATTGTTGTTTATTATTTGTTATTTGTTGTTTATTGTTTTCTTTGTTCATTTCTGAAGCCAGTGTGAGATAATATTTTGACCCCCATAGTATATAGTAAAGTTAAGTAGTTGACTCCCCTTACTTTTTTCTTTAGTAGTTACTTATATGACCATTATTTCTCATGTAATTTACTTTTATTATATATTGCTATATATTCGCGATCTTTTAAGGTATTTTAAGGAATGTTTTGATGGATAATGACTTGGTATTTTGTGTAAATGTAACAGATTGTTAAAATTGCATATACATATAGCAATCTTGTCACTTTTTATATTGTATTTTACATTGTTACGGTTTTTAGTTTGCTATGTTCAGATAATCCTTTATCATAATGTCAATTTAAGCAATGGTTTGTAAATATAATGACCTTGAATTTAGTCATGTTGTGTTATAATAAACATATTGGGGGTTAGATTACTATAGTCATAGGATTTTGACCTCCTTTATATACAGTGTTGGGAAGGTGACTTTTAAAATGTATTCCCCTACAGATTACAGATTACATACCTCAAAATGTAGTTTGTAACGTAATCCATTAAATTACTTAAAGTGAGTAACGTAATCTGAATACTTTGGATTACTTGATTTGCTGTAGAGAAGCAAAGACGAGGAAATTTTCATTTAAGATGTTTTGTCTGCTAAAAGAAAATAAAAAGCCCAGACTTTACTGAACCGTCTTAAAAATATTATTGATAGAAGAGGAGGAGACACGGTTCACGCAGCATGATTTAGTCCTGGTTTAGTCCTGTTTTAGTCCTGGTTTAGTCCTTGTTTAGTCCTGGTTTAGTCCTGGTTTAGTCCTTGTTTAGTTTAGTCCTGATTTAGTGTTTAGTCCTTGTTTAGTCCTGGTTTCACACCTGGTTTAGACCTGGTTTAGATCTAGTTTAAACCTGCTTTTAGTCCTGTTTTAGTCCTGTTTTAGTCCTGTTTTAGTCCTGGTTATAGACCTGGTTTGGACCTGGTTTTAGTCCTGGTTTTAGACCTGGTTTAGACCCTGGTTGAGATCTAGTTGTAGACCTGGTTTAGTTTCCGAGAATGAGTGGAATTACAGAGGGGAAAAAAAAAGAAAAAAAAAAAGGGATATAGCCCAAAATGTGAAAACAGGAAAATACCGCCATGTAATCCATTTATTTCAACAAAGTAACTGAAATCCAATTACCAGTCACTGAACCAGTAACTGTAACTGAATACAGTTACTTATAATTTGTACTCTGATTACGTAACTCCAGTACATGTAATCTGTTACTCCCCAACACTGTTTATATATAATAGATCATTGTCAATATTCATTAATATTACTTCTTACTTTACATCATAATAACTATAATAAACATATTGGGGGGTCAGATTACTATAGTCAAAAGTATCCCCTTTTTAACTACTCAATTGATCAGCCCCTGTCTATTTTAACAAGATTCCAAATCATTACACATCACTTGGATTACCAAACTAATTAATACCTACTTATCTCATTTTCAGTAAAATATGTGTTTAAACAACTAAGTAATTTTTAACATTCAAAAGTTATAATCGACATAAAAAATGCATCTGAGGTCTTCAAAAAACACTTTTAAATATGTCAGCAAGTTTTAATTTGCAGATATAGTATTAATATTCAAAGTTTTTCTATAGAATTCAAGTTCTTTATTAATAAAATAGATTTCCATAGGGGGTCAATATTCTATTGGGGGATCAACATACCATAATAGGATTCTGACCCCAGGGTCAAAATACTGTATGATATGTTGACCCCGGGGTCACCTCACCGAGGGGTCAGAATCCTATACCACACCATAACAGGGATGAATGCTCTCTTATATCTTGGATCAGTCCTGATGAAATGCGGTTACATCTTCTGTTTTTTATTTATTGTCTGTTTTTAAGGGGATGTGTGCATGTATTGTTGAGCTAAGCCTAAGTATTATTGAATTGCATTGTTTGTCAACTGTATGTCTGACACTGCTGCACAACAATTTCCCTCTAGGACAATAATAAAGCTGAAAGTTGAAGTTATAATGATGTAAAACCATTAGCTTTTAGATCTGTTAACTGGATCATTGAAAATATGTATTGTCTGCCTCCACTTGTGTACACTCCAGAATTTTTTTTTTTACATTTTTAAAGATTTTTAGGATTTTAGAAGTGTCTTTTCTTACAAGCTGAGCATCTAAAGCACACAGAACAGACGAAAGCTCTCTCACCTCGATGAAGTTTCACATGCGCCTCAAGATTTCTTTTTGTCTTTCTTTTTTCTTTTTTTTTTTCTTTTTTTTGGTGTTGTTGCGCAGGTCATATGACATTACGGTAGCAGCGCGGTGCATTGTGGGCACAAACAAACATGGCAGCGATTACAACAAGCATGTCCTTCTTCATATTCGCGTGATAATTTCGTTTATAATTCATGATTTACATTTAGTTTGGAGGTGAAATAACCGCGACTCACAGTCTTCTGAAACAGGTAATCCTCACGTAGTCTGATTTGAGGCTAAGATTTTTCGAAACTAATGCTAATAGGCTCGCGCTAGGGGTCATTGGTGTTGGATATTTTGTTTATTTTTGTTCATGTTTCAGATGATTTGGTGATATAGTTTTGTTTATTGTGCTTTAACCTTTTGTCACAGGTTTACTCTAAAGATGTCGTTGTTTGGGGGTTTTCTGAGGGCGTCTTGTCAGTCTGCCGGAGTCCTGCTGCGAACTGTCAAAAGCTTTTCCACAGGTAAAAACAAAACAAAACAAACAAAAAACACAGTTAGATTTTCATGCAGATATTTCTTTTCACTAATATATGTCAGATAGATCCATGCCTATGTTGACCAGTCATCTCTATTTACCCAGGACAGTCCCAGTTTTGAGCCCTGTGTCTCCTGTCCCAGCAGATTTATCCAAAACGACTGATTTGTCCCAGTTTTTTACAAGAAATTTCCCAATTTTTGACAAATTTGATCTAAACCAAGACTAAACTAAAATTAAACCAGGATTATATCAGGTCTAAACCAGGACTACACAAGGACTATCACAATTTTTGACTAATCTGATCAGCACCAACACTATAGAGGAGCATAAATTGTCACTTGTTTTGCCAAAATACAGGACTAAACTAAGATTAAACCAGGACTATATTAGGACTAAAACAGGACTATCACAACTTTTGACTAATCTGATCTCCACCAACACTATAGAGGAGCGTAAATTGTCAGTTGTTTTGCTAAAATACAGCATTAACTAGGACGAAATTAAGATTAAACCAGGACTACATCAGGTCTAAACCAGGACTACACAAGGACTATCACAAATTTTGACTAATCTGATCTCCGCCAACACTAAAGAGGAGCATAAATTGTCATTTGTTTTGCCAAAATACAGCACTAAACTAAGATTAAACCAGGACTATATCAGGACTAAAACAGGACTATCACAACTTTTGACTAATCTAATCTCCACCAACACTATAGAGGAGCATAAATAGTCATTTGTTTTGCCAAAATACAGCACTAAACTAGGACTAAACTAAGATTAAACCAGGACTATATCAGGTCTAAACCAGGACTACACAAGGACTATCACAAATTTTGACTAATCTGATCTCCGCCAACACTGTAGAGGAGCATAAATTGTCATTTGTTTTGCCAAAATACAGGACTAAACTAAGATTAAACCAGGACTATATCAGGCCTAAACCAGGACTATAACAGGACAAGTTGTCATTTGTTTTGCCAAAATACAGAAATCCGTGTTTGTGAATGACCTTAAAGAGAAAAAAAAAAAGAAGCAGTGACAGAAGAGCCTCAGATTATTACAGATTTATTTATACCAACCATCCCAACCCAGGTGTGTCCGAGTTTAGAGTTTTGAAAATCTGGTCACCCTATCCATGCCTATACAAAGATCTAAAACTCTAAAATGTGACACACACTAAAGAGTAATGTGTGAAATGTGTAGATTAGACAAATATCAGTCTTTTATCAATTTATGACATTGTAGCAACAACAGTAATAGCAGAGAGTAGGACACTTCAGTTCCTCTTTTATGATAAATGGACATTTTACCAGTGCCAGTTTAAGCACTCAAATTGCCTTCTTCTGCTCACTGTGTACGAGCAGATGGAGTTCTTGCGCCCTCTTCTGGTGTTTTGGAAAAATCAATTTTATAAGAAGCGTGGTGCATTATAGAATCATAAAAACGGGCTGCAGACTTGTCCTAAGACGTTAATCGACCGCATGCAATTAGAGATCGATAGCTTAAAAATATTTTAACAAGTTGTTATATGAGTAAAATATTGAGTTTGATTAGGCCTGTATTATATTTCACGAAGGATTTAAGTGAGGTTTTTGGGCTTTGGTGTTTTACAGTCATTCACATTTGTGCAATTCTGCAGTTCAATCCATTCAAACATTCAGATCAGACATTTTTAAGCACATTTCTGATGAATTACAAAAACAAACAAAAAATCACCTGATTATCATTGTTGGGTTGGGAATTTTTTATTTTTTTATTGATTTTTTATTTTTTTCCACCCTTAGATACAATACAAAAGCTGTTGTACAAAAGCAGCCTCAAAAACCTTAATTATCTGCAGTATTATTACCATTTATTTTTTTTTGCTCTTTGTTATATTATATTGTGATGTGTGAGCTACTGTGTCCAAATAATTTCTTTTGTGGATCAATAAAATTTGTCTAAGTCTGTATAACTTGAGGTTTTAATTAATTGTAGCTATTTTGCTGTGTAAGAGTTTTTTTTTTTTTTTATTTACTTATTTATTTATTTGTAAAAAGCTACTAAATGCACCAATCGTGACATAAAGTGTTTTCACTAATTCATATTTTCCTGTTCTTTTACAGGTGTCTGCTGTCCCATTCGAATGCATGCCATCCCAGAGTATAAAAGGGTGGACCGATGGACAGAGAAGAGGACCATGTTTGGAGTTTATGACAACATAGGCATCTTAGGTATTTGTCCGAGCAAGAAAATCGTATCGGTGTTTTGTTTTTTCTCCTGTGCATATTATTTATCTGAAGCTTCTAATATCTCTAATATCTCTCTTATATGCACACAGGGGATTTTAAGGCTCATCCTCGGGACCTCATTGTGGCCCCCTGCTGGCTGAAAGGATTCAAAGGTAATGAACTGCAGCGGCTCATTAGGAAAAAGAGGATGGTTGGAGACAGGATGATGACTCAGGACCGACACGACCTGGAAAAGAGGATTCGCTTCTTGTATCGACGCTTTAACCGTTACGGCAAACACCGATAAACCCCCGCCAGCCGCCCCTCCCCCCTCAGCTGTTTCTGCATCATCTGTTTTTTTTGTGAACTGCCACTGTATTTGTTAATAATCTCAACAATGTTTAATATTAAATGATGTTATTCCATAAAAGAAAATGTTCATGTTTATATGTTCCTCCTGACGCACACAACCTATTCATTAACATCATGGTTTAACAGAGTAGCAGCAAATAATGAGCTACTAGTAATGCTCCCAGTATAGGCATTTTCATATTTTTATCCTGATAACTACTTTTTATTACATTTGTAATACCGAGTTACATTCACATGCTTCATATTAAATTATTTGTACTTCTTGGCAATGATCTATGACTGAAAACCTACAATAAATTAAATCCTCCTTGTGGACCTCAGTAAACCTGTCACACATACAAGAAACCCTTTCCTTAATTAGAATAATCCTACTGTAACACAGGTTTGTAACAGGGCAATGTGAGGTCAAGATAAATAATGAAACACAAAACGAGCTTTTACGCGAGAAATATGAGCCCGAGGAGCTCCGGGAGATCCCAGGACGGTCCGAGCGGAAACAGACTCACACTACCGCAGTGTGTCGGCCCTATCCCGCACAGAACTGCAGTACTGCAAAGTGTGGACGGAGAGCGCGAGGGGGGGTTGACGGGGAGGGAGGGGTACGGGGGAGGGGAGGGGTACTGCGCCGTCGTTACGAGTCCAAGTGGAGAGAAGCAGCAGAGACGCATCATTGCAGTAGCTCAGTGCAATAGCACTTTACGGCCGGTGAAAGCGGAGGAGAGCGCGGCGCACGGACAGACTGACTCCGGGATTTTTATGGACTTGTGCTTTCGTTTGGACTCTTGATTATCGCGTCTTTAAGAAAAACAAACTCTACAGTGAGCCGAGCAGGCTGCGCACTGCATCACTCAGCGCGCGTTTCGCTCGTATGGATTTTAATTTAAAAGAGACGCTCTTTTATACTTCTGCACAGTAAATTATTAACCACGCGCGTCTCTACAGATTCTCTGCTCATCACTTTGAAGAATAAGAGGCTGTGCCAAGACCCTCCCCTCGTGTTTCTGTCACTTCTAACTGGAGTGCTGCGTAAAAGCTTCTCCGCAGCTTTTTCTGCTTGTGGTTGTTGGAGTCGAAACCTCCTGGTGTCCTCGCGCCCAGCTGCCCGTGACTCACTTCACAACTGCATAGAAGATGTGAGTATTCTGCGCATTTTCCTCTGCATCTTTCTCATAAACAGCGGTAAAGTATCCGCGCAGATGCGTCAGTCTGCCGTGTGTTGAGTCACGTGGTGTGCGTGTGCTGCGGGGGCTTCTTTGGGGCTGCTGCTGGATTCTGCTGACGCAAGTGAAAATCTCTCAGCATCACTAAATAATGCACAGACACTTAACGTTTTTTGTACCAAGAACAACTGACATGAGATATGCCCATAGACTTAAGTGTTAGTAGCCCAGCCCATTATCAAAGTAAAATCCTCAAACTCATTTCTGTCTAAAGGCCTCACCTCACAAACCTCTGTGCGGTGTTAACCCTCTCAGTGTCTGTACATCCCATCCTCTTTAATTCAGTCGTGTTTATTTTATGTTTCATGTACAGTAGGACGTACAGTAGGAGTATTTGCTTGTTTGTTTCACTTTATCTAATTGTCTAAAGTTGAACATTGCGCTGGTCTCAGGTCTGCCCCAGATGCCGCTGCCCCGGCCGCAGCACCCGGAGCTCCTGGAGCGCCCGGTGCAGATGGAGCCCCGGGAGGAGGCCCTCCCGCCCCTCCCAACACCACCAGCAACCGCCGCCTGCAGCAAACACAGGCCCAAGTGGAGGAGGTCAGTCACACCCAGAAACTCTTCTACAGAGCCCACTGTGACTGCTCTATGGTCACTCCATGTGCACAAACCAGGAAATTAACTAAAAAACTTTAACTCTCAGGGGAGATTCACTTCATCTTCATATGCAGATAAGATAAGAGAACCTTGATTTGTTACACAATGGTGAAATTTCAGTGTTGCAATAGCTACACAGTTCCAGAACAAAATAAAAGTGTACATAATATTTATTCAGAAAGTAAATTTACAAAAACTGGATATGATATTTACTAACAGTGACAATACTAGACAGCCACACATGATTTATTTAAATCTGGATTTCTCAAAGAGATTAAACTCATCCAACATTTTTGTTAATACCAAATGTAAACACATAAAATCTCAATAATTTCCCACATTTTTCCACATGTTGTGACATTTTTATCTTGCCATCACCAGTATTTATTCATATACGTGTCTTTGTCCCTCACTGTGCAGGTGGTGGATATAATGCGAGTGAATGTGGACAAGGTTTTGGAAAGGGACCAGAAGCTTTCAGAGCTGGATGACAGAGCAGACGCTCTCCAGGCCGGAGCCTCCCAATTCGAAAGCTGCGCCGCCAAACTAAAGAACAAGTACTGGTGGAAGAACTGCAAGGTGAGCACATCCAGCCCATGCATCAAACTGCTGTGGCCCTGAGCTGTGCATTATGTGAGCTGAGACCTGCAGAGGCTCAGCCACTGTACTGTCTGTGCTTCCCAAACTCCTGTTTTCTCCCTATTCCTTTGCAGTACTAATATTAGCTGAATTTTGAATACATTTAGTACATTCCTTGAGTTAGTCTTTGTTTAGAATCAGTACAGATATTGGTAGGTTTCAGATGACGTCACATTATTCTATAGGCAAATTATATTTAATACAGATGGGGGCAGCTGAAACTGATTCTTTTAAAATGCAGTATTTTGTTGTGTGAGTTCTTGGTTCCAGTCAGCAATAAAAATGATGAGGTTTAACATTTGTAGATTTACTTTTTGGGTATTTCATGGCAAAGTACAGTGTTATTAATAGGAAAAACTGTCTCTTGCCCCTATCTGAAAGAATCTGAAAAACCTCCAATGGTGTTGACATTTTTTGGTCCTGGTTTAGACTTGAAATAGTCCTTGTTTAGACCTGGTTTAGATCTGGCAGTACTTGGAAGGCCTAATATTTTGTTAAGTGGTTCTTTGTGAGAAACGTTTATGAATCACCTTTGTATGGAATCATGTTGGACTACACCTGTTTGTCTCCATGGAGGTGTTTTTGGTTTGCTTGAAATGTTCCACACTGTTGTATTATGTGTTTTTCTTTATTGCATGTTTTTTATTGATCAAAATATAAGAAATAAGATGCATTCTTACGATACTCAGTAACAGATCTGACATGTAACTCATCTTAGTGACGCCTGTGTTCATGAGTGAGATATGTTTATTGCTGTAAACATCTCCATGGAGACAGGCAGGCGGTGGATCCTCTACCAGAAAAAAGTTACACAGCACAACTTTAACTAAATACATGAAATATTTAAACACTCGCCACTGACTTGTTAACTATATTGTTTAATAAATATTGACTTTTTTTGTTTTCTCCGCAGATGATGATCATGATGGGGATCATTGGAGTCATTGTAGTTGGCATCATATTCTGTGAGTACCATTAGTGATTAATTAATAAATATGATGTCTTATTTATTTACTGTAGCTGACTGATAATCCTCAAATATTTATAAGTTATTTTTAACCCTGTCCCCTCTTTGTTAAGTCTGTTCCTCACATGTACTGTTTTTATTCTTTTGTGTATGGCACTAGGTTTGTAAAAAAAAAAAAAATCCAAACTCAGATATTAATCAAAAAATTTTTTTATTAAAACAAGATGCTAATCTGAAAAGAAAGGAAAATTAGATCTTTCCTGAATAGATTTAGAGTGGTCTTAGTTCTAATATCAGAACTAATACAAGACCACATGGCAAAATTAAATAAACTACCATTATTTGTATTTTTAAAAAAGCTCTATAAAGTAATATTTTCATTGTTTATGGTATTAAAACCTGAGCTAAAATGTCTGAATCATGATAACTGTATGGTAAAGTAAATACAGTTGATTGAAACATACGAATGAATCTAGATCTAAAATTTGCTTATTCTTCATATAACAGAAGACCACAGCATTTTTTTCATATTGTGTTGAAAAAAAACAACAGTATAACCTTTAAAGAAATGATTTGTTATTGTCATTACAATATTGAAAGCTGGGTTTGAAATGTGTGTATCGTGACTCCGCTGCGCGCTACAGTGGGAGTGCCAGAGGCTGCACTGTGTTCCAGGCCGACGCAGAGCCAGGTCCATTAAACTAATGGCGTCCTCTCTCTCTCCTTCATTTGCAGTGTACTTCTTCTACTGAGCTCGGCCGTCAATACAGATGGATATGGACTTAAGAATGATGCGAGGGGCAGAAAAAAAACAACCAAGCTTCTCATTGAACTGCCTCTCCATCAAAAACATGCCCCATCCCCTTTACAACAATAGTGTTTATGTGTCCCACTCCTCCACACTGACGTCTGTCCTGTCTCTGCACCTTATGTATTACCGAAGGACATACCAGTCTGCGCCAAGAGGAAGGAGGGACACTGTAAAGTCTGGTCCGTAGAGCGAACAGTGTACAATGTCCACACGGAAATGAGTCTGCACCCGGGTCTGATCATAAGGACTTTCCGAGCGGCATTCATTTGTAAATCCAACCATTTCAGACTAACCTTTTGTCACAACCGTAGCTTTTGCCAACGACTAACATTGTGTTCAACTTTACAATTGTTTTGATGGATGCCATAAGTGTATTTGTGATCCAGAATAGGTAATATGCTTCACTTTTTTTGTTCAAACGAGTTATTTTGTGGATTCCAGTTTAGTTAGTGATACAAAAGGAGCTCAGTAGCGTTTGAAAATAAAAATTAGTCCTGTAGAAAGCGAGCCAAAGGGTACGTGGGTTTGTAAACACAGATGTAAATGAGAAATTGCTGTTTGTTTTTGTTTTTTCAAGTGGCAGCGTGTGGAGAGAGAGCAGCCCCAAACAGACAATCTCCTGCACACTCACAAGTTCAACTCTGTCCCGAGCAGAGACCCAGCCATAGACAAATGAATGTCTAGAGAAACATAGACTACGCATGTGTAGTGTTTAAGGTTGTTTATGTCCATTTTTAAATCCAGTAGATGGAGTTATTAGCGCACTGCAAAAACTGAATCACTAGCCTATTTTAAAATGACTTGAAATGATTTTTGAGTAGTTTTGACAAGGTTTGGTTTAGTATTTTATGTGATTTCGAGACATTTCTGAGCTTGGAAACAGAAATTAAGTCAGATAATACATTTTTGTAGACCTAAAAAATAATCTTGGTCCATAAATAAATCGTCAAAACTACTGAAAATTGTTAAATATAGTGAGTTTGAGTATTTTAAAGTAATCTAGAGAGTCGTTTTTGCAGTGTAGTAGACCGAGTTGGTGAATGAACCGTTCTTAACTTGCATGGCAGACGTGTCCATAGTTTCACCTCTAGATATTTTCTGTCTTTCTTCCATTTCTGAATCTAACTGCCGATCGTACTTCTCATTGTGGTTTACCTTAAAAAGATGTGTGTACTGTTACTCAGACTTGATAACTGCTGCTTATGCAACGAATAATGCACCAGGATCTGCCCCTCGTTCTTTTAGCTCCACTCGCTTTTTAAGATACTGCTGCTTCCTATAGTGAACCATTAAAACAAGTGTAAAAATACTTCACGTTATGCTCCTGAAGATGTCAATGAATCGAGCTGTTGAAAATGTATTTTTGTCATTTCAATTTAAATGTTGGATTTTAAGGATTTGTAAAGTTAAACAATTATGAACAAAATGCTGAAAATATGGATAATGTAGATAATTTGACAATACTTTAAGGACTGTGACCTGAACTTGAAATGCAAAACAGATGCATGCTTAGTACTCTGCTGATGCCAATAAAGAACCACAAAAAGCAAACAGTGATTTTGTCTTTGTCTCTACTTTATTATTATTTAATTAAAGCAATTCAAACCTGTACAAAGTTACAGTAGACTTTGACAATCTAACGAGCCCTTTGAAAAAAACTAAAACTAATCTACATAAAAATAAAACATTTCAAGAAAACATCAACATCTAAAGGAATCTGTGTATCATTCGTTTTTCTATTATTCGTTTTTAACTATTTTCTTCATTATTTGTCTCCAAAACCAAAATGAAAAAAACGGATAACGATTCATTTTTTCAGTTTTCGATTTTGTGTTGAAATGAATAATGGAAAAAAACGGATAAAGGCCGTTTCCCGTTTCCGTGACTTAAACTGAGATGCCGGACTGAACCAGGACTGAATCAAGACTGAACCAGGACTAAACCGTTTCCAGTTCAAGTCTGGTCCCGGTCTCAGTCCCAGGTCTGGTCCTGGCCTGGTCCCGGTCTCAGTCCCAGTCTCAGTCCTGGTCCTGTTCCCAGTCTCAGTTCCAGCCTCAGTCCCAGTCTCAGTCCCAGTCTCAGTCCCGGTCTCAGTCCTGGTCCTGGTCCCAGTCTGGTCCCGTACTCAGTCCTGGTCTGGTTCCGGTCTCAGTCCAGGTCTCAGTCCCGGTCTCAGTCCTGGTCTCAGTCCTAGTCCTGTTACCAGTCTCAATCCCAGTCTCAGTCCCGGTCTCAGTCCTGGTCCTGGTCCCAGTCTGGTCCCGTACTCAGTCCTGGTCTGGTTCCGGTCACAGTCCTGGTCTCAGTTCTGGTCGGGTCCCGGTCTAAATCCTGGCCCTGGTCCTGGTCTGGTCCTGGTCTCAGTCCCGGTCTGGTCTCGGTCTGGTCCCGGACCTGTTTTAGTCCTGTTTTAGTCCTGGTTCAGTCCAGAATCGCAGTTAAATCATGGAAACGGGAATTATTCACAAAATCGAAAACTGAAAAAAATGAATCGTCTGTTTTTTCATTTTGGTTTTGGAGACAAATAATTAAGAAAATATATATATATATATTTTTTTCTTATTTTTAGTTTTATATTGAAAAACAAATGAATGAATGATACACGGATTTAAAGGTACAGTGTATAACTTGCTTGTCACCATGGAGATGTTATTGTTGTTGCTGTCCCATAGTATTGCATTAATTCATCTATCCTTATTCATTTATGTGTTTTTATTTTTCAAAATGTACTTTCTTACTGTGACCGGAATCCCCTCTCCACAGATCTGACCCACCCATGAAAATATACGTGTTTACTGCCAGATGATTGCTGTCGTTGTGTCCTTGGGCAAGACAATTAATCCACCTCACCCTCAGTGTCTGTCAGTCAGCGACCATAATTCAAATAAATAAATAAAATAAAATTAAACTCCAGGCAAAATAAAAACATCTCCATGGACACCCGAAAAGTTACATTATTACGTCAAGTTAAATAAAATCTACTTTCTTAAACACCATCAAATCAAAAAACAAACAACAGCTGCTCAAAAGTAAAGTCAACATTTTACAGTTCAAATAGTGCAAAGTCAAGTAAAAGATACACAGTACTCTGACATCCTTCCTGAGTTACTTCATGACCTGTAGGAAGAAAAGGATCGTGACCAAGAGGAAACCCAGGATCCACCAGTAGGATTCTGTCAAACACAAAGAACACATGAGAGATGTGATTTTCATATCTTACATATTTTTTTTATTTTAATATAAAGCATGTTATGTTATATTATATTTACTACTTTAATTAGTTAAGGGAAGTTAGAGATTCCTTCACAAAGTAATAGAGAAAGTAAAAAAAAATTAGCACTGAGCATGAGTTAAAATGATCCAAATGACAGGATTTTATTTTTTTTAATTATGTTAGATTTAATTGCTTATATCAATTATTTTATCTAGTTTACAAACTCAAATTAAAACATTCTGAATTCAACTTCCTTTTTTATTTTCCATAGAGGTGTGCTGCATAACATTTCCAGTACAGTGTCTGTCATGTGCGTGTTTCCATGATGATGTTATTGTTTCCATTTTACATTAAACAAATGCTGCATTTGTTAAATTATAATACTCTTAGCGGGGGTCGTCCTTCCACAGATCTGACGTATAACTTGGCCTGGTGGTGTCACTTGTTTGTCTTCAAAGAGATAGATGTGTATATTTAAAGCCATACTGGAAATGTCTAGGTAAAACAATAATATTTTTAGGTAGAAAAACAGCTGGCATAAACCCTCCACCAGAAAAGTTACATAGTGTAGCTTTAAATAAGTCTGAACTGGTTAAAACTACTCAAAAATATGAGTTCACTTAATGACTTAATCAAAGTCATAAACAAGTACACACTACATCAGGGCTGTAGTCGACTCAAGACAAGTCCTGCAGACTGATTAGTCCAGGGGTTCCCAAACTCGGGCCCCAAACTCTAGTTCTAAACTAGAACTAAAACCAAGACTAAACCAGGACTAAAACCAAGACTAAACCAGAAGTAAACCAGAACTAAAACCAAGATAAACCAGAAGTAAACCAGAGCTAAAACCAGGACTAAACCACAACTAAAACCAGGACTAAACCACAACTAAACCAGGACTAAACCACAACTAAAACCAGGACTAAACCAGAACTAAAACAAGGACTAAACCAGGACTAACACAATGACTAAACCAGGACTAAACCAGAACTAAACCAGGACTAAACCAGAAGTAAAACCAAAACTAAAACCAGGACTAAACCAGAACTAAACCAGGACTAAACCAGAACTAAAACCAGGACTAAACCAGAACTAAAACCAGGACTAAACCAGAACTAAAACCAGGACTAAAACCAGAACTAAACCAGAACTAAAACCAGGACTAATACCAGGACTAAACCAGAACTAAACCAGAACTAAAACCAGGACTAAAGCAATACTAATCCAGAACTAAAACCAGGACTAAACCAGAACTAAACCAGAACTAAACCTGAACTAAAACCAGGACTAAACCAGAACTAAACCAGAATTAAAGCTCCTCCTGTATGTAAGAGCGCTCCCACAACCCGCCCAAAAAAAGTCTGGGGACCACTGGATTAGTCGAATAAAAATGGTGATATTTTACATATTAATACCAAATAATACCAAATCTTCAGCTAATTCACTCACTCTCTTTTCTGCTGTTGTCCCGTATAAATTCTTATAAACTAACCAAACTGATTAATAAACTAATACAAATGTTGATCGATTAAGACAGTATGAACCGATTAATCGACTAAATAACTAAAGGCCCACAGCCCAACACTACATGGATCTTACCCCTGCAGAGTTTTATTGTCTGATACCTGGCTCTGGAGTTTCCACGATGACACTGACAGATCGGGGCATGTCCAGAGCGGGGTGGGACACGGTGCAGGTGATCTTTGTCCCAGGTGAGACGGTGGACGGGACGTTCAGCTGAGACGAGACGGAGAATGTGCCATCACCATGACGACGGTGACCTGACAGAGACGCCTTTCCAGGAAACACGACCGGCTCAGTGTCGTCCGGGCCCAGGGAAAACCACTCGAACTGCAAAAAACAAGGGGAAAATAATAATAAGAGTGGTTTTCTACTGGTTTGTGGCAATCATATCTACAAACTCCTAACTCCTTCCTTTAAAGCTACGTTCAGACCGGAGCATCAAGGCATCCAGTTTACATGCAAAGTCTATGTGGGCGCGTGTCTAGAGCAGGGGTGGGCAAACTACGGCCTGGGGGCCATATGCAGCCCTTTAATCTTTCTAATCCTGCCTGGTCTAAACTTGAATAATAATAATAATAATTTTCAGTGTTTTAAAAGTCATTTCAATAAATAGTAAAAACCGTGGGACTTAAAAGACAGATATTTTGTTGTAATGCTTTGTAAAGATTTCCAATTCAATGGGATATTACAGAAAAACTCAAAAACATCCACCTGCTCCTAGAACCGTTTGTGGCCCATGAGTCAAAAAGTTTGCACACCGCTGGTCTTGCATTTTTGCAGTGAGTCTTTAGGGGTCAGCGTGGCGAGAATCTGGCGTTGATGTCTTGAGCATTCATGCGTCGACGCTCTGGATGCTGAACTTTTGGCGTTGGATGCGCCAAGTCAACAAATCAGGGGTGATTATCCAGTGACGTAGCAATGTTATTACCCGGAAGAAGAAAGAGAAAGACCCAGGAGCCACAAACACAGTAAAACTATGTAGAAATCTGCGCTGTGTCATTAGCGGAGTGTAATCCACTGATGGTTTTATGTCGTAAATACACTAAACACACGCTCTCAACCAGGAAAACAAGGCACTCACAGACCACAGCGGATGCCCTGGCACACGTGTCAAGTATTAGTCTCCCGTTCATCCACGGCGTCCAAGACACGAGTCACGAGCATCTGAACTCAAATGCAAAGGCGTCCAACTAGAGGCGCCCAGCTCGTTTTTTGATGCCGCAGTCTGAACGCAGCTTTAGAGTTGTCTCAAAGTATCGAAAATAAGATACTAATCAATATGAAGAATAATATTAAAACTAGATACTCGACAAAACAGCCAAGCTCTACTGAAATTAAGGTAAATTTTAGATGTTAACTTGAATACTAATTAAACTTACTCAACTATACTTATACTTACTGTGTGAATGAAACAAAACAATTGAGACGATTTTGTGTAATATCGCACCTTTAAAATCAACTGCTGTTTTACTAAAAATCTAATGAACACCATATTTGCTCAGAATTACTTTAGTGTTGTCTATTGTTGTGCATTGCATTCTAATTAATTATAAAGCAAAGAAAGTGATTTAACTTTAACTTCCAACAATCATCAGTATTAGCCAATCAGCATTTGCATAGGACTCTTTTTCACTGTGAGAAAGTACTTACCTCAGCGTCCAGCGGGTAGTATTTACTGCTGTAGCAAACCAGAGTCTTGGCTGATTTTAACACCAGTTTGTCTTCTGAAAGGGAAACCTCAGGCAGTTCTGGAGCATAAAGAAAAACAGCCGTTGCATTATCATTTTACAAGTAATGGGTTGTGTTTACAGTCGAGAAATTGACGATGTCGTTATTTAAGATGGAGACTACGAGCCGATTCATGGGTTTCAGAAGGATGAAAACTATACAGTGATTAACAATCTAAAACTAAAGATCATATCTCTTCAAAATGTTGCATATAACAGGAAGCAGAAACGTATGAATAGCCTAACACAACCTTATGTTAGATTGAAAGAAAACATAAGGCTCAACTCTTATCATTGTTTATAATAATGGAGTTCACAAACTTGCAAAATCTTAAGGCAATCATGCATTTGGTGTTGAATCTTTGCACCTCTTTCTGAAGCTAGTGTGAAAAACAGCTTTCACTTTTGTTTTTTTATACTGACAGAGAATATGACCAACTTTGTGCCAGTTTTCTTTCACTTGGATAGGTCCAATAATTATAGATACAATATATTAACCATAAACCAGGCCAAAATCTGCAATTTGATTTTAAACTACTGGGATTCAAGAATGTTGTGACGTCACGTGAACACAGACTCTTTTATTACACAAGATTGACTTTTGTGAACTTTAAGGCCCCATCCACACTAATACGTATTTGAGTTGTTTTTGTTGTAGATGCAATGTTCGTCCACATTAGGGATGGGCATTCGATGAAATTTTCTTAATCGATCGTCGGAAGAATTAACGATTGATTACTGATTAATCATTAACATTTTTATATTAAAATGATCATCATTATTATTACTATCTGCACTACTAATCTACATAAATAGATTCAACTTTACGACATACAAACCGTAACCACTCTAGAGCCACATCAGCCCGTTTATTATAATGTGTTTAATTCAGTTTTGCGCAACTCTCACAGAAACGAAACTTAAACCGCATGGCTAATTTGCATAAACTCAGCGAAGATAAAACTACAGCTCTTGTGTCGCTGATGCGGTCAACTTCTGTCGGATTAAAAGACATGATTCAGTGGAATACAGGTTAGTGTGACCATATTTGCGTTTGTCAAAACCAGGACACCGTACGGGGGGAGGGAGGTGGGGACTCGTCATCGACATTGAGCGACTCTCAACTGGTAAAACTTTTTCCCACTGGACACCGAAACATATGTGCTGCTTTGTTCACTGTGCACATGGACTCACACTTGTCCCGACCGGAACGGAAAGCGTGGAATTTCTTGTACAAGTCATCAGTAAATACGCATATGCACTCCGGTACGTTGCAGGCGGACTGACTGTGTTTGCTCGCTCCTTCTGAGTGCAGAGAGCTACATGTACGGACCCCAGTTTGGTCACGCTACACACAGCAACCTACATTTGGTTTGTCGATTAAAATTTATGTAATCGATGAAATTCTTAATGATCAATTATCGATTAATCAACTAATCATGCCCATCCCTAGTCCCCATTAATCCGATGGAAAACGGCTCTAGAAACAAAATGATCTGGTGCCGCCAGCTCCCACGAATTCATCTGAGTACTGATCTGATCCAGCACTGTGTGGACGCCTGAAAATGCTGATGTAGGTCTATGCGCCGCGAAGTAATTCACCGCCAAAACGCTAAGAGGCTGGAATATATGTCCATTCATATATACGGTCTATGCGTACGACCTGCAGACATATAATCTCTGAAAAGCTTAACATGAACCATCTCCAAAGTGATAGAAGCACAGAACAGACTCAGCATCAGCAGAACACCCCTCTGACACAGAAAGAACACATATAATCCACTGAGTCGTGTCCTTGAGTCCAGGGCTCAAGGAGCAAGGTGTTTTTTGCTTAGTTTATGCAAATGAGCCATGTGGTTTTAGGTTTCATTTCTGTAAAACGTAAACAAATATGTGCAAAGCTGTGTAGACAGAGGAGGATTGTGGACACAGAAACAACATGTCTGGATGCAAATAATTTCCGTTACGGTGATACTGTGATTAGTTTTAGTGTAAACATAGCCTAAGTCGTGTCAGTGTGTTGTTACCTCCTCAAAAACATGCTGTACCTGAACTCTTTATTATTAGTCTGTCTAAATCTCCAAAGCTCAAAATGCTCTGTTCCACCTTGTCATGCCATGAAGCGGTAGTTTTCAAGTCAACAGGTTTTACTTTTTGTTAAGTAGATGTTATTAGAAGTTCCAGGGCTGAAAGTATTCAAATGAGTCTAATAAACACAGTGGAGCACTTCCTGTATTACCAAATGAAATCAGAAAGTGGTCATAGTCTAAATATGCAGGATTTGAGTGTTAAATGTGTGTTTACACTCAACAAAAACATAACTCCAGGTATGTTTTTGCTGAGGAAACAACATTATAATAACATAGATCAGAAAATAGAGTAATATGGGCCCTTTAAGATTTTACTTAACATCATAATAACTTTAAAATCATGAAATACTCACTGATGACGTTGAGCTGCATGACCTGCTGTGCGTGGAACTGTCCGATAGAGACTGTGCAGATGTAGGTGCCCTCGTCCTCCACCTTCAGCTCGCTCAGAGTCAGAGACGCGATTCCCTCAGACACCACCTGCTCAGGACTGACCCACGCTCCTCTCCTCTCTGTGTGGACTGGACAATCAACAGAGAAAATTACTCATCTGCAGAAAGTTTCTAATGGAGGGTCAGTCAAAATCCATGTATCATTTGTTCATTTGTTTTTGAAAATAAAACCAAAAATGAAATAATAATAAATAAATCTATTTTCTTCATTATTTATCTCCAAAACCAAAATGAAAAAACGGATAACGATTCTGTTTTTCAGTTTTAGATTTTGTGTTTAAATAAATCATGAAAAAAATGGATAAAGGCCATTTCCCGTTTCCGTGACTTAAACTGTGATGTCAGACTGAATCAGGACTGAACCAGGACTGAACCAGGACTAAACCAGGTTTAAACCAGGGCTGAACCAGGACTAAACCAAGACTGAACCAGGACTGAACCAGGACTAAACCAGGACTGAACCAGGACTGAACCAGGACTGAACCAGGACTGAACCAAGACTGAACCATTTTAAATTCCAACCTCTCACCTCCTTCTTTTTGTTGCGGCCTTGGCACAGAGTCTTATTATTAAATTAAATAAATATACCTTTGTATTCAATTATACTTCAATTATTTTTAATGTAAACGTATTTCATGTATTTATTCACACTGTACACACTATACTGCAAAGTCACTTGTCTGTTAAACTATTTAACTGTGTAAGTGTCGCCTCACAATCCTGATCAGCATTAAACAGAAAATCCAAAGGTTCCTATATCATTTCAAACACCATGACGACGAGACCTTGGTGCAGTGTTTATATAATGGATGTAAGTCTGGTGAAAATCAAGCAAATAAAGATCATGTTAGTTTCTGCCTTTTGCATTTGCACGGCTTATTTTTGGCTCATGATATACAGGAACTGCCAAATATGGGTCAAAGTCAATTCTGAGCTCAATATTTTTTGCATACAGATATATCCTCATTATAGCTACTAGTTGTCAAATTTTGGGAGCATTACCTATTATACTTTTGTCAGTACAAAACAGAAACTTTGAAGTCATTATACCCAGTTTCACACTTTTGCCTCTGTAGGGCAGTATACCATGACACTTACTGAGTGGACTCCCTTCGGTGTCCTCCAGGTTGGTCTTCAGTTCGAGCACCTTGCGGCCCCTCCCTCGGTGCTGGAGCCTCCATGTGATGCGGACGTCTGGAGCCAGAGGTGTGTCCTGCTGTTTGAACCCACAGGGCAGCTGCACCTCCTCCCTTAAAATCCCAGAGAGAGACTTGACATGGGAGAAGACCACCATCACCACTGCAGAGGGACAGAGGCTCAGCTGTTACACCTCAGTTTAAAGTTTGATCAATGCAGACATTCATTTAGGAAGTAAATACAATAGTTTCATAGTTTAGTCTTGAGTTTTAGTATAATTAGAATGAATGAAATAAAGATATGTATACATTATTGTTTCCAGGACATATTAAAAGAAAATAAATAAAATAAAATCAGAAAAAAAAATGTGGATTCAAGAAATTTAGGTTGCATTTACACCTAAATGCACACATTTTAAAACTGGGAGTAAACTGTAACTACTAGAGTTTTTTGGAGGTGGCACGTCACCTGCATGAAAATTAAAACCATGCATTCTCTAAGGAGACAGATACATTTAATTCCATAAATTATAGTGTAAGATTATAGTCATGAAAACAAGAAGGAGGAGACTCTTCTTCAGGACAAATAAGAGTCAGGTTTGTGGAGATGCAAGTCCGCTCAGAGTAAGGACAGAGTAAAGCTCCATGTTTTTCAGTGCAATAAACACAACCAAAATCAGGGTTCCCATGGTCATGGAAATCCTGGAAAAGTCATGGAAATTGAAAATGTCATTGTCCAGGCCTGGAAAAGTCATGAAGTTTAAATTAAATGAAAAGTCATGCAATTTTAGTATCTCTTTTCACGCAACTACATTATATATGTAGTTGTATGTGGCTTTTGTTTAAAAGAGATGACAATAAATGCACTGACTGCACTGTATTTTGAATGTTAAAAAATGATAATACCAAACAAAAAGGTGAGTGGAAAGGGTTAACATTTCATATTTAGCCCTAAAAGTCTGATCTATTCTACACACGTAGGTGCCAAAAAGTCATGGAAAATTCACTTTAGGTTATGATAAAGTCATAGAAATTGAATTGAAATTTTGTCAGTGAGAAAGAGTGGGAACAATGCAAAATGAAAAGGTATGGATTTATTTTTTTATTCCTGGTTAAAAACCGCATACTGTGGCTTTATATGAGGACTAGAAAAGTGTGAATGCAGTCTTTAGTCATGTACGACTTTCTATTAGAGTTTTCCTTAGACTACTTTGACTCTGTTTAAATCCAGGCTCAAAACGGTTCTGTTTAACTGTGCACATGACTGAAAGGTTTTCATTCCGCACTCTTCTCTCTGATTTATGTATTTAATGTCTCTCTCTTTCTCTCTTTTTAATTTTAATCTTTAATTTTATGATGATTATTTATGTTTTGATTTGTTTTTATTGAGATTTTAATGTATGTCTTATTCGGTAAAGCACTTTGAATTACTTTGTGTACGAATTGTGCTGTACAAATAAACTTGCCTTTCCTTGCCTAGACGTTATCTTACCTTCAGATTCCACAGTTCCAGATGGGCTGAGAGGCAGACCTAATCTAGTTTGTCTTAGGGTTATTTGTTCCATTTTTATCGTTCGGAGAATAAGTGAGGTGCCGAAGTCCACTCCGTCCACGCTCAGAGACACCATGATGAAGGCCTGGTCTGGACTTTTCAAGGACTCATCGGGAGAGAAGGGGCTGAGCTCACACGTCACCTCCTGTCCGTTACAGTCAGCGTGGAGCAGGACGTCCGACTTTGGAATATCAGGAGAAGACACTGCCACAGAGCAAAGAACACTTAACTAACAACAGACACTGCAAACAACTAGGGTGTTAGTTTCAGTGTAGTTAGCTCCTCCCTTCAGACAGTCATAAGGTAGAAGAATTAAAAAGCATAACATTCTAAAGAGCCTGATGTAACTTTTTCTGATGGGGGGTCTGTTATTGCTTGTCTCCATGGAGGTGCTATTGCTTTAGCCCAAATTTTCCACAGTATGCCATTATTTTATCAAAATATTTTCCAGCTTGTCTTCCCAAACTTCTAGGCCTAGTCAAAACAAGCTCAATCAGAAATAGTAACCTGGTCCCCCATGAGGCATCGGTGGGGGCAGTTCATCACCACGGAAGCAGCTAATGAGGAGCCCAGCCCATATTACATGATCGTTATATCCACAATGACTGTAGATCAGTGTGTTGTGTATCACCAGAAAAAGAAGAAATGGAAATTATTTTCATTCCAATTAGAATTTTAACGTAACTGTTATAATTAATAATTATCTTGAAAACTATTAATATTTTACTACACAAATGCATAGAATTATAAACAGATAATAATTTTTCTGAGATTTTGAGACCAGTCCCGTTGCTCTAGCTCAATCCTTCACAGAGTTAAGACCAAAAACGCATATTTGACCTTGGTTACCTTGACCTTCACGTGACCTAGACCGGTTTCAACTTGTAACATCCAGTGTACCCCGGTTATGTGTGTGCCAACTTGTGTGATGATTGGGTGAATATTTTCACCCGCAGATGGTTCAGAAATTGGCGAAATTGCCTATCCTTTATGATGGCGTGACCTTTCAATAGACCCGTGTGACCTCAAATGACCTCGGATCGTAACCAAACTTTTTTTTTTGCAGCATCGGGCACAGGGGCTTGACCCATGTTCCAAATTTGGTGACAATCAGTCCATAAATGGCGGAATTATCGCAGGTGGACAAACACACGGACACAAAGGATGAATACAAATCCTGGTCAACCAGTCGGGGACCAGGTAATTAGAAAAAAATCTGTGATCACAAACCTGTAGCTTCGATGATGACGAGGTCTGGGTCGGGGGTTGTGGGTGGGACAAACGGCGTGAGGGTTTCCAGTGATTGTTCGGGGCCCACGGGTACATCCCTCAGAACGAGTGTAGCAGGAGAACGACTGAACCCGCCTCCGCCCCCTTCACCTCCTCCACTGTGAGCAGCACCATCCTGCACCAAGACGCAGGACAAAACCACATCTGCCACACCTGGAACCCCATCCGCTATAAAAGGCACAACAAATCATTTGACCAGGACATGATGGATACAAGAGTAAGAGTTGTCAGATCTCAGAATCAAGTGTCCATAAAAGCGCTATATAAAACTGATGCATTATTATTCATTATTCATTCAGATGGAACAGGTTAATGATTTGCAAATAGGCCTTCTCATTTCCTTGAACTTCATACCAAGGTCTCAGATGTTAAAGCATTGTACATTATGAATAGTACAGAGTATGAGTATAATTATTATTTTGAAGTATGTTAATTGAGTAAAACATTTTGGCTGCTCTTCCCACAGAATGTAATAATATCAAAGGCAATGGTGATGAGTTTTGTTATATAAAGCCTATAAAGTAGCCTATATATAGTCTATAAATAAATGCATAGGCTACATCAATAACTTTATAAATAAGCCACTGGAATATAAATAGCTATTTCCAGAACCTACTCATTGTAAATTCATTAGCCTACGTGAAGGTGTGCTTTAACTTTTTTTTTTTATATGCTACTTGAGAGTATCTACTTTTAAGTCACTTCTTTTTACATCTATAGAGAAGGCTTTATGGCCAAGCCTCCATAGGTAAAATTATTGGCCACCTTTAACTCACATTTCACTAAAATAACCTGTAACTATGCAAAGCGTTGTGTTATTGTACTTGAATAATGATTAGGCTCTTTACCCCATTATAAAACCTAAATCACTGTTATTGCCCCGTGAATACCCCTCTTACCGTAAGCGTGCATCACTGAATATCCAAGCAAAACTACAAAAAACATTATTAGTTTGTGTCAAGTGTCAATGCTAGTTTACAGAACCAAAAGTGAAATCATCAAAATTTACTTTCACTTTTGATTTTAAAAATAGGCGGGCGCATGTATTTTGCTAATGATTGTAACTCGACTCTAAAATCTATAAAACAGATAATAGTCTCACGATGCGATTCATAATTATAAACAAAACTGCAAATCCCGCAGTTCATCACAGTTATTGATGCTTTCTGCGCGCGTCAATGTACTGCGCATGCGCGAGAAGTAGGCTTTAATTTTAGAAAAACACGTGACTGTGGCGGTGGTGTGAAGTGGGGTCACTGTTGGTGCTTATATTCTGTTCAGTTTCTTTCCAAGCTACTGAAAAGGTAAGACAAAAAATACAAACAAAAATAACACATAACAACATGGCTTATTGAACTTTTATTGGTAATGATTTATATGGGTAACATCTCAACTTAATTCTCATTCATAGTTTGGTTGATCCAGTCCACATAGTTTTGAACTCGGGTATAGAACCCATAAGTGCCTTCCTCTGCACAGCCAATGCCCCAGCTGACGATCCCTGCCACCCAGTAGTGGTCTGTCTTCCAGAAGGCAAAGGGTCCTCCGCTGTCCCCTTGGCACGAGTCCTGTTTTCCATCTGAGAATCCTGCGCAGAACATGTTGGAAGATTCTTCTGGGATTGATTGTGTTGGGTGTTTTCTTTTGTACTTCTCCAGCGATTCGGTGCATTTTCGTGGATTCACCGCTGGGAGGCGCACATATTTGAGGTTATCTGATGAAGCCAAACCTCCATGCTCATTCTTTGTGAGGCCATATCCTGATACCACTCTAAAGATAAACTTTGTTTATATAAACTGCATCCACATAAGTTTATATCAATGTTAGAAAATCTGTAAAATTAAATTATACAAGTTAAAGACTTACCCAGTATCACCGTCTCTAAGGCTGTGTATGTTAGAAGGTAGACAAATTGGCATCACATACTGGTTAAATGTGATGGGTTGTGGGAGTTTTATCAGGGCAATGTCATTGTCAGGGTGCAACCTGTCAAAGTTATTGTATCCAGGATGTAAATAAAGAGAAGCAGCAAATGCGTTTGGAACTTCCTCCACAGTATTTGATCCCCAAAAGAGCTGAAAAGTAAAAATACAAGGCAAGTTAATAATACACAGTATATCTAATCCATGTATATGATCAAACCATTTGGATTTATTAGATTTCTTTAGTTTTTGAACCTGGATTGAATAATCTTGTTCCATTAGACTACATTGCTAAATTCAGTTAATTTGTCAGTGGGGTAAGAACATGTTGCATTCAGGGGCAGCACCAGGGAAATCTTGAGGGGGCCCTAGTCCCCCTAGAATGGTCAGTGTACCATAGTCCCCCCAAAGATTTTTACCCTATTTTCATATTCAGTTTTTACTAAAATGTTCAAAATGAGACTTCTATAAAATGAGAACTCCATATTGGGGTTTACCTACAGGGGCTAAATAGGCCTACATTTAAACATTAAACAACAACTTGAAGATCTTATCACCCCCAAAGCTCCAACCAAGAATGTCTGGATTCCCCCCTGGTTGCATTGCGCAGCAAGATTAATTGTTCATCATAAATACATGTTTTTCACTGTGTGTTACCTTCAGAGTGTTGTGTGGTATGGGCGGTGTGTTCACAGGACATGTATTTGGACAGAGGACGTGAGCTGCTGTCAGGACCCACTGGTCGGAGATGAGCATACCCCCTCCACGTCTAATCTCAGGTGAGGACAGTCGGACCTGCCACGGGATACTGCCGTGTGGAGCTGCCTCTCCTCCAATGATCCTCTGGAAGTCTCGGAAACGCACTTGGGGCTTTCCACAGACTGAAGACACAAACACGGGTAAGAAAATGAACTTTGGATACTTTGCAGTAATTAATAATTACATTGCAATATTGGTATTATTAGGGGTGGACAAAAACATAACAATAACAATAACATCCATTAATCCATACCAGAGTGTCATAATTTGATTCTTGTTATAGATAGTGTGTTAACAACTGAAATAAATAATGGTGATGTATCGTGCTGCCCTACACAACTTCTGAGGCAGAGGTTAAGTTGAAAAGTGGAGTTGTACCTGGTATGCAAATCGGTTTCAGTTCAGCGTTGTCAATAGCTCTCCATTTTCGGTCTGCTTCACAACTGAAACTTACTGAGGAAATAAATATGATTTAAAAATACATTGCAGTCAGTAAACTCATCGAGGAATGTTTATGTTTCCACAGAACATTTATCCAACAATCCACCAATTCCACCTAACCTTTAGTGGAACCCATTGCTCCAATATTGTGCAGTTTTGCAGATTTTAAAATGACTCATCTTCTGTATTTAATGTTACTGTAAATAATTAGTTAAGACAAAACAAATTAGGATGTCATTATAAAAAGTGATAATGGAAGTAGTGTAACATACGTAATCATATATATAATATGAACTCTAACTTTTTAACTCCAACGATCTAGCCACTAATTTGTATCGTAGCAGCTGTTCAAGCACTGAACTATAGACTTAAGAAATGTATAGACTTTGAATTACTTGTAAGCTGCTATGTTTGGCTTAATGGCATATTCATTTATTTTTGAGAGGAGAGGAGGATTGGAGATGGATTTGAAGTTGTCCAAGTTGTCAGGGTCCAGACCGTTTTTTTTCAGAAGGGGAGTTATTGTGGCTATTTTAAGGGCAGGAGGGACGTGCCAGAGCTGAGGGAGGTGTTGGTGAGTGCAGTGAGAGTGGGGATGCAGGCTTTCAGGAGAGATGACAGGAGAGGGTTAAGTTTTTTCAAATAGTCCCTATTTCTGTTGAACCCTGGTTTACACTCTTGGATTTCTTGACCCTGACAAGGCACACCTGTGCAGTGAAAACCTTTTCAGCAGACTTCATTTTGAAGCTCATTAAGAGAAGGCCAAGGGTGTGCAGCGCTCTCAACAAAGCAAAGGGCGGCTTTTCTGAGGTTTTAAATAAAATCTGCAGGACTGCAAAGAAGTTGAATGGATGAATGGAAAGCAGTTTGTAGCTAAATCTGGTGCAGAGCATCTTCTCTCTTTGAGATGAATGTTTTCTGTACACTGTCTTTGTTTTAAATAAATAAATAACAAAAATATGTAGTTATTTAACTTTTTTCTTTGCTACATAAATCCACACATCTTGCTTCATATATTAGATGTTTCCAAAATTGATCTAAAATGTAGAAAGTAGTAAACATAAAGAAAAAAGTGTGACTCTGAGTGTAGTATTAAGCCCAACCATAACATAAACAATAGTTATGTGAATAACTAGGATATTGTTATAACTCACCATTCACAGATCCCGTCAGAGAGTAATACGGCTCATTACAGTGATACAGCACAACAGAGCGGTACTCATTCCTTTCACCAGAGACAAAAGTCGTGCCTCCATTTAACAGGGGCTCGGGCTCTCCACAGTTGATAACTGCAGTTCAACAAATACAGAATATGACTCAATGAAGTGCCACCAGAAAAGTTACACAGTGCACCTTTAACCCACTGTGACATTCTGGAAGTGGTGAGTGCCACTGTCCATCGCTCTGGCACATCGCATGGAAGCTCTCAATTTCATGCCCATTCTGAAAAAACAAATGTGTTAAATATATAATACGGTGTGCAGATACAATAATAACAAATTAAAAACAATATAGTGTTTCCTTAACCATCATCAGCTTGTATCCTGTTTGACACCTCACAAAGATGTAGTCTCGGTAGAAATACTGATCCAAAGTAGGAGTAACCCGGCCTCTTGGGACAGTACCAGGAGGAGCACACTTCACTCCTAAAAACACAGATTGGAAAATAAACCATAACTGGACTGGATCAATCCCAACTCAAATTGTTCATACTGTTCATACGCCGTACACCTCGCCTAAGTATGAATGTAGAGTGTGTGTCTTGGTGTTTTTTAATAAACACATTTAATATCAAAACCTCCACAAAGTAACACGGATGGTGGATCTAGGAAGATAAATGGACTCTTACTCTCTGTAGTGTAGTCCAGGCTCCAGCCGTTGCTCAGGCCTTTGTCGTCGATGTAATAATCCAGTTTGACGGTGCTCGCGTTCAGAGCCATCACACCTGGACTCTTACTTCCACAAAGCTTCACCGGATTCTCATTTTCCACTGTCACCTGATTGGGAAGAGGTAGATATTGCATCAGATAAGCTTAGTTACATAATCAGGATATCAGGATTGTTGGATTATTAAATAAATGTGATTATAGATGCCACAAAAATATAAACGTAAGAATTTTAGAGCCCAAACTTTTTATATGCTCCAAAAATTAAATGTAGATGGCCTTTTATGTATGTGAAAATGAAAAACACAAAAGTAAAGAAACACTAAGGGTCTGATTAAATTAACACTGAACAGAAAACATAAATAAGAATTATGAATGAATTAGATGTTAATGTTTTAGTTATTTTGGTCAATATTCATAAGATTTGGTATTACTTTATAATAATAGCATGCACAACTTAATATTTTTTTTGGACAAATAAGATATTGAGACTAACTAAGGGTACTTTCACACCGACAGTAGTTGATGCACAACAAATGTTCCACTGGAAACAAAAGCTCTAAGTTTGGTTTGTTTTCGCTGGTGTGAAAATATCAATCACACTTGAATCTGCACTAAATCAAACAGACCGAGACCTCAAAAAAGAAATGGTCTTGGTCCGCTTGATTCCGGACCAAATGCCAAACTCTTGGGCAGCCTCTCTGGTCCGGTCCCTCTGGTGAGAATGCAAACTTGGATCCAAACCATAGACAGTAGGTCCAAATGAAATATTCAAAATGCATCATGGGAGGGCAGGCTCGGACTACCAAATTCCACCTCAGCATCCTCGAGCCACGTGCAGCCCAACCCGGTGTGCACAGAAGCCTCGGATATACGTCAATCGAACCAATTTTGGTTGGTTTGCAGGTTTGACAGGACCACATTTGAGTCTATATGCTACAGAAGAACTATTTTATTGCCCGGTGTGGACCAAATAATCGAAGTAGCGCCTTAAACACTAGTAACTACTTGATAAATACCTTAACCCCTTAATTAAATAGTTACTAAGCCTTAATCTTTCTTAATAAACTATCTGTACATTGTCAGTTAAATGTTTGTTCATTCTTTATTAAAACTATTTAAGCTGTAGTTGTTGTACAGTTGTAGTGAATATTCAAACCTCGAGCCAGTGATAGGGGCAGCTCAGGCCTTCCTCTGTCTCCATACTCTCTATGTGGAAATAGTCGGCGAATTTGAGGGTGAGTTTGAACCCGGGTTCCACAGAGATGACGTACTGACAGGAAACTCCATGATGGGGGGCACGGGGGTATCCTGGACTAGACAGGTGTCCCTGGGGTTCATCAAATATACCACCGAGGCACGACACTACACAAACAAAGAATAAAAGTTGAAATGTAGCAGTATGCCAACACAAATTCATGATTTGCTAAGCGTATAGTTTAAAAGGTTACAAGATATTGTCCACTACTATACTATACAAGATGATAGTCAATTTGTTCTTTTGAAAGTACTAAGTATTGTCTGTAAACTGTCCAAAAGCCACAAAAAGAACAGAAATTTGAAGTGTAATTTTTCAAACTATGATATAGAGGTTTTGTGGTTATTCTTACAGCCATTTCGCCTTTACTTGATCCATGAAATTTCTATAAGTTTTTTTTTTTTTGCAAGGATAATAGTAAAAAATGATTTGGATATTAATTTTGCCCACCCATAGATTTATATTGCCTTAAATGTATTAATTGACTCAATCCAAATCGGCGCATCGTCACACGGTCATCTATAATTTTGATAGGTTGTTATTATTATTACTATTTTTTTTAAGTAGTAAAAAATTGTTTGTATATTCATTTTTTTCAATATCACCACCCATAGATTTAAAGGTTAACAGGTGGATTGGTGTGTCACCATAGGGTAAATTATAATTTTGATGGGGAGAAGTATTAAAAAAAACAAAACATAGCCTACAAATACTCACAGAGACAGGTGCGCTCGTCTGAGTGTAGCTCGTATCCATGGTGACAGGAGCAGAGGTAGGACCCAAGGGTGTTCAAACAAATTTGTGAACATACCGGGGCTTCAGCATTTAACACAGGATCTGAACACTCGTCTATGTCTGAAATGTAAAGGTATATGTATAGTGGGATAATAAAATTTGAATACCACATTGTTTTGTGAATAGACAAAATCTGAGAGCTATATAAAACAAATGTATTGTTATTTTTGTTATCATCATTAAAATGAAGATGATTATTTTGTATCCAGTGGACATTTGGCATGTTGTATGTCAGGTTTAACATGTGTTAACCTATGTGCTACCTATGGCCTGGTAGTGAGCGGAGAAGCCGATGTTTTGGTGGAGTTCTGGGTTGTTGTCGTCTGTTTGCATCAGGACGGTGAGGATGTTGCCTGGAGACAGGATTGGACCATGTCCGGGGTGATGCCCGTCAGCAGAATTCTCTTGCCCACAAAACCTGCCCAGAATTTTCTCTTTGTACAGAACCTGGGGACCATAGTTGTTTAGCTTTATAATTTTAACTTTCAAAATGTTATACAAAGTGAGCAGTTTATGCTTATGAATGCACCAGTTTATGTTTGTACTGGTGGTGTGACACAAATGACAGGCAATAGTACCTGCATAGGTTTTAATAAAAGACCATACACTCCAACACCATGATTTAAAAAAAATATTCCTTTGCTTGAGACTGCTTCAACCAAAGAGAGAAATTTTAATGAATAGTATTTTCTTGGTGCATGGCATGTGTGTGTCTATCTACAATTACAGTCATTTCCAGTGTTTTCATACTTATTACTTAACTAGGTACTGCATTCTGAATTCAATCAGGACATGAACCGATGTCTTTGCAGCCTCTGAGGCGTCAACATTAAAGATTAACATCTGAACCTCACATCATGTAAGTGTGTAGTTCAATATCATGATACATTAAAGCAGTGTTATAAGGGCACAAGTGTGTGGTCCTGACCGTGACTGAGTCGTAGTGGCAGCCGGCAGAGGGCTCCAGGTCCAGGTGAGTGAAGGTGAGGCTGACCCTGTACCCCTCTGGGACACTGAGGTCCCACCTCTGCCTCAGGTTTGGGGGGTAGGACCCAGGGTACAGCGGAGACTGGATCTCCCCGAACAGAACTGGCTCTGGATCAGTGAGGGACAGACCCTCACTGATCAACACACAGAGAAGCCTGAAAACAACAGTTACAGTGCAAAAGTATTAGCATTAACATGAGGTAGAATTACTTGTTGTCTTGAGCAGTGCTTCTCTTGGTCTGTGGAAGGGCCTCGTGCTGCTTTATCTATGGAAATTATTTTCCTTTGGTTAACAGTACGACATAAAGTGTATCTCCATGGAGAATTTTCTCAAAGCATGGTTTTATTTTTTATTTCCATGGGATCATGCAGGTGAAGTGCCACCTCCAGAAAGTTACATACTATAAACTTTAAGGTGCATTATACTTTCTCCATCTCCAAGGAGACGTTATTGCCTGTTTGTCATATGAAGATAAATAATGTGTTTAATGCCATACTGTGGAGCATTCTAGGCAAAGCAATAACATCTCCCTCCAGAAATTTACATTTTTAATAAAAAAAATGCTTTTGACTGTCTCAGAAAAAAGGATTGAGCCATATATCATATAAAGTCAAATAAACTACATTTAAAGGAGTCAAAACTACTGAAAACAAGATATTCTGTTTTGCAGTGTTCCTTAGGTTTAGTCTGTATTTCTGTTTATTTAAACATTTGTCCCAAAGTCCAGCAGTCACAAGAACCGTGATGAACTGTGATGTAATCTGTAGCAGTCTAAATTGTCAGCTACATGCACAATCATAGGTCACAGGCGCTATGTTATCAGGTTATATTGTTATTTTCACATTTTATTGAATACAAAACATATTAAGCATAAGAAGTTTACAGGGAAACTCACCAGACGACACAGTAGGTCCAGCTCATGTTGAGGTTTAACATTTGCACTCTGAACCGATCCAGACGTTTACAGGTGAAAATGGGAAAGTCACAAATTAAGCAACTCACTACGTTAATGCCAGGAACAGCTCTGTTTGCTTTGGCAATTGGCAACACCAAATAATGTTGGTTGTTGTTTTCAAAATCTACTAGTATTTAATCCAAGTCTTACTCAGTTTATTTTTTAATATGAATAAAAATCTAAAAATGTGTTTCTATATTTACAGTTAGCAGCTGCCATTGTGCACAGAGCCAATTACTGTTCTGTTGAATGAGATATCTTACCCTCAGATTGCACAGTTTGAGATGGGTTTGGACCTAATCTGCTTTTTCTTTGGGTTATTTGTTCCACTTTTATCATTTGCAGAATAAGTGAAGTGCTGAAGTCCACTCCATCCATGAAAAAGGCCTGGTCTGGACTTTTCTCCTGTCCGTTACAGTCTGCATGGAGTAGGACGTCCAAGTTTGGAATATCAGGAGAAGACACTGCCACAGAGCAAAGACGAGATGTTTAAAAAGTCAAAGCAGAATGGGTTGTGCCAAAGCCTATTCACCTCATTCCAGCCTGGGGATCCCATTCATTTAAGTGCAAATTTGAGAAAAGTTTTGCCGCTTAAATATGACATAAAGTAGGTTGATTTGTGTAAACTGTTAAATGCTCATGTGCACCAACAAATCAAACGGCTTTATAGTCCATATTGAACTTATTTGCTGTCAACAGCCTGCAAAAAAAAAAAAAGTTAAAACTAGAAAAAAAATTGTTAGATCCTGTGTGCATAAAAAAATTATCCTGTATTTGGATGGAAATTGTGTGTAATTTTCACAAAAAAATCTTTCCAGCTTTTACTCTTAAACTGCCTCTTGACTTGATTGATGTAAAACTATGATTAATATTTGCCAAAGATGCTCCCACCAAACTAAGTCATAATCAGAAAAAATTAAAACCTGTGATAACAAACCTGTAGTTTTGATGATGAGGAGGTTGGTTTTCTGCAGTGCTTAGCATAGCAGCATCTCCAGCGCCTCTGTACGTGGCCCCTCCCTCCAGAGCAGCACAAATGAAGACTTGTCTCTTTCCAAGCGCTCTTAAAGGACGATCGTTTTGACTGTTGACCGTGACACCCACATCAGAAAAATGTCCAACATAAGAAAAGTGGAGCCGAGTGCAGGATTTTCCAAGAAAAATTGACTTATTCCTGTTTGCATACAAGTTCATGTTAAAACATTGTGTTGAAATAGAATTTTTCTTAAAGTTTCAGGTTGTTCATAATATTATAATATTATAATAAGAAAGAGTTCATCAATTAAAAAATATTTCTGTAATAGATTTGCATTTCTCTGCACAAATATTTGAACTTATTGTTATTTTTGGGGTTTATATGACATGAGTTTTCTGATCCGGCCCCTTTGGGATCAAAGTAGGTTGGATACGGCCCCCGGACCAAAATGAGTTTGACACCCCTGGTTTACAGGGATTGGTCAGAGCCCGCTGGTACAGAGAACAACTCAACCCACCTCCACCCAACGCTTCACCTCCTCCTCTGTGAGCAGCACCATCCTGCACCAAGAAAAAAAAACACATCTGCCACACCTGGAACCCTGTCCATGGCCATGTCTCATTTCTCTTTCCTCGCTTCCTTCTCCTTGATTCCTTTCTTCAATCCTCAACTTCTCAGGTGTCCATCAAAGGTGTCATATTAAGTGATGTCCCAAAGAAACCCACTGAATGAAGAAGTGAACATGAGGCTTCAAGAGGCAGACATCGGATAAAATAATCAAACTTTAATGGTCTCAGTGAGCAGTTTATATCCTCTCTCTTCGCTGCGTCTCCTCTGTGGGCGGGACTTCCTCAAACATTTCCTGCGGAATCGAGGAGAGGAATCAAGGAGAAGGAAGCGAGGAAAGAGAAATGAGACGCGGCCCACATCTCACCATAATAACCTGTAGGTTTACCCGGAATTTATACCAGGAGCTTCAGCGATACGTAACGTAGGCACCGCTGCATACGTGCGTAATTTTAAAAGGATCAATTTGCTCCTGCGACACCAGCCTATGTATATTCTCACGTTTAAACATCAAACTCTTTCATATTTCTTACGTAATATTCGTTGTTGGTTGGATGAAATACGTTTTAAATCACAATACAGAAGGTGACAGTAAGAGAGACGATGTTTTGCAGCGATAACAAGGCGTATCTGCAGTGTTCGCATTTATTAAGCTTCTTACCTTTTAACTCGTTGTCTGCACCACGCGCTTTTTCCTTCATAACTTGTTCTTGTAAAGTTGCTGTCTAACGTGGTGTTTTATGCTCCACGGCTATAAACTTTCCGTAGTTCATCATGAGTCATTCCTTGAGCTCCTGGATGCGACGCACGATGTTTACGCGTCTGTAGTGGTTATTTTGAAAGGACGTCCTAAGTTTACTTTGACACCACGTACTTATTTCCTGTCTCTTGTGTCTTTCCTCTGCTAAAAAGGAGCGCTTCACTGAAAAATTACTTTGGTGTAAATTGGGCGTAATAAGGGAACAACAGCGATGCAACACTGCACGTTTTTGTAGCTGCGAATAAACTAATCCATTAATAGACTAAAACCTGCACTTTTGATTTTAAAAGTGGGCGGGCATGTATTTAGTGACTGTAATTAGACTTTTCGATTCATAAAATTGACAATACCCTACGATGTGGATCATAATTGTAAGCAAAACTGCAAATCCCGTAATTAATCTCATTTATTGGCGAACAGACAAATTTTACGTGGCTGTCTGCGATGTTGGCGGAGTGAGTGAATCTGTGCTTATTGTGTCCAATTTCTTTCCAAGCTGCATTAAAGGTAAGACAAAACATACAAACAAAAATAGCTTATTTAACTTTTATATAGGTAATGACAACTCAGTTCTCATTCATAGTTTTGTGGATCCAGTCCACATAGTTTTGAACTCGGGTATAGAACCCATAAGTGCCTTCCTCTGCACAGGCAATGCCCCAGCTGATGATCCCTGCCACCCAGTAGTGGTCCGTCCTCCAGAGGGCAAAGGGTCCGCCGCCGTCCCCATGACACGAGTCTTTTGCTCCGTCTGAGAATCCTGCGCAGAACATGTTGCAAGATTCTTCTGGCATTGGTTGTCCTGGGTGTTTTCTTTTGTACTTCTCCAGCGATTCGGTGCATTTCCGTGGATTCACCACTGGGAGGCGCACATATGTGAGGTTTTTTGTTAGAAAATAACCTTTCTCCTCCGTCCTTGTGAGGCCAAATCCTGACACCACTCTAAAGAGAGACTGTGTTTTTATAAACTGCATCCACATAAGTTTATATCAGTGTTAGAAAATCTGTAAAATAAATACAAGTTAAAGACTTACCCAACATCACCATCCCTAAAGCTGTGTACCTCAGAGGGCAGACAAATTGGCATCACATACTGATTAAATGTGATGGGTTCTGGGAGTTTTATCAGGGCAATGTCATTGTCAAAGTGCAACTGGTCGTAGTTATTGTATCCAGGATGTAAATGAAGAGAAGCAGCGATTGCGTTCGGAACGCGTTGCACAGTATTTGATCCCCAAAAGATCTACAATGTAAAAATACAAGTCAAGTTAATAATACACACAACATCTAATCCTTGTATATGGTCAAATCATTTAGATTTATTAGATTTGTTTATCTTTATTGGACCTGGATTGAATAATGTTGTTCCATTACATAAATACATTAATGGGCAATGGGGCACTTTAAACTTTAAACAACAAAACAAACATGGTGGGGGTTGGGGAAGCGTTCACAACCATAAAAGGCTCTAAATTAACATATTATATGTGCACCCCCAAAGCTCCAACCAAAAATGTCTGGCACCATCCCTGGTTGCACAGCAAGATTAATTGTTCATCATACACACGTTCACTGCTTTTTATAGTGTTACCTTTACAGTGTTGTTTGCTATGGGACATTTTTTTGGACAGAGGAAGTGAGCTGTTGTCAGGACCCACTGGTCGGAGATCAGCATGCCCCCTCCAGATCTACTCTCAGATGAGGTCAGTCGGACCTGCCACGGGATACTGCCGTGTGGAGCTTCATCTCCTGCAATGATCCTCTGGAAGTCTTGGAAACGCACTTGGGGCTTTCCACAGACTGAAGACACAAACACGGGTAAGAAAATGACCTCAGAGTAGGCCTCCATGTCAAGATACAACAAATGAAATGCAGTATTGATATATTGGACAATATTTGTGGTGATATCAGTAACACAGTTAATTCACAGATAATATACAGCATATTTCTTTTCTTGTAATATGGGCAGTGCATTAACATATATTATGAAATAAATAATATGGGAATGGATCATGCCATCCTACAGTACTTGAAAAGAGGAGTTGTACCTGGTATGCAAATCGGTTTCAGTTCAGAGTCGTCAATGGCTCTCCATTTTTGGTCTGCTTCACAACTGAAGTTTACTGAGGGAATAAATATAATTTAAAAATACACTGCAGACAGTCAAATCATAATTTACGAGAAATGTTTGCTTCCACGGCCCATTTGTCCCACAATCAAACGTTTGCGTTTTGCACCTAACCCTAAGAGTATCTCAATGTTATACAGTTTTTAAAACTACTCAGCTTCCAAATTTAATATTATTCTGAATAATTTGCATAGACAAAACAAATAAGGATGTAATTATAAAAAATTAAAATGGATTTGTAAAATTAAACACAATATGAAACCACTACCATTTGTAGCATGTCTCTCTCAAATGTGGAAGAAATTTCTTCTCAAATATCCTTGTATCATTCAGAACTAAACATGTACAAATAAATAATAAGACTGGATTGGAGAACTAAATATATCCTTTATTTTACCTCAGATTTACCTTGCTTATCACTTCCGCCAAAATCTGCACTTTCGCTTAGTTTGCTTATTTTTATGTTGTTTTTTTCTTACTCGTTGATCTGCCTGTCATTCAGATTCTTCAGAATTCATTGAGACAAGATACGGCTCCAGACTACATCTTTGAAAGAACAGGAAAAGCATGTGGTCTTGGCTGGCCATTCAACACAAACCATATCTCATATTTTGACACATGACCTAAGAAGCACACTGGAAAAACTAGCAGTGGGAACATACACTACCAGTCTAAAGTTTGGACACTTTTTCATTTAATTTCATCATTTACATTGTAGATTCTCACTGAAAGCATCACTATGAATGACACATATTGAATATGATAAACAAAAGTAACCTCAAAATAACTCAAAACATTTTGATTATAGATATATATTTTTTATTGCCACCCTTTCCTTTGCACACTAGTTTATACTCTTGGCATGCCCTGACTCTGACGAGGCACATATGAAGTGAAAACCATTTCAGGGGACTTCATAAAGAAGGCAAAGAGTTTGCAGAACTGTTGACAAAGCAAAGGGTGGATTCTTTGAAGAATTTTGATGATAAATATATTTTATATATTTCTGAGTTATTTAACTTTTTCTTTGATACACATTTCCATATATTTTGCTTCTTATATGTGATCTTTTCCATATGAATATAAAATGTAGAAAGTAGTAAACATGTAGTGTAGTGTTACAGTTTAAAAAAAAAATAGTTTTATCACAATTTTTGAAACTTGGTTTAGTTTGATAATGTGATACAAATGTGTCTGAACAGGGCCACAGGTGGTCAAGTCATTTGGAGCTCATCAGCTCACACAGTTGTCAGGCTTTTTCTCAGAGCACTTGACACAGCTCTAATTCAGAAACACACATGATCTTTGAATTTAACTTGTTTTTCCATACTAAAGGGCTTCTCACGTGGTAAAGGACTTTGTTACTTTCAATATAGAAATTAAAACATGAGAGCAAAAAAGCACATTTGTGTGCACCTAAAATCTAACACCAAAGGATTTCACAAATGTGTCAAACAGGGAGAAGGGCCTCAGCTGAGAGCACGGACTGTATGAATATACAGTTGAGCCTACATACACATAAACACACTGTGAGATGTGTAGATTTTCAAGAACACGTTACATATCACAGTACAAAAGTAGTGTTGATGTATTTGCTATTCCAACATCTTCAAATTTTCTTCCTCATAAATATTTTTGATCAAATACTGATAAAATTTGTGATTGGTAATATGTACATTTATATTTTAAATAATACAATACAGATAAAAATCAGAGCTTTTCCAGTCCAAATTTAATCTGTGTACAGTATGAACCCGTGTGGCAAATTGCACTAAACCACTGATTCTCTGTGGTCTCTTAGAAAAGGACTAAGGCTTCTGAGCTCAGTGCCATGGCTCCACACACTCACACAGCGCACAGGGCACCAAGTGTTTGTCCCTGAAATCTCTCTCTCTCTTCCCCCCTTACTTTCTCTCTCCCTCTATCTCTTTCTCTCTCTCTCTCGGTGTTCAGACCTCCGTGCATGCCAGCAGATTTTCACTTTCAAATTCTTATTTAAAGTTCTTTGATTGAGTAAATTTTATTGTGCAATTATTTGTCCTTATGTACATTATTAACCAAAGAAATTTGTGCATTATTTCTTACAAGGGTATCTACTTGTTCTGTGTTTACAATGTTCAGTTCAGTATTCAGACTGCAGTCATTGCACAAATCTTTGTTTATAATAATGGTGGTGCTATTTATTTATTCATCTGTTAAGTAATTTATGATTTTAACTTTCATGTTTGGGTATTTGTTTTGGAAATAAGCAAATCGCATTGACAAATTCTGAATCATTGAATCACCACAAAGCATTTGTGCTTTGGGCACCCAAATGACCAATGGCCCTGTCTGAGCTGCACTGTTAAATAAATGAAATAACACATAAATAAACACAGGATAAGAGAAAAGTTATGTTAAATAAGTATATTATTTGTTACAACTCACCATTCACAGCTCCTCTCAGAGAATAATACGGCTCATTACAGTGATACTGAATAATAGAGCCGTATTCATTCCGTTCACCAGAGACAAAAGACACACCTCCGTTTAACAGGGGCTCGGGCTCTCCACAATCAATAACTGTAGTTCAACAAAAGAAATTAAATTTGAAATGGAGTTGGCAATATGGCAAAACAAATAAAACAACATCATTTTCTAAATGTACAGGTGTTATCACAGGTTAGTGTTATCACAATACTGATTGATTTAGATAAGGGATAGATTTGATACTGAATACAGATTCCAATACCAGGCTGATTAAAAAAAAAAAAACTTTCTTCAGACAATAGCTGCATCTGGCTACCAAATTTGGTTTGGCTATGCCAAAGTTGTGTAAGGACGTCCCATTGGTAAGGCCAAATTTTTGGCTTGTCTCCATGGCAACACAATGTAAATGGAGTGTGGGCATCAGTGAGTTTTTTAATTGAGGGTCCCAAATTTTGTATGTTGACGACAAATAAAATGTTATTGTTCCAAACAAATTGTCCAGGGGGCACTATTGCCTCCATTTTTGTGTTTTCTTGCATCAGCCTGTTCAGAGTCGGGGCGTACACCCACGATTCAAGTTTGAGTGAAATCAAAGTTTGGGTGATTTGTCGATTTTACATTAGAATAACATGGAGAGTTTATATCATCGCTATGGCAACACTGTAACAATAGCACATAGATGTCATTGACTTTTTGGATCAGGATGCCAAACCTGAATTTTTGCTTTTCTGAAAAATCTCAATTATTTTCTCCCATTTTAAATTTGCACTTTTTTATGCCCAATTATGCAACACACATTTTACCGAATTTTTCGGCACTTTTGAATTTTGGACAAAATTTGGTGAGTTTTTGATTATGTTTAGTCACATTAGAGCTGAAAGAGCAGAAGAATAAAAATAATGATAATATTTTTAGCAAAAATAATATATCAGTTAACATGGGAACAGCATATTATATGTTTTTTAAAAGCTCTCGACTTGAGATTGAGAGCTTCGCCCATTCACTCATCATTGCAAAAGGAATAGGTCCTATGCCCTGTAGAAGTTTGGGTCTAAAAAAATAAAAAAAAATTTTAGCAAAAAGAATATATGCGTTAACATGGGAACAGAAACCATTTTTGAAAGCTCTCAACCTGGGTTGATCAAATGATGGTTGAGGGTCACGTCGGGGGTCACCCACTGACCTCCCATTGACTTCCATTCACTTTAGCAGTTATACTGTAAATATGGCCTAGACCTTGGGGTTACTGTGATACTACTGTTCATGCAGGGGGTGACCAAGAGGATGAAGTTGCTTAACATCCTCTTGCCCGTGCGCTCATCATTGCTCATGCACTCATCATTACATAAGCAATAGGCCCTGCGCTTGTCGGGGCTCGGGCCTAAAAACAGATTTGCCACTTACTAGCCTTATCTCCAGTTACTTCATATTTTAGGCTTGTTCATAGCAGCAGAAGCTAATTTGTTACCATTATATGGCTAGGCAATATGGAAAGGAATTAATAATTTTCACTCAAGATTTTAGGTTAAATTTTATTTTTGTCTCATTAAATCGTAATAATAAAATGTGTTTAAATATTCAGTTCCAGAGCGTAAATCATCACTGTTACTTTTTTTTTTTTTTTTTTTTAAAACCCAAGTGGCTGACAATAAGAGACAGTTGGAAAAAGATCACAGCCCTTATAAATGACAGTGCTGATGTTGAGTGTGAATATGTGTGTCTTACTGAGACATTTAATATCCCCGGTCCAAACTCCATTGAGGCAGGTTTTGTGGGGCCCTCCTTCCATTATGTACTTGTCTTGACATTGGTATTCAACCTGTGAATTATGACTAAATGTTCCACCAGAGGCCAAGAAGTCTCCATTATCCAAAGATGGTGGAGGTCCACAACTCTGAGGATCTGAAAGAGAAACAAATGTCATTGGTCTTGTCCAGAACGCTGCAGCTCGTCTATGGACAAAAACTTGAGATGAGCCACATCATCCCTGTGCTGTGTAACCTGCACTGGCTCTTCATACGAGGTGCAATTCTAAATGTTATACTGATTGTGTTTAAATGTCTGCACACTTTATTTGAGGGAGTTATTGCAGCCCTATACCCCACCCAGAGGTCAGCTGACCTCTGCTGCTGACCAGTTCCTGACATTTTGCACACTTGCTTCAAACTTGGCAGATGATTAAAAACTACTGCTTTCTCTACTGCTTGCTTTTATATTTAAATAGTCAAACTCTGTCAAAGAAGCCACCCTTTGCTTTGTTAAATAACATTATATAGTGTAATATAGTATATAATAGTATTTATTTAACTTTTTTCTTTACTGGCGGAGCCCTCTGTCAGAGGGACTTTCAACTCGCACCTCCGGGAGGACTTCTCCCGGATTCCGGGGGAGGCCGGAGATATGGAGTCCGAGTGGGCTTCATTTTTGGCCTCTATTGTCGATGCAGCTGCTCGGAGCTGTGGGCGTAAGGTCTGTGGTGCCTGTCGCGGCGGCAATCCCCGAACCCGGTGGTGGACACCGGAAGTAAGGGATGCTGTCAAGCTGAAGAAGGAGTCCTATCGGGCCTTGCTGGCTCTGGGGACTCCTGAGGCAGCTGACGGGTACCGGCGGGCCAAGCGTGCTGCAGCCCGTGCGGTTGCGGAGGTAAAAACTCAGAGTTGGGAGGAGTTCGGGGAGGCCATGGAGGAGGACTATCGGACGGCCTCGAAGAAGTTCTGGCAAACCGTCCGGTGCCTCAGGAGGGGGAAGCAGTTCTTCACCAACAGTGTTTACAGTGCGGGGGGAGAGCTGTTGACCTCAACTAGGGACGTTGTCCGGCGGTGGAAGGAATACTTTGAGGATCTCCTCAATCCCACCGTCACGTCCTCCGAGGAGGAGGCCGAGGCTGGGGACTTGGAGACGGACTCATCACCCTGGCTGAAGTCACTGAGGTGGTTGGAAAGCTCCTTGGTGGCAAGGCTCCGGGGTTGGATGAGATCCGTCCTGAGTACCTTAAGTCTCTGGATGTTGTGGGGCTGTCTTGGCTGACACGCCTCTTCAACATCGCGTGGCGGTCGGGGACAGTACCTCTGGACTGGCAAACCAGGGTGGTGGTCCCTCTGTATAAGAAGGGGGACCGGAGGGTGTGTTCCAACTATAGGGGGATCACACTCCTCAGCCTTCCCGGTAAGGTCTATGCCAGGGTACTGGAGAGGAGAATCCGGCTGATAGTCGAACCTCAGATCCAGGAGGAACAGTGTGGTTTTCGTCCTGGCCGTGGAACACTGGACCAGCTCTACACTCTCCATCGGGTGCTCGAGGGTTCATGGGAGTTTGCCCAACCAGTCCACGTGTGCCTTGTGGATCTGGAGAAGGCATTCGACCGTGTCCCTCGTGCTGTCCTGTGGGGGGTGCTCTGGGAGTATGGGGTCCGGGGCCCTTTGCTAAGGGCTGTTCGGTCTCTGTATGACCGGAGCAGGAGCTGTGTTCGCATTGCCGGTAGTAAGTCAGACCTGTTCCCGGTGCATGTTGGACTCCGCCAGGGCTGCCCTTTGTCACCGGTTCTGTTCATTGTATTTATGGACAGAATTTCTAGGCACAGTCAGGGGCCGGAGGGAGTCCGGTTTGGGGACCACAGGATTTCATCTCTGCTGTTTGCAGACGATGTTGTCCTGTTGGCTTCATCGAACCAGGACCTGCAATGTGCACTGGGGCGGTTTGCAGCCGAGTGTGAAGCGGCTGGGATGAAGATCAGCTCTTCTAAATCGAGGCCATGGTTCTCGACTGGAAAAAGGTGGCTTGCCCTCTCCGGGTGGGTGGAGAGTCCCTGCCTCAAGTGGAGGAGTTCAAGTATCTCGGGGTCTTGTTCACGAGTGAGGGAAGGACGGAACGTGAGATTGACAGGCGGATCGGTGCAGCTTCGGCAGTGATGCGGTCGCTGTATCGGACCGTTGTGGTGAAGCGGGAGCTGAGCCGAAAGGCGAAGCTCTCGATTTACCGGTCAGTCTTCGTTCCTACTCTCACCTATGGTCATGAGCTCTGGGTAGTGACCGAAAGGACGAGATCGCGGATACAAGCGCTCGAAATGAGTTTCCTCCGCAGGGTGGCTGGGCGCTCCCTTAGAGATAGGGTGAGGAGCTCAGTCACACGGGAGGAGCTCGGAGTAGAGCCGCTGCTCCTCCACGTCGAGAGGAGCCAGCTGAGGTGGCTCGGGCATCTGTCCCAGATGCCTCCCGGGCGCCTCCCTCGGGAGGTGTTCCGGGCATGTCCCACCGGGAGGAGGCCTCGGGGAAGACCCAGGACACGCTGGAGGGACTATGTCTCTCGGCTGGCCTGGGAACGTCTCGGGATTCCCCCGGAGGAGCTGGAGGACGTGTCTGGGGTGAGGGAAGTCTGGGAGTCCCTGCTTAGGCTGCTGCCCCCGCGACCCGGCCCCGGATAAGCGGACGAAAATGGATGGATGGATGGATGGATTAACCCTAACCCTACTCAATAATGCCATACATGAAAATAGTCTATTTGCTCTTTGAATATCACAGGTATTTCCAATGTGACCCTTTATTGAAATGACTTGTTTTGATTGGATACAGAAAACCAGCCTGTTCTTGGCAAGTTACACAAAGTGTCCCCATTATTTGGAAACTGGCTTAGGCCTTGCTGCCAAGTCTACCCATTCAACTTGTTACAGAAGCTTTTAAAGTAAGTAGGTTATAAAAAGATTCATTATTAATTAATCACCTACAACCATAAATTAATGAATAATAATAATAAGAAGAAGAATTGTAAAAATAGTAGATAGAAATGTACAGATAAAAATGACCTATATACAAGAGGTCATAAGGAAAACAGTGAAGATGAAATAATGATTGACAGGACATAGGGTTGTCTGTTACATAAGGGTTGTTGTACAGTTGTAGGGAGTATTAACTGTCCCTCTATAGTCTATAGTCTAGTTTGATTACATGCAGAGCTACGGGGCAATGAAACTTTTTATTTTGACCACAAATAAATGTTGATTAAATAAGATTGTTTTTATGTTCTGGAATTTGTTTGCAAAGAAAATAAAACTGGTGTCCCCCACATATTAAGTAAACATGTTCAAATAAGGTTTTACTTATGCTCAGTGGTGGAAAGATTACTGCAAACATGTAATAAAAGTAGTTACATGGCTGTACATGTACCCAATTACAAGTACAAGTGTTGCTTCCAAAAGTGAAACATGAAAAATACGACTCAGATATTTACCTTTGCATGATTTACTCTGGTCTCTGAACGTTGTGAAAAACCCAAACTCAGTGCAGATAATAATTTGAATTAGAATAACCTTTTAAAATGAACTTTTTCACATTTGTAAGACAGTAAAAATCTGGTATAGGGCCATTAACTTAAATTGATATGTTATGTTTACTTGTAAAAATGAGTAATGGTTTTATACATATTTTCATACATAATGTATTCTCTGTAAATGTGATAGTGATGAATCATAAAAATGTGTGTGTAAATATAACATTTAAAGTAGTCCACCATACCTTTACAAAGAGGATGTGGCTGCCAGCCTTGTCTGGTGCACCTGGCTCTGTTGTCCCTGGCCACAGCCTCAAAATCTTGATGACACTCATACTGTAATGTTTCATCAATGTCAGCTGAGCCTTCTCTAGGCTGATCCCACCGGGTGACAAGTGGATCCTCTTTGAAACATTTGACCTCTGAAGTTTACACAAGGACAACACAATGACATTAAAGATTGTCAAAGATTAACATTGATACTTTGCAGCTGATGCCATCAACATTCACTGGGGTGTGAAGAAAACTAGAGGCACTGCTCTGTCTGAAGTTCTGTTACTTAAATTAGACTTTAATCTGAGCTTTGTTTTAACACAATCTCACCAGAAAGAACTGACTGAGTTGGAACTACATACGGGGATCTGATTTGTGCTGTTAAACAAGACACTCTTGAATAACAAGGTCCAGCATTAACCAACAGTTGTTCAGTTAGTCGCTCTCACCTTTTTGTTTAAAGGGCCCATATTACGCTCTTTTCTGATCTATAATGTTGTTTCCCCATCAAAAACATACCCGGAGTTGTGTTTTGTTTCATTCACACATGTTTAACACACAAACCCTGCATATTTACACAGAGTTCTTCGGTCAGATGGAAAACATTCTGTTCCACCTTGTGATGTCATGTGGTGATACAGAACATGCTCCAGAGTGTTTTTAAACTCCAGACACTTTCACTAGAATCATTTGGATGATCTCAGTCATTTTTTACTGAACTAAAGGTAAGAGGAAGCTGTTCACATGAAAACTATCTCTACATGACATCACAAGGTGGAACAGAGCATTTTGAGCTTTGGAGATGTAGACAGACTGATAATGCAGAGTTACTGAAACACGTGTGAATGAAACAAAACACAACACCAGATAAGTTTTTGATGACTAACATGGCTTAACGCTCACAAGAGTAAACTTTGTGTAACCTTTGTTACCAAGTATTTTTCAGACAATGTAAAAATGTATGCATTATGTCACCATGGTAACTGCTAAACATTCCACTACAGACATGCATGCAGTACCCCCAGCGTGATGTCACTGCAAAGTATCAATTTCTTAATACATTGCTGTGTGTGCAGTGTGTGTTGTTCATACGTTGGCACACAGGGGTAAAGTCCCAGCTGCCTCTGCGTCCTGTGCTTTCACAAAAGAGTTGAGCTGTCTGAAGCTCGGTGCTCTTCACCCACAGATTTTCTCCACACGTGACATTCACACTTTCTCCAGAAGTGAAAATGATCTTGTCCCGAGGATAATAAGTAGTGCCCGATGGTGGGTCTCTGACTGTACATGTTACAGCTACAAGAAATCAGAAGTATGTTACTTGTACTGGTATTTGTTCATGTACATAGGGCTTCATCAATAAGGTCTGACTTACGAATGCACTTGATGTCACCTGTCCATTGTCCATTGGTGCAGGTTTTAAACAATCCTCCACTCATAGTGTGGTGATCCTCACATCTGTATCTGATTCTGGCACCATTTCCATAGATTAAAATTGTATCCTCCAGCAAATGTCCGTTTGTGAGCGGTGGAGGGGGAGTGCAGCCCCGAAGCACCTGAAAAGAGTCGTCTGTGACGAGAACAACAGATCAGGCCTGTGCTGTAAAACTTTAAAGGTTTAAAGGTCCTATATTATACAAAATTGACTCTTGTGAGCTTCAAGTCATGTTAGAATGTTGTTACCTCCTTCAAAACATACACATTCACACATGTTGGAGTAACCCTTTATTATTAGTCTGTCTACATCTCCAAAGCTCAAATACTGTTCCACCTTGTGATGTCATGAAGTGGTAGTTTTCAAGTTAAAAGCTGCCCTTTACTTTTTGTTTAGAAATGGTCAATTCCAAGTCTGAAATTATCCAAATGATTCAAGGTGTACAGCACTTGCTGTGTTACCACATGGCATCACAAAGTGGAACAGAGTGTTGCAAAGTGTGTGTGTTAAACCTGTGTGAATGAAGCAAATCACAACTCCAGGTTTGTTTCTGATGAGTTAACAACATTTTAACATGGCTTAAAGCTCACAAGAGGAATATACTGGGCCTTTAAGCTTTAAAAATTTATATTGAAATACTATTCCATTTCACCTTCTTTTATAATCTGACTTTATAGATTTCCCTGTGCTCTTGGTAAGTGTTTGTGTACTCCTGTTTGAGAAACACTGTTGTACCATATAGAGATCGACCTCCATGGGTTTTTCATGGCCGATGCCAATACTGATTATTTAGAATTCAGACAATCCGATGTCCGATAAGCTCCACCGATATTTTTGGGTCAATATGTAGAGCAGACTTTGATTATTATCCCCAAATTATGTAATTTAAATTCAGTACAAACTCACTCACAGCCTTTTTTTGATTTTTACCAAACTTTCAAGCGAGCAGTGTAGCCATGTTTTCAGCAGTTACCTCTTCATATTTAAGTGTTAAAATTAAGCTTTGTGTGTATTTTTTAGACACCTTATCGACCTAAGTATCGGCATGTGCTGGAGAGTTAAGACCAAGAGATGATGTGCTAAAAAGTCCAAATATCGGCCCGATATATATCAGTCAGTCTTTAACTATGACATCTCACCAACACACTGGCCGATGGCGGCAGCTGTCCAGCCGTCCTCAGTGCAGATGTAGGTCGTGTTCAGACCAGTCGTAAACCCAGGATCACAGCAGAAGTAAATCACATCTCCTATTTGGTACTCTGTCTTTTTGTATTCGTCCAGTACAAATGCATGTTGAACTGAAGGCAGCTTTGAACACTCTAAGAGACAATACCAGCCACAGTGAGGGTGAGTAACATTAAAAAAAACATCTGATTTTAAAAGTAGATAGATTAAAATGCTGCGTACTTTCTAATGTTAACGTAAACTCCACAAATCTACATAGAAATAGCATAAAAATCACTGTTGGCTTCATTGCTGCTTTGGACTGAAAACTTTGGAACTTTGGTTTACTGATCCTGTTCAGTGTTTGTTTAAAACCTGCCCACTCAATACGAGGAAAAGGTAATTGCACCCTAATTCTGACCCTAATGGCTTTTCCATCTTGTTTTTTGTTACTTGTACACAAGTTTTCAATACTTTACAAACATGTGAATCTCTCTGTTTTCAGATGGATGTGATTGACAGGTGGATTAGCCAATCAGGGACACACATGGTCCAGAAAATATGAATGAAAAAAATATCACAGGGGGCTGGTATATGGAGGACCAGACTGATATCGATCTGTATAAAAGAAAGACATGCCAAAATATGCAGGGTTTGTGTGTTAAAACATATGTGAATAAAACAAAACACAACTCCAGGTCTGCTTATGATGAGGAAACCACATTATTACAGATCACAAAATCGCATAATATTGACCCTTTAAACTTTGATTCCCCATGTTTATTCCTGACTCTGAGGACCTCAGGGACTGGCCTCATGCCTGTGCCCAGAGTGCAAGATGGTTCATATGACACATGTCGGAGATGCACTTTGGTGCAAGGCCGTGGAGAGACTTATATACAAGCAGATCTGCTTTAAAGTCTATTCTCTGAGAAAAAGGGGCAGCGCAGAGACATGACACCATGATAGTGGCTGCTTTGAAGCAAGATGGGACAAAGGCTTGCCCCAAAGAGTTGTTGAAGATGTCTGTAAAGACAAAATCCTTCAACATACGACCTGGAATGTTGTCTGGACCTGCTGCTTGATGGGTTGATGGTGGTGAATGTCCTCTTCACGCTTAAAACAGACAGGCACAGAGTTTAGTCGTGGAGAGGGGGTGTAGTTTTCTTTGGGTGGCTGTTGTTTTGTGCTTCAAATTGTGCAAACAAGCTGTTCAGGTCATTAGAGGTGTTACTCTTTCAGCTCTGTGGTGTGGGCTTATAGTTCATAATGGTCTGGATGCCACAGGCTCTTTGCATCTCTGCTGTCTTTGAAGTTATCTTGTTTGTGTACTCCTTTTTTTCTTTCCTCATACCCGGGACACATTGGCTCTAGGTGCTCTCAAGCCAGCTTCATCCCTAGCTCTGGAGTTTGAGTGATTCTCTGCATTTTCTTGGATTAACCACTGGGAGGCGCACATGAATAAGGTTATTGGTGTATGACTTACTATTATTGGTGTATTATTATCCATACTAATTATTTTTTTTAAACCACTAAAAAAATCTTTTTTGATCAATGCAGTGTCACAATAAATTTAGGGGTAACACATATTTAATCAAAGTTAACTACTTTTAGAGAATCTTAATATGGACATGTTTCCATCTCATTGGAATGGTGATTCAGGTGACTTTAGATCTGTGTTTTTAAGCCAAGACACTTCCTGTACACAGATAAGGAGGTCCTTGGACTATTAGACACTTAGGGGGTACTAAGAGGTTTCATTTGCATACTTCTGTAAACCTGAGGCCACCACTTTTACCTAACCGTACTTATCCTCCCCTGTTTTGTGTTTACTGAGTGACCTTTGCACTCTCTGACCAATATCCCCGCACAGTTGAATATACTGTCCTGTGAAATGCAGCAATGTAAATACTCTGAGCCCATGATACACCTGACGTAAGCATGGTCTGACATGGACTTTTCCAGCTGATATGATGTCCGATATTTGTCTTGCTGTTGTTATCAAGTGATATTTGCAAATATTTTTCTTGTAGTAAAGTTCTCAAAGAAGGCTAAATATAGGCTATATATGGAGTATAATTTATTTATGGATATGATATAAGACAAACTGTGAATGACACACAGGCACTCGTAGACAAAATGTTAAGTGCTAATTATCTGCTACGTTTTTGGTATTGGACCAAAGCAGATATGTCAAATATTAAAAAATGTGAGGTTAAATATATTTTATTAACCTCTCATGAAAGAAATTCATTCTATCCATTTGACCTTACCTAGCCAAACAGAAACACATGCTCTGACAAAACTTTATAAGGACGAGCATCAAAAACAAACATGGCTGTAACGCATAAAAAAGGAGAAAAAAAACAACAACATACAGATTGAGAAACACCATGGATTTTCTCTGAATTAACAATCAAAGCACCAAGCTACTATTTATCTCAGGTAAAAGCAGTTATATAGTTTGTTCTGAATTTTTGAGATGATTTTTGCTTTTAAGAGACACATGCTTCAAATCAGCAGCTGTGGTTGGACCATCTCAAGTTTGGACTCTTGCTTTATGATCCCTATGAATGAATGTTGGCTGGTCAGGCAACATTTGACCCATCCTTCATCCAGAGTTGTTGGGGCGACTTATCTGGAGCAGTGAGTTACAGCCATACAGTGATCAGGGACATCACAACAGTAGGAAATATTATCATGTGCACATATGAAATTGAGAGAAAAACTGTCCAGAAAATATGGTTTATTTCAAAGCATGCACACAAATCAGCCTATTGTGTCACTAAAATATGCTGAACCATTAAAATGTAGACCCAATGGTGAATAAGTAAATTATAATTTTAGTGATATTAAATGTTATGATTTGCTTAGTAAAAGAAAATGTCATGTAAATTAAAGGGACAGATAGGACCTCATTTCCTAGTGAGCCAGAGTGTTGGAGACATGTGGAGACACTTTTTAAAATATTCCATCCAGTCCTTGTATTTGCAGAGGTCGCTGGTGCTAGACTAGTGCATGTCAATGGCCATAATTATCCTGCCACTAAAAACAGTCTTACCCACTCCACAAAACACCCGAAGCAAATCTGTTATTACACCAAACTGTTGATGTAAATGTCTGTGTTTGAAATAAAACTAACCTTGCATCACATGAATCGTCGCAAGTTGAGGGACTATTTTCTCATATATCAGTCCACCACTGCCAAACTTTCTATCAGAAAGTACAACTCGCTGCTGCTGCTCAGGCATAAATCCTTCAAATGCAAGGTTGGTTTTACTTCTGAAATTATTCTGTCAACACAGACATTTACATCGACAGTCTGGTGTAATAATAGATTTGCTTTGGGTGTTTTGTGGAGTGGCTAAGAATGTTTTTAGTGGCAGGATAACTATGGCCATTGACATGCACTAGCCTAGCACCAGCGACTTCTGCAAATACAAGTACTGGATGGAATATTTTAAAAAGTGTCTCCAACACTCTGGCTCACTATGAAATGAGGCCCTATGTCCAAAATTCCGAATAGTCCCTTTAATGCTTTATTCTTCTTCTGGCTCTTCCAGACTCTTCTCAGTTGCCTCTATAGTTTCTCGAATCCATGACACATAGTTCTTCACTTTGGTGTAGTAACCCTTGTATTCTGTTTTAGAACAAACTGGGCCCCAAGACACAATCCCCATGAGTCGATACGGCCTCTCCCTCGCCCCTAACATTGGAGTGAAAAATGGACCACCGCTATCTTTTTCACAACTATCTCTGCCATTTTCCCCAGCACAAAACATGTTACTAGTGTACTGCATTGCACCATTTTTAGGTGTTTTTCGACATTCAGCTTCTGAAATCACTGGAATTGGTGCATATTGCAATATCTGAGCAACGCGTGCTCTAGTAGTATCATCTTTCACACCAAATCCTGCAATTGTCCCTAGATCATTTGTACTAAGTCGTGTGTTGTGTTCTGGCAAACAAATTGGACTTATGTGAGGGCCAAGTTCAACCCTGGAAGTGAATCGGATCAGCGCTATATCATTGTCGAAGCTGGTACGAGAGCCAGATAACCCCTTGATGTAACGAGGATGAATTATGATTTTCTCACTTTGCAGTTCCACAAAATTTGGACTTTTGCCATCCACAATGCCACCTAACCAGCGCAGGTTAGCTTCTTCAAACCCCTCCACTACATGTGCAGCGGTCACAGCCCAGCGGTCGCTAATCAGAGACGCTCCTCCTCTCCTGGGCCTCTTGATCAGCAAGTACCAGGGCATGTATCCAAGACTTGCCGGCTCACCTCCAAGAATCCTGCCTGTGCTAAGAGGGGCAGTTTGGGGCATACCGCACACTGAAACACAAACAAAAAAGGATTAGGACTGCATAACTTCAGAAACAACTACAAAATATCTTACTGCAAATATTCCGACATATAACTGTCTTGTGCTAAATTTAAAAATAAGATTCGGTTCACACAGCAAATGAACAAGTCCAGCAGTGTTAGCATTTGGGAAAACGTATAATTATGCAACTGGCAAAACAAAAAAAGGATCACATGCACTTCAGAATATGTTTGTAGAGTCTGTAGCACAGGAACTCCACAGGGCTGTGTACTCTCCCTTCTGCTTTTCTCCCTGTACATCAGCTGTTGCACCTTCAGTCGCGACTCTGTTCTAAAAACTGATCAAGTTTGTGGTTGAGGCTCATTTCAGATGGTGATGACCCTTCTCACCCTGTTCAGACTATTTGAGACACTCCCCTCAGACTCATTTATACTTATAACATCTGTTACTTTAAACAACTCAACAATAATAAATCTACTGCACTCATAATTTTAATACCTTCAATGCATTTTGGCAGTTGTGGGTTGTTATCTGGTGAGATCCATTCACCATTGGGACCACAGGTGTAAGTATCTAGAAAAACACATGGAGGGCAATCAGAGCGGAGAAGTTAGTCATTTAGTTGGCCATCTTGTGTTAGTCTTACCATCCCCTTGGAGCCTGTAGTACGATGAACTGCAGTTAAACCTGACTTGACTTTGGTACAGAGTCTGGAGCTTGTCTGGACCCACCACAACAAGGATGTCATCTCTGGGAATTTTAGGCCGGCCACAGTTCAAAGCTACAAAAGGAAACTGATATTAAACACTTAAAGTTCCTATATTATGCTATTTTCTTATCTCTTTCATAATGTTTCCTCATCAAAAACATACCTTTGGGGATGTAGACAGACTAATAATAAAGGATTTCTCAAACTTGTGTGAATTAAATAAAGCACAATTCCAAGTATGTTTTTGACAAGGTCAAAACTAAAGGTGCACTTTGTAACTTTTCTGGCAGAAGCTTAACCACTTGCTTGTTTCCATGGAGAAGTTCTTGGTTTTCCTGGAAACACTGTATTAAACATATATCTCTTCTAGCATTTATTACAGCTGCTTTTCTTGCTCAAAATAACATGGAAATTGTGCTTTTTACTGTAAGAGTGCTCACCTCTCCACAGATCTGACCAGTAACTTGCCTGGTCATGTCACCTGCTTGTCTCCTTGGAGATAAATAAGTTTAGAGGTAAAATAAGGACATCTCCACAAAGTCAAACAGGTCCACCAGAAAAGTTACACAGTGCAACTTTAAAACAAAAAGCTGGCTGAGGTTGCGCTTGAGTGTAAATCTCAAACTCACGTTGGCAGGTGTAGTGAGGACTCCAGTCTCCTGTTGTCTGACACGTTGTTACATATTCTTGTGCTCTTCTTTTGCTTTTGCCGTCACTCTGAACCTGAAGAAGACATTTCCATTGTTTGACTTTACATATTCTGTACATTTTACATACAAATTTGTATTTTCTATTTGCTACTGATAACAACAATAATGTAATAAATGTAGGTTAATGTAAGCATAATGTGTAGTGTGAGCAAAAAACTAAAAAACTCTGATTGAAGAGGCACTCTGTAACTTCCAGTGTTGGGCCTGCCTTTTGCTCATCTCCAAGGACATGTTGCTTAGCCTGGAATGTTCCACATTATGGTATTAAATTTGTATTTTTGTAGCTTATATTATATGAAATTGTGTTTTTATTGCTCAAAAATACTTCAGATTTATTGGGAGTAGGATTCCCTCTCGATTTGGACTGTATTCTGACATGACTGCATCACCTGCTTGTCTCTATGGGGATGGATAATGACACACTGTGGAACATTTCACTCATATTTTAGGTAAAATTGACTCGTTTATCCATGTTATGATGTTGTTACCTCATCAAAATCACCCAGGACTATCTTTCATTTCATTCAGACATGTTTGATTAATCCTTTATTATTAGTTTTTGTACTGAACTGTTGTAGTTATAGTCACATAAATTAATCATAACAAATAATTCACAGATAAAATGTTATATATTTTGGCCACACATGACTTACCACATTAACATAGTGTCCTACGTCACACGTCACAGTCACCTTCTGGCCCGGGCTGTACTCCACTGAGTACGGCACCACGGTGGAGTATGGACTTATGGTAGGAAGACACACCTTGTCTGTAAAAGTTTCATTTGGATGAAAAAGTATTTTGGGAAACTATTACTCAAGAGTAAATTTAAGAGGAGCAGTGAGGATGTAACGATCTGATTTACAATTTGAAGTTGCGATAATTGGAAGGGGGGAAAAAGCCATAATACACAAAATTGAGAAAAACTGAATTGTATCTGAAGGAGCAGTGCAAGAAACACACATGTTCAGATCATTTAATATTAATATGTGAAGCTTTGTTACTTATGGACTTAAAGCGGGAAGAGTAACCAAAGCTTTCAATCAAGTAAAGAGTTCTGTTACTTCAGACAAAATATTATACAAGTAGGAATAAAATTGTGTAGTCCAAAAACTTCTCTGAGAAGTACAATTTCTAAAAAAAAAAAAAAAAAAGTAAACAAGAAAAATGTGAAAGGGCACTACCATCCCATCCTCTGCTTTACATTTTATAAGTGTGAAATAATTCATGAGCATCTTTTAAATGTGAACTTTGGGCACCTGCGGTTGTGAAGATGAGAGAGAAGCCGCGGTTGGTCCCGTAGCCGTCGGTCTCAAAGTGGATTTTGATCTGGTGTGAGTGGGTGAGGAGGGGGGAGGACGGGGAGTTACTCCCACAGAAGGGCCCTAAGGTGCCAGAGTGAGTCTCGATCTGAAAAACAAAATATTAAATTAAGTTTAAAGGTCCTATCTTAAACAAAATTGATTCTTGTGATCTTTAAGCCATGTTATTATGTTGCTGTTACCTTATCAAAAATATACCCAGAGTTCTGTTTAGTATTATTCATAGATACATGTTTGAGTAATCTTTTTTTGTATTATTAGTCTGGCTACATCTCCAAAGCTCAAAATGCTCTGTTTCAGCTTGTGATGTCATGAAGTGGTAATTTTCAAACTCCTTTTTATCTTTTGTTTAGTAGAATTGGTCATTTCCAGGGCTGAAATCATCCAAATGATTCTAGTGAAGGTGCATGGAGTTTAAAAACACAGTGGAGCATTTGAGAGAAGAACTCAGCCTAAATGTGTTTTTGATGAGGAAACAACATTATAACACAAAACAGAAAATAGTGTAATACATGTATATATTATTCCAAAAATTCTTTATGTACTGTCAAAGTTAACCTGCAGAGAGATGATCACAGTAGTATTTTTGTGTTTTAAAACCACTATAACTTTTGTACAGTTTGTGATGGACAGAACTAGTGCCCAATTATTCATAACAAAACTAAGTTAACAGTTCTTGTTAAAAAAAACCACCCAAAAAAAAATGGGTAAATCAGGAGCCACATGGGGGCGCCAGTTGCAAAAACTGCCTGTGTCCTTAGGCAAGACACTTCACCTACATTGCTAAGTATGAAAGTGGTGTGTACGTGAGTGGTGGTGGTTGGAGGGTGCAGATTGGAACTCTTGCTTCCGTCAGTCTGTCCCAGAGCAGCTGTGGTTACAATAGAGAAACTGAAGAAAAAAATACTGGAGAAAAAATAGTATCTTACCATCGCCGGGTGTGGAGTGAATGAATAATGATCTGTAATGCATCTTTGTGACATATGACCTGTGAAAAGTCTATATAAATAAAACCTTTATTAAATATTTACTTACTTAAAAGGAGAATTTGTGTAGTTCATTGGAGCTACAACTGCAGTAACATTCATCATCATTTTTGTTTGGCTTTCATGACCTATTTTGGGTTGTCATGGTGATTCATATTTGTTTAGTTGCACTGCTTTATAATAAAATGTAGGTTTTCCAGCCTTCTAGCTTTACTCTACAGGCACAGTATCGTCTTAGATGTTATGTCTATTGTGTCTAAGTTTTTAAATGGTCATCTATCTTTTCTAATGGTTACTATTCTCCTGCTGTTGTTGAACTTTGCTAGCCTGATTCATCATCCCGTTTCACTTTGTGGAAACTGATATATTAACCTTTTCCCAAATCCCGTAGGAAGAAGGGCAATACTGTCTATCTCCTTGATAAAATTCACCAAATATTCTCTTTGTTCCGGCTTTAAAGGCTTGATCTTGGGAATCGTTGCCAACACAGAATGTATGACTCCTAGTGTTTTCCGATTCCTGTCCTAGTCGCTGGAGAGAAATGAAACTGAGAGGAGGCACTAGGTGGCACCAGCCTGGCTAGAACTTTGCTACTCTAATTTCCCCACTGTGAGACAAATACATTTTTATATAAAGGTGTAACTTCTCCTTATGCATGTTGTGCTTTGGTTGCAGTGCTCACTCGCAGACTGTCCAGGCAGCCTCCCTCTGGGTCCTGCTCCAGGTCGAAGGGCTGGAGGAAGGTGAGCTGCAGCTGGAGGTGCGGATCCACAGACAGAGTGGACACACAGTGGCTGTTCTCCGGGTACAGACCGGGCCACGACGGGCTGGAGACTCGTCCCTCATTCTGACCAGACAGGTCCTCACTGCAGCTCACTGTGAGAGGGGAAAAGCACTTAATATCACCTCATCACTGCTAAAGATGGTCCAGATTACATTAGTTTATCAGTTATTGGTATGTTATTGAAGTGTTCCACAGTTATTTTTATTGCTCAAAAAAATTCTTGCCTCTGCAAAAAGAGTTTAATAAAAAAGAAAAAAACCTCACAGGATGCTTCTTGCTTTGTCTTTTAAAGTTCCACACACAAAGTTCAAAGTTAGTGAACTAGAACCGTGGCTCTATAATAAGACCATAACTGGAATGCACATATTTCCACATCACTTCGTCTTATAAATTACAGTGTATTTGGTCTAGTGGCGTCACCTGCGTTTCCTTGTAGACAAATGGCGTCAACGTTCTCCACCCACTCCTCTCATGGGTTTCAGAATGAACAAAATTAGGCCAGCTGCCATAGCAATGAACAACATCACGAAAAATATAGTTATAAATGAAAATGACATAGAAATTGTGGTATCTAAAACATCAAACATAACAAAAAGCTGAAACTCATGAATTTGTCCTGCTCAGTCATGTTGTGAGTGAGTGACAGGCAGATCAACCAATCACAGTGAAGTGTGGACACTCAAAGGAAGGAGATAGTTTTCGTGCTAGTATAAAATTTAGTGACACGCACTCACAGCGTTGACAACTTCTCCAATTTGATCCACGTGATTGCTTCTGTTTTTTGTTTCAATTCCTGTTTATTGCATTTAGACATTTAGTTCACGAGTTCACTTTTACAATATGTCCACTGTTTTTGCGATCCAGTCCAGGAGTTTTAATATTTGAGAGAAGAATTAATCAGCAAATCACTTCGTTTTTAGAATATGAAACTGCATAAAGAGTGTGGTTTAGAGAGGCTATTTAATAAGATCAAGTTTGTTTTCTGCAGAAGAAATGACATTACTTTAATCATTTACCGTAATTCTTTGCAACTTGTTAATTATGCGCATTGAAATTGTGTTTTTGGTTCACTCTGCGGTTCGTCTCGGTCCTTACCTGAGCATGTGTGGTTGTCTGTGTCTAAGTGGAACCCGTGGTGACAGGAGCAGTAGTATCCTCCAATGAGGTTGTGGCAAAACTGAGTGCATCTGTTATCAGGGTCGTTGCACTCATCATAATCTGCAAAAGTCAAAACAATGTTCTTATTTTATCAAATCAAGATTTTTTAACATTATTCAATTCAAGTTTATTTATATAGCACATTTAAAAACTACTTCAGCTGACCAAAGTGCTTCACATAAAAGTCAACAAAAACAGACCTGGTTTAGTCCTGGTTCAGTCCTGGTTCAGTTCTGGTTTAGACCTGCTGTAGGCCTCATTTAATCTTGGTTTAGACCAGATGAAGTCCTGGTTCAATCCTGCTTCAGTTGTGGTTTAGTCCTATTTTAGTCCTGGTTTAGTCCTGGTTTAGTCCTGGTTTAGACCTGGTTTAGACCTGGTTTAGACCGGGTGTAGTCCTGGTGTAGTCCTCGTTTAATCTTGGTTTAGACCTGCTGTAGTCCTGGTTTAGTCCTGGTTCTGTCCTGGTTCAGTTGTGGTTCAGTTGTGGTTCAGTCCTGGTTTATTCCTGGTTCAGTCCTGGTTTAGTCCTAGTTTAGTCCTGGTTTAGCCCTGGTTTAGTCCTGGTTCAGTTGTGGTTCAGTCGTGGTTCAGTCGTGGTTCAGTCCTGGTTCAGTCCGTGGTGTGTGCGGCGAAAAATCTGGCATCTCGATCAATATCTTCTGCTCAGTAAATAACGCCTGTGAAGTGATGAGGGATTTTTGACAGTAGTAGTCGTAGTCATAGTAGTAGTAGTAGTGGTGGTAGTCACGCTGGGCACCCACAGTCCCCGACTAGGTGCAGGACTCTGGTATGATGTAAGTTTCTGTGATGTTTGCAAATGTTCATGTGCACTGAAACTTGATTTGAAAAAAAAAAAAAAAAAAAAAAAGCCAGAAAAATTGCAGTAAATTTTTTTTATAAAATTGTTCAGCCCTAGTCTTAAACTGCATTACAGACTGAAAGGATCTCACAAAACAACTAACCAGAGCTGGTCAGCTGATATTATACTGACTATTTAGGAATAACTTTCACATATGAATATCTTTATTTACATTTTGTTAATTGTAAAACACTTGACTTCATGTTCAGAGCTGCACAACAGATTCTCTCCTGCTGGCCCTCCTCATTGTGAGAGAAATGGCTTCTTTACATTCTTCGTTCTTTTTGTTTATGACCCCAAGTCTGAAATTTAAAACTAAAGAGTACAGAGCTGTAGGTGGGGATTGGGGGTAGGTGAAAACTGATATTTCCTGAGCACTCAGGTCCCAAATGCAGGATAATGTAAGATTATTAAAACATGGCCATACACCAAGTCCATTCAAAATAAAACTGTGTAGGGTAATGATAAGTAAATAACCATTACGACATGATCAAAAGCTCTAAAAAGTGGATTTTACACAGGAGTGTAGTGGGCGTGGGACGCGTGGGTACATCGTCCACCCACTTCTCCCAAAAAAAAAAAAACACAAAAAAAACAAATAGAAAATAGCTACAACTTAAATGTCAAACTGGAGCTACTGGCAGTGGTGAAAACAAACTGCATAAGCTCATGATATCTGCAGTACTGTCCTACAGTGACCTGAGACATGAGGGACCAGGACTGAACCAGGGGTAAAACAGGACCAAACCAGGACTAAACCAAGACTAAACCAGGACTAAACCAGAACTGAGTGTCGGGAACGGCCCGGAGGTGTGCCCATGTAGACCGTCGGGTGACCACAGGAGAAAAGGCCGGCGCAGAGCTTCTGCCGATCGAGCTTTGTCCAAGATTAGTCCTGGTTCAGTCCTGGTTTAGTCCTGGTTTAGTCCTGGTTTAGTCCTCCTGGTTCAGTCACGAATCGTGTACCCCCACTTAAAAAATCCCCACTACACCACTGATTTTACATCATATTTCTCCTTCAGTTTCAGACCTTTTATGGTGTAGAAGCCTCTGAAGCCGGAGTGTCGGTGGCGGTTGGAGAAGTCTGAGTGGAAGGTCAGGTTGAGACATCCTCCGGGAGCAGACCAGAGCTGTGGGTTCACTGACCTCTGCAGCTCCTCATAGCTCAGAGTCCCACACAGGACTGAGATCAGGTTTTCATCTGAATACACCTAAGGAAACAGGTACACAGGCTTTTAATAGTACTGTACACTGCAGAAATATACAATTATATCTAGCCTGGGTTAAAGATGTACTGTGTAACATATTTTCTGCCACTTTCTTGTCTCCATAAAGATGTTATTTCTTTGCCTGGAATGTTCAGCAGTCGCATTGCATTTAAATATGGCTGTATGGCTGACTTTTGTTCAGTCATATGCTTAAATTGAATTGAAAATGCAAGACAGATTAGTTTAAAGTCATACTGTGGAACATTACAAGACAGCCAATTACATGCATGGAGAAAAACAGGCCCTCCCACCAGAAAAGTTATCTTTAAAAAGACTTAAATTCATAATACTATATCTTGTTGAATCTAGTTACTGATGTGAAACTTTTTGATTGAAGTTGAAGTAAATAAGTGGACTGTAAAATGAACCACAAACAGTCGGGAATATGAACATAAAACTCTTCTGCCACATGCTCGTCTCTATGTCATTGTATTACCTAGAATATTTGGCAGTATGACATTTAGCTTCCATTTACAACAGTTTTATTTCTGAAAAATACCTTGGAAAACATGTATTCTAAGTGTGATCAGAGGTGCCTCTCCACAGATCTGACTGGTAACAAACTTAGGGCATGTGATGGAGATTTATATTGTGGAAAGATTTCTCTCAATCTGTCTTTGTGTAAATTTGGTTTGGTAGTTAAAGACAGTGTTAGAAAGACCCTTCAGTGTAAACATTTCTTTTCCCTTTTGCTTGGTAATCTTGTCAGGAAGTGACAAATGCGTGAATGTCAATGTAAATCAGATCAAGCAATTCTGACCACACCTCAGTAGGAGTCGTCACCTTCTCAGTTTGAAATGTAAGTATTTTATTTATATAGCACTTTTCACAGACATTTGTCACAAAGACACTTTACAGAGCATTATTCACTCATTCCATACCCAGGAGTGGCAAGATACTATTGTAGCATCAGCTGCCCTGGGGCAGACTGACTGAAGCGCAGCTGCCAATCTGCGCCACTGACCCCTTCGACCACCACCATCACTCACACACACACCACTTTCATACTAGACAATGTGGGTGAAGTGCCTTGCATAAGGACATGACAGTTTTTTGTGACTGGCCCCACTGTGGCACCTGGAATTCCCAGTGATCTCCCATCCAAGTACTAACCAGGCCCAGCCCTGCTGAGCCTCTGAGATCTGATGGGATCAGGCTTTGACAAGCTGGTACGGCCAAATGTATCTCCTCAAGTCATCTCAGGCTATAGAAACTTCGTGCTTTGTAACATTCGAGGGGAAAATGTGGTAGGGACATACTGATGAAGGGGGTGAGGCTGATGGTCTTTGTCCATATCTGCAGTAACAAGAATAAACCTTTGTCTGTATTCCAAAAACTCACCTGGATTAATTATGTTTTTCTTCAAGATCTATATAATTTTTTTCCACAACAGGCTTCAGTTGCTTGTCTCTATGAAGCTGTAAGCTCAAAATGCTCTGTTTCACCTCATGATGTCATTAAATTTTCAGGTTACCGTTTACCTTTAATTCAGTAGAGATTGTCAATTCCAAGGCTGAAATGATCCAAATGATTTTAGTGAAGGTGTATGGAGTTTAAAAACACAGTGGAGCATATCCTATATTACCACATGACATCACAAGGTGGAACAGAGTGTTTTCTGTTTGAGAGGAGAAGCCTAAACATCTAGGATTTGTGTGTTAAACATGTGTGAATGAAACAAAACCCAACTTCGGGTCTGTTTGTGATGAGGAAACAACATTAGAACATAGACTGGAGTAATATGGGCCCTGTAGGTGATATTGTACAGAAATAATTGTACCTTCACTGCGTCATTCTCACAGTCGGCGCTGTCCTCTAGGTCCAGGTGGGTGAGTTGGATAGAGAGGGCGTGTCCTTCGGGTGCACACCTGCGCCAGTTCAGAGTCGTGTGCGGGGGGTAACCTCGGGGGTATCCAGGAGACTCCACCCACCCCAGCAGGGAGAAGGACGTCTGAGGGCACAGCGCCACCACCAGGAGACTGAAAAGTACATGAAGACATTTGAGAGAACAATACAAAGTAAATGTCAACAAAGACGATCTAGCAGGACTTAAATTCAGACTATCATGGCTGTAGTTTAAGTCTAACTTGTTTCTAGCTCTCACAAGTCTTTCGGATCTTTGTGACTAAAGCTGAGCGATTTGGGAAAAACATCTGATTGTGATTTTTCTGAGAAGCACTGCTGTGATGATTAGATACGTGATAATAACAGGATGTCATTCAAAGTTCACAATTTATACACTTCCAGGAGAATTAACAAAAAGACTGAAACATGAACTGACAAACTAATCACATTTCAGAATATGTCAGAAGAAGAAAAATAGGTAGAGCGCTTCACTGGGTCATAAAAGTGTTAAAAATAGGAGTATGAGGGTTAAAACAGTAGTCTTTACTGGAAAATGTAAAAGTGGGCAAGGTACAAACCCGAGGCACTCCCACTGAATATATTAAAAGTCCTTTATTGCATGAAGGGACGCACATGCAATAAAGGACTTTTAATATATTTAATATATTCAGTGGGAGTGCCTCAGTTTTGTACCTTGTCTACTTCTACATTTTCCAGTAAGGTTAACTTTCTGTTTAAAATCATTTCAGAATCTGTTTGCACTCATCTAAGCTACGGGGTCAGCAGTTTCTATGCAGATGGAGACAAGACAGGTTGTGCTGATTTGTGGTTAGATTTACTAATTGTGATTTCAATTCTGTTCCGATCAATCTTGCGGCACAGTTTTATAGAGATGAACCAATTTGATACTGTTACTGCCTAGACTGAAACTGTTGCTGTATCAGATATCGGCTTCCAAATATCGGTTCAGTCGGTGATCTGGTTTGACATTTAAATAAGACAATTTAATGGTCATAACAAGCCCAAAAAGTCTCATAATGTTTAAAGTTTAGTTAGTTTAACAATCTCCATGGATGCAAGAAAACAGCTCCACCATACCATGTATCTTTGAAAATAAAACTTAAACTTAAAAACCCTGGAAATGAACAAATGACAGAAGTTAAAGTGACAAAAGTGACAAAAGTGAGAGGCCCTGCAATAGAAAACTTATATAGGTGCATTTAATGAAGTTTTTGAGATCTTTCACAGTCATTTTTACTCCCTAGATCAGGGGTCTTTAACCTTTCTCCTCGGGTGAGCTACGTGTACAAAATGAAAATTCCCAAGAGCTACTAATTTTCAGTTTTCTCAAGAAATAAAGTACACATAAGCGCCACTGCAAGACTTAGATCAGGTGCAATTAATAAACATGAAACACAAACCTTTTTTTCTATTTATGAGAGCACAAAGTCAGGCACCATAATGACAGATTTACAGTAATAATAGGCATTTAATTAATCCAGTTTGAGTTATTCAGGACAATACATGTAATTCAGAAAGGGGAAGGGGGTGGAGAGCTAGACCCCTGACTTAGACTTTATTTTTGCTGTTCATATAGTAAATATAAAAGTATTCACGCACCTTAATCTCCACATTGCGCTCACGTTCAAATGTCTTCGCAAATCATTGACCAAAATCTCCTCTTCTCCTTTTTATTTAATTTCGATTTCACACTCACCCTGCTCCCCCCGTGTTTGTTACACAATTTGCAGACGTAGACATTTTAAACTCTATTTGTGGCGCATTTTGCATCTTTGCCGAAATGTGCCAATCTCTGAAACCAAAAACGGGATCTACAATATGTTTAATCAAATGTCTCGAATTCATATTTCTTTACTTTTGCGTTAATTTGACTCCCTAGTGTAGTCGAAGATTAAATGAACACTGTGCAATTTTACTTCTCGTCTCCATGGAGATCTTATTGCTTTGCCTGGAATGTTCTTGGCAGGAAATCTCATCAGACAAAGTTACTAGTAAGATCTGTGCGGAGGCGACCCTGCTCAGTTAAGAATGCAATAAAAACACCAGTAAATGAATAAATTATAAAAGAAATCAGTGATTTCCTGTCAATGCAATTACATCACCATGGAAACTGAGTGACTTTTCTATTAAAATGTGTTAAAACCACTCAAAACAAGAAAAAATTATGCGTTAAAGTTAGATGCTAATTTTCTATCGCTTTTTTTTTTTTTTTTTTTGAGTGTAGTTTCACCTCAGTGGGACCGAAAACAATGGGGTCAAGAGTGTTTAAGGGAAGTGAACACCGGAAGTGCCACTGTGAGCTTTATGTTTGATACAGTTTTCAGAACAAAAAAACAAACAAAAACGAGACACTCTGCTTAAAGTAGCCTGACCAAAAATTGACTTTAATTCAGATTTGATCAGCTGGTGTGGTTTTAAACGCTTATCATCTGCATCAACTGGATTATTTAACATGTCTCATTCTGACTAGTTTCAAAGTATGAGTAAGAGGTGCACTCCAAAATGTTGTATGTATGTTCTTAAAATTAAGTGCAAAGTGTTTTTGTGTGTTTTTATTTGAGTAATCTTCGACTGGATAAGGAAAAAGTACGCTTTTAACTTGAAATGAATGAAAAAAACTAGCAGCATTTAGAATTTAGTGGACAAAGTGAGTCTTCAGAATATTCTCAAATCAAATCAAAATGTACACAAATCCAGATAATATTGTTGAACGTTTTGCAGTGTATCCTCCTGAGACCGGGGCCATTCATTTGTGTCCTTAATGTGGACACTGAGTTAACTAGTCGATCATTTAAGAGTTTTGAGACTAAATTCCTCTGCCTAAATAAAGCTGGGGGATTATAGAGTACTATCATGTCCAGGATAAAAAATAAACTCAATTGGAGTTAGTTTGTGGCTGCACTATGATTAAAAAAATTAAATTAAAATTAAAATGGAGTCTAAAAACTGACTGTAGAAGCTTGTCAGAGATGTTGGTCAAAAAAGTTGTTTTTGTTAGGTTGTTAACATGTCCCCGGTGTCTATTACAGATAAAACACATAAAAATAAAATTAACAAAAGGCGTTCATTTACCTCCAAATAGAAAATCACAAAAAATATATATTGCAACATACTTTTTTCTTCAGGTCCCAAGAGGATATAGAGTGATTTTTAGTGTTTAGTTTTGAAACTTTTCATTTTAATTTGAGTTTAATTGAGTCAAACTGTTCAAGTTTATCATGTGTAATATATAAACTAGGAGAGACTACACAAATTATGATTTTTATTGTGCATAGGGCTGCAATAAAGTTTTATTTTACTAATGGATTAACTATAAAAAAAAAATTTCAATTTTTTGATTAGTTGTTTGAATTTATTACACTTGCAATAATCAATTTTGCTTTACTTGTTGCAGCTTAGTGACTCGTTTTGCTTCTTTTTTTTTTTTTTTTTTTTTTTTTTTTTTTGCAGTGAAGTTACCAGAACTAAGTCAGGGGTCTGTAACGAGGAAACAGACGACCCGAACAGGAAGCCTTCAAAAGAGGGAAAAACAGCACAGCATTTGGCCAATGGGGGTTTTCCACTGTGTAGGATTCAACAAGTGATGAAGTTTACAGATGAAGGAGGAGACGTGAGCAGTTCAAGGGGCAGATAAGAAGTATCGGAGGAAACTAAAATTCAAAGTCGAGTTTCAGAGTAATCTTGATTATAGTTTGAGAGGTGAACTCCGGTGTCGGGCAAAAGCGAACACAGACTTTGAAGAATAAGCGATTTTTTTATTTTTTAAGAATCAGCTTCTACTGAATGGGAATCAATGTCTCAGAAATGCTCGGACGACTGGTATTTCAGCAAGGATGGACGCTGCTGTAATCGCTGTAACGCAGGTGGGTCATTGTCTGGTGTGCATTGTTCTTGTTTTTTGGATGTTATGATTTAGAAATGGAGGGCAGGGGTCTGTGTGTGGATGATTCGCTGTTTTTGAAAGAAATTATCAAAGAGAAAACCCACAAATGTTGAACCTCATACTGTAATTGTAGGTTAGAGACTTGGTTTACAAATTTGTTATATTAAACCTAGAGTCTTTTTATTCTGAGGTGGTTCAGTGGATTTGAACTTTCTCTGGTAAATTAAGGCTAATTTGTCCATAGATTTCATGTAAGTTGTCAAAATTCAGCAAATCAGGTTTGACTAAAAAGAACTCTGACTTTTGTACATTGCTTCTCATGTCAAGTTAATGGCATATAATGCAAATTTGACTTTTCTGAGCTTTAAGCCATGCTAAAATGTTGTTACTAAGGGTGAAACGATATCCAAGTCTCACAATACGATATGGTCACGGTATGAACCTCACGGTACGATATTTATTGCGATATCGTAGGAAAGCTCACGGTATGGTGGGGAGATTAGAGATGTAACAATATCCAAATCTCTCTGTACGATATTTTTTGTGGAGGGTAACAAAATTGAATATCCTGCTTTTTCCTCTTAAAATGCCTTGACAAGATTTAATCCAAAGAACTAAGACTTAAAAGTGCTTAAAACTGTTATTTCTTCTTGTAGTCTGCACTGAAATGGAGCAAAGGATCATGGTCTATGTAGTTCTCTGTCTTTTTTAGCTATTGCTGCATCATAACTCTTAATTTAAGTAAGGAGACTTGTAATTTGATATATTGTGATGGTCCACGATATTATTGTGAGAACTTTGACGATACGATATCACGATATTTTGGTTATTGTTACATCCCTAGTTGTTACCTCATCAAAAAAAAAAAACATACCTGGAGTTATGTTTTATGTTTGAGTAACACTTTAATATTCATCTGTCTACATCTCCAAAGCTCCACCTTGTGATTTCATGCAGTGGTAGTTAGGTTAACAGCTCCTTTTTACATTTTGTTCAGTAGAGATTAGCAATTCCTGCAAAGATATTATCCAAATTAATCTAGTGAAGGTGTACAGAGTTTAAAAACACAGTGGAGCACTTCCTGTATTACCACGTGATGTTAAAATGTGGATCAGTGTTTTTAGTTTGATGAGAACTCAGCATAAATACGCAGGATTTGTGAGTTAAACTTGTGTGAATGAAACAAAACACAACTTCAGATGTGTTTTTGATGAAGAAACATTATAATATGGATCAGAAAATAGTGTAATATTTTCACAAGATTGGTGTTTATATAATCCTTCTGAGTGTTATTTTATTTTAGAGGGACTTCATCTGTTGTAATTCCATCTACATCTGTTCTTTTTGGTCAGATTGTGTTAAAATAAAGCACAGATTTAAGTCTTGCAAAGTGTCAGACAGAGCAATGCCTACAGTTAGCATCACACCCACAGACAATGACATCAGCTTCAAAGTATCAATATAAATCCATTGCTTTATTATTATTATTGCTTCTTTTTTTTAGTCTCTGTGATATACCAATTTTCATCCACCAAACAGACATCAACACAACAAAACAAAAAAATAACAAGCAAAGAATAAGCCATACTGACCAAAAAGGAGACAAAATATAACAATAATTTAAAAAAAAGTTATATATGGTTTAAGTTCACATCAGTTTATGGCGTAATGACTTTGAATGACCTACTTTTTGGTTTTATTTCAGGCATGTATAAGGAGAAGGACTGTGATGGGAAGACACCCACAAAATGTGCAGACTGTAAAAAGGGGCACTTTATGGCCACCAGAAATCACATGGACCAGTGTCGTAGCTGTAAAACGTGCAACTCCCGTAAGTCCCAGAGACACAGAACACCCAGCAGTGTCACGATACTAACATTTTAACTCAGTTTCAGTACTAAGAGATTGGCTTGATACTCGATACTGATTCTGATACCACAATGATGATTAAAAACACTATTTAGAAAGTAGAATGTCATTTTCAGCATGAAATCATAGTACTTTCTTTTATTTTACCATGTGGCCTTCTGTGTAATCCCCTCAGTCATCCAGGTATAGATTTCGTTGTGATTCAGGGGGTCTAGTCTATGTGGTCTTATACTTGACAGGAAATCTAGTCTAGCCAGGAAATGTTAATTTTAGTTTTGATTTCTGCTCCAATGAGTTTAGTTTCAAACCCTAATATCTATGCACCTGAGTATCTGGACTCCCATTACCTGGTTAGACAATACAAAACATTTTAAACAGACATTGTGTAACTTTTCTGGTGGTGGTTTTGCCACCTGCTTGTCTCCGTGAAGACGTTACTGATTTGCCTGTTCCATAGTTATTGTTTTGTTTGTTTGTTTTTACTTAATTAATATGGACACAGTAATTACACTGGATTAGACCAGATGCCCTGGCCTGACTTCAGCCACATTTTCTGAATCCTGTTGAACATGTTTCTGTAGACAGGCCAGGATCTCCTGTCCAAATGAAGTCTGAACTTTGGAACAGCCCGGCCCCTGCACTGACAGAGGCTCTGGTGTTATGTCTCCTGACAGTCAGACCAGAGGACACAACAATATTTAGACATGTAAAAACTCTTTCAGAATACTAAAATGTACAAAGTTTGTAAAAGTGAAAAGAGTTTCTTGATAATTTCACAATTATGTCATCTCAACAATTTCTTGTTTAGGTGTTAATAGTTCATTTTTACAGAGAAATGATGATTCTGTCCTGCAAATGAGAGATGTGAGAAAATTGTTGCATGCATGTAGAAAGCAGCCGCAGCCTGATGTGGTAAATCTCTCTCCAAATAAAACGGAAACAGTTCAAGTTCAATTTGATTCGAAGACGCTATGATATCACAAAACCATTGAGTCAGAGCCGAACAAGATCTCTAGAGTTTCACAAATATTGTGAGAATTTTGCTGACAATGATCATATTTACTGTCATACTGTGGAACTTTCCAGACAAAGCAATGACAAACAGCTGACAAACCTTTAATCTTCTGAATTTGTTCAGTTTAAAATCTAATCTGCTTTCTTAGTCATGTACTTAGTTGTGCTTAAAGATGCACTGGTATAAATTATCAATATGTATTTTCCTCCACCCACTTCCTAGTGATGGACAGGTGCTCTAGTTGTCTCTTAAAGGCAGTGATTAAATCAAAACGGTGACCACTACTTTATGAACTGCTTATTATTTCACCCCTCAGTGTTTCTCTAATATTTTGATAAATGCAGTGCTAAATCCTGGTATTTGCTTTTAGAAAAGAAGCTGAAAACTCTGCGAGAGTGTACGGCCTGGGCGGACACAGTCTGTGAGTGTGTGTCGGGGTTTTACTGCAGCGACTCCGGCTGTGGACACTGTCTCCAGGTGACGCAGTGTCTGGAGGGACATGGGGTCAAAGTTCAAGGTAAGAACCTCAATGAAATGACAATTCAGAAGACTCTTTCACTGAAAACACTCTGTTCTACCTTGTCATGTCATGTGGTAATACAGGAAGTGCTCCACTGTGTTTTCAAACTCCATACATCTTCACTAGAATCATTTGGATAATTTCAGCTCTGGAATTGGAAATCTTTACTGAACAAAAGGTAAAAGGAGCTGTGCACTTGAAAACTATCGCTTCATGACATCACAAGGTGGAACAGAGTATTTGGAGGATTACTCAAAATGTATGAATGAAACAAAACACAGCTCTTTTTTTTTTTTTTGTAACAACACTTTAACGTGGCTTAAAGCTTAAAGAGTCAATTTAGCGTAATTTAGGACTTTTAAATCCAAACACAAAACCAAGACCTTCTAAGTAACTAGCTAGACAATTTGCAAAACAAAACAATATAAGTATTCTAAATTTCTCACTGGCTTCAATATTTATTTATAGGGTCAGTCCATCTCAGTTCACCCAGTGAGTTAAACCCTATTTTATCAAATTTTGATGAAACTTGGTATAGGTAAATCATAACCACAAAAGCCAAAATTTCACATTTTAGTTTGATTGGACCAACAGTTTCCGAGATATCCATTAAAATTTCATTTACTCAGCAACTACTGGTCCGATATCAAAAACCAAGGTATTTCTGGAAAGGGGAAATCAAAGGGAATCCAAATCTGGCATGTCTTAAGATGGGGGTAAGTCAGCTTTTAGGCAATTTTTTTCTATTGGTGTCATTGAGGTCGGGCGTGTCCCTTATTGTCAATTTCAAGGTCAAATATAGGTCAAAAGGTAATTCATCTCAAAAGTATTCAAATGCAAAAATAAATGCCGAATTCCTTATGATTTCCCCTTTCCAGAAATATCTTGGTTTTTGATATCGGAGCAGTAGTTGCTGAGTAAATGCAATTTGAAATTAGGTGAGCACACAAAAAAGTGAAAAAATGAAATTGAGATATCTCAGCAACCGTTAAAATTTGAGATTTTGGCTTTCTTGGCTATGACTTACTCATACACCAATTTTCTTTGCAACTGGACAATGTGAGGGTTTAAATTGTAATATTTTTGGGGTGACCTAAGGTGGAATGACCCTATAGCAAAATAATCTGCAGTGAAGAAAAAATGTAAAGATGCATTATGTGACTTCTGGGGACTAGTACCTGCTTGTCTCCATGAAAATGTTAGGTCTTTTTACACAAAGCAGGGTCACTTCTCTACAGATTTGACCTGTAATGAGTCAGATACTTGTCTCCGTCAAGATAAATATGTTTAAAGACATCAAGCGGAAGATTAAGCAAAAAAAAAAAGCACTTTGTGGACCCTGCTTCTGAAAAGTTACTTAGGGCACCTTACAAATACATTTAAGTCGAAACATAAACTGTAAAAGTAAGATAAGGAATGATTAAAACCCATCAGAAATATTTTGAATCACATAGTCTATTGTAGATCTTAATAAATCTACAGTAGTCAATACATTTTCTGACTTAAAGCTGTTGTATTATAACTCATATACATATTTCTTACAGACATGTAGACCATTGTTTGGCTATTTCCATTTCACTTGCACTGAACCGGAACAGATACATTTCACACTGCACGAAACTGATAAGGGGTAGGAAGTGGTACAGTAAGTCAAACAGAGATAAAAATGGCCAAAAATGAGAACGAATCAAAACAAACGAATCCGTGAAGGTCGCACAAAGAATAACCATGACTCAGCTTCCTATAACACTCAACAAATACTGGAGGAAATCTATTTTTCAACACACCGTGAAAAAGAAATATCCTGAATGAGGTAAAGGGACAGTGGAACAGCTTGTCTCCATGGAGATGCTTTGGCTTTGCCTGGAATGTTCCACTGTACAGCTTTTAAACATTGTATTTTGCAAAGAGCCGGCCCGTATTTGTTCGATTACATGTGTTTTTATTGCTCAGAAATACAGTGAAAAACATGCATTCGTAGTGAGGTCGTCTCTTCTAACTTCTCCACAGAGATAGATAACTACTTTAATGCCATACTGTGGAACATTCCTAATCCTAGAGAAGCCATAACAACTCTGGAATATAACCACAGCAAATATGTTTTCAAGTTTTCTCCTTAAAAAGGTTGTGATCCGATTCTACAGTTTTATAATATTTTAATTTCAGAAAGAGAAAAGAGGCCTATATAACGTTTTGGTTTTGCTTTTTTTTTGTTTTGTCTCAATAAATGTGCTTGGTTTAAAGTCATTTCAACAATCACATATTTATTTAGAGTTCAGTAATTTCTCTAATTTCTGAAGCGCTATGAAAAAGCAGATTCACTGACAGAGAAGACTTTGAACTTTTGCTAGTTTCGGTTGCGGATAGGCCAAGTATTAACTAAAAACTGGGTCAACAAATCTGTCATCTGAGAGTTAAACAGCAAAATCTGACACAGAATTCAGGCCTGTCTTTCCTCTCAGTATATTTAGGGATTCTTGATTTTGATGTCATATGAACTCATCCTATTGTCTTTTTTTTGCAGCGTCTCGGACAAATGACACAATCTGTGCCCCGTGTGAGAGTGGCTTCTTCAGTAACGTGTCAGACCACATCTCTCCGTGTAAACCCCACACCAAGTCAGGCTTCCTTTCTTAGTTTCCTTCTGAATTTGGGTACATTTTTTAATCTGGTTTTGGGTTTTCTAGATGTGAAGACATTGGGAAAGAGCTCCAAACTCCAGGGACTTTGACAACAGATGCGGTCTGCAGAAATTTGACACGTTAGTCCTTATTCTTTACCCGTATCTCCTTCAGTGCAGTTTGTTTTGGACGTGTCTGGACTTTGGCTTGTCTGTTGTGTGTGCAGCCTGCTCCTGGTGGCTGCCCGCGGGTCTGTGGATCGGGCTGGTCGTGACATCTGCTCTGCTCATTGCTGTGGCTCTGTTTCTTAGGTGGAGAAAACGTCAGAGACGGCACAAAGGTGAGTCACACACACAACAGGGCAGGTGTTCACTGATCTGAAGCTTAGCGGTCGGAATAGGTGAGTGGTTCCTTATAGACGGGTAACTTTAATGGCATTCTGAGGAGACAAGCAGGTGAAGTGTCCTCCATCTGACCAAGCTACAAGTCAGGCCTGTGAAGGGGCAAACACACATCTCTGAAAGGCTGCAAAGGTTTTTTTAGTGCTATAAAAATCTATAAATAAATACATGGCTTTATTTCAGTGGTGAGGCTTTAAATGCAGAATGTTTATTAGTTTTTGTTTCTTCTGTTTGTTTCCTCTTGTAAAGCGTCTTTGGGTATCTTGAAAGTCGCCATACAAGTTATACAATAGTTATGTATTATTATTATTATTGTTTACATGTCACAGAGCGTGTAGCCATCTCAGATTCTGACTTGAAATCCTTGCTCAGTCTATTTTTTCCGCCACCGAGGTCCAAGTTGTGCCGTCCCAGGATAAGGGGTGTGTTCTTCGGAAAAACGATTTGGAAGGATAATCGAATGCAGGGGTAGTTTCTCAAAGTCGTACTAAAACATTTTGACAGATTTTTGATCGCCATGTACCACATAAAATCGGTTCGAGGTCAGTAAGCACAATCACAGTTAATACATAAGGTATTATAAGGAGTACTGTTGATTTTTGAGAAAATTAAAGGACTTATAGTCTGAAAAATACGGTAGTCAAACAGTGTTCCCTGCTGTATACAGCCAGACAAAGGCTGATGTACTATAGAGCCTTAAGCAGTCAGAGAGCATCTCACTTACCACTGATGGGTGGACTTCAAGAGCGACCCAGAGTTTTATTACAACTGTTTAGTTGTTACTTGAAATGTCACTGATATTGACATTTCAAGTCACTGACTGATGTTGTACCAAATGACTGGTCAAAGCATTTTATAATTCCAGTCTTGTTATTATGTATAATATCGTAATATTGTGAGCGTCCCCACCATATCGTGAGCTTTCCCACGATATCACAATAAAAATTGTATTGTGAGCTTCATACCGTGAAGATATCGTATTGTTAGACTTGGGTATCGTTACACCCCTATTACTTTCATTTAAGGAACCCACTACTGTGTATGCTTTTCATTACCTTTAATCTTAGGGTGTGTTCACTTTAGTTGCTTTAGTTTGGTTCTGCGCTGATGCCCTTTCATTCCTGATGTAGACACATTTTAGTCCTATTTATATCCAGCCTCAGTTCTGGGTTCAGTCATGGTTTAGTCCCAACTTTGATGTGGTGTTGTGTCTTTGTGAGTGTGAACACATCCTTTGCCATCATTAACATTTTCTGTGCCACATACTTGTCTCCATGAAGATGTCTCTGCTCTGCTTTGAATGTTCCACAACCTGCACTCAAACGTATCCCTCTCTCTATTACGCTATTTTCTGATCTGTGTTATAACGTTTCCTCATCAAAAACATAGCTGGATTTGCGTTTTGTTTCATTCACATGTATTTAACTCAGAAATCCTGCATGTTTAGGCTGTGTTCTTCTTGTGATGCCATGTACAGGAAGTGCTCCATTGTGTTTTTTAAACTCTGTACACCTTCACCTGAATCATTTGGATGATTTCACCCCTGAAATTACCAATCTCTACTGAACTAAAGGTAAAAGGCAGGTGTTTACCTTTGACTTTAAGACATTAAGAGGAGGAACAGAGCATTTGAAGCTTTGACGTAGACAGACTAATAATAAAAAAGGGTTAGTGAAACATGTATGAACTTTATAACATGGCTTAAAATAAAGACAAGGGTAAATTCTGTATAATATAGAACATTTAGCTGATTGATTTCTGCCGTGTGAAGTCCCAGCTAAAATGCCACCGCATATCTCGCTCATTCCACATTACCATACACCTTTTTTCCTCTAATTACCTCCGGTTTGATGTTGACACCGGTGGCATTTCTAATCTGCCGCTGCAGTTTGAATATTCAGTGCTGAGAATGTGGTGCTGTGATGCAACTTAAACTTGCAGAGCACATCATGTTTTAAACTACAGAAAACCCACTTCCTCTGACACGGTTCTTCACAGTTTGACGCATGTTCATGGTTGATATCAAACATGCCAGCTCATTCTGAGAAAAGCTCCTACGCTGTGGCCTCGTGTCTGTACACTTGTCATGCATTTACATTTACTGTACTTTGTATAAATTACACATCACTCGTGGAAATTACAGTGTGAGAAAAATACAAGCAAATACAGACACTAACAGGGCTGAACAAGTTGTGGAAAATATTTGAGTCTAATTTCTAATCCAAAAAGGGTTAAATATGAACTGAATTAATACAAGAATCACATTTCAGAAAACAGTTTTTGTGCAGACCAGATTCACTCAGAAAGATTTGTGTGGTCTGGTAGTCAACCCACTTTGCCACCTCAACCAGGTCACTGTTTTATTAGGTTCACTGTTTCGTGCAGGGTCAAGGTTACAACACAATGCATTCACCTCAGTGTTGTTAATTTCACAAGAATTCACAATAAACTGTTTATAATGGAATACAATGAAGCTGTAGATTGTAAAACAGACTGATGCTGTGGTGTAAATTTTAGTACTGGGTGTTGTTCTTTCTGTTGCTCAAGTAAGAAGTGTTAAAAGCCGCACTAGTCCTGTCTCTCACCGCATGGCTATAGGTGCCTTTGGGTTTCCATTTACAGGTCTGCTGGTTATTTCACATGTTCAGTGTTTGATCATGTTCACTTGCACTCAGATGCTGATGTAAAGGCGTTACATTTCAGAGCTAAGAAAGCCAAAAAAGCAGACTAACCTAAATGCAAACTGTTCTTGGGGAAGGGCTTGGACTTCAGAAATAGGGCTGGGTATCATTAAGAAGCTGCCGATACGATACATACCTCGATACATAAGCCACGATGATACAATACTAACCCTAACCCGTGGCTGTGATACTAAAAGTCTTTGTTAAACCACTTCTTGTGCAAAGTTCATATGAAACACAAACATTTTACTCATCAACACAGTGAAAATGTGAAATGTGTTATATAAATGAGTTTCCTACTCAGTAGCACTGTAACAAAATAATTTAGTTAAATACACCAAAAAAATACTCTTGGCGATATATCGATACAGCAGTCCCCAATATCGATACTGAATCATCACATTAAACGATACGATATATCGATAGTTCAATATTTTTGCAACTATTCCTACTCAGAAAGTATTTAAGTGTTGCAGCAGAACCTGTCCGTCAGTAATGGGACCTTTTGTACAAACGTAATAAACCAACCTAAATACGTGTATCATTTGTTCATTAGTTTTTCAAAATAAAACCAAAAATATGAAAACAAAATAACAACTATTTTCTTCATTATTTGTCTCCAAAACCAAAATGAAAAAACGGATAACGATTTGTTTTTTCAGTTTTCGATTCAACTGCCGTTTCCCGTTTCCGTGACTTAAACTGCGATGCTGAACCAGGACTAAACCAGGTGTAAACCAGAACTGAACCAGGACTAAACCAGATATACCAGGACTAAACCAGTACTAAACCGGTCTCAGTCTTGGTCTCAGTCCTGGTCTCAGTCCTGATCACCTGACAGTCTACGTGGGCGCACCTCCGGGCCTGTGGACTGAGACTAGGACTGAGACCGGGACCAGACCAGGACTGAGACCGTTTTAGTCCTGGTTTAGTCCTGGTTTAGTCCTGCTGTAGTCGTGGTGTAGACCTGGTTTAGTCCTGGTTCAGTCCGGCATCACAGTTTAAGTCACAGCCGTTATCCGTTATTTCCATTCCATTATTCATTTAAACACAAAATCAAAAACTCAAAAAACGAATTGTTATGTTTTTTTTTTTTTTCATTTTGGTTTGGAGACAAATAATGACATGTGTATTTTTTTTTTCATTTTCTTATTTTTTCGGTTTTATTTTGAAAAATGAATGAACGAATGATACACGGATTCAACGTAGACAGATGTAGTAGATGTAGTATGTTTTGTTGTTATTTTACAGATAATTTCAATGTTCATTAGACATATATTTGGTTTGTCCACTCTAGACCTCCCCTAGACCTTCTCTAACGTAAAGGTTTTGACTCAAAAATAAGTTAGGGCAAAAATTACTCAATGTTTGTCTGCTGGCCCACAGGTTGGCAGTGCTATTCCAGCTCCCACAGATGATGTCGCTGTGTCCTTGGGCAAGACATTTAACCCATCTTGCCCCTGATATCTGTGTGCACTGGTGTATGAATGTGTGTGCGTGAATGTGTAAGAGTTTTTTTTATGTAAAGCGCTTTGAGTGTTTTGAAGGTAGAAAAACCCTAGATAAAAATGTGGCCTTGTGAGTTTGCATATTCTTTCTGTGCTCCTCTGGGGACTCTAGTTTCTCTTCCTAGAAATCATTTTATTTATACTTTTATTGACTTTTGTTTTCAGTGAGCGGAAGTCTTACTGAGGTCCCTGTGGGTGTGATCCCAGCAGAAGAGGTCCAGCTGAAGCTCCCTCTGCCCTCAAAGGAGCTGAGCGGACTCTACCAAGAAGAGACCTACACCCCGTCTTACACCTGTGACCTGCCGGCTTACGAATCAGGTCAGTAACCCTGTTGAAGATGATGTTAGGATGAAAGGAAGTAACACAAAAACCCAGATGGTAAAGGGTAATTTTGCATTTAAATAAAGTGTGACTAAAGCTGGGACCAGTGGTGTACTGGGGATTTTTTAAGTGGGGATATGGGATTCGTGACGTCATCGATGTTATTAACGCTGACGTCATTCATAATCATCTTCAGATAAATAAATCATAGACTACAACACATGTGCCCAAGACTGAACCAGGAATGAACCAGCACTAAACCAGGACTAAACCAGGACTAAACCAGGTCTAAACCAGGTCTAAACGAGGACTTGGACTTGAGAGAGACCATGGAGCATGGTGTCCACAAAGCGCGATTGGGTGACGGCTGCGCTCAGCCCTGATGGTCTATCCGGGCTCACCTCCAGGCCTGTCCCAACCCTCAGTGCTGGTTCAGTTCTGGCTTAGTCCTGGTTTAGACCTGGTTTAGTCCTGTTTTAGTCCCGTTTTAGTCCAGGTTTAGTCCTCATTTAGACCAAGACCACAGGGTCCCAAGATCAGGAGAAAACCAAAACCTCTGAGGGTTGAGACCGAGACAAGACCAAGACTTTTAAAGGTTAAGACTAAGACAAGACCAAGACCACGGAGACCAAATCAAGACCATCTTTGTCACTTCCTACATTTATTTGTATTTTAGTTATTTTGGCACATACATACTCTATTTCAGTGTTTTTATAAATCTATCTCCATTTAGTCTGGTTAATGTTCAGTTAGGTGTAAAATAAGCCAAGCAAACTGTACTGTACTTAAACACGCTGGACCTCGTTTTTGGACCCTCACCCACAGTTTGAGAACCCCTTCTTTAATCCTGCTTCCACCAACACTTTATACAAAACAGCTTCAAAGTTAATCCAGTGGGTTTTTTCAAGTTCATAACATTTACAGTTCGGCCGTAATGAAATATGATCGCCCTCGTCGAGTGTCAGATCTCGAGTCCGAAATAAGACCAACACCAAGTGGTATCAAGACCAAATACGCTCGAGTCCAAGACCGGTCTTGAGTACCATGACACTACATTTGACTATTCATTTGTACAAAGTTGCAGGTCTGTAAGATCTGTGAAAAGACCCTGCTGTTCTCAGAAAAAATATATGTTTTTGTCCCATAATTACAGCTATAATTTAATAAATAAAAGATAAATTTAATGCCATACTATGGAACATTTCACTCAAAGCAATAACATCCCCATGGAGAGCATCATAGTGCACCTTAAAGACCGGTAAAGCACATTATGAATCTAAACCATTATTATTCATTTACTGCAGTTTGTAACACTGTAAGTATGCTTTGCTTTAGATTTTGTCATTAATTGTGCACATTTTTTACATATTCACAGATGAAATGGAGCTCAGCTGTGACGGTCTGGACCATGAGGACATCAGCGTTCCCATCACTCCACTCAAAGCCTCAGTCTCTTTTATGGATTCAACTCATTTAGACGAGAGCTCCAGATACTGCATCAACAACTACCACAGAACCATCTCAGAACCCCAGGAGGACGAGTGGAGCGAGACATGACAAATCTAAGAAGAAAAAACAACCTTCGCCATTTTTAAAAAAGTTTTCTGGAACTATGGGAAGGTCGGGTGAGATGATTCCCACTGGACCTACGCAAGATTGGATCCGTGAGAATGAGCCAGGATGAGATTTTTACATCATTTTTACAAGACTATTCTTACAATTTAAGTCTCACAAATTTTTATTTCTGTTTTGTTGTCATGGTTGCACTTCTTTTTGAAAACACAACTTATCAAGAGGTCTAACTCACAAGCGTTTAGTTCTGTGTAAATTAATGTGGGAATCTCACAAGATAGTTCCCACATGTGTGCACGATCTCGTAGCAATTTCATCTCACCTTGTTCATCTTGTTTCAACTCTAGAAAATATACGTTTCATGCAGGACATAGTCAAAAGCAGGGTATTGTAACTACGCTGCCCCCTGGAGGACATAAGGAAGAGGTTCATCTGTATATAATACTATGTACTGTACCTATGCAAAACCTTGACACGTTTCATTAGTTTATTTATTTATTTTTATGCTATTACTATTACTTTCACTTGTGTATACTTCTTGAACTCTAAACTGGTAAAAAGGGACAAAAATAATTCCGTTGTTATTTAAGAACTATAAAAATAGCAGCTGACAAGATTGGAGTTTTGAACAGTACCAGTCTGCTGCACTATTAAAATGTGAAAAACTAAAATATTATCTATACTAGTTTTGCAATAATGGCTGCGAGTTGTTTGGTAAGTCTAGAATGACATTTTTAGGTGTTATTTATATTTTTATACAAAGAGAAATCAGTCTGGTCACCACTTCTTCCATCATGTCTCGAGCCAGAACCAAACATGACTGCATTTCCTTCCTACGTCTTTTTATTTATCTTTTTTCCTCGTAATTGTATTGATACAGACCGGACGATGCATTTCCCTGATTGGCTGATCCACCTGTCAATCACGGTCGTCTGAAAACACGGAGATTAACCAGTGACCAGACTCACATCATCGTGAAGTTTTGAAGAAGTGTGTTTTCTGTGACAGATCGCTGCAAAAGCTGATGTCTTATAGGAGGATTTGAAATGACTTGAATTCAGAAAGTGTTCTCCCTCTCTCTCTAACCCATTATCACCTTTCTCCCTCACTCCCCCTCTCTCAATCATAACCTCTCTTCCTCTCTCTCACACCATCCATAGCTTTTCTCTCAGCTCTCTACCTCTCCCCAAACTCTCTCTCTACTCTTCTGTTCGCCAACCTCTCCACGCAATTCCTCCCTGTTTCTCTCTCTTTCTCTGTCTCTCTTTGCCTCCCTCTTTGTCTCTCTCTCTCTCCATCTTTCTGTCTCTCTCTTTGTCTCTCTCAGTCTTACTCTTTCTGTTTCTCTCCCTCTCGCTGTCTCTCTGTCTCTTTCTCCCTCTCTTTCTCAGTCTGTCTCTCTCCGTCTCTCTGTCTTTCATCCTCTTTGTCTCTATCTCTCTTTGTCTCTCTTTGTGTCTCTCTCTCTCTCTTCCTCTCTCTTTCACCCTCTCTGTGTCTTTCTCTTTGTCTCTCTCTCCCTCTCTCTTTCTCAGTCTCTTTCTTAGCCTCTTTCTCAGTCTCTCTTTGTGTCTCTCTCTCCCTTTCTTTCTCAGTCTCTCTGTCTCTCTCTCTCTTTGTGTCTGTCTCTTTCTCAGTCTCTCTCTCTCTGCCCATCACCCCCTCTCTCTCTCCCATTTGAAATGACTTGAATTCAGTGTAAAAGTGCAACTTGTTTCGCGAAGATCTACTTTATTTGATTTCTTTTCGTGTATTTTACTTTTTCGTGCAACTTTTCGTACCACCACCTGTTTGTGTGGACGTGTTATTGATTTGCAGTGTCAAGTTTAATTCTACACTATGAACATTTTATGCAAACCAATAACATCCCTTTGGAGACGTACAGGTGTGGTGCTCTTCAATAGAAAAGTTTCACCATAAATCTTGAAAAATACTGGTTCTCTGTTTAGATATTTAACATTGTGTAGATGATGTAGCCAAACTGTGATTTCCAGTGGACAATTTGCCACATAGTCCACGCCTTTTCTTTCATATAGTGTATTTTTATAATCTCATGATAATAAAAAATAAGCAGTAAAGCAGAGTAGATGTTGTATTTGTTTATAACGTGTTTGTCGTTAGTGCAAAGTGGATGACGCTCCATCTCTCGCTCAGTACTTCATTCTTATATTAGTAGCACACACAGACAGTTATTATCATGTACATTATTATACACAATATACACAACATTTATGATTAGAATAAAACTAAAATCTTTGTACCACAAAACTGCTTTTCTACTGACAACACCGGTAACGTTACAGTAAAAGAAACAAATCCAGTGGTTCTCAAACTTAGTCCTTGCTTAGTCCTTAGTGTTAAAAACTGTTACTTTTGGTTTAGACTTTAGACTACGCCTCCTTACAGGCTTAAAGGTTCACTACGTAACTTTTCTGGTGGAGGTTTGTCTACATGAAGATGGAGACAAGCAGGTTTCATCATTTTTTCATCATGTTTTTGTTATGCAATTGTTTCTGTAATCGGATAAATGCAAGATACACACACATACAGAAAAGCTGTAGTTAAAACAGTATGAACGTAGAGAAGAACGCCCCCTGGAGGTACTTGGTGTGAGAAGCTGGAGAACCACAGGTCCAGTTGCTTCAGGCGGCTTTCTGGAAGACTTGCTTAGCCACGACACCTTCCGCTCTCATTTCCTGCAAAAACAAGGACAATAAAATGTTAAATATAAATATATGAATTCAAAAAGCTAAAATTTCCCCAAAAATACGGAACTCAAAAGACAACATAACTTTTGAAAAACTTCTGTATCCAAACTTTCAGAGTTTCTAAAGCAATGATATGCACACACTTAGAGCCTTTTCAAAAACACATTGAAAAGATAAAAATATTGTAAATTAGAGCAGGGAGTAGACCTCATTTCAAGCTTTCATTTATAATATTTAACTCAATTTTCCTCATTTGTATTTCATCTTTTCGATAATCAAATAAGAGTTGAATAAATGGTGTCATATGTACGTAGATCCAAATCACAAATTCACCAGTTCGTATCTTTCTATCAGAGGACTCGAATCAGACTTGAGTCACTATTTTTAAGGCTTGAGGTGTGACTTGGTAAAATGGACTAAGATTTGGGACTTGACTTGGACTTGAGCCCTGTGACTTGAGATGACCTGATGCTTCTCCTAAAAAAAGACATGCTTTTAGAAAACTTTACTTTTCTCTTCACAGTTGATAAATGCGGTGTTTAATTTTACAGGAACAAATTGGAACATGTCCCTCCCACTTCTGTTTGGTATTTGGATGTAATTGAAGTACTGTGATGTGGTATCCTCAAATGTACTACAGTAATATACAGTACAATACAGTAAAACAGAGGAAACTACAAAGAACATGACCCTTCCATTTCACTGCAGACTTCATGACAAAATAACTTATTAAGCACTTTTCAATCTTATTTTTTTTCTATTCTGACCGTAATGATTCACACAAAGATCTTATCAGTACATTTAAAAAGGAAAAAAAATAATTTCTACAACACCTATATAAATATACCATGACTTTTAAGTTAAATTTAGCTTAAAATGCATGTAAATTGCGAAAATCTAAGCTATATTTAGTATTTTGGTTTAAAGACTTGAAATGATTGAAGGTCAAAACAAATGGCTTGGACTTGACTTGGACTTGTGGGTCAGTGACTCGAGACTCGACTTGGACTTGCCTGTATTTGACTTGGGACTCGACTCGGACTTGAGGTTCAAAGACTTGAGGCTTACCTGAGACTTGCAAAACAATGACTTGGTCCCATCTCTGCTTTACATATGCCAGTACGTGATAAATAAAGCATTTTTTTGTTTTGTTGTTTCATAGTGAAGAGTATGTACTTCACTATGATTGGTTAATTCCACCTGTCACTCACTCAGAGTATAATGCAGGTTGACCAATAGGAGGAGAGAAAGGGAAAAGTGTTCGAGCATAGAGGCTGAATCATGATAAGACGATTTGGCCGAGTCCCGAACTATCTGGGCCTGGGTCCAAAAGACTCCCCAAAGTCTGTTGTTGATATGCCCTGTGACTCCATAATCCACCTCCCTCCTCTTCTCTTTCACTCTCTTCTTTCCACTCATTCACTAGCTCTCTTTCTCACTCTCTCTCTCTGTCTCTCTCTTACTATTTCTGTCTTACCATCTCTCTCTTGCTCCCCCCTTCTAACTATCCCCTTTTTCTCAATAAGTCTGTTCCCTCTCCTTCTGCCCCTCCCTCTAACTCATTACCCCTCCTCTCTCCCTTGCTCCCCCTCTCTCATTCACAACCTCTCTTCCTCTCTCACCCCCGCCCCCATAGCTTTTCTCTCAACTCAGTACCTCTCCTCAAATTCTCTCTCTATTCTTCTGTTCGTCAACCTGTCCACGCAATTCCTCCTTCTTTCTCATTTCTCTGTCTCTCTCTTTCTCTCCCAGTCTATCTCTTTCTCAGTCCCTCTCTCTCTCAGTCTCTTTCTCAGTCTCTTTCTCTCTCAGTCTCTCTCTTTGTCTCTCTCTTTCTCAGTCTTTCTCTCTCAGTCTCTTTCTCTCACTGTCTCTTTCTCTCACTGTCTCTTTCTCTCTCAGTCTCTTTCTCTCTCTCAGTCTCTTTCTCTCTCAGTCTCTTTCAGTCTCTCAGTCTCTCTCTCTCTCTCTCTCTCTCAGTCTCTTTCTCTCTCAGTCTCTTTCTCTCTCAGTCTCTTCTCTCTCTCTCTCAGTCTCTCTCTCTCTCTCAGTCTCTTTCTCAGTCTCTTTTCTCAGTCTCTTTCTCAGTCTCTTTCTTTTTCAGTCTCTCTCAGTCTCTTTCTCTCTCAGTCTCTTTCTCTCTCAGTCTCTTTCTCTCTCAGTCTCTTTCTCACTCAGTCTCTTCTCACTCAGTCTCTTTCTCACTCAGTCTCTTTCTCAGTCTCTCTCTTTCTCAGTCTCTCTCTCAGTCTCTTTCAGTCTCTTCTCTCTCTCTCTTCTCAGTCTCTCTTCTCTCTCTCAGTCTCTCTCTCTCAGTCTTTCTCTCAGTCTCTTTCTGTCTCAGTCTCTTTCTCACTCTCTCTCTCTTCTCTCTCAGTCTCTCTCTCTCAGTCTCTTTTTCAGTCTCTTTTCTCAGTCTCTCTCTCAGTCTCTTTCTCAGTCTCTCTCTCAGTCTCTTTCTCAGTCTCTCTCTCTCTCTCTCGTCTCTTTGTCTCTCTCTCTCTCTCTCTCTCTCTCCTCCCTCTCCCTCTTTCTGTCTGCCCATCCCTGTCTTCCCCTCTCTCCCTCCCTTTCTTTCCATCCCTCCTCCTGTGAAACCTCGAAACCCGCTGTGTCTGATCCTTATTGGCATTTCTTCATCAGCGCTCCTGCATTAGACACACTGTTGACAAAGGTTTGCTTTGTGCTCAGCTCGCAGCAGCAGAGGTTCTGGTAATCCAGTGTGAGAGGTTTAAAAAGACTCAGGTCTTAATCAGAAGAAGAGGCTTATTTACTCACAACACCACCAAGAGAAAGTTACCAAAGGATTAAAGTCTAAATACAACATAGTAACATGTGGAATGTGAAGGCCTATTTCCAAGTTGCTTTTAGTACAGACAGAGCTGAACGCTCAAATTAAAATTACAGTTTTAAAGGTTGAAATGAGCAAAATCACAAAGGATGAAACAATGTCATGCTCAATAAACTAAATATAACTTTGTAGGTCTTAAAACCTTCTAATTCTTTGGTCAAAATCTCTACAAACATGTTAAGAAATGGTGCGTCTAGTAATGGTTTTGCAGTTAATACATATTTCTGTGATTTCTCACTCAAGCTCTTCGACTTATATTTAAAACATATTACAAATATAATGTAATTGCACAATTTGTCAAGCATTGCCAGATCTTGAACAATACCTGGTTGTGAAAGTATCTGGTACTTTTCTGTTTTCTGTCATTCATTTGTGGTCTCACTGCCAAGTAACTTTCTTCAGTGCTCTTCCTGGTCGGCTGTGCACAGCAGATCAAACTCTCTCTGCTTGAAACTAGGTCAGTATTTTAATTTGAACTCATGTAGATATTCATGTTTTACAGTGTGTCTCCTCCTGTCACCCCACAGAAACCCACTGTCCCACTTGTTCTCACCAAATGTACTTTGTCTTATGTATATTTGTGTTTTACAGTGTTTCCTCCTCTTACCACATACAAACCCAGTGTTCACCTTGTTCTTACCAAATGTACTTTATCTTATGTATATTTATATTTGCAGTGTGTCTCCTCCTGTCACCCCACAGAAACCCACTGTCCCACTGTCCCACTTGTTCTTACCAAATGTAGTTTGTCTCCCTCGAGCCAGTGTGTCCAGCCCCGGCCCTGCTTCTCTCCTCTCTGCACACACACCAGTTTGTCCCCCTCCCAGCTCACTGTGGTCTGCAACACAAACACACACAAACACACAAATGTGGACTTTATTGACATGTAAAGCAGTCTGCCATTTGTAAAGAAAATTCTCAAGTGTTTTCGGGGTCAAATTAGGGCCATAGACGTTAGGGAGACTATCAGGGTTTTCAGTAGAACAATAGGCCCTCTTGGTTTTCTACACACATACGTTTGGTTTACATTTGTTCCAAAACTCATGTAAATTACAAATGCACTGTGTAGCTTTTCTAGTGGGTGGTCCATCAGCTGCTTGTCTCCATGGGGAATAGGAATGTTCCGCAGTGTAGAACTATCTATGTTGTATTTTTAAAAAGACTTTATTGGTTTCATTGTTCAAAAATACCTTGAAAACCACGTATTCTTCAGCCATCTCTCCATAGATCTAACCTGGTTACGTCACGTGCTTGTCTCAAAGTATATAGATAAGTTTAATGCCATACTGTGGAACTTTCCAGAGAAGGCAATAGCATCTCCCTCAAGCAGATGTCGAATCTCCACCAGAGAAATTACATATTTAATGAAACCTTTTGCAAACAATATGTTGTTTGAAGCCAGGTACGAATTTTTGAGATTAACAATAGTCATTTTGTAGTTAGTTGATTTATAGTTGATGAATAGATGATTTTGATCTAAGGTATCTAACTTTTATACAAATAATTCACTAGTTTTGCTTTGCCTATCGATAGTTAATGTTTTCATTGGTGGAAAAGGTTTCTTAGTCATCGGTACAATGTTTTCAAAATTGAGACTTTAAAATTGCCTTTTTTGTGTATATGAGATTTTAGTGCCAAGTGCAGGTACATTTGCAAATCTCTGGTCAAAGCTGTATAAAAATGTGATTGCAAACGTGAAGGCGGCTAAAGGAGGGGAAAGTAGCTGAAGTCAGCAGCAGACGTTCTATTAGACGTTCTGAGATGTATTCAGTGATATGACGACAGGGTTACACCCGCCGCTATTCCATTGGCTGCAACAGAGTGATGTCATTAGTGGAGCCAGGAGCCTAAACTGGGGAAGCGGCAGGACAGGGCCGCACCTGAAGATGGCGGCTTGAGCAGGCGTGAGTGAAAACGCTGCACCAAACTTTAAAAAAAACTTCATCTTCAGCTTCCTCTTCAGTTAAACTTGCATTATAATATGTCGCCGTGGAAAAAGAGCAACTATCACCACAAGTGCTCCTCCCAAACAGAGCCGTACTCGTGCAACTGTGAGCAGCCGGACTCTACTGACAATATTCCATGGAAAAATGTATGGACATGACCTGACAAATATCTCATCACCAACAAGCAAAGGGAATCATTTTAGAAGGGCAATGGACACAAACTGTACATTTTGCAAACTGAAAAATGAAACCACCTCTCACTTATTTTGGACCTGCCCAGACTCTGTGTGTTTTTGGAAAGTGGAAAGAATTCATAAAACATATGGAGGGAAGGGATTAGCTGATAATGTCCCCACCAAATCTGAGACCAAACCTACGCCCTTAAGCAGGCGAACCTCCTAAGACACCGCTACACAGGCCTCGGTAATATCGTGAGATCAAGACAGCTGCAGGCATCTTGCAAGGCGGGTGAAGGTGAAAAAAGGCAACGCCAGCTGCCTTCACTCACCTTCATGGACTACAAAGCCCCAAGGCATGATGGGAACTGCAGTGATTTCAAACACGTGCACTCACGACTGACTGACAGCTGATTGGACCCGATTTGTTTAGATAAAACGTGATGCCCTGCTGCCTATGAGCGTCCCTCCCTCCCTCATCTTTCTTCGTCTCGCACGTGTCTATTTTTATATCTTCGCAGATGCTTCAAATGAGACAGAAAAGGACAACGCAGACACATGATTGATACACGATGAACTTTAAGTCATTTTCACCACAGATCAAGCCTAAACGTGTAAACCGCTCCCCTCCTTTCACTCCTTTCTTTAGTCCCCGGTTTAGCAGCTCTATTTGAAATGTGGTTTTGGGCGGAGTTTAGATATTTAGTCCCACTTTAAAAAGCAAATAATACATTACCGCTCCACTGCTTCCCATCATTAATCCCCACAAAACTCAAACAAAAGATCCGCTCGGTTGGCTTGTCTAGACTGGCCATTGTGATACAAAAATAATATGATACTTTGACATACCTGGCAGGTGCGCCCGTCCACCGGTCCCAGGTCCTCGGTGAACTCCTGCCCGATCACAAAATCCATGAAGAAGTTCTTAAAGGTGGTGATGGTTTTGATCTTCATGGCTCCTGTGGCCGGGTCGTGGGTGATGTCTTTGGTCGGTTTCAGCAAACAAACGATTTTCCTCAAAGCGAAATTTATATCTGCAAGAAAGATAATATGATGTAAGATAAAACAGATGAGATAATCTAGATTTTCTCGCAGTAAGGGAGAATGGAGCCGATGGGAGAGAGTATCACTTTCAGACAGTCTTTTTGAGTGAATCTACAACTACAGGCAAAGTTAACGGAGTCATATCTTTTGCTTTTAAAGATGAGGCTTCAGTAGACTTGGCACGATAACACATTTTGAAGCAAGAGATGTACTGCAATACATGATAATACTGAAACTACTTTATTCCAGTGGTACAATAAAGCAAGGTCATCTCAGCTAATCTTTTTTAAATAGATGGTATAATTAAAAAGGCAAGAGCTGCATCATATAATGTACTATTATTGGTCAATAGTGAGCCATAAAAATCCTCATACTTACAAAAAAAGTAGACACAATAAATCCTGAACCCCAAAATATATTGTTCCAGCTATCATATATTGAACGAAAAGTCGATATAGTATTTATCGTGGCATCAGTTTTTGTTTTTATTACAAAAACTGCATTGATACACGCAAACGCTTTGTAGAAACTAAATGAAAAGTTATGTCAGATTCAGTGCAGATTTATTAGAGTGGGTGACATAAACACATCAACAAAAATGAATAGTCCAGTATTGTTTATATCTGCAAGAAATGTATTATAATGTAAGATAAGATAGATGAGAAAACCTTTGTTTGTTGCCACTTTCATTGTGATATTTCATTCCACTCTTCTGTGTTCTGTACTGTGTGTTAAAAGCTCCGATAAGCTGATGTGCCAGTGTTTTTGTATCCGTCCCTACTCAATTAAATAAATAAATAAAATACACAAAACCAGCTCCTATAGAAGTGTATGACATTAACAAAAATGAATAATCCAATATTGTTTATATCTGAAGGTAATGTGTTATAATGTAAGATAAAATAACCTTCGTTTGTCACGCAATAAGGCTTTATGTGAACCAGGCTGGTGCCACCTAGTGCCTCCGTTCAATTCATTTCTCTCCAGCGACTAGGTCAGGAATCGGAATGTACTAGACAGTTTGCAAGAATCCTGGAAGTTGTAGATGGCACACGGGGCAATTAGTGAAGAGCTGTGAAGCCATGACTGGGTCCCTTTTGTGGTACAGCACAAAAGTAAACAAAGCAGACGAGATGGATGTAGACGAAGCCAGACATTCTGTGTTGGCAAAGATTCCCGAGATCAAGGATTTAAAGTCAGAACAAAGAGAATCTTTGGTGAATTATATCAGGGGGAAAGACGTTATTGCCCTTCTTCCTATGGGATTTGGGAAAGCCACCCAACCAGTTACCAGTTAGTCCCATTAGCGGCACATTACATATGTCACGACCAAATTGCAGCGATAGATTTAATTTAAAAAAGTACCTGCCTACAGTTGAGTGAACGAATCCTAATGCTGTGAGGTCAGACGGTTTCCACGAAGTGAAACCGGCTCATGAATGAGGCTAGATTTATGTAGAGATGGAAGAGAATAGAACTTTCAAAAAGATCTTTTTTTTGACAGAAATGAGTAATCCAATATTTTTCTTAGATTAACCTGACTGGATAATATTCAATCAGTCTTAAACGTGCATGTAATTATATTTATAGTTTTCTTCAAGTTGTGGTGAGTTCTTCTATACATGGGTTTGAAACTGTGAAAAAAAGGACCAGTATATCCTATAATTTGAATGAAGTCCTCAAAATGTTGCCCATGACAGGAAGATGAAACTCGGGAACCGTGAGTATGTGAGGCTGCATTCCTCCACCCCGGCCCAGCTGTGGGTTAGAGTAACACAATGCAAGAGTCTGTACTTTTGATAACCCCAATCTGAGAATACTTTTACAACTGATCAGAAATATGCATGTAGATTAAATAGTGTTAGACTTTTAGACTGGCTAAGTTTATGTAGCGCGTTGTAGTTTTTTTTCTAGTTTTCTTAAGTGTTTGCAGGTAATATTAAGGGAGAAGGAAGGTTTTCAGTTTTGTCAGATAAGACAAATGTGCATTCCACCTGCATAGCTGTGGAGTTTAGACAGTTAAAACTAATCCCTAATGTGCAGAAATGTCCTACTTCTTAAATCCCTGAAGACCCTGCACCTTTTGGGATGGGTTAAAATCAACATTTTCACACTGCAAAAAAATTGTATGATATATATTTACTTATGGACATAGAGAACAACGACTTGCTTCAGTGCATTACTTCTTATTTCAAGCCAAATAGGGTAAGAAACCTGTACTTACCTCATTGGCAAAGTTTATTTACTCACAACCAGTCAGACAAACCAGAGAAATAGTCAACTTAAATATAACATAAATGCAAACAAACCATCAGGCCAAGTACACGTCAGCTCTGTGGAGGAGTGACCCGCTCACAGTATAATAAATAGGAATATATGTCTTTCTAGGTCTAGGCCTTTTTAGCGATAAAAAAACAAAACCTGTACTTGGTGTAAGTGGGATAAAAAATAATGCTGTGTTTTGTTTTTTTGTTTTAGTTTGTTTTAGTAAACAAAAGGCTCCTACAGCTCCGCTCAAACAGTGAGAGATACAGGACGGCATTCGTACTATAATACTCCCTACAACTGCACAACAACTCACCTTTATGCAACAGATAATACTCCATACAACTGTACAACAACTCACTCACTATGTAACAGATAATACTCCCTACAATTGTACCACTCACTCTCATGTAATAGATAATACTCCCTACAACAATAACTCACCTTTATTTAACAGATAATCCTATGTCATGTCATTTTATCAGTTACACTTTGAGATTTTATATTTTATTACTTCTTTTTCTATTTTATTTTGACTTGTACATTTACATTTATATAATTATGTCTTATTTGACACCTCTCTTGTACGGATGTAACAATAACCGAAATATCGTGATATCGTATCATCAAAAGTCTCACAATAATATCGCGGGCTTTCACAATATATCGAATCACAAGTTCCTTTGCTTAAATGCATGGTTTTATTGTCACAACAGCTTATTAACGTAGAGAACTACATATCCCATGATTCATTTCAGTGCAGACAACATGAAGAAATATGTTTTTCACTAGAATTTTTGGGATTATGATGGAAATAATTCACACCAAAATTTTGTCAAGGTAATTTAAAAGTAAAAATATCACAATAAATATCGTACTGTGAGATGCATAACATGATAATATCGTACCGAGAGATTTGGATATCATTATTTATCAAGTCTCACAATACAATATCGTCACAGTACGATATTTATTCCGATATCGTGGGAAAGCTCACGATATGGTGGGGAGGCTCACGATTAGAGACGTAACGATATCCAAATCTCTCGGTGCGATATTTTCACGATATGCATCTCACAGTATTTATACATCTACGATATTTTTTGCGATATTTTGTGGAGGGGAACAAAACTGTTAATATGCTGCTTTTTCCTCTTGACAAGACTTAATCCAAAGAACTACGACTTAAAAATGCTTAGAACTGTTTTTTCTTCTTCTACACTGAAATGGAGCAAAGGATCATGGTCTATGTAGTTCCCTCTATCATTTTTTTTTTTTAGCTATTGTTGCACCATAACTATTCATTTACGGAAAGAGATTTGTAATTCGATATATTGTGATGGTCCAAGATTTTATTGTTACATCCCTAGTTATTACCATTTATATCTTTTCTCTTTGTTATTATATTTTATTGTGATGTGTGAGCTTCTGTGTCCACATAATTTCCATTTTGGATCAGTAAAGTTTAATCTGAAGTAACAGTGTGCACCTTTAAAGACTAGATATTATCAGTGTGACATTACAGTTTTGCATAACCATTCTTCAGCCAGAATATCAATTTTCTTTGGCTATTATCTCACAGTCTCTCCTCTCCTCTCTTTCTCTTTTCAGTCTGTACCCCGTTGTGCGAGTGTGGGGTCACGGAGAGGACAAGGCGGCGACTACATCAAACTAAGTGTCCTGCTGTGAATGAGGATGGCCTATTAGCAGACATCAATAAAGTCGCCAGAGCTCACGGAAATCTGCAGCTGAGAACGCGCGCTTTCATTTCACTAAAAGGCAAAAGGAAAAAAAAAAAAAGTGGCAACCATTAAAATTAATAGTCTTACCTAAAGCAGCAAGGTACTCATCCATGTTTTCCTGCTCCACCATGTGAAAAACCCCGGTGTAATTGGGTTTGGACATATTTCCTTCCTTTCTTCTTGTTCTCTTTCAGATTTTTTGGCAGTCGATGGTTTGATATCAGCTTTTTTTTGTTGGTCAAAGAGCGCAGAGTGTTGTGAAACAGCTGTCGTTTTCGTAGTTGCACGTTTTGTCTGCGCGTTTTCTCCGCGTAAAAGTATCAGATTCGCGTTGATTCTCGTGGTATTTCTTGGGGGAGATGCCAATATCTTCCTCGGACTGGCCTCGTCGATGGATAAAGTTTTGTGGTGTGCGCGTTGCATACGAAGAGGATACCCATTCATCTGCTCCATAGACTGGGCGGTGCGTAAAGGCGTTTGGGGGCGTGGAGGGAGGAGAGAGAGCAGTGAAATCGGAGGCTGAATTACCTCACACATCACAGAGTTGGATTAAAACCTTATGTTACAAAAAAGTGAATGACGAAAAACTGAAATATGTGAAGGGCTTAAAGGCGTAGTGGTGTCGTTTGCAACAGTTGGATAGAGATTTTTTAGTTACAATTTCATCCTTGGACTTAAGACTTTCATTGATCCACAAGGGAAATCTTTTGGACACAGTAATTTCCCTTGTGGATCAATACATTTTGTCTAAGTTTAATTCCTTAACCATGCACTTTATACCAGGGCTGTCAAACTCAAACTCACAGAGGCCACAATTTGAAACTGGGGCTAAGTCGTGGGCCAAACTAAGTATTTATTGAAAAATGTACATGTTTTCTCTTCTCTCGAGATGTAATGTAATGTAATGTTAAACCTTTTCTTATTAAAATAAATGTTTAAAAATAGTTTTGCTTAAACATTGAACCCGCCAAGAGTATTTTTTGGTATATTTTACTGAATTATTTTGTTACAGCGCTACAGTTTTGTTGCTTGTTTAGAGGAAGAAAACTTGTTAATGCGACACATTTGACATTTTCACTGTTTTGATGATTCAAATTTCATATTAACTTTGCACAAGAAGTGGTTTAACAAAAAATGTTTAGTCTCACAGCCATTGTTTAGCCATTATTTTTACTGAACCGTATTGAAATGATTTGAAATATATATCGTATTGAATCGAAAGTGCACTGTATCGATGTATGTATGTATCGTATCGTGGCCAATGTATCGAGGTATGTATCGTATCGGCAACTTCTTAATGATATCCAGCCCTCGTGTGCATGTACAGTAAGAGTTGGGGGTTCATGTCAAGTTATTGCTAGATTTTGGGAGTCTGTGCGTTCTCAAAGCTTTTATAGTTCATCATTTGTTGCTTTTAATTTACCTGATTAACGCGCCTAAAATCATGAGTCAAAATTCTTCAGCATTAGGGCTATTTTCTGCATTCATTTCAACCAGTAATTTTGTCAAGCATTCACTAACACATTCACTTATTTTTGTATTAATTTATCAGCAAGAATAAAACAATTTGATATAACAAATTATTTTGGTCACTTTTTAACATTATAAGATAAAACTATATCGACATAAATATGTATATGAAAAATAAACTATTTTTTCTTCACAGAGCCGGTCTTCTTGTCCTTTGACTTCTTGGCGTCTTTCTTTCCTTTGGACAGATTTTGGTAAAGGTCTTCCTTATTTCTGTGAAAACAAACAGAAGGACAAATCGACTGGTCACATGAGAGGGCATTAGTGATAAAGAGTTGAACTATTGAGAATGGTCAACCACTGCTAGTACAGGGCAAAGTGCACAAACTGTTCAGAGTTATATGGTGTTTCTACCAAATGGAGCCACTAGATAAATCACAATAGACTTGAAATTACAATCTGAATAGCTGCAATTAGTCAATCTAATTTGTCATATATTCTCTGCAAAACAACCAAATATCCTTTGGTCTTTTAATGTACCAAATCTAACCCTGAAGTTTAGATCTCTACAAAGATGTTCTGAAATGCCTGTGATTCTTGTATCAGTAATAAAAATAATAATGCACTGGATTTATACAGCACTTTTTTGGACATTCACTCACTCAGCTTTATTATTATTCATTCATGGTGGTGGAAAGCTACTATTGTAAGGACTGCTGTCCCTGGGCAGATTGACGGATGCGAGGCTGCCAATCTGTGCCATTGGCCCCTCCGACCACACGCACACACACTTTCATACTAGGCAATGTGGGTGAAGTGCCTTGGTTAAGGACACAACAGTTTTTTGCCTCTGGTGCCCCACTGTGACACCTGATATTTGCACCAGTCTCCCATTGGTTCTACAAGTCCTAACCAGGCCCTGTCCTGGTTAGCTTCTTTGACAAGCCATTATTAATTTAGCAGTTCATATTTCAGTCTTCTCTCAAATGTTTATGCTCCTGAGGGATTTTAAAATGTGCAATTTGAACATAATCTTCAGCTATATATAATCTTCATACTCAACTAAACCCGTGAACATAACAATAATGAAAATTTGGATCCTAGTTGTCCAATTAGGCTGAGAGAATTGGTGCAGGTTGGTGTGTCATTTGTTTCCTTAATTTATGTGAAGTCTTGTAAAATCCAGCTGTACCCAGCCCCCGCCCATCTCCCCAAACGCCTCCAGCTTCCTCCACAAGCTGCTGACTGTCCATGATGCTCTAGTGCAGCCATAACTAAACCACCGTGACGTCAGCTGGCCGATAAAGCAACTAGTACAATGTTTTGGGAACTTTGGTCAACCATTCACAAAAAGCCCATGCAAAAAACAGAACTCATATTAAGTCATTTATTAAAAAATATATTTCTGAATTTCTATTGGCAACTTTCCTGGCACTGTCCCTTTACATTCAATAACTTATATATTTAACTGTTTGATATTTCTTTGTCTCTTCCTTTTTTGGTTGCATAAATGTGCCTCTATATTTTGTGTATGTATATTATATTACTTAGTACAACCCACAAGCAGGTGGGAGACAAGATTAAATAAAACACATCAAAATGATGGATTGCAGTGTGTTATATATTCACTGTACGGCCCAGTCTGAACATTATGCAGTATTATGACAGTGCGAGCTTTAGCGCAGGTGTGTGAGCGGCTCTCTCCTGGTGTAGACTCACTTGGAGACCTTCTTGGAGGCCGGTTGGTGCTTCAGCTGCAGATTACCGTACTCTGTCTCAGTTTCCTGTGAAAAAAAATGAGAAAGGTGAGGGTTAAATATGACTCACGCAGCTTTATCCAAACACTGATAAGACCAGGAAGCCTCCACGTCCAGATTCTGTTGTAGTGAACCTTTAACTCAAACCTGTTCACTTCCAAATCCTTTTTTCTTTGTCTAATTTTCTTAAGAGCCTTTTGAGGAATCTGACACAATACTCACATTTTAACTCAATTTTGATACACAGGAACTTGCATCAACACTTGTTCTGCTGAGTATATAGTTTCCATATTTAGAATCTTTGTTTTTTTATCACTCAACTGTGACTCTAGGTTAATGTTCATTTATAACAAGACTCTATAAAAAGATAATGTTTTTTTGTTGATAAGTAGGTCGTCTGGGTCGGTCTGGGTGAATGTGCAGAACAATAGGATGCTTTCTTATTCAGAAGTGTCAAAAGATCAGATGTAGGGCAGAGGCTGATATTACTATATGGGTGATTAACACTTGTGTTACTGTGCCTCAGGGCAGCTGTGGCTACAGAAATAGCATAACACCACACAGTGAGACTCAGGAGGGAATAATGCAAGAGCTGTTTCCTTCTTAAAATATCTAAAAGCAGTATCATATATTATGTTTCTATAAATCCACGAAATGTTGAACTTCGCTGTAAGTGTTTCAGGTCTATGTCCAGAATTTATCTTGTGCTTTAAGCATCAAGAAGCTACAATAAATCCCTTTTGAACATATTTTCCACTATGTAACTTCGCTGGTGGGGGTCAGCACCTGCCTGTCTCCAAGAAGACCTTATTTCTTTGTCTGGAATGTTCCATAGTATGGCTTTAAGCTTGTATATCTCCATGAAGACAAGCAGTGAAAACATATTTTTTTTGTTTAGTTTTAGTCACAATAAATCAAGATTCTTAATGTGAGCAGACTCGCCTCTCCACAGACTTGACGAGTAAACTGGCCCGGTGGCGTTACCTGCTTATCTACGAGAAGACTGATATACTGCATAACGTGGAACATTTCAGGCAATGCAGAACCATCTCCACAGTGACATACCCTTCACCAGAAAAGTTACATAGAGATCTACTGAGTTCATTTGTGCTAATCAGAGATATATTATACTCCAAAAACCTCTGTATCTTTATTGAATCTTTAGCAGCATCTGCTGCACTCCACCTCTGTGTTAAACTATTGCCCCTGTGTAGAATGACATAACATGAAGCTGAGCCCTGAGGATGAGCTGTGTGGACTCACCATGGAGGCGATGTCCTTGACCTTTGTGGTCTGGATGTACTCGGACACTGCCAGGTAAATGAACTTATACTGAGCTTCAGTCTGGACCATACCAGACCTCTGCTCTCTCACCATCTGAATGATTTTAGAAATGTCAAGGTCACAGTCCAGACCTGAAGGAGAAGACAGGAAATATAATGTTTTAATATCATGAGGAAGAAAGTCACTTGTTACATGTGCATGTCAGAGGAAAGAGGAGACTGTATACAAGTAAGAATTTAAACTTAGTCAAATAGGCAAAATGTAATCTGCTAGTAAATTTGCTGCAGTTAAAGCCAAAACATGTTCATATCCAAGCAAATTTTGAAGTAAGGATGTTCAGTATGTCAAGAGTTATTTTGAGTCAAGATCTGAATTTAAATTTGATCACAATTCACATATGGGCTACTTTAACCATATGAACCATATGAATGTCTTAACTAAAGCTGTGTGCTTCTTCTGAGAGTTCTACTCACTCAGTGCATAAGAGAAGTGGTTGCGTGCGACTGTGTTGAAGCATAGATCATAATTTTTACCTATTGTAGTGATGGTATCGATGATCATGTCGATCACCACAATGGTCCCTGTTCGGCCGATTCCAGCACTGCAGCAGACGACACAAATCAGAGCATTATACCACAAGCATAACACATTTTTAAATTAAATCTGCCTTGCAGTTCTGAAGTTTTGAATAGCTTTAAAATAGCTGTTTACAGAAAACTAAATTATAATTTAAGCATCTTACAGTTTGATAGTAAATACCTGACAAAAAGCACTTCTTAAAGAGAGTACTATTTTTTGTGTTGAAAATGATATTGTATTATTATTTTTTTTTAAAGTGTTTTTCTTATAATTGTGGAATCAGAATCAATACCGATCATCAAGCCTCTTCCATAGTATTGAAATAGACAATAGAAATTTCAGTTTCTTGAATTGGTTTGTAATTTTAATACCTCAAATTAAAAGGGTGAATACATTTATAAATTTAATATTAATGCTTATGTCAAAATAAGATTAATAATTTATATAATGTGTTTGTATTAGCAGTACAAAGGCTTTACATAGGAGGACGTAATCATACTCATACATACTTTACTGTTGCGCAGTATCACATGAGGAACATTCCACATGGATAAACTAAACTTGACTCAAACCTTTGTTCATATTCTAATCCTACTCCTGGAAAACTGGATTACTTAATGAGTTTTAAGGTTTAGTTACCTCACACTACAGATTATAAAATCTTAAAGCACAAATACAAGTACAAATGCTAAAAATATCTGTCTGAAATGTTCACTGTAGGTATTTATTGGTACTTGTGGATACCACTGGTCATTACATGATACAATGGGTCATTATTATTTGGTAACACTTTGTAATAACTACACCTAATCAGCCTGAAAGTATGAAAGACTTAACTCATACTGAACTAATCGTTTATTAAGAAAGATACAGGTTTAGTAACTACTTCATTCATACTCAAAGCCTTTCAGTATGTATTTACTAAACCTGAATCAATCCTATTAAATTATTTGTTGCTTTATTGCTGCTCAATACATTTTAACCAACAATCTTTTTCTTGAAGATCCTTTATTACGCAAAACTTACTTTAAACCATGTTACATAACTTGTCTTACTTGACACCAGTCTCTTGCTATTTTTTTAATGCTACTTATTTAGAAGTTTATTACCATTTATATGTATATTTTTACTTTACTGTGTTATTCTATTATAATGTGATGTGTGAGCTATCGTGTCCAAGTAATTTCCATTGTGGCTTAATTAAGTTCAAGTTACCCCATCAAAAACATTCCTGGAGTTGTGGTTTTTTTTTCATTCACGCAATTATCTGGAATATAAAATCTCCAAAATAAAACCAGTACTCTGACACAGACTCAGATGTACCTGCAGTGGATGATCATGGGCCCGGCGGTGGGGTCCTCATATTGTTTAGCGTTCACTTGCTCCAAAAAGCTGAGTACACCTCCAGGCTCCTGTGGGACTCCGTGGTCGGGCCAGCTCATGTACTGGAAGTGCCAGATCTTTCTCGTCTTTTTGGGCTGAGAATAAATATATATGAAACATTTTAAAACATAGGATTTCAACAGATCCATGAATTGTGTCCAGTGGTTGTACGGTGAACCCTTAAAGAAAGTTACATAAATCGGTGTAACATTAAATTTTTCTATATAAAATCAAAAATAAGAACATTAAAAAACAATTATTTTCTTCATTATTTGTCTCCAAAACCAAAATGAAAAAACGGATAACGATTTGATTTAAAAAAAAAATTATATTTGAAAAAAAACAGATAATGTCCGTTTCCCGTTTCTGTGACTTAAACTGAGATGCTGGACTTTTGTGCAGCGAATGGACTGAACCAGGACTGAACCAGGTCCAGGAGCAGACCAGAACCAGACTGGGACCAGGACCAGTATTGAGACCGGGACCAGACCAGGACTGAGTCTGGGACCAGGACCAGTATTGAGACTGGGACTGAGACCAGGACTGAGACCAGGACTGAGACCGGGACCAGACTGGGACTGAGACCAGGACTGAGGCTAGGACCAGACCGGGACCAGACCAGGACCAGACCGGGACCAGACCAGGACCAGACCGGGACTGAGACTGGGACTAGACCGGGACTAAGATCGGGACCAGACTGGGACCAGGCCAGGACTGAAAATGGTTTAGTCCTGGTCCGTATGTGACGCAAAAGTTCGGCATTGCAGTTTAAGTCACGGAAACAGGAAACGGCCGTTATCCCATTTTTTCCATTATTAATTTAAACACAAAATCAAAAACTGAACAATCGTTATCCATTTTTTCATTTTGGTTTTGGAGACAAATAATTAAGAAAACAGTTGTTTTTTTGTTTTCTTATTTTTGGTTTTATTTTGAAAAACAAATGAACGAATGACACACAGATTTACATCGTGCACCTTTAAATATTTCTATTCACTTGGTTTACATTCTTTCACTTATTTACATTATAGGGAGTTGCGTTTTGTTTCATTCACACGTTTGAGTTTATTAGTCTGTCTGCATCTACAAAGCTCAAAGTGCTCTGTTCCACCTTGTGGTGTCATGAAGTGGTAGTTTTCAAGTTAACAGCTCCTTTTGAATTTAGTTCAGTAGAGATTGGCAATTCCCATTATAACATAGATCAGAAAAAAGCATAATACAGACCCTTTAACTAAACTCACAATAAGTTAAATTGACTTCAAGTGGTGTAGATGTGTTTTTGTTTTTACCCTTTCTGCTTCTGCGATCTCCAACACTCTCTCTTTGTAGTCTGTGGCTTCTCTTTCGGACACGTTGGTGACGATGTACGGGCCCACCTCCTTCGTGGCGTCGAACTCCGGCCAGTATGGAACACATTTATTCTGAAGTGAAATAAAGTGTTTTTATTTTTATCTGGCAGACACTCTCTAGTCACATAATAGAGGAATGGTGATCTACATAGAGAGATCTCGCAATAATTGCAAATACTAAAATGTTTTAACAGGAGAAAATACGTGTACACAAAAAACAAAACAAAAAGTATTTCAAAACTCTGCTGTTTACTAAACTTGGAAAATGAATACATTTTGAGCCTGTGGTGGAGCATAGACAAAATATATTTACAGTAAACATTTTTCATACTGACCCGACCCTTCTCGACCTCTCTGGTTGTCATGACGATGACCCTTGAGTTTTCCTGCCAAACCATCTGCCAAAAGTCATTCACGGTCGTGGCGAGGCAGCCCTGTGTGGCGATGTAGACTTTCTGCTCCCCGGGTTCTCTCATGGTGTTCTGCAGGAAATAATGTAACGTATGAAATTAAATACTTAAATGCTAGGTAAATGTATTTTATTTTATTTATTTAAGAAAAGGGGGAAAAGAGTAAATAAATGAACTTTTAGATAAATTGTAGCATAATTACCTAGGTCATTTTTTTGTCCAAATTGTGATGCCTAACTTTATAATGCCAAAAAATTTGTTTTTTCTAATTTTCCGAAAACGTTCAAATATGATTTAGGCAACTATGCTATTAGGCTATCGAAATGTAAATATGACAGATTATAACCTTGGGATAATTTACGTCTGCACACACTCTGGCAGGTTGGTGTTACAACAAAACATAAACAATATTAACTATTACTAAGATTGTAAGACTATTAACAGAGACTATGTACAGTCAGACAGGACAGGTGAATAAAGGCAAAAAGAGTGATTACAGCCTCGTGTTTGCGCAGACATTTATCAGTAACAAGTTAAACAAACTGTAGAATGACAGACATTGAGAAATCCTATTGCACTGCATTGAGTTCTTGTGCACATGCCCTTATACTGCACAGACTCATACTACACCAAGTTGTATTACACATAACCCTTTCAACCACAAATAACTAACAAACTAACTATTCCAGTTATCAAACCACAATATATATATATATATATATATTCACTGTAGTAACTCTAAATGCCCCACATTAAATCAGTGCTTGTATATGTCCTTTAAACGCAGCCATAAATAACCAACTACCAACTAACTTCTGTTGTTCACTGACTTAAATAAAGATAGATAAATAGACAGATAGAGAGACAGATAGATAAAAAGACAGATAGACAGATGATAGATATGAATGTCTTAAAGCTTGACACCCTTGAAACGTAATGGTCTGTGTAGATTCTGTGTTGATTATTTTCATATATTTGTTCTTTGTTATTATAATTTATTGTGATGAGTGAGCTCCTTTATCCAAACACTTTCCCTTGTGGATCAATAAAGTTTGTCTAAGTCTAAGTCTAAGTCTAAGTCTAGAGATTCGTACTTTTTGGCCTACCATGTTCATTTATCTAAGCCTATGTCCTGAAAATAAAATAAAATATTAGATCAAATTGTTTATCATTTTGTGGGCTGCCTTTGGGGGAATACTGTTATTATAGCTGTTATTATGGGAGTTACAGCTGAAAAATTGTTAGTTTGTTTTAAGACTAATAGATACGGATTATCTATTTATCTAGTTAGTTAGAGAGATAAATAAAAAGACAAGCAGATACTAGAGGAAGATGGAGAGTGTGTGTACTACTGAAAGTATTTTGAGGACATACTTTGACGTAGTTAGCGTTGATGTAGTCTGAGCCGACCACATTGGGATCGCCGTTCTGCAGGATGACCCTTGTGTCGTTGACTGGAGATAGAAAACATAAAGTAAACATTTACAAATACACAGGCGTCCTTTTATAAACTGTAAAGGGTGGAGGGAGGGCATCTGACTCACAGGGGAGGATGTTTTTGTATCTGTTTTTGCTCTTGTTTTCAGGCCGCTGTCCCTCCTCTCGGCTCTTCTTCACCTTTGCCTCCAACTTTTGCAACGTCTGCCAAAAATAAAAGAAAAAACAAACATAATAGTTAGTGGTTAGTAGGTACACTGCCCTCTTGTGGGGAAATTTCATCAACAATATTATTACCAAGTTATTACCAAATAAAGCATAATAAGGACCCCTGTTAGTGTAATTAAATGTGGTATAAAATATTCATAGAGTAGCTTATAATAGCATATATTCATTACTTAATTATGGTCTCATTTTATGCTGAACTGTAATTTGTTCATCGCAGAAAATTAATGACTTAGTTAAAGATACACTATGTAACTTTTCTGGTGGTTGTTTGTCCCTTGCTTGTCTCCCTGGAGATGTTATTGCTTTGTCTGGATTGTTCCACTATATGACAATAAAGTTATTCAGCTTGAATGTAATAATAGTTTTTTATAGCCAAGACATCTATCTAAATCATGAATTCTTACAGAATGTGGGATCGCCTCTCCACAGATCTGACCTGTAACGTGGCATTCATTGTTAATGCCAATACTATAGACCACTTCAGGTAAAGCAGTAACATCTCCATAGAGGAAAGCAGGTGGCATACACGTCACACAGAAAGTTACAGAGTGCACTAACAAAGAATATATAATTAAAAATCAGATAAGCATAAAATGGGACCACAGTTAAGTTAAGATAATATGCCATTATTTACTTGAACTCCTCCACTCCTCTTGATTTACTGCTCAGTCTATGTTCCTACCCTCACCTATGGTCATGAGCTTTGGGTAATGACCGAAAGGACAAGATCACGGATACAAGTGGTCAAAAAAAGGTGACTGGGCGCTCCTTTAGAGATGGGTTGAGGAGCTCGGTCACATGAGAGGAGCTTGGAGTAGAGCCGCTGCTCCTCCACGTCGAGAGGAGCAGCTGAGGTGACTCGAGCATCTGTTCCAAATGCCTCTTGGGCGCCTCCCTCAGCAGGTGTTCCGGGCATGTCCCACCAGAAGGAGGCCCTGGGGACACGCTGGAGGGACTAAGTCTCTCAGCTGGCCTGGGAGTGCCTTGGGATCCCCCAGAGGAGCTGAAGGAAATGTCTGGGGTGAAGAAAGTCTGGGAGTCGCTGCTTAGATTGCTCTCCCTGTGACCCAGCCCCAAATAAGCGGAAGAAAATGGATGGATAATATGCTGTTATAAGCTAAATGTATGTTACTATTAAGGCTTAATATTTTGATAATACTGTTGTTGATGCAATTTCCCCACAAGAGGGCAGTATAATGCCTTATAAACATACACAAGAGGAAGCGACACTAGGCTGTTGTAACAGTCTATTTAAAACCCAGTGATCCGGGAACAGAGTCTGATGTAGCGGTAAAGTGATGAAAGAGTCTCACATCAAACTCCTCCCAGAAGCCGGCTTTAGTCTTCTCCCCCTCATCCTGCTGGGACTGAGCCGTCTCATCCAACTGTTTCACACGACTGTCAATGTTTGCGGCGTTCACACGGGTCGAGTAGTAAGGCTGAAACGACAAAAATACAGAAATGTAGTTTATTTATATACACTTAGGACGGCCACAGCAAATAGTAGAAAACAGGGACATGTTGCTGAATGCGGTGGGACATTTAAGGAAACTGAGGGTGTGTTCACGTTTGTTCTGGTTTGATTTTGGTTTGAAAGTTTGAATCCCTATGTAGGTCAGATTCTGATTTAGTCCTAGTATAGATTTGGTTTAGTGTTGGTTTAGTTTCAGGTTTATTCTTAGTTTAGTCCCAGTTTTGATGTGGCTTGAATGCACCGTGAATCTCACATACATTTTTTTTTTTTTTTGTTTCCGTTTCTATCAATAGTAACGCAGAGAAAGAACGAATTAAAACAGGCACCAACATAACTCAAAAAGTCTTGATTGAAAAAAAATCTGTGAGAGCTAGACTTGTGGCTACATGCACCCAGATGAGTTAGAGAATTACAGAATAGTCCTACACTGAAAATAACGGAAAAAGAAAAAAAAAATTGACATCATAGACAGATAGAAGAGGGTAAAATGTAAAGAATGTATGTATACAGTGTTTAAAAGTACAAATTTGTTCAGTTTTTTGAGTGTATGCCTCACTATTTTACATGTTATGCTTTTGTTTATTGTGAAATAAAAAGTATACATACAAATAAAGCCGATTTTAAAGAATTATTTTTGGTATTTTGTTCTATACTAAAACATTGGTACATTTTGTTCGCAGCTTAATAATGGAAATGGGCCCTGGGACTTCCTGTTCAAAATCTGAATTAAATTTACATTACACTTTTGAACCCTGCATGTATGACGCAAGAAATAAAAGAAGAAATTGTACAGAGAAGTGGGCAGACACATTTTCAGAGGGAGTTTCTCACCTGTTTGAGGTAGACCCAGGTGCCGGAGACCTCCTCGATGCCTTTGCGCTTGTAGAACTCCACCAGGTCAGTGAGTGTGTCAAACATCTCCGATCCTCCCACTGTGTACCTGTCATTCTGAAAAACAACACATCAGTGGAAATAAACAAAGTGCTAAATCAGGCTTCACTGTGGAAAATGACCTGAACTGCTGAACTCGAAGCTGTTAATTCTCACAGCGAATGTGTAACAAGCATGAAAAGTGTGTGCATTTTAATTGTGCTGGGTTTAAAATGGCACGACTTTCAAGAGAAAAATAATAATCTAGAAATGCTCTTGTCAAAAAGAGAGCACTTCTGGATTCACCAACTTAAGACTCTGAATGTAGAGTTTGATCTAAGATGTTTTTTGTGATATGGTTAAACTATTTCTGTATTTAATAGAATGTTTTAGAGTGGCTGGGTGACCTCACTTTTTGGGACCTCGTGGAGGGGATATGAGCACCTGGGCTGGCAACCATTTTGTGTTGCTGTGGTCCAAAGCAAGAAAAATGATCTGACGAAGGCTTTTTTTTTGCCGAAATGTTATTGAGTGTGCCATGCATTTTTTCACTTTTGTTGTCAATAAATTTAACACAGATGCGAGGCAGAGTTGAAAATACAGATTTGTTTTTTTGAGTACTTGGGTCTAATCAGTCACAGAAATGATCTTGTTCAACATTTGTGCATTTACCTTTTGGATATTTCAAGGCAAAGTACAACGTCATTTATCAATACTAATGAAGCTAACTGGAAGCACTGCTCTGTCTGAAGCTCTGTTACTCAAATTAGACTTAATCTGAGTTTTGTTTTAACACAATCTGACCCTGAACACTTCACTCCTGAAAAAGCGCTGTTCAAATCAATTATATGTTTCTCACATGATTGTAAAACGTATTTGTTTGTGTTGGTTAAAGCGTGTGTTGTGTCGCCATGGTAACACCTGATCATTCCGCCGACAGAGCTGCATGTAGAACGCCCCCAGAGTCACGTCAATAGGAAAATCTCTTGTCTCTTGCCCCCATCTGGGAGTATGACATTATTACATTTTAGAATCTGAAACCGCGAATATCTGAATAGTAGTTTTGACTTTTTCCGCGTATTTAGTAATTGTGCCTAGAATAGAAACTAGAGCTGAATGATTTAGAAAAATATCTTGCGATTCATGTTTTAATAAAAGAATCCTGTTCAAAGTTCACATTTTAAACTTATACAGAAGAACATAATACAAGAGTTACATTTCAAAGCATTTTTGTACAGATCTAAACTATGGATTAGTTAAGTTTTTCTAGTTTTTATGCAAAATAAGAAAGGAGATTTTTGTTTTTTATGGAGGAAATGATGGTACTTCAAAATTGCAGAATTTGTTATTTGCTAATTAAACACATTTCAGTTTAGTAATTATCCAATAGAACTTTATGAAAATACTGAGAGTTGTAACCAATTTTAATTTAATTATAGTGTAATTACCATGAACAAAGGCTGAAACAGAACTAAACCAGGATTTACTTGGGACCTGGACTGAATTCTGATAAGACCAGGACTAAGAGCAGTGATGGTAAGAATACTTTTAAAATAAAAAATATAGTTGCAGAATACTGAATAACACAATTAAAATGTATTTTGTAATGTATTTTAACACATGGTCCAATCAAAGTACTGAGGTCTGAACACTTGGGATACTTTTAACAACTTTATTTTTGTTATTATGCATTCATTTATGTCTAAACAGAGACAAAATATCACATATGCACTTTTTTTCCCCTCACTAATACTGTGCAGTTCAGAGCTAAAATTGCATGATGAAGTGTCACCATGTATTCTTTTTAATTTAGGAAAGTAATTACATTCTGAATCCCACTAAATGAACCAGAATACAGTTACTTTTTAACACTGACTATGGGTTAATATTTTTCTACACTGAGCTAATTTTAGTCCTGATGTGGTCTTAGTTTGGTCCTGTTTTAGTCCTTATTTAGGCCAAGTCTAGTCCAGGTTTAGTCTTGACTTAAGACACAATTTTGATGTGTGAATGTGAAAGTGTGAACGCCCAAACCAGAACGACAAAAAGTGAACAGACCATCAAATGAACATTAAGCACTCCCTGTTTCTGTCTTTTTTTTTAGCAGCTCTTTTTTTTCAGTCTTTTATTTATTTATTTATTTATAAACTCACCTCAAACCAAAATCAAACCATGTCATGTGACCATTAGTGAAAAGCTTTTTAACATTTCCTGGTATTGTACTTTCCTTATTGTTGCCTGCCTGCCTTGGTTGCTCTAATTCTTCATGCTTTCTTTAGTACAGATGTTATGTTAATGTACATTATCCCTATCAATTAAATAAATAGATAAATACAAAATAGGTTTTATTTAACAAAGGAAGTTGTAACCATGATCGTTTGTATTTTATGCAATAACAGCAAAACATTGTTTCCGATCATTCAGTTGAGAAACTAATTTCGTCTTTACTGTGAGGTACACCACAGTACAAAAAAACAAAAAAAGTGAGTGCATCTTGTGGTAGACGTTGACCATTCATGGAGGGGTTTTAGAACTTGAGATGACGCAGGTTAGAGACGAGGTTAAACCACATACACAAGGAGACATACAGGGCAGAGGGCAGTTACTCAATACTAAATGAGTACTGACGTGTAGAACACTTGAGCAAACTGGCAGCAGCACAAAGCGTTTTATACGACAGAAATGAAGTGAAATGAAAGTTTGAATTGACTGATGGTGCTTTTAACCTTCTCTGTTTTATTAAAATGTTGCAATGAGATGCAAAACTCATGCTATGATATTCATTATCATACTGGTTTTTTTATTACAATATGGTGGAGATGCAGAGAAAACTGAATAAATACTATACTTTTATCTTTTAAATAGCCCTGACCATATTTTGCGGCTGTCACGATAACAATAGAGCTTTTCTAGATGCTCAAAGCCACAGCTGCCCTGGGACAGACTAATGGAAGCAAGGCTACGCATCACTTTCACACTAGCCAGTGTGTGGGAGAAGTGTCTTGCCTAAAGGCACTGGCGCTATTGTCCAGGCTCACCCTTCATCAGCTTCACACATCTGCCGAGATCAAGCTTTGACTTGAGGTTTGGCCACAATAACGAGTTGTGTGTGAAGTGCAATATATTGCTGAAATAAATATAGATAATAAAAGATAATACTCTGACTAACTTACACCACTGACACAAGAACTCAAAATCAGATTTAAATGTTATTATTGGTAATTCTGTTCAGCTCAGCTCTTATCATACTGCAGAAGAAATAACCAAAAATCTCCCACTAGTGGAAAAAAGATACACGATAAATACTGACCTAAAAAAATATTGTTCTGTGCGTCATACATTAGGTGATAAGTGGATATAGTAATCGACAGGTGTATCTTTGGGGCTGTATTTCAGATTCCAAAGAATGTATTCTTAAATTAAAGATGGTGTGCCTAAACTATTCACAGGTAGATATGTGTGTCATATATCTGCAGATAAAAATCTTCATTTTGTAAACATTGGATTATTGGATCATTTATCTTTATTTCTTTTTTTGTTTCTTCAAATGCAAACATTGAATTTGAAAAAAAGACATTAATTTTTGTCAGTCTTAACCTTATGATGAAAAGCGTCCCGTGTATCTGAGCAGCTGACAGTGTTCAGTTTCTGTGTTGACGTTTCCGAAGAACAAAACCATTTGACATGAACAGATTTAAAATCAGGAGTCGTGTTAAGAGGAAATAAGAACTCAGAACTGACTGTTACATAAGTTTAGAAAAACCCTGAGAGAACTGAACAGCGTTTTATAAGCGAAGGGTGTGACTAAATATCCATATTTAACTCTGAACATTTGAATTGTGTTTACAGTATATATTTATACAATAAATCATTTTATAATAATGTCACATGTTGCCTTTACTTATCCAGTACTTATCCAAAGACTGTTTTAAGATTAAATTAAGCTACTTTTGTATCTTTATAATAATACAACAAGCAAAAACTGTCTGTTTTTAATACCAATTTATTGCTCAGGTTATTTTTTATTATAGGGACAAAGATTAGACTAGTGGGCCACTGTAGTCCCCTGTATTAATGAGAAACACACTGCATCAGCTACACATACAGTATATTAAAGTACAGTACTGTTAATATTATATTACTACTGTTATTATGTGTAGTCCTTAGTAGGGGTGGGCGATATCTCGATATTTTTAATATATCGAGATTTTTTAAAAACTCGATATGAATTCTGACATATCGTATATATTGATATAATGCTTATATTCAATTTTGATTTCGTCGCTTTGCTTGTTTGTCTTCTCTGTCGCCGCCCGCGCGCCCTCGCCTCCCTGATTTTGTTCGCTCGTGTCTCATTCACTCCTCACTATCGCCGTGAACGCCGAAAGTTGCTGCCAGTGAAAAGCTTCTAGCGCCACGAAACCTTTCCACCATTTACAGACAAGAACATCAGCAGCACGTCCTCATATTCCACCGAGTCGTGTCCTTTAGTCCAAAAGAAGTTGAACCGCAAGAGCAGCACGTGGAGTGCACTGTTTATGCAAATTAGCCCTGCGCTTTTTAAGTTTCATTTCTGTAAAACATGAACAAGTCTGCGCAAAGCTGCAGAAAAAAACAAAAAAACCATAAAATAAAATAATTAACACTATAATCTCAAACGAGGTGATGTGGCTCTTGAGTCGTTATGCTGTATATTTTGTAAAGTTTAGTAATGTAAATTCTATTTATGCAGAAGATTTTAATTAATAATCTGTTGCAGTGTCACTTGTACAAAAGTGTTTGGAAACGTTGGGTTTGATCTGCAGTGGATTGTGGGAAACCTCAGAGCTCCTTACTGCTGGACAAGAACATGGATCTGTTAAAATAAGGAACATCCTGAGCTTCTTCTGCTGAAGGAGCTCACGGTTATGATTATGGTCTGGATAACAGAGTTAATGCAAAGATGAGCTTGAGTTGAGTTGTTTTATTTATGAATGAAACAAAGGAAATATGTTTTATTTCTTTTATTTGACAGTTAAATTATTATTTATGTAATTAGGGGTTTTTGTAATCTTAAATGTTCCTATATGAACTGCCGACCTTTTACACTTTAATTTTTAAAAAAAGGACCTTGTGGAATTTGGCATATTTGTTTTTGCAGTTTTCTGTTTTAGGGGGTTATTTTTTCCTGTACAGATATCGAGATATATATTGTATATCGAGATATATTTTTTGATCCATATCGCCCAGCCCTAGTCCTTAGTAAATCACTGTTCTATCACAGTGGGGCTCCTCTAACGAAGTCCTGTTCTGTTACTGTTCAATAAAATCTTTATAAACCACAAAACTACTTTATTTTTTGTTGATTCGACAGCAAAAGTGGTGCCGTTATTCAACTCCAAAGACGTGATGAATCTACCACAGATTTACAGAGGCCCCTCCCTGCCCTCCATCTGAAATCATGACATCCTCAAATCTCCTATATATTTTTCCTGACGCTAGTGGTTATTGTTTTTTGTGTTGTACCTGGCACATGATCTTGATGTGGGACACTCTCTTGGCTCCGTTCTTGCCGATCTCGTCCGTGAGCACAGACAGGACAAAGTCTCCAGGTTTGGACAGAGACTCTCTCACCAGGAATGTGCCCGGCTCGTCCCGTGAGCTCAGCAGCTTCTCCGCGTTCGGACCCGACAGGTGCCCGTGGTACCACCTGCAGAGACACACAGGATCAGACAGGACCTGGACTAAAGTCTCTGTAGCCTCCACAGGGAAAGTCCACTCATGTCTCTATTACTGTAAAAACGGTATTAATAGTTTAGTTTAGTTTACCCACATTTTAGTGTTGTTGCACTGACTTCCAGTTAATTTTAGAGTTGATTTTAAGATTTTATTTGTTTTTAAAGCTTTGAATGGACTGGCCCCACAGTACGTCTTGAACCTCCTCCAAATTTACACCCCCGGGCGCGCTCTGTAGTCCGAGGGTCAGCTCCAGCTCGTGGTGCCTAAAACGAAACTTAAAACCAGGGCAGACAGGGCTTTCTCTGTGGCTGACCCCAAACTCTGGAAAAGTCTGCCCTCCCCCGTGCCAACAGCCCCCACAGTGAAGTGTTTTAAGTCTCGTCTTAAAACCCACTTTTATTTTCTGTCTTTTAACACCGCGTGAGTTGTGTGGTCCTCTGTGTCTTTTATTTATTTTACTTATTTATTGCTATTTTATGATTTTTGCTTTTATTAAAATTTTACTGATTGTATTGTTTTAGGACTGGTACAGAGGCGGCGCTATCATTAGGTAAAAGTAGGCGGCTGCTTAGGGTCCCCAAACCTGGAGAGGCCCCCAAACAACTGCCCTCAGTGCCACTAATGACCGAGGCCTCAGAACAATAAGATTCTCTCTCAATATGACATTTAATGAAAGTATTTTACTTTTAAACAATGATCATTACGAAAATAATCATAACCATATGTGATGCATGTAAACAAAAATTGAATTGTCCTAGCCAAAAAAAAAAAACTACTTTCAGCTCTGGTTATCTAGTAGGCCACCAAACTAATAAGACAAGTTTCCAATCCACCATAATTCAAATAAATAGAAATGTGCATGTCTAAAGAAGAATGAGGAAAAATAGACAATAAAAATATTTTAAAAAGTGCATTACAGTGAGGGCCCCAAACTCAAGTTCAACTAGGGCCCCCAAATTTCTAACTCAAAATTTTACCAAATTTTAGCAATTTACCTTTTTGTTGTCTTAATTTTCTGATCTCTGTGCAGCACTGTGGGAACTGCTTTATTTGTAAAATGTGCTACAGAAATAAAGTAGATTTCGAACTGGATTTAGTTTAGAGTTTAATTTCATGAGTCAGAGACAGTGCAGAATAAACATTAACTCTAACAGGACAGAGGCATGTACCAGGTTACAGAACTAGTGCTAATGTTGGGCAGGCTTGTTAGAGTTTATCAGCTTAAGTCTAAGATAAACTGAGATCATCCACAAACTCTGCACTGCGTAAAATGAGTGTGAATGACACTGTGTACATTTACATGGCCAGTATGATTCAGACGACTGGAATAATCAGAAAACCTGGTAATTACATTCAGGTGTTTGGTAAAATATCTCTGTAAATATTGTTTATTATTATATTATTTTTGTGTTTTATTATATAATTTTTGTGCCACTAGTTTGACATTTTTTGCATAATAGTCAATCAAACTAAAGCAAACACTAGAGATGTAACAATATCAGAATCCCTCGATACGATATTTTCACGATATGTATCTCACTGTTTGATATTTATTGCGATAATTTAACAAGTCTAGTCAAACTAAACTGTGAATATGCTACTTTTCCTTCTTAAAAGTCTCGGAAAAGCCTTGAAAATCCTTTGGTGCTGTTATAATATGAAGAATTATTAGTTTTAAAGTGCTTAGTAAGTTTTTTCTTCATGTAGTCTGCATTGACAACACCAAAGGATCATGGTCTATGTAGTTCTCTGTGTTTTTTTAGCTGTTGCTGCTTCATAACAAGGCAAGGCAAGTTTATTCATTCGTCACATTAAAATCACAAAGAAAGACATTAAAATCACCATAACTCTTAATTTAAGCAAAGAGACTTGTAATTCGATATGATCCACAGTATTGTTGAGACTTTTGATGACACGATACCATGATATTTTGGTTATTGTTACATCCCTAACAAACACTGCAGTTATTTAGTATAATATAACGTCAAAATGGCCTCTATAAATGTGTAAATGCATGAAATACAGTTGATTCTTGTTTAACTTTTGCAGGACATTCATTGTTCTGTAAAATGTTAAATCTCATGGATCTGAATTTCAATTAAAAAAAATAAAAAATCCCAATATTAAATGCATATTCAACATATAATTAGTTGTTTATGGCACAAACCATTCTACACTGGAGCACTGTAACACTTTATTTTGTAATTGTGTTGTTTTTATACGTGTTTATTGTACATAACAGATGAGTCAGATTTGAGTCACTATTTTTAGTACTTGAGACTTGACTTCATAAAACTGACTAAGACTTGGGACTTGGCTTGAAGGTCAGTGACTTGGGAAGAACTTTTAAATCTGAATTCTTTCTGTTCTGGCTGTAATGTTTCACACTAAGATCAAGACATTCAAAAAGGAAAAATTTACTAAATTCAATTCTACAACTCTTATATAGTCTATAAATACTCCTATATAAATATACCAAGACTTTTCATGTGCAATTTAGTTTAAAATTCATATAAATTACAAAAATCTAAGATGCTTTGGTTTAAAGACTTGAAATAACTTGAAGCTCAAAGCATTTGACTTGGACTTGAATTGAACTTATGGGTCAGTGACGCAAGACTTGGACTTGGACTTGCCTGCATTTGACTTGGGACTTGACTCGGACTCGAGGTCAAAGACTCGAGACTGACTTGAGACTTGCAAAACAACGACTTGGTCCCACCTCTGGTACATAATGAGGATGAATGAAATGTGAAATGTGGGTCCTGCCTCTCAAACCCTCAAAACACATTTACCTACAAATACGAATAAAGCAACCGCACCTAAACTAAACTAAACCAGGTATAAAGCAGGCCTAAAATGGGTCTAAAAAGAGTCTAAACCAGGTATAAAGCAGGCCTAAAATGGGTCTAAAAAGAGTCTAAACCAGGTCTAAAACAGATCTAAACTACCAAGTCTGAACTAAAGTAGGTCTAAACCAGGTCTAACCAGGTCTGAGCAACCCAAAAAACTGTAGAGGTGCCCTAAAAGGTTCTCACAAGTCACCAATGGCACCTGTAACACAATTTAGACTATACTTTTTTTTAACAGTCTACTAGATAAATATGCTATAAATATATCATTACAGTTACGGTGTAAGTTTCTGTCCAGCCAAAATAAATGAGTGAATGAATGCACAGTGGCTTGAGCTGTGGATCCAATTTCGGTTCAGTTCTCAATTTCGACTTCTAAACTTCCTGCTCTGCGGTTGGAAAATTTCTGAAGACTGATTTCGTGGCTGAAAGAGCAGAGTTTATTTATAGCTCGGACACCATCACTTCAAAACATCCACAAAAAGATCAACCGATAATTTTTAATGCTTACGGTGCTGTTATTTTTACAATTATCGATGTTACTCGCATAGATACAGGATTAAAATGCAAAAGGAACGCTGCACGATTAATGCACGTTGAGAAACAGATGCAAAGTCACTCAGTTTAAGAACCTATAGACAAAGGAGAAGTCAACTTTTAAAACTGTGGCTGCAGCTGAACTTGCCCAAGAGCGTTTACATTTGACAGAAGACTAAAATATGAACTGCTAATATTCATTTATTTATTGCTCATGCTCTTATTTTGTTGTCATCAGTTTAACGAGAACAACAACAAAAACTAAAACAAGAATCACGTGCATTCAGAACATGTTTGTGGAGGTCAAAAAATACAGGTTTGGCTGGTTTTGCATGAGAAATTAATGTTTTTTTTAATGTTGCTGTGCATTTTCACACACACAGACACAAGTTCAGGTTTTGTGATTTGATATTTGAGGCACTTCAGATTGTTTTGAATTGTGCAGACTTGTTTAATATGTCATTAGATAGTTAAAAAATATAGTTATGGGCCAGTTTAACAGATAAAATCCAACCATTACCCACCTAAACTTAATTATTCTTATCTTCTTTCTTCCTTTTTTTGACTAGAGGTTTGTTATTACACATGGGACTGCAACATTAATCGAATCTAAATAATAATTTCAGTATAAACAGCAAATCACAAAGGCTGCAATTTTTGAAGTACCATAATTTCCTCCACAAACCACAAAATAATCTGTCTTATTCTGTAGAAAAACTGCTAACCCTGCAGTTTAGACGTGTACAAACGTGTTCTGAAATGTGGTTCTATGCGGTATTAGTTTGTCAGTTCATCTCAGTGGTTTTGTCAATTCGTCTGGACGCGTTTACGACGAGAACTTTGAACCTATTATTAAACATAAATCGCAAATCTCACGGCAATGCTTGTCAAAAAAATTACAAGTAGATGTTTTTTTCCCAAATCATTCATCCAAAGTGTAATAAATAAAATGATTAATAACTGTGAATGTTACTTTAAAGATTATGCAACATTTTAATATCGATCTACTGTAGAAACCGAAGAAAACTTATCAAATCCTGCAAAACTGCGCTCTCACGACTACATCTGCGCAGAAGTCCATGCAAAAATAAAAAAAATTTGCAGAAACAATTACTAGGAAACGATGTATTTATATAAAGAGAAATTAAACTTGTGAATCATGAGCTTAATTTGCCTTTTTACGTATAAATACTCAAACATCCAGAATATTCAGCTAATTGACCTTTCTGCTGTTCTCCCATATACAAACACTTATAATCTAAATAAAATTATCTGATCGACTTAAACTAATTTTGCTCCACTACGACGCCGAGAGAATAATCGACTAAAAGGACTAGAGCCGCAAAAAAAGATAACTCAAGCATGAAAACAAACAGCAACACAACATATGCAAAACAGAAATAAACTAATTTTGAAGTACGATATATATAGATTCTAAAAATATCACGAAATATCACGAAAATATCACAACGAATATCACAAAGAATTCATCGCACTTCTACAAAAACCTTACCATATTACGAGATTTTCGGGACTATGTTATAATGTTCTTTCCTCATCAAAAACAGTTCATTCACACACAAATCTTGGCTGTGTTCTTCTCTCAAACATTCCAGCTTATAATGTGGTAATTCAGGAAGCGCTCCACTGCGTTTTTAAACTCCAAACACCTTCACTAGAATCATTTGGATTTAGATTCAGCTGTGGAATTGCCAAAATCTCTTGAACTAAAGGTAAAACGAGAGCTGTTACTTTGAAAACTACCGCTTCATGAGAGCATTTTGAGCTTTGGAGATGTAGACAGACTAAAAGTTTACTCAAAACATGTGTGAATGAAACAAAAAACACACCTCCAGATCTATTTTTGATGAGGAGACAACGTTCTATCATGGCTTGAAGCTCACAAGTGTCAATTTGCATAATATAGCACACACATTTTAAAGCAAGATAACCACAGTAAACACTTTTCTAAATGAGTCAACACATTTTCGCAGCAAAACATAAATAGTACAATGAAATATGAAAGTAGTAGTAGTATCTAGAATGGTGTTTATAATTATCTACAACTCAAATCATCGCGTAAACCTGCCAGAAAATAGACAAAGTTAAGAAATATTTCCCCACTATTGCGAAGAAAAGGGTATACACGAAAAACATTATCCATCTGCCACATATTGAGAGAAGCTGAAATGGTAATTATTGTCACAGGTCTAAAGAAAGACGGTTTAAAAGTATGTGGCACACTGAAAGGAACTCTCAGATAAAATCTCAAAGTTACAGACTCGCTTCATGGGGACTGTGCAATAGAGGAAGAGCAGCAGGCTTTGGCCAGTGCTTTCAGAAGTGTCAAAACTTAAGTTTCCAACCGCAGCAACAAAAGGGAAGTTCAACAACTGACAGAGAAGGACAGGAGAGGAGGGGCTGCTCTGTACGCCCACACCCTAATAAGAACTAATAAGACCACTCTGTGCTACTGGACAGTGGACTATTACGGGAAAATAGCTCATTTTTGTGTCATTTCTGTTCACTAGTTTGCATACGTTTGTAGTTTTTTTAGTAGTTTACATAATTTAATTCATTAATTTACATATTATTTTAAGCAGTTTGTGGTTCTTTGTCCGTCTGTGGTCAGTGGTACAGTGAATTGTCTCTGTTAAAAACTTATTTTAACAGAGGAAAAACAAACAAACAAAAAAAACAATATTTGAGCAAAAACTTAAAAACTTGTGCATTTCAAAGCGTTGTTCTGAAAATTAAATTAAATCTAATCTAATCTAAGCATGTTTAGGGCTCTAGACGACAATTTTGACTGGTTTTATGCAGAATATGACTGCATGTGAACATTCAACTGTGATTTTATTGTGGCATCTTCAAAAAAAAAAAGTGATTGTATTTCTGTTAGAGGGATTAGTATACGGGACAATCTGAGTGATGATTTTGCAGAAGCCTTTAAAAAATAGTATAAAGTGTTATGTTTAGAAAGAAATAGAGCTCTGGAATGAATGAATTATACATTAAATTTTGTTTGTTTTAATTTATATTTTGTCTCTTATATATACAATAAGTCGTAAGTGAAATGGTAAATGCAAACTTGCTGTTCATACGATGCTTTTCTTTCTTTATTTCTTGGAATTCTGTCATTGTTTCACTAGGTTTGGCTTATAAATACGTTTTACTTCAGCCTAAACCCTTTTGGTCATGATCTATGTTTTGTTTTGGTTTATAGTGCTGCAAAATGACCAAATAAAAAAGTACTACTACTGCCGTAAATTCCGCAGCCTATTGAACTCCTATCACCTGACAAAACCACTTCTTCATATTATATTTAAAGAAGACTTACTGTACACTTACACTTTTGCCAGCTGTGTCTTTAAGCTCTGACACCTGCGGATCATTTTTTATATTCTGGACATTTCAAATCTCAGTATTGATCTAAGTTTGAACGCTGCAGATCTGATTGTGTTTGCATCTTTGCTGCGTAATTGCAAATGTCATCACGGTCATCATTTCTGTCATTTCTGTTCACTAGTTTGCGTAAGTTTTTAGATTAGTTCACAGATTTTTATTTAATCAGTTTCAATATTATTTCACGCAGTTTGTGGTCAGTGGCACAGTGAACTTGTCTCTGTTAAAAGCTTATTTTAGCAGAGAAAAACAAAAATCTACCATTTGAGAGAAAACTGATACAAGAACCTCTGTTTTTATACAAAAGCCTTGAAAATTAAGATGAATCTAATGTAATTTAAGCTTCTTATATTTACAGTAAGTCATAAGTGAAATTGTAAATGCAAACTTGCTGTCTATACACTGTGTTTCTTTCTTGGAGTTCTGTCATTGCTTAAAAGGGTGAGGCGTTAGAAGTACTTTTTAGTTCAGCCTAAATCCTTTCAGTCATGATTAAGGTTTGTTTAAATCTCGGTATTCATCTAAATTTGAAAGCTGCAGGTCTGATTCTGTTTGTTTCTTTGGTGTGTAATTGTAAATGTCATCACAACAACGACGGCGGCCCCGCCTTTGGATTTCTCATTTTTGCCAAAAAGCTACGCAACGCTGCCAAATCCTGCAATATCAGTAAAGAAAGAGAACACAGATTGGGCTGAACCATTAGGGAATCAGGTTTTTTCTTCAAACTTTGAGAACTTTCACAGAATTGACAAAAAGATACAAATATGAGCTGTCAACTAATAGAAGAATCAAATTTTAGAACATGTTTGTACAGATCTAAACTACAGGGTTACCAGTTTTTCTGCAGAATAAAGCAAGATATTTTGCTCTTTGTGATTGTTTGCGATTTCCTAATTACGCCTATTTCAATTTTTTCCTATTTTCTTTCCTTTTTTTTACATTTTGATTGCGGTTTTGGTTCCATTACGATTAATCTTGCAGCGGTAATCGGAGAACGAAGCAGGGCAGTGGGCGGACGTGGTGGGCAGGAAACCATGGTGCTGGTGAAGGTGAGCAATGGTGTCTCGAACGCATGAATCACAAAAATGCACCTTTGAGTGGGTAAAGGAGCTCTTAAAAGTCAACTTTGCGGAATATGTCTCCTCTAAATCGAGAACAACACACGTAGCTATGTACAAAATAAAAAAATCGTGAGTAAAATCTCGTTTCCTGACCTCTCGGTGGTGGGGTCGGAGCAGTTCAGGGGGTACTTGAGTTCGATGATGGTCCCGTCCTTGTCCTGCAGGATCCCATTATCGGCTGTGTAATACTCCACCAGCTCGGACAGAGTGGCGAACTTCTCCCCGCCGTACAGGTCGTAGAAATCCCCCGTGTTCTGGATCCGAATGTGTGTCACAACCTCGCCCACCCTGTCAACGCAACAACAAAATCACCATTAATGAAGAGAATAATTAGACTGGATTTTTGGACAGTTTCTCTTTCATTTATGACCTTGCCTTTTGCATAATTTCTTCATCAAAACCAGCAAAAGTGTGAACAGAGAGGACACCAGATTACTCATACCACATTAAACAGTTTACCTGACATATATACATACTTATACACTATCGGTCAAAGGTTTTAGAGCACCACACTTTTTCCAGTTTTTATTGTTTACTGTTTACGTATTCTAAAATATTTGATTCATGAAAGTGTCCACCTTTGGCAGATTTAACAGCTGAACACACTCGTGGCTCGTTCTTTTTACAATAGAAATCAAATATTCTTCAGAAAGTTCTTCCCAAGTCTGTTGCAGAAGTTCCTATAAATCTGTGGCACTTGTAGGTTTCTTGGTTTTCACTCTTCTGTCCAGTTCATCCTAAACCAGCTCGATGGGGTTTAAGTCTGGACACTGTGCTGGACACTCCATGTTTTCAAGCTTCATCATCTTGTTCTTTTTTCCTGAGGTAGTTTTGGCAGAGCTTGGACTTGTGTTTTGTTATCTTTTATCTATTTTTTAGCCTTAGTACTTACATTTGTACCATTTCAAGCTCTTCACTGAACTTACACAACTTGAATTGCAATAAATAACTGGAAAAATGAGGGTGTTCTAAAACTTTTGATCGGTAGTGTCCATATATACATACATACATACAATTATGATTTGATCATTCTTGAAATCAGATCAAGTTTTGAGGATTTTTGGTGTGCATACGAACACAGTCAACGGTGTTTTCCCATAATCTGACATTACTGTATCATTAGATCGGCAAAGAAGATGTCTACTCATTTAACCAAAGCTACAGTCATGCCGCTTCCAAATAGAGAGACAAAATTAATCGAAAACACTAAATGAACTTCATGAATCATAAAGGGCTGGATGATATGTACAAAAATGTATCTTTTTTTCCCCATAGTGATGAATAACTAATAATAATTTTATTTTGTCTTATTAAAACATCTTTAAATATACATTTCTAGTACAAAAAACAGTCATACTTCTTCCAAAGTCAGAAATCTGCTTCATAAGTATCACAAACTCGGACAGAAATTAGTTGTAAATACTGAATTAATCCCTTAAAAATACATTTCTCTAACACCCTTTTATGTTTAGTACTTAAGATAATCTTGACTAAAGACACTATCTTTGTAATATAATCAGCATGAATACACATTTTAATAACATAATTGCCTTTTGTGGGCCTATAGTATCTTTTTTAAATTTATAGATATTATACCAGTGTTCAATGAGGACAAGCAGCTGCATGTGTGACCACAAAAGTATAATGCTGTTTTCTATTTTAATCTATTGTAGTTCTTTTTTTTTTAAATCTATTGTAGGATTGTGTTCCTCTAATAGATCGGTTGTGCTCTGTTTATTTTCTCTTTGATAAAAACAAAGACAGATCAGACCACAAACAGGTCTGAGCTGATCATTGACGTGCAAATGACTGAATCTTGATTAAAATTCAACCAATGGCACAGCGCTGCTATCTTCTCTCACACCAGCCCTAACAACACTAATGTCTAATCTAATCTCTTACACTGAAAAGACAGCGCTTCTGTGACTGTACCTGACGGAGAGGGAGAAGTCTCCAGTCACCTTCTTACTGGGTCGGGCCAAAAAACTTCCATGGATGCCTTTGTTTTTGAGCAGCTCCTCTGCTTCTAAACCACTGATGTCTCTGTGGAACCACCTGCACAAACCCACAACAAACAAGAACAGTTATGCAAAATTATTATTATTGTTTATTTTATTTATGGTCAAAAGTTAAAGGTGCACTATGGAGATGTTACTGCATTGCCTGGAATGTTCTGTAGTATGGCATTAAATATATAAATAAAGATAATATACAGAGAGATGTAAAGATAATCAGGTAATGTCACGAAGCCGGTTTACAGGTCAAATCTCCATTCACAGTAAGAATCTATATTTTTCATGTTATTTTTGAGCAATAAAAACATGTAATTGAAGAATGCATGGTAGATAAGTCTAATGTCGTACTGTGGAACATTCCAGGCAATGCAAAATCGTGTCCATAAAGACGTGTGATTGGATAGCCCACCAGAAAAGTTACATAGTGCACCTTTAATCTATAATGATGATTTATTTGCAAAGGTTATTGCAAAGGCGTTTGTTATTTGCATTTCAGAAGCCATTGTAGATTAGACAAGCGGGTCAGAAAGCATGCACATATATTAGAAAATAATTTAATTACGTTTTTTGTTTAGTTTTTTTCCATTACACCATGTTTAATTAGAGCAATAGAAATGTGATTATTAATTACAAAGTCCTAAATATAAAGTTACTTGATGCAGATGCAAGCAATCCTGCAACCTCATTACACAGGGTTTTCTAGTGCAAAAAGCTAAAATAAAGACTAACTAAATAAAAAAAAACACTTTGAATTAGGGATGTAACAATATCCAAGTCTCATGACATAATATCATCACGGTATGAACCTCACAGTACGATATTTATTGCGATATCGTGGGAAAGCTCATGCTTCAAGTTTCTCAATACGATATTTTCACGATATACATCTCACAGTATGACATTTATTGTGATATTTTGTGGAGGCTAAGATACTACTTTTTCCTCTTAACCCTCTCTAGGCAGGCGTTGCAGATTTGCAACAGCTAAATGCCAATTACCTACTTACTCCAAATCCATATTTTATGAGCTTTTTTTACTCAGGAGCCTTTTTTCCCATCCATGCTGATAAACGTGGACGATGCAGACTGTGCAAGAATGGCTACACACAAACGGCCTGCCAGAAGTGTAAAGTACTTTTGTTGTAGGATAAAAAATTTTTCTTGGAGCACCACACGAAAAAGTGATGTTGTTCTGTCACTGTAAAGCACTGATACACTCTGCTTTATGTTTTCATTGTTAGGAAAAGTGGTATACAAATAAAGATAGCGTTCATATCATTTTCAGTCTTCAGTGTTAATTTACCACACCGGGTAAATGTTGAAATCTAAAACATCCCACAATGCATTGGATGTGAAGGTCTCTCAAAAAAAAAGTCAGGATTGTATATTACTACTCCATATGATCATTTTCCCTAAATATCAGATTTTTTCCTGTTACTAAAATTTTATTTGAGCCTGAGAGGGTTAAAATGCCTTGACAAGACTTAATCCAAAGAACTAAGACTTAAAAGTGCTTAGAACTGTTATTTCTTCTTGTTGTCTACACTGAAATGGAGCAAAGGATCATGGTCTATGTAGTTCCCTCTGTTTTTTGTTTTTTTTTAGCTGTTGCTGTACCATAATTCTTAATTTAATCAAACGAACTTGTACTTTGATATATTATGATGTTCCACGATATTATTGTGAGAATTTTGACGATATATCACGATATTTCAGTTATTGTTACATCCCTACTTTGAATGAAAACCACCGTTACAGCTCTACTACTGCGGGTAAACTCTGAATTACTCATCAACTGATACAGCGTCTCAAATAACTTCTATTAAAAATGTATCCGCCACATAAATTAAGCAGTATACAATAATGCCAATGCAACATACACTAGTAGTTATATTGTAGTAATCTGAATGATAAATGCCATAATAGCCGTCTAAGTATTATTGTAACATAATTATAATTTATCAGTAAAGGTTTTTAAATCACTTATTATTAGATTATTAATTGTAAATCCTTAACCTAACGCAGAAGAGTGTCCTGCAGCCTCTTCAAATAGAGATAACCTTCTAAAAAAAACACATTTCTGCTACATTTTCAACTGGGTTAATTACAATAAGCCCCATTACAAGTCTGTGGTTAATTCTGAATTAACCATCAACTGAATCAATGTCTTAAAAAACTTCTAATGTTTAATTTATAATAAAAATTGAGTATAGTACAGTACAGACACAAGAGGAAAGAGAAAGAGGAATCAGCACAAAGCGGCGGTTTTAGCTCCACAAACATAAATAAACAAAAGAAAAAAAAAAAAACAGCATTAAACAAAGACAAATACATGCAAATACAGTGAGTAATTATATAACGTAATCGGTCTGAAGCACAGGGGACTTGACTCACCGAACCATGGCGTCGCGTCACTTCTGCTGGTGTCAAAGAGAAGGAGAGTGGTGGTGAGAAATGTGCACGATTTAGTCCGGTTTTAGTCCTCGTCTGAACCTGGTTTAGTCCTATTTTAATCCTGGTTTAGTCTAATTTCAACCTGGTTCTAATAGTTCTGTTATAGACCTGGGTAAGTCCAAATTTAGGCCTGGTTTAGCCCTAGTTTAGACCTGCTTTAGTCCTACTTTAGACCTGGATTAGTCCTAGTTTATCCTCATAAATAGACCTGGTTTAGTCCTGGTTAGATTAAAGGTCTGATATTAAAAATTTTTGCTTTAGACCTAATTTGGCCCTAGTTTGGACCTGGTATTAATAGACCTGTTACAGACCTGGTTTAGTCCTGGTTAAGTACTAGTTTATGTCTGCCATTAATAGTCTTAATTTAGACCAACTTTAGCCCTAGTTTAGACCTGTTTCAGTCTGAGTTTAGACCTGTTTTAGTCCTGGTTTAGACCTAGATTAACTCTAGTTTTAATCCTGGTATGAACAGACCTGTTATAGACCTGGTTTAGTCATAGTTTAGACCTGGTTTAGTCCCGGTTACATACTAGTTTAGGTCTGCCATTAAGAGTCTTAATTTAGACCAACTTTAGCCCTAGTTTAGACCTGTTTTAGTTTTAGTTTAGACCTGTTTTAGTTCTGGTTTAGACCTAGATTAACTCTAGTTTTAATCCTGGTATGAACAGACCTGTTACAGACCTGGTTTAGCCCTGGTTAAGTACTAGTTTAGCTCTGACATTAATAGTCTTGATTTAGACCAACTTTAGCCCCAGTTTAGACCTGCTTTAATCCTGTTATAGCCCTGGTTTAGTTCTGGCTCAGTCCTAGTTTAGACCTGGTATTAATAGTCTTTCTTTAGACCAAGTTTATCCCTAGTGTAGACCTGCTTTAGTCTTAGTTTAGACCTGTTTTAGCCCTGGTTTAGACCTGGATTAACCCTAGTTTAATCCTGGTATGAATAGACCAGATTATAGTCCTGGTTTGGTCGTAGTTTAGACCTGTTTTAGTCCTGGTTTAGACCTGGATTAACTCTAGTATTAATCCTGGTATGAATACACCTGTTACAGACCTGGTTTAGTCCTGGTTAAGTACTAGTTTAGACCTGGTATTAATAGTCTTGCTTTAGACCTAGTTTAGCCCCGTTTTAGTTTTAGACCTGTTTTAGTCCTAGTGTAGACCTGCTATAGACCTGGTTTGGTCATAATTTAGACATGGTTTAGTCCTGGTTATGTTCTAGTTTAGACCCAGTATTACTAGTCTTTCTTTAGGCCTAGTTTAGCCCTAGTTTAGACCTACTTCAGTCTGAGTTTAGACCTGTTTTAGTCCTGGTTTAGATCGGGATTTACTCTAGTTTAAATCCTGGTATGAACAGACCTGTTATAGATCTGGTTTGGTCGTAGTTTAGACCTGATTTAATCCTGGTCATGTCCTAGTTTAGACCTGGTATTAATAGTTTTCTTTAGACCCAGTTTGGCCCTAGTTTAGACCTGGTTTACTCCAGTTATAGACCTGGTGCTGCCCCTAAATCCGCTGTTAGGTAACACTTGATGTGAGACGTTTCAGAAGCACTGTAATACACTCTTCCACTGCAGTTTACTTTTGTCTTTTATAAAGTTAAATCTACTTCACTTGAATAACTTTTAAAGAGCTTAGCACATCAAACTTGTGACACAAACGCTCACTTGACTTGAAATTGTTAAACGCAAAAAGTTAACATACGCCTTAAATGTCATTTGTAACAACTCTAAAACACTTCCCAGTTTGCACTTCATTGCACTTCACTTCACTCCGCTCTTGTTTCGTGCAGAATTTTGGTCACATTTTACAGTTTTAATTTCAATTTCACTCAGATGTCCAGACCTAAAGCCTCTATAAGTACTACATTAAAGACACACTATGGAACTTTACAGGTGGAGAGTCGCTTTGCTGTTGCCAGTTTGTCTCCATGGAGATGTAACAGTTTTGCCTGAAATGCTCCACAGTCTATCTTGCATGTATTCAGTTTTTATTGCCAGATAAACATGCATTCTGGAGATACTGTAAGTGGGGTCTCGTTTCTCCACAGATCTGACCTGGAACTTGGATTAGCAGGAGATAGATCAGTTTCAAGCCATATGGTGGAACTTTTCAAGCAAAACAATAAGACTCCCGACTAGAAAAGTGCATAGTGGTTGTATATTTGTGCCAATAAGTAACCTATTTGAACAATAAAGTATAAGCTTATCCAATTTGAGCTCCGTGGCTGCAACTAGCGGCACAAAGATTAGACTACAGACTCAATTTTACCTCATCAATGCATAAAAACACAAACCTAGCCTCCCTCTCTCCCATCACTCCTCCTCTTTCTCCAATCTCCGTCCTATTTCTCCCCGGTTTCCGACCTAAACAGGCGGGTGAGGTCCACACTTACTTGTCTTTACTCGTGCGTCTTCTCAGTCAGAACAAGTGCAGCAGCTGACCACGATGCGAGGCTCGATGAGGAGTTGACGTTTCACCCTCCTCTTTCTGTCTCTCGCTATGTCTCTCCTCTTCCTTCCTTTTTTCGTCTGCTTTCACAAACCGGTAACAACAAGACAGGAACAAAAATAGCTGACACACATCCCATTAAAATCGTTCTAAAAATGCTAAAAGGGAGAAGATGTTTGATTGGTAGCTCGGCGCGTAATGACGATTATTTAGTCTTCGCGGAGGGTTTGGATGAGCCGCTTTTACGCGCAAGTCTCTCGCGGTGGATCATGGTTGGAAGTCGTAACGCGTAGTCTAACTAAGCAAATGCAAATGCAAACTTGTAAAAAGCGTAGTGAAAAGGATCTTTTCCTGTTTCATCGGGCACCTGTTGCAGCGCGTGCGGGAGATTTGGTTGAGGTGTATAGCACAATAACAAAGGTCGCGCATTCACTTCCTTATTTGACTGACCTTCCCCTCACTCTGTCTCTCACTACATGACAGCTGCACTCAGGAAACATCGACAAATCATAACTGCATACTAGTAAATATAATAAAACTCCAGATTCAACGATTCAATGATTTTATATTAGCCAGTCCAGGAGTTCATAAACAACCGTTTTAAATGCATCGTTATTTATGTGGCACTAGCGCTAAATCATGTCTAAATATAAACAAAACCAGGATTAAACCAAAACTAAATTAAAAGCAAACCACAATTGAAACTAAAACTAAACCAGGACTAAACTAAAGTAAACCAGGATTAAACTAAAACTAAACAAACATTAAACCAGGACTAAACACAAACTAAACCACAATTAAAACGAAAATTAAAACTAAACCAGGATTAAACTAAAACTAAACCAGGATTAAACAATAACTAAACCGGGATTAAACAAAACTAAACCAGGATTAAAACGAAAACTAAACCAGGATTAAAACTAAAACTAAACCAGGATTAAATCAGGACTAAACTAAAACCAAGCCACAATTAAAACTAAAACTAAACCATGACTAAACTAAAACTAAACAAAGATTAAACCAGGACTAAACTAAAACTAAACCACGATTAAAACTAAAACTAAACCAACACTAAACTAAAAGTAAACCAGGACTAAACTAAATCTAAACAAGGATTAAACGAGGACTAAACTAAAACTAAACCAAGACTAAAAGTAAACCAGGACTAAACTAAATCTAAACAAGGATTAAACGAGGACTAAACTAAAACTAAACTATGGCTAAACCAGGACTAAAGCAGCAGTAAATCAAGTCTAAGAATAGACTAAACCAGGACTCATCTAACATTAACCATTTGGTCTAATAATACAAGATAATTATGAAGATTATTTCCGTATAGGGCTGTGCAGTTAATGAATAATATAAATACACAGACATAATTGAGATCAAGGTTCAGTCATTGGCTGTGGTTACGAGCACATCAAAATCTTAAATGTTTTATCTGATTTCTGGACCTTCAAGTTGACTTAATGACATGCAGACAGAAAAACCTGATGTTAGTGCCCAGAGGGACCAGGGTCTGTGCTGTGTAGCTGTAATCTTATAATGATCTTTAATCTACCTTTATCTATCTTTAATCTTTCACCAGAAATCTGATAGTCATCTTTGCGTGTGCATGTAACCACAGCCACAGTTTGAGTCTTTTTAAAGAGTTTAGATCTTAGATAGAAGTGTAACAATATCTAAGTCTCATGATACAATAATGTCACGGTACAATATTTATTGCGATATCTTGGGAAAGCTCACGATATGGTGTGGAGGCTCACGATTAGGGATGTAACAATATCCAAATCTACGACATTTTCACTATATACATCTCACCGTACAATATTTATTGAGATATTTTGTGGAGACTAAACAGCTAAAACTGTTACTTTTTCCTCTTAAAAAGCCTTGACAAGACTGAATCCAAAGAACTAAGACTTAAAACTGCTTAGAACTGTTATTTCTTCATGTAGTCTGCACTGAAATGGAGTAAAGGATCATGGTCTATGTAGTTCCCTCTGTCTTTTGCCACTATTGCCAGTGTTGGGGAGTAACAGATTACACCAGTGTTACGTAAGTGTACAAATTATGAGTAATTGTGTTTGGTTACAGTCACTGTTTCCATGAGTGGTAATTGGATTACGGTTACTTTGTTGAAATAAATGGATTACATGGCGGTATGTTCCTGTTTTCACATTTTGGGCTAAACCAGGACTAAAACCAGGACTAAACCAGGACTAAAACCAGGTCTAAACCAGGACTAAAACCAGGTCTAAACCAGGAGTAAACCAGGTCTAAACCAGGACTAAAACCAGGTCTAAAACCAGGACTAAACCAGGTCTAAACAATCTGACACCAAACAGTAGGTGGACATAATTTAAGGAAGCAGTGATCTCATATAGAAACCATTTCTCTATCAATATTTTAATATGGTTAAGTAAAGACTGGACTTTTTATTGTCTTTTAGCAGATAAAACAAAACATCTTATGTTAAGATCGTCATCTTTGCTTCTCTATAGTAAACAATGACCTGTTCATGGAGACTTGGGCTCAACAGACAATTTGAAGAGAACAAACAAAGAATTTTCAGGATGTGGTTGCTGCATTCATGTAGTTTTAAAAAGTATGACATTATCAAGTAATCCAAAGTATTCAGATTATGTTACTCCCCTTAAATAATTTAATGGATTACGTTACAAACTACATTGTGTACATTATGTAATCTGTAATCTGTAGGGGAATACATTTTAAAAGTAACCTTCCCAACACTGTCTATTTCTGCATCATAACTCTTAATTTAAGCAACGAGACTTGAAATTCAATATATTGTGATGGTCCATGATATTATTGTGAGAACTCTGACGATACGATATCACGATATTTCGGTTATTGTTACATCCTTAGCAAATAATCAGGTGCAGCCGCTATTTTCAGTGTTGCGATTAAAGAAATTCTGACACTGGTTATGACCAAAACTGTTGCTTGGTAAATCCAAACTGAAGTCATAATAAGATTTGCAGCTTTAGAGATTTGTTTTCTGTAAATAAAACTTCTCTTGCATTGTTCCTTTTTCACACAATGTCTGCCTCATTTGCTTAGATGAATATTTTGTGTTAAATGAAAGTGCAGTTATTAAAAGTCTGTAGTTTATTGCTTGTATGTTCAGAAAATTATAGATGAAAATAGAAAATAAAAAACAAAAAAAACGTGATCAGTGGCTTGCAACTCATAAAACATTTGGGGCTTGCAAAAAATTAATTTCACCATTGACCTTAACTCAGGTATAAACATTTGCATTCTGACAGTAGGAACCAAATCATTGTAATGTCACATGAACTTAACCTATTCAAAAACTCCTACACAAATGAGAAGGTCACGAGCGCATATCACTGGCCCACGGGTGAAATTACTCCATACATGTCCATAAAACGGGCGAGCTGCACATACATTTAACTTGCAAACCAGTGAGGCTGCAGAACAAGTCTGATAAGGAACAGGTCTGAAAGCAACGCTGCACAATGAATGTATCTGAAAAACAAAGTGGCGGTTGTGCTTCCCACTGCGGCTTCATGTTGACAAAATAAAATGATTTAAATAGTTGTGTTTCGCTCCTTTGTGTTATAATGCTGTTATTCTTCGCTATGATTCTCTCAAAAATACACTTGGAGTTGAGTTTTGTTTTTGTTTTTTATTCACACATGCTTGAGAAATCCTGGTTTATCAGTGTCTACATCTCGAAAGGTCAAAATGTTCTGTTCCACCCTGTGATGTCACAAAGCTGTAGTTTCCAGGTTAACATTTACCTTTTAGACTTAAACTTTAGACTTTATTGATCCACAAGGGAAATTATTTGGACACAGGAGCTCAAACATCACAATAAAATATAATAACAAAGAGTAAAAAATATAATTTGTAATAATAAATTCTAAAAAAAAAAGAGCAAAAGACAAGTGTAAATAAGGCATAATTATGTAAATGTAAATATAAAAGTCAAAATAAAAGGGTGAGTTCTTGTACAGTTGTAGGGAGTATTATCTGTTACATAAAGGTGAGTTGTTGGACAGTTGTAGGGAGTATTATCTGTTACATAAAGGTGAGTTGTTGGACAGTTGTAGGGAGTATTATCTGTTACATAAAGGTGAGTTGTTGTACAGTTGTAGGGAGTATTATCTGTTACATAAAGGTGAGTTGTTGTACAGTTGTAGGGAGTATTATCCATTACATAAAGGTGAGTTGTTGTACAGTTGTAGGGAGTATTATCTGTTACATAAGAGTTAGTTGTTGTGCAGTTGTGGGAGTATTATCCGTTACATAAAGGTGAGTTGTTATACAGTTGTAGGGAGTATTATTGGTTACATAAAGGTGAGTTGTTGTGCAGTTGTAGGGAGCATTATCTGTTACATAAATGTGAGTTGTTGTGCAGTTGTGGGAGTATTATCTGTTACATAAAGTTAGTTGTTGTGCAGTTGTGGGGAGTATTATCCGTTACATAAAGTGTGAGTTGTTATACAGTTGTAGGGAGTATTATCTGTTACATAAAGGTGAGTTGTTGTGCAGTTGTAGGGAGTATTATCTGTTACATAAAGGTGAGTTGTTGTGCAGTTGTAGGGAGTATTATCTGTTACATAAGGGTGAGTTGTTGTACAGTTGTAGGGAGTATTATCTGTTACATAAAGTTAGTTGTTTGTACAGTTGTAGGGAGTATTATCTGTTACATAAGGGTGAGTTGTTGTACAGTTGTAGGGAGTATTATCTGTTACATAAAGGTGAGTTGTTGTGCATTTGTAGGGAGTATTATCTGTTACATAAAGGTGAGTTGTTGTACAGTTGTAGGGAGTATTATCTGTTACATAAAGGTGAGTTGTTGTGCATTTGTAGGGAGTATTATCTGGTTACATAAGGGTGAGTTGTTGTATAGTTGTAGGGAGTATTATCGGTTACATAAAGGTGAGTTGGGAGTGTATTCTGTATTCATGGACGAGCCTTCAGATATATTTTTCCCTAATTATTATAATCGTTTGAAAATACCATATTTTGAGCGTTCTTTAATGTTTTGTCCTTTCAGTTTCATCAACTTCAAATTATAAATCAGTCCAGACAGTTACGCTTATGTGAGTAGTCATTTCCTCATGTGTTTTTTTTTATTTGAGTCATTTCTTCTTTGTATGTCTATAATAATTTGAATAATAATTTCAGTAATATTTTGAAGCAATCCTTTTGAAGTGATTTTACTGGGGCTGGGTATCATTAAGAAGTTGCGGATACGATACATACTTCGATACACAGGCCATGATACGATAAATATCTTGATACGGTGCACTTTTAGTTCGATACGATATATATTTCAAATCAATTCGATACGGTTCAATTAAAAATAATGGCTTGGCTGTATACACGAGAATGCTTGCGGATAAAAACAACTAAATATTTTATCTGAAGTGCCTTTTGTTTAGACAGTGACAGTGTTTTGGAGCTTAAAAATGCAAAAATCTAAAACCACCCTCCAGAGTTGAAAAGCTGAACACGCTCCACTGTAGCGTTTTTGTCTACACTGCCCAAGATGCAAAACTCTGGTCAGATCTGCTCACGTTGTGTACGAGTTTATGTCACATACATCACCACCGAGCTGCCTGGCATGCATATCCAATCGAATTCCACATACTTTTGCGCAACCGTATTCACGCAGATTTCCTCCCGAAAACGCTTGTCTAACACGGAATAAAAAGTGAAGACGCGACGCCACTTTTGCGTCTTCTGTTCAGACCGTCATCATATAAACGTAACCTAAAAGTCTTTGTTAAACCACTTCTTGTGCAAAGTTCATATGAAACACAAACATTTTAATCATCAAAACAGTGAAAATATCAACGAGTTTCCTTCTTCTGAACGAGCAACAAAACTGTATCACTGTAACAAAACAATTTAGTAAAATATACCAAAAAACACTCTTGGTGATATATCGATACAGCAGGCCCCGATATCGATACTGTATCATCACATTAAACAATAAGATATACTGATATTTTGATATTTTTGCACACCCCTACTGCCAACCATAAAGAGGGATCGAATAGGGCCCGGGATAGATCGCTAGATTGCTCAAACATGCATGGACGGCATCTAAAAACTCTTATATAACATGCTAGAATCCTCAAAACAGTCTATACTCTCTTTAAAATCACCTTGTAAAATTAGCCTTTTCTCACTCACAACAGTTTTCATTTTAATTTAGTTTAATGCCATATTGCGGAACAGCTCATTGAAACCTTTTCTACATAAACTGAACTATGAATGAGAGATTACATAGGCTTGTTTAGACTCCTTTGCAGTTCTGTAGTATTCTGCATCTTCAGAATTCACACATCTCAGGGCAGCAGCCGCGTAATGGAAATGTCACAGTTTTACAGACAACACCAGAACTGCTGCAGGTGTCGTGGTTAACACATGCTGCACATGCTCAAACCAGCGCCTATATTCAGGACAAACGGGCCAATTCTGCTCATGTTTAGGTTAAGTTACAAAATAAGACGTTGATTATAACTCATTATGGTAAACCAAAAAGTCTAAAGACCGAAAGTGGGTGAGAGGGAGAGTGCAAGTCAGCTTTTTATAAGCATCGATCAAAGCAATTTTAATCAATGACTGTAAGAAGGAACTATTTTTTTATTTTGTTATTTTGAAGACTTAGAACTACTACTGTTAGATTACGGTAATAACACATTAAGTGGTAAGTGTTAGTGTTGATTAGCGTTTTTATTTAAGCATTAAGATCAGCTCTAGAGGATGAAAATTGTTCAAAAATATGTACTTTAAATGCAAGAATTGTGTTAACTGGACAAACATTGTACAGTAAACACGTTCATCATTGTAGCTTCTTCAGTTCGGACTCTGCTCTGGTAAGCAACTGGCTTATAGGTGCATTATGTAGCTTTTCTGGCCACCTGCTTGTCTCCACGGAGATGTTAGAGATGCAAGTAACAAAGGAGGTAATGATATCCAACTTTCTCAGTACGATTTTATCACGATATGCATCTCACGGGACGATATTTCTTACGATATTTTGGAGAGGACACTTTTTTGCTTTTAAAATACCTTAACAAGATTTGGGTGTGAATTTTTTCCATCATAATCCCAAGAATTCAAGTAAAAAACATATTTCGTCATGCTGTTTGAGCTGAAATGAATCATGGGATATGTAGTTCCCGATGTTCATAAGCTGTTGCTACTGTAAAACCATGCATTTAAGCAAAAGAACTTGTGATTTGATATATTGTGACAGCCCACGATTTTATTGTGAGACTTTTAATGAAACGATATCACAATATTTCGGTTATTGTTACGTCCCTACAAGTGACAGATCTGTGGAGAGGCGACCCAGCTCATAGTAAACATGTGTGTGAGCATTAAAACAGCTGGAACTGATAACATGCACAATAGATAATTTTAAAGGGACAGGAATTTTGGACATAGGACCTCATTTCCTAGTGAGCCAGAGTGTTGGAGACGTGTGGAGACACTTTTTTAAATATTCCATCCAGTCCTTGTATTTGCAGAGGTCGCTGGTGCTAGGCTAGTGCATGTCAATGGCCATAGTTATCCTGCCACTAAAAACAGTCTTACCCACTCCACAAAACACCCGAAACAAATCTATTATTACGCCAGACTGTCGATGTAAATGTCTGTGTCTATAGAATAATGTTTGAAATAAATCTAACCTTGCATCGCATGAATAGTTGCATGTTGAGGGACTATTTTCTCATATATCAGTCCGCCGCTACCAAACTTTCTATCAGAAAGCACAACTCACTGCTGCTGCTAAGACATAAATCCTTCAAATACAAGGTTAGTTTTGCTTCTAAAATTATTCTATCGACACAGACATTTACATCAACAGTCTGGCGTTATAATAAATTTGCTTCGGGTGTTTTGTGGAGTGGATAATACTGTTTTTAGTGGCAGGATAACTATGGCCATTGACATGCACTAGCCTAGCACCAGTGACCTCTGCAAATACAAGGACTGGATGGAATATTTTAAAAAGTGTCTCCACACGTCTCCAACACTCTGGCTCACTAGAAAATGAGGCCCTACGTCCAAAAGTCCGGACTGTCCCTTTAATGCCATGGTGTGGAACATTCCAGGCAAAGCAATAACATCACCATGGAGACAAGTGAGGCCTTTATAGAACACATTTAATTATCAGAAAAAGTCAGAATCAGCTTCTTTTTTTTTGCTGTGAACCCAACTGGGCCACTGAAAGGTTACACAGACAACTGCACAATAAGCATGGTCAACTCTTTTTAACTTAATAAATGAAAAAAACAGTTAATAGTTTATAGTTAAATAGAAAACAAAGACACAAAACCACATTGAAAAAAATAATGTAAGCTCATTAATGACTTACCGACAAGACATATTTCACTGGAATCCCACAGAACTGAGGAAGGAAGTCTGTAGAAGGATGTCTGCTACTATTTCTTGATGCCAGAGATGATATTTTAACTTTCTACCTTTAAATAAACAATAAAACCTGTCATTCCACTGTCCACATTTCTATTTATCCTCAGAAAAGACACATTTTTACAACTACTACACTGGTTTATGATAAGAACCCACTCCTCCCACCCGGTAATTTTCTACAATTTAGTTAATTGCCCGACTATCTGCGAGAGAAAATCAGCCTGTTCCTGTTTTTCTCCCTTTAGACTGGTCTAAGTTTAGCTATATCTATGCAAATATTGGTTTATTTACAGTCTTTACAGATGCAAAGTATAAAGGATGCTCTATGCTTTTCTCAGTTTCAGTGTTTGTCTCCATGGAGATGTTATTGCTTTGAATGAAATGTTCCCAAATATGGCACGTCAAACATACAGTATCTTGCATTTATTCAATTGCACGTGTTTTATTGTGTAATAAAGGGTATTTATTTACTTCCATGAGATGTTAATTGATAAGTCATAACATATTTAGAGCCCCATGTTACTTTTATTGTAGGCAGGTTGGACAGAATTGGACTAGATTTCTCAAACACGCATAGATGACGATCTAAGAAGCTCTTCGGGCATGTTTTTAATGAGGGAACAACGTTATAACATGGTAGAAAACTCTATAAAAAAGTCAATACTCACTCTTTAAAATGCGTTCTTACTGCGAGCGGGTTTGCCTGTTGGTGTCATCTTATCTCTCTCACGACAGATAAGTTTACTGCCATACTGTGGAACAGTCCATGCAAAGTGATGACATTTCCTAAGTTACATAGAAGACGTTTATTGCATTTGAATACCGTACTGTAAAATTTGAATATCATTTACAACCCTAATTATAAACACAGGGTTCCCACTCTTTTTCACTAACGAAATTATTCAAAACTTTTCCATGACTTTTTCATTACCCAAAGTGAATTTTCCACGACGTTACAGCACCCTACATGTGTAGAATTGATCAGACTTTTAGGGCTAAATCTGAAATGTTTACCCTTTACACTCAACTTTTGGTTTGGTTTTTTAACATTCAAAATACTGTCAGTGCATTTATTGTCGTCTCTTTTAAACAAAAGGCGCATATGTTCAGAAATAATCATAATAGCCTAATGAGAACTTAACAGAACAATGTAGTTGCATGAAAGAGATACTAAAATTCCATGACTTTTCCAAAACTTTCATTGAATTTATAAAATTCCATGGCCTGAAAAATGACATTTTCAATTTCCACCGTGGGAACCCTGTTAAACATTAGCTCTATCGATACTTTGCAGTGACATCAGACTGGAGGTGTTCTACATCTATGGCATAATGTTGGCAGAATGTTCATGAGTTATTAATAAGTTTTAAGATAGTCTGAAAACTCAAGAAAAAAATACAAAATTGATTAAAACACATTTAAGGAGATTGTGATCAGTACAAGGGTTTATGGACCTGTTTAGGTGAGTGACTAACTGAAAAACTGTTGGAAAATGCTAAATGGTCACATTTTTATACTGCGCTTTTCCACCTTCAAGTCACTCAAAAGTGCTTTACAATAAAGAACCACTCACACATTCACGCTCACCAAAGGATGTAGGGGGACCACAGTGTTCAGCGCCGCACAAATGAGGCTCACGATGTTCATGGTTACAGGAGCGAATCTGGAACCAGGCTCTATGTTATGAATAGGTATTTTTTGACGGATAAAACAGCGAAAAAGAAAAAAAAATCAGGATCATGTAGAGCGGGTTAATACAAACATTTTAAGAACAAAATGACGAGGCTTACTGCAGCATTTACAAAGAGAGAGGCGACAAAATCCTAATGTAAGTGAATTGGAGTCAGGGTCAGAAGGAGCCGGAAGAGCCTCCTGGTGAACTTTTTATTAGGGACGTGGCAACTAGAGCGTTAGATATGTTCATTTATAAATACGTTCTATGGGACAAACGCTCTACTAAATGAGCTACTGTTGCCCTAGGTAGTTGTGTTGCTGGTATTTTATTTGAGAGACTCGTTTAACAACACAAATCAGCTCTCCTGTTGTTATTCAGTTCTTTCTGTTCAAACTGTGTTAAAACAAAGCTCACATTTACGTCTAAAAACCCTCAGACAGAGTAGAGCCTTTAGTTATTTTAGTTATCACACCCCCAGGGAATATCGAACATCTGCTGCAAAGTATCATATCATCAACATATACTGGCAAGGTTGAAAAGACATGTACAATTGCTGACCATTTATTGAGGTCCATAAAACAAACATCAATGATAAAATCAACAATAATTACAATGCAAAATATATAACAGACATTAACAAATTAAATAAAACAAGATTGCCGATATTTATTCTAATTTTGAAGTACTTAACAGCTCCAAAGCAAACGTTCGTATTGCGAGAAAAGGTTTCGGGGGGTGAAGCTACAATGTTTTAGGAATGTTGAGGAGCTTGCTGGGGTCTGACTCCCACCTTGTAAAACACAGGTGATGGAGTGAACTAGGGCTGCGAAATGTGTTGAGAAGAGGTACCAGCAAACAAAATGTGTACGAACTTAAGGCTACCTCCCGTACGTTTATTGTTTTTATCACCAGTGGATGGCAAAAAAAAACGTGAAACCTGTTTCCCGTACCCTCATCAAAACAAATGGTAGCTTTCACACATATTGCAAAAGTGCTATTATTTTACAGATATTTGTTGTTCTTAATAATTCCTGGTTAAAATCTTAAATATTATCAGAATAGATAATTAATTAGCTTTCCTTCGTTCTCAGGTTTGACTCTATTATTTTTTTTTTTTTTGACCAACTTTGACAAGCCAAGCGTTTATACTTTCTTTAATTGAACTCAACTACAAAAACGTATTAAAATATTGAAATTGCGTTATTGTCATTTTAAACTTCACATTTATTTCTCAACGTGAGCAGCCCTAGTGCGGACAACAATGACGTGACAACTATGGGACAAAGAGACATTAAAACCCTCGTGTTTTCGTGGTGGTTGACGTACAATAATATGTTTTGAATCAGAAAAACTATCACGCGTCCTCTCCACCCACATCTACACATGAAAAACATGTAAGGACCAAAAATGAAACAGAAAATAACTTGTTCCACGTCAAATTCGGTAAACTTCAAACATGCTGCGCGTTTGACTTGCGTTTAGACTCGTCGTAGTTACACAATTTGACCCTGGTTTGTGAAGGTTGCCATGGCGTCCAAGCTCAGTTCCAGTGAGAAATATCGGACAGTTTTTGTGGCTCAACAACAGGCTCATCGTCAGTTCGGTTTTAGTCCTGATCCAGTCCTGGTTTAGTCTTGATCAAGTCCTGCTTTTGTACAAGGTTTTGACCTATTTATATCCTTGATTTGTAGTTTACACCTGGTTTAGTCCAAACCCAATCCTGGTTTAGTTCTGATAAAGACCTGGTTAAGGTTTAGGTGAGTCTGAATTTGGACCTTGTTTAGTTCCAGTTTGCTCCTGGTTTAGTCCTGATACAGTCACAGTCCTTGTTTAGTCTTAGTATAGTTCTGTTATAGACCTGGCTTAATCGTAGTCCAGTCCTGGTTTAGACCTGGTTTAGTTCCAGTTTAAACTAAAGTCCTAGTATCGATTCCTGGCGCTGAAATTATTAAGGTCATGGTTTAGTCCTGATTTAGTTTAGGTTTAGTCCAGTTTAGACCAGATTTAGTCATGGTTTAGTCCTTGTTTGGTACTATAAATTAATTCTGGTTTAGTTCTAGTTCTGGTCCTTGTTTAGACCTTGTTAAATCCTGGTTTAGTTCTTGTCTGACACTGGTTTATTTCTACTTTAAGTTTAGTCCTAAAGTCAGTAGTTTTGGTTTAGTTCTAGTTCTCGTCCTGGCTTAGTCCCATTACACTGACAGTAAACATGACAAAAAACAGTGAGGTCCGTGGTTCTTAGACCTTTTTGGTGCCTTAGTCCGGCCTTAGTCCTGTGTCTGAATCCGGCTCCTTCTCCGCGGGGGTCAGAGGTCAAAGGTTGTGGCTCTGTCTGGACTGACCTGGATTTTCAGAATAAAACATTGTACAAATAGTTCATTTTTTGGGGTTTTTTTTATGGTCGATCCAGGAGTTCAGCGAGACACCTGCACCTGCCCCTGACCTTGGCTCGTCACGTCGGGGCCGCGGCTCGCTAACCGGCTAAGGATGTTGCGTTCGGACATCTGCAGGCGCACGGCAACCGGGGGTATCCTAGCGATGGTTGCCGGGAGACGGGTCACATCTGCCTTCATGTCGCTCAGCAGCTCCTCAAGTTGTTTGAGAACTAAGAGAAAACAGAGAGACACATTTATTATTACCGTTATTTTGTTTATTTATATTTTAGCAAATTTAAGCTTGGTTTGAAGTCAGGCTGTGCAGTTCATATTTTTAAATAAATAATAAATAAATAAATAATCATGATTAGGGCTGGGTATCATTCAGAAGTTGCCGATACGATACATATCTCAATACAGTGAGCTTTCAATTCGATACAGTTCAATATTTCAATATATTTCAAATTGATTCGACATGGTTCAATAAAAAATAAAGGTTTAATCGTGGCTGTGAAATTAAAAGTCTTTGTTAAACCACTTCTAGTGCGAAGTTAATATGAATTTTAATCATCAAAACTGTGAAAATGTCAAATATGCCGCATAAACAAGTTTCCTTCTTCTAAACAAGCAACAAAACTGTAGCTTTGTAGCAAAATATTTTAGTAAAATATACCAAAAAATACTCTTGGCGATATATCGATACAGCAGCCCATGATATCGATACTGTATCATCACATTAAAGGACACAATACATCGATATTTGAATATTTTTGCACAGCCCTAATCATAATCAATCCTCGTTTTACTTTTGTATTAATTGGGGAGGCAGTGGCTCAGTGGACAAAGTTGGTGGATCAATCCCGGCTGTAACAAGTGCATGCAACACTGTGTTCTTGGGCAAGACACTTCAGATGCCTTGCCCAAGTATGAATGTGGTGTGCAAGTGAGCGGTTTTGGTTGAAGAGGTGGAGGGCACAAATTGTCAATCTTGCTTTTATCAGTCTACCCCAACCACAGCTGCTACCCCCCGAGCAGCTGTGGTTTGTGAAGTAAAAATAAAAGGATTGAATAAATAATCGCTGAAATTGTAAAAAGTGATTCTGAGTGTCTGTTTAAGTGCTCTGTTGGGCTGATGAATTATTGGTATTATAAAATAACTTTATTATGGCGCGACACAAACCTCTGCACTGTTGAGCTAATTATTTGCTAAAAGTAACAAGCGCATTTCTTAGTGTTGAAGCCTGGGAGAAGTGGTCCACACCTGCCCCCTGCTGGTCTATTTAGAGAAGACATGAAATAATAAAACTAGAGGAACTTCTGTTTTAGTAATAATTAAAGGTTTAAGTAAAACAGAATGGAACACCACAGCTAGTGTAAAGATTTTCTATTTTTCTATTTTTATATTTTCTGCGTTCTGTTTACAAAAAACACATACAGGTTTCCCAGTCTTATTCACTGACAAAATTTTAAAACTTTTTCATGGCTTTTTCATGACTTTAAGTGAATTTTCCATGACTTTACAGCACCTACATGTGCCGAATTCATCAGACTTTTAGGGCTAAATATGAAATCTTAACCCTTTCCATTCACCTTGTGCTGTGGTATTATAGTTTTTTTTAAACATTTAAAATACTGTCAGTGCATTTATTGGCGTCTTTTTTAAGCAAAAGACGCATACGTTCGGCGATAATCATAATAGCCTAATGATAACTCAACAGAACGGTGTAGTTGCATGAAAGAGATTAAAATTCCATGACTTTTCTAGGCCTGTAAAATTACATTTTCATTTTCCATGACTTTTACAGAATTTCCATGAACCAGGAACCCTGCACATAATACGTCTTATAAGTGGACTTCAGCTCTAACGCATTAAAATAAGAACTACATGCTGCATATACTGATATATTCTGTCCAATAGACTAGAAGTCAAGGGGCATTACTGGTGCAGAGGTCCCCACTGATCCAGGGCCCAACCTAGGGCAGCTGACCATCAAAAATGATTGGGAACTGTTGTGCATATGGTTAAGATCAAACCTCATAGACCTGTCTAACTGTATTTAATGCTATAATGTGATAGTGATGCTTTACGCCCGTGTGGTACTTCGTTTAGGACTGTTTTAGACCTGGTTTATTTCCAGTTTAGATCTGGGTTAGTTAAAGTTTAGATCTGAGTTAGTTCAAGATGAGACCTGGGTTAGTTCCAGTTTAGACCTGGTTTAGTGATAGTATAATACGTGAGAGTCCTGCATTACCCCCGCGTGGTACCTTTGTGTAGGACTGCGTTGGCTGGTTTGTTCCCGGACATTGACTCTTTGCTCAGATGCTGATGACTTTCGGCCAAACACTCGACTTCACTGAAGCGCGTGTTCAGGGCCATGGAGGGGTGGGCGGGGTCTTCTGTCATGTTCAGGTACGCTGCTCTACGAAGCTGCTCCTCGATCACCAACGCCTGCTCCAACAACTAAAGGAGGAGACAAAAAGACTTTAAAGCACAGGATTTAACATCTTTGTAAAATTATTTTTGCCCCATAGAGCATTTCAGAACTAGGGCTCAGGAGTATTGATATAAATTATGTCTTATTTTTTATAATCTTAATAACAGATGATAATCAGAAGGTTGAGGTTCAGATGTTGGCTAAAAGTAAAAAGACTGAATTTGAATGAAAATAGAGACATGTGACTTTATAGATTACAGATTACAAGCCAAGTTCTTTATATTTTTACTCAATATTGTAATTTTAAATATCTTCAAAATAGAGAAACAGACAACAGACAAAGGTAAATAATCAATAGGTGTGTAAGTGTTCGCTAAACACTAAAAGCACATTGGTTGAGGAGAGACTTCTATAAACCTAAATGCACTGAAATAGCTCAAAGTTCTGAAATGATACTCACCTTAAATCGCCGAGCCAGAAACTTGTTCTTGATCTCGAGAAAGTTCCCTCTGCTCATCTCTCCTTTAAAGGGCTCGTTGAGGATGGCGTACCTCACGTCGTTCTGGACATCCTGCCACCGAGCGTAACCGTGTCTGAGGCGCTGGGGTCAAGGGTTTAAACAAGAGGGACTCCGCTGGGTCTATGTTTTAAGTTTTAATTATATGTTCAGGGCTCCTACTCAGCAGGACGTGTGCTTTCAGGCTGTGGCTCCCAAATTATGGAATGCCCTGCCCCTAGCCCCACGTGAGGCAGACTCTATAGACTCTTTTAAAAAGCAGCTCAAGACAATGCTCTTTAGACAGGCTTTTAGTTGACTGTGTCTGTAATTCCTCTGTTCTTGTTTATTGGTCTGTAAAGCACGTTGTGATTTTTTTTTATCTATAAAAGGTGCTATATAAAGACTTACTTACTTACTTTTTCAATGCCAAAATTTTTTCCATGACTTTATGGCACCCTACATGTGTATAATTGATCAGACTTTCAGGGCTAAATATGAAATGTTAACCCTTTCCACTCATCTTATGGTTTGGTATTATAGTTTTTTTAACATTCAAAATACTGTCAGTGCATTTATTGTCATCTCTTTTAAACAAAAGGTGCATAAGTTTGGAAATAATCATTATACCCTAATGATAACTTAACAGAACTCTGTAGTTGCGTGAGAGATACTAAAATTCCATGACTTTTCCAAAACTTTCATTGAATTTACAAAATTCCATGATTTGATTTTCAATTTCCATGACTTTCCAGGATTTGACCAGGAGAACCCTGTATTTTTCATAATTTAAGTAGGTTATGGATTATGTTTTTTATTTGACTATTATCTGGGACAAAGGATCAGAGCCATTAGATGTGTTTAAGTATGCCCTTTAAATTCAACTAAATAAATGAACAAAAAATGAAGCCATATAAGGATACTGTATGATGCCAGCCAAGAGCCAGTAGTCATGGCGACGGTGCCAAATCTCAAATGTCTTTTTGGTGACAGTTGCTGCTCGCTCTTCGTTCTGCCACAGAGAATGGAGCTCTGGAAAAGAAAGCATTAAAACGATAAGAACATGCAAAAGGAATATACTGAACAACACATGGTTTAAGAGTCAAGCTCAAAGACTTTTTACAATTGAAAACATGCGAAAACATTTACCGTATTTTTCGGACTATAAGGCACACTTAAAATCCTTTAATTTTCTCAAAAATCAACAGTGCTCCTTATAATCCGGTGCATCTTATGTATTAATTCTGGTTGTGCTTACTGACCTCGAACTGATTTTATGTTGTACACGGCGCTCAAAAATCTGTCAAAATGTTTTAGTACGACTTTGGTCAACCACAAAGCTTTTTTTTTCAATTAGTCATGTGGTTTTAAGTTTCATTTCGGTAAAACGTAACCAAATGTGCGCAAAGCTGCATTAAACACATTATTACTCATTGTACATTTGAGTCGTCCTCGTAGGAAATAAAAATCCAAACTTAAATTATCCACCCACATTCACATTCATAATACATTCATAATACACATTACACCACGATCTGCCAATGGATCGTGGATGCCTGGGTTAAGGATCAGTCTCAAGTGTCGTCCATTTGTTTCCCTTAACATGCCTTATAATCTGGTGCGCCTTATGTATGAAAATAGAGGAGAAAATTCGACATTATTGATATTGCGCTTTATAATCCGGAGCACCTTATAGTCCGAAAAATATGGTATTTGTTTCGAAATGAGTAAAGAGCTCTGTGTTTCCATAGTGCAAAGGTGTATATCCATTTCTTTTGCAAAAATCGTTCAGTTGGTGGTACAAGCGTGACCTTTGATATATAATTAACTACAAGAGATTAACTATGAATTATTTCTAAATATTAAGTTTAACCTTTGTAATTGCCATTTCGATCCATTTTGTACGCCTCCCTTCTGGTAATTACTCTGTTATTATAGTGTTATTAATGTGTAATTTATGCATAGTCATTGTGTACCTGTGAAGCCTCCGTCTGCGATGTTGAACATAAACCGCTGCTTTGTGGCCTTCTTCTTCTCCTCGCTGATGTTGACCAGAGCAGACGCGGCCGACGTCACTCCGTCTTTGGTGTTTTCTCCATTCTGAAGTTTGTCTGAATCCTCATTTTTCAAGACATCTTTTTCATCCTTTTGCTCTGTAAGAAAAAAATAAATAAATGTCAGTGATCTAAAGCTATAACTCTAAATAACTTATGATATTGGATTTTATGTGAATCAAATGAGCTGAACCTTTTTTGTCGTCTGCAGATGAACTTGTATCCATCTTTTCTTCTTTTCCATCTTCAGCTGAAAGATGAAACATAAGATAAATATATATACAGCACTGACATAGATACACTAAATAACATTATTCCATTGAAGGGCGATCAGTTGCTTGTCTCCATGGGGATTTTTTTTTGCTTTGCCTCAAATGTTAAACAGTATGGCAATGCATCTATCAGCCTGCATATAGTTAAGCAGGAGAGCTGAATAAAGAGTTAAAATATATGTTTTAAAGCAATTTTTCAGCAATAAAAAGTTTACTGCCATACTGCGGAAGGTTCCAGGCAAAACAATATATTTCCATGTTGATTGCAATTACATTTTATTTATTATTTACTTCGTGTAAGGGAAGTTTCTGAAAAACCCACATAAACAAAAAATACACATCTGAAATATAATTGCTCTTACTTTTGCCTCCGTCTGAATCGGCTCTGGACTCCTCCGTCTTCACTTCTGCCTCTTTCTCCTGCGGCTTCTGTTCTTTCTCTCTCTCCTCCTCTCTGTCCTTCGTGTCGCTCCCTCTCTCGTCCTTTTCTTTCTCGTCCTTCGTCTCCTCTTCGCTCTCTTTTCTGCCGCTTGTGGAGGATTTGTCTGACTCATCCGGGATTTCAATAATCTGTGAGAAAACAATGAGGTTATGGTACTTGTTTCCATGGTAATTAAGTATTTATAGACTTAAAACATTTACTTACATCTGTATCATCAGACTTTTTGCCCACTTTTCCGTCCTCTACCTCCTTCTTAATATCGTCTTTGTCATCTGCTTTAGACAAATCCTCTGTAAAAAAGGAAGAAATAATTTTATCTGTTACTTTACTGTGTGAGTGTTTAAGATGTAATCTAAAGGTGTTGGTCAACGAGACAAAATACTCTAGAACAATAAAACCTTGAAGCTACCACCTGTAATTAAACTAACCGATCCGCTCCTGTTGTATTCTCACGCTTCACCACTAGATGCTACCTACATTACTGCTGTCTGATAGTGTGCCAGCTTCAGTCTGACAGAAGAAGACCAGAGAGCACAGGTGAGTCTGAACAAAGGCCAAAGGTTTCATCTACCATCTACTGTCAAAGCAAATAAACGCATGGATGATAGCTTTTAAATACTAGAAAATAACAAGTGGATTAACAAAAATGTGTATAAACCAAACTAAATTGGTACAAGATATGGCCTATACATTTACAAAACAATATGAGCCCTCTCCATGGCCGAGCACCAAAGTACATCTCTGACATGTTAGTGTCATATGAACCATCTCGCACTCTGAGGAGCTCAGGGACCGGCCTCCTGCTGGTGCCCAGAGTCAGGACTAAACAAGGGGAGTCATTGTTTCAGGTTCACGCAGCTAAAACCTAGAACAGTCTTCCTGAACATGTGAGACAGGCCTCTACTTTGACGCTGTTTAAATCCAGGCTCAAAACAGTTCTGTTTCACTGTGCATATGACTGAAAGGTTTTCATTCCGCACTCTTCTCCCTAATTTATGTAATTTTAATTGTGATTTTAATGTATTTCTTATTCTGTAAAGCACTTTGAATTACTTTGTGTACGAATTGTGCTATACAAATAAACTTGCCTTGCCTTGCCTGAGCAAATATGCAATGTAATATTCAGTACAATATGAAAAAGGTGGAATAATATGAATCCGTTACCTGGGATGGGTGTGTTGGGCTGAGTGTCTGCGGGGGTCCCAGAGGACGGGGTCTTGGGGTCTTCTCCGGACGCTAAAGCTGCAGCTCGTTTGTTCTCCTCCAGCTCCGCCATCCACGGCATTGACCACTGTCCGTTCACGTGCTCAAACTCCTGCACCTGAGAATTCACCATGAACACACCATCACTGGTCAAGTCATTTTTATATAACGCCACACTTAAGCAGGACATACATTTATATATATATACATTTTGGTAGAACTTAGTAATAGTCTATAACCATAACATTTACTTAAAACAGCTTAGTAACAGAAACAGGTCCACTGACTTCCTGAATCAATCGATCAAAACTAAAGAGCTCATGATGGAGGAACAGTTTAAAAATGTGCCTCAAAGCTCAAAAAAGTCAATGTTATAATACAATATGTCTCCTTTAAAAAGACCAACCTTCTTCCTGATCAGTGACATGACGCCGATGCGGGTGAGCACGTGCTGCCTGGACAGACCCTCACGAGGAACTCCATCTGCGAAAGTCTCCGCTCCATCAGCCCCCGGCTCACACAAGTGACGCATGAACAGAGACACATAGGCCCTGAAACGAGAGAGGAACACAGGTTTAAATGAAAGTTACAAATGTAATTACTGTGTATTTGTAAGGGTTTTGTACTTGTTTATTGTTGTACGGCCACCTTGACTGTCAAAGGCACCTTATAAATAAAATCTATTACTAGGGGTTAGGGCAGGGGTGAGCAATTATTTTTTTGGGGGCCACATGAGAAACAGAAAATATTGTAAAGGGCTGGGCCAAAATGCTTAACTCAGTTCTGCAGAATATGAATTGTATTTCTTTATAATAAGCAGTAAGTATCATTGTTTTGACAAGCTGACAAGACTGATAAGAGTTTATATTATGACTAAGCGATGAAAAAGTGAGGTTGCCTTACAAAAATGTAATTAAAAACATCTCTAAAATAAAAGCAGTGCAGCTTTAGTCCACAGTCCAGGTAAAATTAGTCCATAGTCCAAGTGAAATTATAAAATATGTTTATTTTGTAATTCCAAATGAGCTTAAACGGGCCAGTCAGAGTCAACCAAAGGACTGTATGTGGACCAGGAGCTGTACAATGTCCGGGTTTAGTTAGGGGATTTGGGGTTAGAGAAGGGGTGGGCAAACCACAGCTCAGGGACCATATTTTACCACCCTTAAATCTTTTTAATCTGGCCCTCCGAACTTGAATAATAGTAATAATAATTTTCAGTGTCAAAAGTTATTTCTATAAATAGTAAATACTGTGGGACTTGAAAGACAGATATTTTGTTCTAATGCTTTGTAGTGACTTTCAATTGTGGGATATTTCAGTTTCAGATATTTCAGGATATGTAGAAAACATGTTATTATTTTCTCTTATGAGGTGGATTACCAAAAACTCCATCCATCTGCTCCTGGTCCGGCCCTTCTGTCAAATTTTACAACCCTTTGTGGCCCACGAGTCAAAAAGTTTTCCCACCCCTCGGTTAGGGTCAGGGTCACGGTTAGGAGTTAAGGTAGAGTTTTTGCTAGAGTTAGGGTTAGTGTAGGGTTATTATTTGGAAGTTCAGGGTTTGGGGTTAGAAGGTTTGGTTCAGAGTTAGGGTCAGGGTCATGGTTGGCGGGTTAGGATTTGGTTAGACTAGGTTTAGGTTCTCTGATTCTGTTTAACCACCATCAGCTTTACACACAGTTCTCCAAATCAATCAGTACTTAAAAGCACCGCCCTCTGGTCAGTCCCAAGGGATGAAATCGACGCACAGGTTTCATACATTTCATAGGCTGTTCATACATAAATAACCAATGAAATACGATCCACAACACACAGTCGATTGACATTTGAAGCAGACTCACTTAAACTCTTTCTCAGATTTCCCGCGGAGGTCCCGGACGAGCCACTGGTTTGTGAAGGCGTCCTGAGGGGGCATCCCGTACCTCATCACCGCGTTCAGGAAGGCCTTACGCTGACGAGCATTGAAGCCCAACACCTGATAAAGAATTATGTTTAAAAAAAAGGTAGAAAACTGTATTCAGATTGCTTTATTATTCTTAATGTTCACACTAACCTCAATATTTCCTCCCACTCGGGCCAGAAGCGGAGGCAGAGGTTTGTCCCTGTCGTTTCTCAGCCCTTTGCGGCTCGGTCTCCGTGCGTTAGCTGAGATACAGAAGGAAAGAAAAGACAGACAGATGTTCAAGTGTTTTATCAAAATCAAAAACACAACCATCAAACTCAAAACCGCACATGCATAACTGTGTTGCCTTAATGTGTCTGGGATGGTTATGGACTTACCGCTGTAGCTTCTTCTCAAATTTGCAGTGCGTCAAATTAAACATATGGTTCTTTCTAAAGCAATGAGCGTTCACAGTCACAATGGAAAACCAATAACGGATTCATAATTTAATGTGCAGTAAAAACAATTAGAACAGCACTTACAGCAAATTACCCAAAGAAAACACAAGTTGGGATTTTGGGCGTGTTGGAAATGTGAAATAGGTTCAGGGCCTTTAAAACTGTATTTTTCAAGAGAATATCAAAACATAAAATCCACAAATTTTGAACTTGGAAGTCAATAGATCCAATATGCTCCAAATTCTCCTTTTAATGCTTATCAAATTCTCCTTTTAATTGCTTATACTAAATGTACTTTTATAATAAAAGTGTTTTATTTAATAATTTCACAGTGAATATCTTTTATGTACAGAAATTTTGTTTTATATGGATAGGTCAAATAATTATAGATATTACTAGGGGTATAACAATAACCAAAATATTGTTATATCGTATCATCAAAAGTTTCTCAATAATATCGTGGGCCAACACTATATATCGAATCACAAGCCTCTTTACTTAAATTAATTGTTATGGTGCAGTAATAACAAAAAAACAGAGGGAACTACATGGACCATGAGCCTTTGCTCTGTTTTGGTGCAAACTACATGAAGAAATAACAGTTCTAAGCACTTTTAATTCTTAGTTCTTTGGATTAAGTCTTGTCAGGGCCTTTCAAAAGGAAAAAGTAGCATAAAATATCGCAATAAGAGATATATCGTGAAAATACCGCAACGTGAGATTTGGATATCATTACATCCCTAGATATTACCCATAAACCAGGTTAATAAAACTTCTATCTGCCTTCCACTTTTATATTAAACTTTAAGCTGAACACAACTTATTACACAATAACTCAAATAAAATAGTAAAAAATACAGATCTGAGATTTGATTGAACAAAATTGATTACAAACCAAAAATAAAGCACAACCAAAAAATAAAGTGCATACAAGGTGCTTAACAGTGAGATATAATTTATTCATGCTTCCTGCTTTTCACTCTTCACCTCATTTTACATTTCTCTACCAGTCTTTGCATCCTTCTCTCCTCTTTACGCTTCTTTCTCTCCTTTCGTCTCTTTTTCTTCTCCTCCATTCTCCTCCTTCTCTCCTCTTTTTTCTTTTTTCTTTCCTGTTTGTGAGCATAACAAATGATGCACCCACAGCTGCGCTTCCCTAAGTTTACATCTGCGAAGGGTTAAAGTGTGTTAGTATAGATCGGGGATGCAACAACACCAGATATTATATTGAACTGTTTGATACTGGTGTCACGATTCAATACAAGTGTTCGATTGATACCACGAGTCCATCAATGCTTTGTTTTCGTGTTGGTTTAGAAAGAAGGTTAAAGTGTAACTAAAGACTATGGTAATTTCCGGACTATAAGCCGCTGCTTTTTTCTCACACTTTGAACCCTGCGGATAATAAAACAATGCGACTAATAAATGAACAGATTATTTGTTTGGCACATTGTTCATTCATATTGTATATACGGTCTGTGGTTTGGCAACACAGCGGATACGCGTAGCCTGAGTGCAGAAAACGCCACTGTCTGTGTGATTAACATATGGATCTAGGGTTCACATGAAGTTGCAACACTAGCTCACGATATTGTCAGCACTAAAACAGTTTATCTCCATGTGATCAAATAAGTTATGATGCTAAATGAACATTAGTGAGGGGGATACGTCTTACCCATATACGTAAATGACGAAAAGAAACGTCTCAAACTTCAGTAGCCGGACATCCACTCATACCTGATTGATACAACTAACCCAGTCCCCGAGAGAACCTGAAATCTGCTGAAATCCTACAAGACACTGACATGATACAGACAGGACAGAGGCTCTTTCTGCAGGAGACATGCGCAGTAGAGAGACGGTGAAGATGCGCCGTGGAAGGTGCTCGTTTGATCGTGTTTTGAACAGTTATTTTGTGCTTCATATGCACACTCTCCTCATGGAAAACGTACAAAGAAATTCAGATGATGCAGCTTTTAAGTTAAAGGTCATTGATGTGGCTGTCGAAGAAGGAAAAAGAGCTGCTGCACGTTAGCTCGGCATCAGTGAGTCGATGGTGAGACGTTGGCCTCGGCAGCGTGACAAACTGACTCAATGCAAAAAGACCACCAAAACTTTCAGAGGCGATAAAAGCAGACGGCCCGAACTTGAAAACGTTCTTAAAGATGTGAATACCTGCAGCTCATATTCAGGTGTGGACTATATATGTATAAGTTTAAAATCTAGTTAAAATTTTGCTGATGCGGCTTATATTGAGGTGCGCTCAATAGTCCGGAAATTACGGTAAGTTTTTCATATTTGCCAAAACAAATCACATGGGAAACAGACATTTTGACTTTCTGGACACATATATCAAAACTGAATTGGTATCAGGACCCATCGATATCAAATCTCGACAAATTATTGCATTATTGTATCGTTGCATCCCTGCGTACAGTAAGGGGAAGAAATAATATTTAGAGTATATTTAATATTGTGACATTAATTAGGGAAACACTGACACAGTTCAGGTTCAATTAAGTTAAATTATTTAAATTTTATGTAAAAACAGTTATATCAGATGTGAGTAAGCGGATTTCTTTCTGGTTGTTCAGACCTGTGCACGTTTGATAAACAAAATTATGCAAAAAAGAACAAGGACAAAAACGAAAGAGAAAATGCAGGATGTCTTTTTTAAAGGTCACTGTACTATGTCTTCCAAACACTCAAAAAACCCATTGATTAGCTGACACACCTCCAAGTGTTTGATTTCTCTTGCTGATTTCTCTTATGCATGTAAACACAGCAAAAATCAGAGCTAAGTATTAGCTTATCTGATTTTCAATGACTATGTAAAAAAAAACTATCGAAATATTTAAAAGCGTACAATCACATTCTGAATAGTAAAAAAACAGCAGTCTAGTATCAAATCAGAGGCCTGCACTGGGTACGGGCAAATAGTTGCTGAAACTAGCGGGTTTTAACATTCTGAAATTTTATAGGCAGGTATGCGGGTGGGTCAGGACTAAATCAGAACTAAACCAGGACTAATCTTAGACCTAAGAGAGAGAGAGAACCCCGAGCCCGTGGAGTAGGGCTCTGAACTGGTCCTTTGGCCTGCAGTCACCCGAAGGTCTACGCAGATGCACCTATGAGCCCGTCCCGACAATGAGTCCTGGTTTAGTCCTGTTTTAGGCCTAGCTTAGTGCTGGAATTAGTTCTGGAATCAGTCCTAGTTTAGTCCTGGTTCAGTCCGTGGTGTGTATGGTGCAAAAGTCCGACATCTCGATCAATGTTTCTTCTGCTCAATAAATAATCCCTATGAAGTGGTGACGTTGAGTTGCGTCTGTGAATTCGTATTCGTACTGAAGGAAGCGTAACCGTTTCATTTAATTTCTTGACTGTAATTCTTAAAGTTGTAACTTTTCAATTCGTATTCTGATGGCTGCTTCAGTTAGAATGCTTTTAATTTGTATGTGATTTACAGTGTTGGGGAGTAACAGATTACATGTACCGGAGTTATGTAATCAGAGTACAAATTATGAGTAACTGTATTCAGTTACAGTTACTGTTTCAGTGAGTGGTAATTGGATTACAGTTACTTTGTTGAAATAAATGGATTACACGGCGGTATTTTCCTGTTTTCTCATTTCACTCATTGCCGGACACTAAACCAGGTCTAAACCAGGTCTAAAACAGGACTAAACTAGGACTAAAGCAGGATTAATCCAGGTCTAAACCAGGTCTAAAGCAGGACTAAAGCAGGACTAAAACCAGGGCTAAAACGGGACTAAACTAGGACTAAACCAGGACTAAAACCACGTCTAAAACCACATCTAAAACCATGTCTAAAACCAGGTCTAAACTAGGACTAAACTAGGACTAAAGCAGGACTAAAACCATGTCTAAAACCACGTCTAAACCAGGTCTAAACTAGGACTAATCTAGGACTAAACCAGGACTAAAACCACGTCTAAACCAGGTCTAAACTAGGACTAAACTAGGACTAAAGCAGGACTAAAACCAGGTCTAAACCAGGACTAAAGCAGGACTAAAACCAGGGCTAAAACAGGACTAAAGTAGGACTAAACCAGGACTAAAACCACGTCTAAAACCAGGTCTAAACAGGACTAATCTAGGACTAAACCAGGACTAAAACCACGTCTAAAACCACGTCTAAACCAGGTCTAAACTAGGACTAAACTAGGACTAAAGCAGGACTAAAACAGGACTAAAACAAGGTCTAAACCAGGACTAAAACCACGTCTAAATCTAGGTCTAAACCAGGTCTAAACTAGGATTAAACTAGGACTAAAGCAGGACTAAAACCAGGGCAAAAACAGGTCTAAACCAGGATTTAACAGGACTAAATCATGCTGCGTGGACGTGTCTCCTCGTCTTCTATCAATAAAATTTTAAATTTGTTTAAGTAAAGTCTGGGCTTTTCATTTTCTTTTAACAGATAAAACTTATGTTATGATATCGTCGTCTTTGCTTCTCTACAGAAAATCAAGTAATCCAAAGTATTCTGATTACGTTACTCACCTAAAGTAATTTAATGGATTATGTTACAAACTACATTTTGGTGTATGTAATCTGTAATCTGTAGGGGAATACATTTTAAAAGTAACCTTCCCAACACTGGTAATTTATCACGGGCAAGGGCGGGTAACAAGTGAAATGTCAACGGGTCTGGGCGTGTGCGGGTTTAACTTTGATAAAATCACGGGTTAACGGGCAGGTGTGGTGCTGTTCTGTGCAGGTGTGGGAGGGAGCAGGTCTCCAAAAATGGACCTGTGCAGGACTCTGTATCAGATACCAGTACTTGTATCAGTGTAGCGAGGTTATCTGATTTTCACAGACTGTATAAATATACCTTGTGCCTCTCACACATACACACACCCACACACACACAGAGGATGAGGAGGAGGGCAGAGTGGAGTTTACCTTCAGTGCGTTCATCGAAGTCCTCGTCTCCCTCCTCTGATGCCACAGAGTAATCAGACTGATTGTCAGACTGATCCTCTTGCCAGTCTAAACAGGGCAAAAGCAAAAGGTGTGAGAAAATATAATAGAAAATACACATACAAAACTAAACTGAGCACAAACAAAACTACATTTCTATGGCATGCACACACAAAATTATTAAAAGTGAACTAATATCGAATACAAAATTAAAGTTAAAATCTGTAAAATCAGTCCTTTTATTAGATACTTGATATCTGTAAACACCAAGGATCTATTCTTAATCACAGTGACCCAATCAAGTGCCCAAATTAAATGAAAATAAATAATAATAAAACATAATCTTATCATTTAGCAAACAAAAATAACATGCTATTTAATGTAAAACACCAAAATTACAACATTAAAACCAACATGCATCATATTAAAAAGTAGAAATGGTTTACCTGCAATAACTAGCACGGTTGCATGGAAACAAAACTGCGTTAATAACATTTCGAACATTCATAATTTCATCACAAAATATTAGAGATGCACCCATACAGTTTTTCAGCCCTGGTATCAATACTTAGACCAACCAATAGAGCAAAGAGATTTCTAAAAACAAATTAAAATGGCTTTAAGTCATAATTTGGGGCTTAGGTTGGCAGTGTGATTTCAGCTCCTACGAATGAATGCTCTCGTTGTGTCCTTGGGCAAGACACTTAACCCACCTCACTCTAATGTCAGCGTATATTTGTGTATGAATGTTTGTGGATGGGTGAGTGATTCCTTGTTGTAAAGTGCTTTGAGTGTCTTGAAGGTGGTAAAGCGCTATATAAAAATGTGACCATTTACCATTTAATTCCAAAAGCAAAAACAAAACAAGACAAATTAAGATTAAACAGTGCCAACACAAAATGTATCATATTTTACAGACTATAAATCGCACTTTTTTCATGGTTTGGATGGTCCTGCCACTTATACTTCAGTGCGACTTATATATTAAAATTTTCACACTGACAGTGGCTCTAGGCTCTAGGACGATGAAAGAAAGTTTGGAGTGAGCGAGGAACTTGTGAGGGACTGACGGAAAGTGGGGCTGAAGAACACAGCTTCACGAAAACCAGGAGCGTGTGCCATGAAACTTTCTTGGAAGTCACTGGATGGATCAACAAAGCCTCGACTTCAATGACAACTGAAACCATCCTGTCGGGATTTTAGAAAGGCCAGAATAATTCTAATTGGAATTGACCTCCGGAGGTCACGGAGTTGCTCAGAAGTGACACCAAGGATGAAGAATTCAGTGGATTTAGTGATTTGGAGTGAGATCATGAGTTTGGTAAACCTGTTCTGTTGTTTATGCTCTTGTTATCTGAAGAACTGTTCAATCATATGTGAAGTTAACAGCCTGCTGTTCTCTATTCTATTGTTATTACTATATCTTGACTTTCAAGATGAAATGTCAGTTCCTGGTCTCTGATTTTATCAATTAAATTTCCCCAAAAAAGTGCGACTTATAGTCCGGTGTGACTTATTGTCCGAAAAATACGGCAGTCAATTTTTTCCAAACCAGACACTTTTACTGACAGAGGATTGACTGTAGACCTCTCAATTAAAAAAGACCCAAGGCAAATATTATGAGACATACACTGCCAAGAGCGGCCTGTAAATACTCTTCTTTAATATTAAATAATTGGCCTTAGGGCTTCACATTAAATCTAGCCAACTTGTCTTTCTGTTTATAGCATGATTATTTTGTAGAGAGATTCATGATTTGTGATCAGATGGGTAACTTTACTCAAATATAAGAAATATTAAAACCATTTATATTTGTTATTTGTTATTTTATTGTATTGTGGGAGCTCTTGTGTCCAAGTGATTTCCCTTGTGGATCAATAAAATGTGTCTCATCAAAACTGCATAATATAAAATTATATTCTAGCTAGTAAAAAGCAACAGTCTAGTATCTGATCCCAGCGTTTGTATGGGTGCATCTCCAGTTCACAGCACAGCACACACAGAAAATAGTAGTGTTGATGTTGTTCTGTACCCTGTCGTATACCTCGGTCCTCCTGCGAGCCGTCGTTGTAGTTGACAGGTTTGCGTGTTCGTTTGCCTTTGCCCAGGTTTCGGGCCAGATCCTCCTGCTGCTGCTCGTAGTGGTGACGCAAAAGTTTCTCCCAATAGTCTGGGTCCACGCTCTCCTCCTGCTTGATCACCTCACGCTCCACCTCCTCCTGAAGAGAAAACACGGACATATTCATCAATAAGGTTGGAAATGCTACATACCATACCTTAATTTTTTTGCCATATTGCCCAACCCTATAGTAATGGTACAACTTAAGCTTGTTGGGACACTTTAAAAGTCCGTCTACAATCTGTGGCTGATGTAAAAGTGCAGCATTAGCATTTTCCTGTGTCTCTCACCTCGTCGTCCTCGTCTTTGACCACGTACTGAGCGACCTTGAAGGAGCTGAGGTACTCGTTCATGCTGGCCAGCTCCGTGTCATCGGTGGCGTCCTGGTTTCTGTCCAACAGACGGTCGATGGCCTGGTCGTCATAGTGGATCACACTGCTGTCGTCCTCTTTGTTGTCTCCTGCAACAAAGAGACGTTTATAATGACATTGGGTTTATACATTTAAATAAATAAGCAAAAAATATACAACAAATACAACATTAAGAGAAAGCGTTAAAGTGATCCACACATTCAATCAAGAGAAAAAGGTTGATGGAATCATGTGAAAGATATCGAAAGATGTGCTTTACTTACACAGAAAAGAGAAAACTGACTTGAATTTTTAGGAATTAAAATTGTGTTAGCTATAAGAGAGTAGGTTTCGTCTCAGCTTTGGTGGATATATTATCAGCGCACGAGTAGGGCTCCGTTTGGGAGGTGCACTTGTGGTGATAGTCGATCTTTTTCCACCGCGACTCATTATAAGACAAGTTTAATTGAAGATGAAGCCAAATAAGTTTCCTTTTGAAAAGTTTTTCAAAGTTTGGTGCACAGCGTCTTCACTCACGCCTGCTCAAGCCGACATCTTCAGGTGCGGCCCTGTCCTGCTGCTTCCCCAGTTTAGGCTCCTGGCTCCACTAATGATATCACTCTGTTACAGCCAATGAAATAGTGGCAGGAGAAACCCTGTAGTCATATCGCTGAATACATCTCAGAAAGTCTAATAAACAAAATGTGAACTAAAACGTGTTAAATTAATACTACTGAGTTTGGAAAAATATTGGAATAAATTCATATTTTTGTTTATTAAAATAAAAAGACAAATATTGGTAGGGACTATTTTGTCTTCCACAAATATTGGTTGTGACATGTCCCCTCCATCCCTATGCAAACCTCCGCCCTTGATTAGCTAAGATTTTTTACTCAAATAGATAGGCAAGTTATAGTGTGTTTCATAGATGTATATAGATTGTAATAAATATAAAATGTCTGTGTAATCCCTCAGTTGTCTAAGTAGGTGCCATCACAAAATAAATTCTGCAAACTGGACAAATGTTTTTAAGATCTGAAAACGTATCATTACTCATCCAAGTGGCCTCTTCAGTTATGAGTGATTTCTGTTAGGTCACTGCCTTAAATATCTGCCGAAAGGAAGGAGGTAACTACAATGAAACCAACACACCCTACTGTAAAAAAATAGGTGTTAGTTTCAGTGTAGGCAGCTCAACTTGAGTAAGCGCCAAAGCATTTATATTCACTCTTTGAACTGTAAACTGTTGTCCAGTTGACAGAACAAAATTTTCTTTTGCGAAATATAAAATGTACCCTCTTTTACAGTGAACTCACCCTCGGGAGCATCATCTTTGAACAGCTCTTCTGTTCCAAACTTGAGGATGTCGTCCAGTTCCTGTTTGGACATGGAGCCCGTCTTTGTGCCAATGCCGGGTCTGACCACGAGATGAGTCAGCATCATCTTCTTTTTGGCCACCTAATGATTGGAAACACATTGAATATGCAAATGGAAAATAATAATGAGATGACAATGAGTAGTTTCTTGAGGAGTAGACCAGTCTTCTTACTGTTGGTGTGAATGTTTAATAGAACATGTTAGTACAATAATTCAAATGTTTCCTCGATGTTTGTGCTGTGTTTCATGTGCTCTGTTGTTTTTGGTTGTAAATACATTTGAAAAATAAAATAAAATTCAAATAAAAACATGACAAACCTGTGTGATCCTCTCCTCAACAGATGCTTTGGTGACAAAACGATAAATCATGACCTTCCTGTTCTGACCGATACGATGAGCTCTGCTGAACGCCTACGTGAGAAAATAAAATATTAATATCAACAATCATCAGGGCTGGATCAAATGTCAAATCACAAAGTCTAGACAATGTCCTACTAAGAACAAAGTACCCAGTCATGTTAAATGGTCGATAAAAACTTAAAGGTCTACACGAACTCATTTGTCCCCTCTGCGATTGCACTTGGCTTTAGACTAGGGCTGTGCTGAAAATCGAAAGATGGTTCAGTCACGATCTCTACTTTGGTAGATCTCGATGATAAGGCATGCGCATCTTAATCGACAGGTCTGCAGCCAATCGCGTCGCTGTAAGAGAGAGTGGTGCTGAGGAGGATTAACGATGTCTGAAAAAGCAGCCTGAGCCACAGCGCGTCTCCTCAGGTCTCCTCACGTGATCACAAGTTTTAACTTAAATCTGCACAATTTGACTAAAACGCCAATGTCTCTCTCCCTCGGCCTCTGTGTGCGACTGTGTGTGTGTGTCTGTGTCTGTTTGTCTGTGTGTATGTGCATCTGTGTGTGTGCGTCTGTGTGAGTGTGTATGTTTCTGTGTGTGTGCGTCTGTGTGTGCGTCTTGTGTGTGTGCGTCTGTGTTTGTGCTTCTGTCTGTGTGCGTTTCTTGTGTGTGTGAATCTGTGTGTGTGCTTCTGTCTGTGTCTGTGTGCGTTTCTTGTGTGCATCGATGTGTGTGGCTATGTGTGGGTGCATCTCTGTGTGTCCGTCTGTGTGCGTGCATTTGTGTGTGTGTGTGTGTGTGTGTGTGCGTCTGTGGGCATGCGTCTATGTGTGCGTCTATGTGTGTTCGTCTGTGTGTCCATATGTGTGTGTCTGTTTTTGCATGTCTGTGTGTATGTGCATCTGTGAGTGTGTGAGTGTGTGTGTCTGTGTGTGCATCTGTGTTTGCACGTCTGTGTGTGTCTGTGTAAGTGTGTCCGTCTCTGTGTGTATGCATCTGTGTGTGTGCGTCTGTGTCTGTGTGTGCGGTACCGTCCAACCACTCCCTGCTCTCCCTCCCGTGCAGCCGCAGCTCCTCATCTTTTCTCCTCTTTTTTTCCCTCTGGTGTTTCTCATCGTTATAATCCAAGTTACGGAAAATAATCGACTATTTTCTCACCGTTAATGAGTGAAAATTAAGACCTCATTTAACGCACTTTCCTAACACGCTAGGAACATGATGTAGTTAGAACGTAAACATCTAAAATACACAAAAAATCTTCTTCAAAATTGAATTGTGAACTGACTCTCACAATATCCATTAGAATAATTCAAATATACTCTAGATATTTTCCCCATATCTTCCAGCCTTTATACGAATACAATCTTAACAAAAGTAGAATGACGCACCTGTATGTCGTTGTGAGGGTTCCAGTCGGAGTCGTAGATGATGACCGTGTCGGCAGAGGCCAAGTTGATCCCCAAACCTCCGGCTCGAGTGGAGAGGAGGAACGCAAACTGAAGAGCCCCTGGAGCTGAGGGACAAATATCACAATTAAACAGGCATTTTATTTACTATTTACAAGTGACTATTATGGATTTTTTGTTTTAGTTTTTGTTAAATCAAAAACGTAACTGTCTGATTGTGGCACGTCATCTGTATGATTCCATGAAAATAAAAAGTTAAAACTGTACTTCCCAACATTGTTCATGGAGATAGATGAGCTTCAAGCCATATTGTGGAATATTATAGCCAAAGGAATAAAAAAACAGGTGGAGGACCTTCTCAAAACCAAATAAGAGTCAGGTTTGTGGAGATACAATCCTGCTCAGAATAAAGAATCATGTTTTTCTAAGATGGTTAAAAAGTTACATGGCGAGGTTTTAAAAAATATAGCTTTTATGTTTAAAATGTAAACGGTACAATGATTTTAGGTCAGTGATCAAGTGTTTATCAATAATAATTTAATAAAGAAACAAATTAATTATTTATAAAAATGTAAGATGCATTCCAAGTTGAAAGTTCCTATAAATAAACAGGATAACACCGTGTGCACGTCTCACCATTGAAGCGGTCGATAGCTTCTTGTCTCATGTTTCCGTTGACTCCTCCATCAATACGCTCATATTTATAGCCCTCGTTTTCTAGAAAGTCCTCGAGCAGATCCAACATTTTGGTCATCTGGGAGAAGACTAGAACCCTGTGACCGCCCTCTTTTAATTTCCTCATCATTTTCTGAAGGAGCAGCAGTTTTCCCGACGCCTTGGTGAGGGCATTCCCTTCATACATGCCGTTCGGGAGTTTTGGTGCCTCCTGCAAAGAGTTTTAATTAATCAATAGCTTGAAGAAAATACAGGACTGAAAATGCACGAGTTAAGAGTGGCCCATAATAATAAGGATAATTTGCAAATCAGAAAGGTGTTAAATATAACTAATGTCTTGGTTGAGGTTCAAATATTAAGCAAAAAAGTAAACAGACTGCAGGTTTAGCCCGGAAAGTGCAGAAATATGAACTTACAACTTTGTTAATACACTGCTGGAATACACTGCAAGTTTCTGTTCTTTTTATTTTTAATAAAGGTTTCAGCTAACAATTATTTTTGTCATCAACTAGTGAGCAGTGATCTTTCAACTTTCTATTTTGCCCAGAAACTGAGTCTTTTTAAGAGAAAGGTCAGCAACAATGTGTTTTAATAGTCTGATTTTGATTTAATACCTGTTTTACTAGCAAAAGCTTTGTGCTATAGTGTGTTTATGATCAGGATACAACTTATTTAAATAGTCAACAATTATTTCTGTTGTCTATTCGTCATGATTATTCAGATTAATCAATGTGGCCCTATTTTTATTTAGCCATTATACAGCTTTACATAGACATATTCAATATTCCACATTTGTATGCCTCCAAACAACAACAAACAGATCTTTATATATTTGATCTACTGCACTTCTCTGAGCAGAAAATGAGGGCAGTACTCACAGTGGCAGCGGCGGGGAAGAGGTAGGGATGGTTGCAGCATTTCTTGAGGTCCATCACCACATTGAGGAGAGACACTTGGTTTCCTCCGCCGCGAGTGTTCAGGGCCTCAAAGTTACGAGTGAGAATGAACTTGTAGTATTTTCTAAACAGGATGAGAAAACAGCGACATATTAGAGGTGTGGTAAGAAATCTCAGAATATACTGATGTTTTATTTGGCAATACATATTTAATTCTATTTATTTGAGACATACATATTTACTTAAAAATTCACAAATATCTAAAACAATATTGTGCTCCAAGTGCTTCTACAATTTTACTTGTTTTTTTTTTTTTTTTTAAATAGTGACCACTGATCCCAGTATCATCATAATATGAGTAGACCCCCTTTTACACCGCAACACTAAGATTGTTTTTGTATTTTAGTTGTTTAATGAGTTTGAGGCGAAGAAACATCCAATTTAATACATTTGAATAGTCCGTGTTATTCTCTGTCTGTCTAACCTGTGTTTATCTAGGTAAAATGTTTTAGAACAATTCTCATTTGCAAACATGACCTGGTTATGATCATTTACAGATTTTGACACTGCACTGTCACATTCTCTTTATTATTGTCACACCATTTTCCCGTAACAGTGGCTAATTTTCTGTTCTTACTTCTGCATGGGACTGAGCTCGACTCGGACAATGAGCTCGGTTTTTGAAGGCATGTGTTTGAAGACGTCGGCCTTCAGTCTCCGGAGCATGTGAGGACCCAACATGTCGTGGAGCTTCTTTATCTGGTCCTCCTTTGCAATGTCCGCAAACTCCTCGAGGAAACCCTCCAAGTTACTGTAGTGAGATAAAAAATAGGGATGGTTATCGACTAATTTCCCATATCTGTCTGATTTTGGAAATTTAGCCGTCATTTGGCACCAGTTTTTGTTGTTGTTTTGAACATGCTGTATACTTATACAATCACACACAAAAAATATTTAATACATATTGCTATTATTTTAATGAAAGCAAGTAATTAGTAAACTTTAGTACAACTTAACATCAATTTGTGGTTCTTGCTATGGATTTTAAAAGCTTAATAACAGCATCAACCACAAAAGGAATCATTGATAAAATAATAATTACAATTTCATTAATGTGTGCATGCAAATGTGTATGAAAGATAGTTAAAAAAGGGGAAAGTACTGACTTAAATCTCTCTGGAGTTAAAAAGTTTAAGAGGTGGAAAAGCTCCTCTAGATTGTTCTGCAGAGGCGTTCCTGTCAGCAGCAGCTTGTGTTGTAGAGGGTAGTTGTTCAACACTCGGAAAAACTGTGGGACAAACAGAAAAATAAATTATTATGTGTTATTTATACTGCAAAAAGGAATATCTAGAGTTCAGACCTAGTTTATTTTACACATTTCAATACATCGCTTCTTAAACACAAGCTTGATCATTTCATGGAAAATTAACTTGAAAAAAATGAGGGACGCACCGATACAATAGTAGTATCGGATATGGGCACCGATATTTACATTTATCGTGGATTGGATATCGGTTCCAAGATATCGGTTTGGTCAATATGCTATTTTGGTCTATAACGACACTATTTACTGACCAATGCTGGCCCAAAAAACGTCCTGTAATATTAAACATTTGCACAAAAGTTGCTGTTCGTACCTTGGACTGGTTGTTTTTCAGTCTGTGTGCCTCATCCACAACTAAACAGGCCCATTCAATAGAGCCCAGAACAGCCTGGTCAATGGTGATCAGCTCATACGAAGTCAGGAGGACGTGGAACTTAACCTGGGAGTCTTTCTGTTAGGGCACAAGAAATTATAGAAGTACAGTTTAAAAAAAGTGTACGTAAGATTTGTTATTTATATTCAACATATGAGGTTAAGATGTTCAAATCAAATATCTCATTTACTGATAAATAAATGTAATGCTGATTTATCCATGAGTTCAAAAACCTTAGCAAAAGCAGCCAATCATTAATCAGATTTCTGGAGGTTCTGAGCTTCACCTGAGGCCTGTCAATAAACTGAGAACCAGAAAAACTTTCTCTACCATGGTAAACCCAGGTTCAGTTGTGATTGTAGTAGTACGTTTTACAAAACTGTAACACTACAAGCTACATACTTTTACTTTAAACTCTTAGCAACACAAGATAATAATTCTGTTCTTTACCTTCATTTTGGATGCTTTCTTGCCTCCTCTGATGGCGTTGCCTTCGAAGGAGAACTCGTTTTCTCGGATGACCGCTCTGCTGTCTTTGTCTCCCACATAAGTCACCACGTACATGTCCGGAGCCCACATCTCAAACTCTCTCTCCCAGTTTATGATGGTGGAGAGAGGAGCACTCACCAGGAACGGACCTTTGGAGTGACCCTGAACGATATAAAAATATGTCAACATTATGTGTACGTTTAGTTGAATAATGAGTTGAACTGATGCCTTCTCAGTAGGGATGGGAATTCAGTGAAATATTCTTAATCGATCGTCGGGAGAATTAACTATCGATTTGCGATTAATCATTAACCTTTTTATATTAAAAGTATCATCTTTATTACTATTACTAATCTGCATAAGTAAACTCAACTTTACAAAATATAAAGCATAACCACTATAGAGCCACATCAACCTGTTTGAGATTATAATGTGTTTAATGCAGCTTTGCACAAGTTTCATTTCTTGCGTAAGTCAAGAAATGAAACTTAAAACCGCACGGCTAATTTGTATAAACTAAGCAAGGGCTCTTATGCGCTGATGCGGTTCAGCTTCTGTCGGACTAAAGGAAACAACTCAGTGGCATATAGGTGTTTTTTCTGTGACAGAGGGATGTTGATGTTGATGGTTTTGATGGTGAGTCTGTTCTGTGTGTGTGTGTGTGTGTGTGTCACATTGGAGATGGTTCATGTTTTCAGAGATCATACGTGTGCAGGTTTAGCGCAACTCTTATGTTGTAGTAACCAGGAAACTGCGTAAACATGCAACATGACAAAACCGAGACACTGATGTGCATGTAAACGCACTCATTGATCTCCAAGGAGGTGCCAAAGCCGAAACGTTGGACTGTGAGGCCGAAACTTCAGTGTTTGCTCTGTCAGATACAGCTTCGTCTCTACGTGCAGCAACCTACATTCAGTTTGCTGATTAAAAATTAACATAATCAAAGAAATTCTTAATGAACAATTATCGATTAGTTGACTAATCATGCCCATCCCTACTTCTCAGCCTAATGCGTAATGTCACTGTACTCATTCTATCATCAATGTAAAGAACAATTTATGTGATACAGAAATAATGATTTTCTTTCTGTCTGACTCAAGTTCTAATGAAGGGAATCTCAGTAGGGCCCAAAGAGTGAGGACAAGCAGAACAGAGATGTAACAACTATGAAATCATATTTTACACACACAATAAAACTAAAATAAAAATGTGCAATTTAGACTCAGACTGGAATTGGATTTGGGTTCTTGTATTTTGAGTTTTATAATATTCAGAATCAGCTGAATTCTGTGGCTACGTGTCCTCATCTCTAACCCAAAAATATGAAAAAATAAGCTTTTTATTTAATGACTGACAGATGCATTGACCAATCAGAGGCTGTTTGTGTTTTGTGCACTGCAGTGTAAACCAACCAGGCTTTTACTGCGAGCTATCAGCAGTTTGTGAAATGACAATAGCAAAAAAAAACAACAGAAGTATAGGGTACATTAGATTTTCTCAATAAAAGTACTTAGATAAAAAGTTTGTACATTTAACAAATCTTGTGTGTTTAAGAAACATTCATAAATAAGGCCAATCATGTCTAAAATCTCACCTCTTTGTACAGTGAATACAGAAACACGGCGGTCTGGACAGTTTTTCCGAGTCCCATCTCATCGGCGAGGATTGTGTCCGTGGCTTGAGCCCAGGAAAACCGGAGCCAGTTCAGACCCTCCAGCTGGTACGGGTGCAGCGTCCCCCCAGTGCTGTCCAGATACTCCGGCTGACGATCAAACTTTATAGTGGGCTAGGAAAAATATTAGAAAAGAAAATATTTAAATTGATTTCTGGTTTTATTGCATTATTGTGGTTCATTATTTGGTAAGCTTTGGCTGTTTTAAAATGTGCTTTGGAAATAATTTGATTGAAACTTGAAATTGCAATAACATGAACAATGTGTAATATGTAACAAATTAAATAAAATTGTATGTCTTCTGATCTAAATGTAAGGTTTTTAATATTTTAATCCTGTTTAGTTTTGATCTTGATTTAGTTTTTCAGTCACGTCAGACCAATCTGCCCAAACCAAACCTAAAACTAAAACTAAAAGTTAAAAAAGACAAAATGAAAAACTTACATCTACGACTGGATTTGCTGGAGGTCTCTCTGCTTTTTTAATTTTGACTTGCTTTTTGAATTTTTTGCCTGGTCGGCCCTCCTCACCCATCATCAGCTCCCTGGAGAAGAAAGAGTTAATAACATTTAAAGAATATAAGATAATAATAAGAATAAACTATTTTATACCTGTGGTTCCAGTATGTTTGTTTGTAAGAGTCATAATCTGGGATGTCCATGTCTTCACTCTCCCAGGTCGACTGGTCACAGGGCAAGTCTCTCCATTTGATCAGGTAGTGAACGTTGTTTTTCTTATCAACACTAAAAAACAAATTAAGAAAAGAACCATTATTATTATTATGGTAACAATTTCCAAAACGACTGACAGACATATACCTTGGATAATACGGCTGAGTAAAACTTCAGTGTTAACAACCCCACACATTCAAACACAAGTGTACCAGACACTGGAGTGTTAAGTGTCTTGCCCAAGGACACAACTGAAAAACTAATAGATTGGATCTGAGATCTTCCCACTAACCTTTGGGTTAGTGTGCCCTGCACACACCTATTGAGCGCCTGCTGCTGTGAGCATGAGACAGTCCTCTTTCTTACACATAGGAGTAATATCTGTACCTGTGATTGAGGATGCGGTGAATCATCAGCCACTCGAGCTTCACACCGAAGCGATAGAAGTCCTCCTCCATGCGCGTGTACAGGGGGTCTTTGTTCTTTCGCTTCGTGCTCTTGTCGTCGTCTCCATCTCCTCCAAAGTCCACAGGAGGGGGCTCGTCCATGTCTGTCTTTCTCTGGTAGTTTCGAAACATCACCTGACAGTTCAGCTCCAGCTGAGGAGAAAACCACAACATCACTGTCTGTGTCCAACAGGTGAAAATTAACTATGACCTCTGACCCCTCACCTGCAGCTCCTGCACCCAGGCGCAGTGCCAGTACGACAGGTTGCACCATTTGACAAAGAACTCCCTCTCACGGCGGCCGACCAAAGGAGGGGGGTCTGGGGCGTCTGCAGGCAGGTCTGCGGGGCGTGGGACAGGGGTGGGGGGAGGAGGGTCGCCCCAGCGCCATGTCAGGACCTTCTGCACTTTGCCTTTAAGGGGTGGACACTGTAAAAGTAATGGTACATTTATTATTAGCAGGCCTGTCACAATAACCAACTTTGAAGTGCGTCACATTGATGAAGAAAATACAAAGATAAACAACAAAAACAGAACCTGACACAACATGAGCTGCAAAAAATAAATTTGCTAAATTAAACACCTTTAACTTTTGTATCTAAAATAAGCCATACAAAATGATTTACTGAACCCTCTACAGCTCAATATTTATTGTAGTACAGAAAAACACAAAAAGTTGTTAGAGTCATTATTATTAGGGATTGTCCAAAACGCAACAGAACTAATAAATTTCCCATTCTTGGCCAAAATATGAACCCGTGTATTTTCAGACTGATGAGCTCTGTTGGGCTCTGACCTTGCAGCGGGGGCAGATCCACTCTCCGTTGGGGATCTCGGGCAGAGGGGGGTTGAGGCAGTGGATGTGGTAGGAGGAGGGGCAGGTGTCACAGCACAGCAGCTCTCCTCCATCTTTACACATGCGACAATACTCGATGTGGTGGTCGTCTTCCTCCTCTGCTCCATCCTCCTGACGATCATCGTCATCCTCACCCTCCGCCTCCGACAGGTCGTCCCGCGCCTCCCACTGGATTCCCTCCTTCTCCTGGATCACGTACGCAGAGTTGGGGAGGGGGAGGGGCGGAGAGCAGCAGAGGTGCACGAGACACAAGGGGGAAAGAAAAGGAGACAGAGTATGTGTGTGTGAGGAGGACGAGGTGAGAGACCAGGAGAGGAAGGGTGGGGTGGATGGATACAACATGAAAAATATGGAAACACTGAATAAATTGAAAGTTGAAAAGGCACGCAGATTTTAGGAATGCAACAAAACTATATATAATATCAAATGGTTCGATAAGATACAATACGATTTACAGATATATGTGGCATTTAATTGATTCAGTTTCCTGTGATACGCAACATTTTGAGAACTTTTTTCACATTGAATTAAAGACTGAAGATTGAATTGTTAATTGCTAGGGTAACAGTCCTAATTTCGTGTGTTTATTGAGTCCCATTTTTAGATATATGGAAGAAAACAGCTACAATAAGGCCTAACTCTGCTATATTTGAACAGATAATACAAAGTTTATTGATAATTACTCTAAAAATAATAAGAGGAAAGATTTGTTATATCAAAATTGTACTGATATCGTGACCCATGTATAAAGATATGATTGTTGCATCCCTAAAACATTTGTAAATGCAGGTTACATGATATATCCAAATGTTACAGGTTAATTAAGGCAAAAAAATCCATAATTTCTGCTAAATTAATTTACTGACATGCAGCTTTTTAAATAATCGGTGCATGAAATCCTGCCACACTGATCTTTAATCCATGTATCATTCGTTTTTCAAAATAAAACCAAAAATAAGAAAACAAAAAAAAACTATGAAAGAAACAGATAACAATTTGTTTTTTTTCAGTTTTCGATTTTGTGTTTAAATGAATAATGGAAAAAAAAGATAACGGTCGTTTCCCATTTCCGACAGTCCTGGTTCAGTCCTGGTTTAGTCCAGATTTAGGACTGAGACTGGGACTGAGACCGGGGCCAGACCAGGACCAGACCAGAACTGAGACCGAGACCAGGATCAGGACCAGGATTAGGACTGAGACCGGGACCAGAGCAGGACTGAGACCAGGATTGCGACCGGTTTAGACCTGGTTTAGTCCTATTTTAGTCCTGGATTACTCCGTGTGCGGTGCAAAAGTCCGGCATCACAGTTTAAGAGTGAAACAGGAAATGATTTGGTTTTGGAGACAAATAATGAAGAAAATAGCTGTTTTTTTTTTTTTTCATTTTCTTATTTTTAGTTTTATTTTGAAAAACTAATGAACGAATGATACACGAATTATCTTTGGTATAGTCGACCACTTCGTTGGTTTTCAGATTTCGGGGGGAGCTAAAATTAACATTGTTGTGTCTGTGTTGTAATACAGGTCTAGGGTGTAGTCATTAATTAAAGGGATCAAGTTCAACATTTGTGAATTCACCTTTTGGATATTTCATGACAAAGTACAATGTGGGAAAAACTTGAGAGCCTTGAAAGTACGGTATCATCACGTTCTCTGAAAACCGCCTCTTCTGACTCCTGGACAGAGTGGTACTCACGCAGTGCGGGCAGCTCCACTTGCCCTCTGGGGCCTTCTCCATGTCTGGGTCGAGGCAGACCATGTGATAGGCTCTGGGGCAGGTGTCACACAGGATGATCTCCCCTCCCTGCTGACACACCTCACAGTAGTCCTGGTGATCCGTCTCATATCCATCACCGTCTTCTGTTTCTACTGGGGGACATACCACAAAGAAAACTAAAAACACCTACATATATTTACAAACTCCTGAAATGTGCAGATTTTAATGGTTTTAAAAGTTGTCTAGACATAGGCATTTGCTAGTTTAGGACTCTTTGAACTTTTTTATTATAAAATAGTTCACGTTCTCTTCACACTCCAGATAAAGCTTTCTGATTCTTAAACTATGCAATTTGTCAGTAGCTGTCTGTAACAAACTGCTATATCTATCCTTTTCAATTCCGTTAATCATCAGTTTGTCAAGATTGATTAGAAAAGTGGTTTGTCGTTCTGGTGAAATGAATCTACTGACCTTTCTTCTTTTTCTTTGCATTCTTGGACTTCTTCTTGGGTCGGCTGCTGCGACTGGAGCCATCGGACACAGAGAACGAGCCGTTGTCAAAATCACTGTCTGCGTCTGGCTCATCTTCATCACTCTGAGGAAATAAAACAAGACAAAGAAATTAAACGACGTTACATAAATTAAAAAAGTATTACAATAACATAAAGTATTTCTTACAGATGAGCGTTTCCTCTTGATACCATCCAGTTTGATTTTAAGTGGTGCCACCTTTTTGGGTTTGGGTTTCAGTGGAGCCTTAGACTTGGACTTTTTTCTTGCATTTGGACCTGAAATATTTAAAAATTAATTAGCGAAGACTGATATTTTAGAAGATAATGTGAGAATATGAGTAATATGCAAGTTAAACATGTTCAAATTAGTACATTATGCATTAGGCTTTTTGAACTACAAGTAAAAAGTATAATTCCAGACATGTTTTTGATGAGGAAACAATATAAAATGTTAAATTATGCACAATATATTTGACCTTTAAGATGACTGTACAAAGATAAGCGGAGGTCAGCAGAGGTAGAAGTACAAAGTAGTGGCCCAAAAAATTACTAAAGTTGAGAGTAAAAATGTAACTGGAGCAACTTATACTGAAGTAAGAGTATTTGTAAGAGTAACAGCCCAGTACCTTTTCCCTCTTTGGTCTTGGCCTTTCGCAGAGGAGGGGGAACAGGGGGAGGTGCTGGGGCGGAGGCAGGAGACGAGGCTGATCCGTTCTCTGGTCCCACGTCTGAAGCCACCATGTTCTCCACGGCTGCAGCCACGTTAGCGGTGGCCAAGGCGGCGTTAGCTGTGGCACAACCCTAAAAGAAACAATATAATATTACAATACATTATAATTACATCACATACTTGTATTTCTCAAGCTATGGTACATTAAGGCCCTGTCACACCTTGACTATTTCCCCAAAACGTTGCCATAAGCTGAACCATCGATGTTTTTTTTTTTCAATTTTGAGCGTAAACACAGTGTATTTATAACGATTTGGGCGTAAACATAACGTATTAGTAACTTATATAGAACGTTTTGATAACTTATAGATAACTTATACCAACTAATGCTTAGCGTGTTGCCAGCGTCCACAACTTATGCCACAACAGTCTAACCTCTGCACAGCGCACGGCAGCGTATCGTCGTCTCGTTTCCAATTAAAAGGCAGCCGATCGACAATTTAAATCATATATCAATCATATCAATCTCTGTCTGTATATGGTGCTCAATGCAACAGATCGATTGATAGTAGGGTGACCAAACGTCCGTTTTTCCCCGGACATGTCTGTATTTTGGGTCCTGTCCGGGGCGTCCCCGTAACCCGCGATAGGTGAAATCCGCGAAGTATCAACTTTATATTTTACAATTATTCTATCTGTTTTAAGTCTGTAAAACCCCTCAGCACAAACTTTATGCACTTTTCTCAGATAGGACAGGTGCAACCCTTTTTACTTCCTTCTTAAAACTTGTTGCTGCTGTCGTCCTTTTGTTATTTTCCTCCTTCTTTATGTAACGAACTGAAGATTAATTTATTCCGTAATGGAGCCGACAGCGCAGAGTCCCGCACGGGTCCAGTTTTTGGAGACCCCCAGTACAAACACCGCACCCCCGCAGGACAGGACCGCACCTGCCCGTTAACAGGAGATTATATCAAACTATTGCGCTGCCTACGCCACGGACTGAACCAAGACTAAACCAGGACTAACCCAGGACTGATTCCAGGACTGAAGAGGAGGACTAATCCACGACTGACCCCCCAAGGTGTCCGGGTTTTTACAAACGGAAATATGGTCACCCTAATTGACAGGTCAGAGCAGCGGGATCTGTCTGCGGACCACAGGCTGTAAAGTTGTGAGCGCGATCCCGTCCGCTGTTTCCTGTCTACAGTAAAACCACTCGCCACTGCACTTCAAGTCAAAACTGAGTGATTATTATTTGTGAACCGTGGTGCAATACTTCAGATGCATGATTTTTAAAGCATAAAAGATTGGAGATAAAGTCCACAGGAAGTAGAGTCACTATCGCTAAACTGCAGCTTCACACGCGCGCGCTGGACGTAAACAAACACACGTGCGACTCTCGCTTTTTTACTTTCAAAAAACGACTCAAATGGATTAATAGCGCGGTGTTGTCGACTGGATGTCATTATTTGCAGAGGACAAATTCTATGGATAATACAGGGTGAGTAATAAAGTCTTCTTATTGAGCTGGCGCAGTGCATTGATCGGTTAGGCTGTGTGCTGTTCTCCGCAGATCGCCAACGTGACGCTCTTTCCTACGGCTCTCAGTGAGGACATTTTCCCACTGTCTGATATCCTCTGTGGCCGAAGTATTCTCTGATCAAGTGTTTTGCATCGGCTCTTATGATATATGGGAGCACAAAGTCTGACTGTTTCCTCCTCATTTTTATACCGATTCTCCTAAACGCTGCCAATACACCATTATACGGTAGTTGGGTCCGGTCAAGCGGTAACGGAGAGAAAAAGGGGCAGATTTTTTACATTCAAATAGCTCTTATTCAGAAAGAAAGGTCATGGTAACGGAGGGAAAAGTAACGGAGGAAAATTGTGCAAGCAAGTAGAAGGTGCATGATTGTGGATAATTTGTCAGCTTTTTTCTTCCGAAAATTTTAATATTACTTCAAAATGAAAGGAAACTATTTCTATAAAATATGTCAGTCCTTCCAAGCAAATTTTTTATTATTTAAATTTTAATTTTTTTTTTTGAAAAATCATGTTCCTTCATCAACAGTTCAAAGATCGAATAACACAAGATATTATGAAATACATCCATTTATTTACATGATTTTCAGGTCTTTGAAATTTGGGAAATAATTTTTGTTCCATGTTTCATACATGGTCTGTTTAAAACGTATGTAACTTTAGAACCAAAAATGGTACAGAAAAAAGGTAAACAGTTTCATAAACTAGAGTACATATGCTATCTGTTGAATACATTTTTATATCAGATGCATTAACTTGAATTTTTGGCCTTGCTGTTTACTTCTGCTTGACCGGGCCCAGCTACAAGTTAGAAACACGTTCAGTAACTTCTGTGGTCGTCTGGAACATGTCAAATACGTCTGCATACGTCAATATGTGTTGGAGATAAGTTCTATATAAGTTACACATAGGTTCAAAGCACGTTACTCATAAGTTATGTGAACGCTAGACATTTTCTCAACGTATTTGGCGTTATGAGAAACTTACAATTAACGTGTGTCAACAATCGTATAATTTACCTACAACTTATGGTCTGCGTGTGCAGGACATACGCTGACATACTTCGAGAAATTTTCAGCATGCTCAAAATTTTTCGACGAGCTTGCCGTATGTCGCCGTATGCCAGCGTGCTTCAGCGTGTTCATAACTTATACAAGACTTACCTAGAATTTATCCGACGTACGACACTGTATTTGCCCAATTTTTCATACATCGGCATACGTTTTCTAAATCGTCAAGGTGTGACGGCGGTTCTACCAGTGTTTAAATCTAGTGATACTGTTTTGGAGGAAATGGTAAAAAATGTATAATTTTACTGACTGCTGCACTGTACTTACTTAGTTACTTCATTACTATTAAATGGTTGAGCCGTGATCTGCGCCACTTTTTACATTTGGATTGAAAAGGTGAGAGAGATTTGTTACATGGAGCAAATCACTTATTCTTTGAGACTTCACAGAGAGCACTTCATTACAAAATGGTGTCCCATGTTTCCTCTATTATTCCAGCAAGCTTAGTATTTTTTTTAATTATTATGTTTAATTATGATTATTATTTATTTTATGTTATTATTTATTTATTTATTTGTTATTTATTTATTTATGTCATTTTATAAATATATATTATTATAATTGTATATGCATATTTGTTTCTGTTATTAATATTGTTTTTATCTATACTGTTTGGTCTCTAAATGTACTTATGTCGATTCAGACCTAAATGTGTAATCAGCTTTATAATTGACTATGATGTACAAGCTGGGATATCTTAAACTTTAATCTTAATAAAAATAAAGTTAAAAAAATAAATAAATAAATCTGGTGTTCCTCAGAGAGCCAAATATTTACTTATGTGGGATTTGATTTGATGCATTTATAAAGATGTTGCTATAAAATGAGTTACATTAATAAGGATTAAAGGAAATCATGAATCACAAAAAGACTGGTCTTCTCAGTCAAAAAATGAACAAAACTTAAAGTATTTTTTCACTACAGCGTCAAAACTTGGAAGTAATATTGATTAACATAATGCACAATTTAGTAAGAAATTGTTACTGATTTGAATATTGCTTTCTAAAATAATGCATTAACCAGATATTAACTATATATTTACTATTATTTTACTACTTCTTTGTTGACTTGTAACAAACATAAATACCTTCAGTGGGTTGTTAGTGCTGAACTCTCTCCATTTGGCCATCATCAAAGTCATCATCTTTGACACGGCGATTTTAGGGTTTTTAGCTGCGATCAAGGGCCTGAACAACAAAACAGACAGAACAATAATGCAGTTTACAGTAAAAACTTGCAGGCAATTCATACAAATTTAATCATTATAAGAATTCTTGTTCAAATCAGTTACAAAATGTCTCTTCAGATTCTGTTGTGAATAATATGAGCACTTGTATTTCCTTTCAAGTGTGCTTCCTTTTCCAGTGGCAATTAGAACAATTGGTCCTTGTCTGAGCTCAGTTTAGGCCAGAAACAGACCTGGTTTGGTCCTGATCTAGTGTTGGTTTAATCCCTGGCTTAGTCCCGGTTGTGTTGGTGTGTGGGGGAGTGTGTGTGTGTGTGTGTGTGTGTGTGTGTGTACATAAGAGTGAGCACAGCCTTAGTCAAATACTCACTTCTTCTTCTAGAGGTTAGCTTTGGTCAGTACATAAATAACTTTTTCAATAATTACAACTTAAAATATGTTCCAAAAGAAAACACTGACACTAAAATACAGACTTTTAATTATTGCCATTTATCACAAATAATAGTCAAAGTCTGAACTAAAAAGACCCAAACTGATCACTGACATAAAAAAAAAAAACTGAATCTGGATCTCAGATCTTGATTATTTCTTTTACGATTTAAAAAATTGTTAAAATTTAAAAAGTGTAAGATGACAAACCTGACAAACTGGCTGAAGACTTTGTAGTTGGTGATGGAGTTGTAGTCGTCCTCGGTGAAGACGTGGTCGATGTCTTTCATGCCCCAGGCCTCCAGGAGCTGTGTGGAGCTTTTAGGCTGTTGGTTGAATTGGTTTTAGATTAATTTGTTGTTTTAGTGCAATTAAAAATGAAATACTGTGGAGGTTGTGTTCATATCATGTCAGAATATTGTAACAAGATGATAGTTTAACTTTGAGATGGAAGGCAGGTCAGAAAACAACAGAAGAATTTGCCTTTTAAATGTCAAAATGCAGATGTTTTGACCAGGTTTATGGTTAATATGTTTGTAATTACTGAACCTGGATCAACAAAAAACAGGAACTCACAGACTTTTGCTATAAGATTTTTGTGGGGTGATTATTCAAACCATTTGTTTCAGTGTGTTGCTGCCTCATTCCAAAATAAAACTATCTGTAGATCTGTACCAGGATGGGTGTGTAACTTTTCTAAACATGTGGCTATTAGAAGAGTCTACAGTAGGGGTGTAACGATATCCAAGTCTCACGATACGATATCGTCACGATATACATCTCACAGTATGATATTTATTGCAATATTTTGTGGAGGCTTACAAACAAAACTGTTAATATACTACTTTTTCCTCTTAAAATGCCTTGACAAGCCTTAATCCAAAAAACTAAGACTTAAAAGTGATTAGAACTGTTATTTCTTCATGTAGTCTGCACTGAATAGGAGCAAAGGATCATGGTCTATGTAGTTCCCTCTGTCTTTTTTTAGCTATTGCTGCGCCATAACTCCTAATGTAAACAAAGAGACTTATAATTCGATATATGATGATGATCCACGATATTATTGTGAGAACTTTGACGATACAATATCATGATATTTCGGTTATTGTTACATCCTTAGTCTACAGGCACCATAGTTAGTTTTTAGTTGAAAGCCTGAACCTTAAATCCCAACAAAAAATATAAGTTTCAGTGTATTTCCTTCAAAAATGTGCACTGTGTAGTATTCATGGGTTTCAGTTTTTTGTTATTATGCAACATTTTGAGGACTTTTTTCAAGGCTAAGACAAAGTTTTTGAATTTTCTACCATTCTGAAACCCATGGATATTCCCTCGCCCTCCATTTGAAAGTATAACATATTATTATTATTCACTTTTAATGCCTTATGAGCACTGCCTCTAATTAATAAACACACTCCGTACCTGACAGTCATCATCGTCGTCATCGTCCTCTTCGGGCTCAGGCTCTTTGCGTTTGCTTTTTGAGGACCCTCCTTTCTCTGCAGCCGAGCTCTTCTTCTTCTCTTTCGCGTTGCTTGATCGCTTCTTCTTCTTTCTTCCCGGAGCGTAATCACTGCCTTCACTTTCTGACCGCACGATGCTTTCGTCGGCTTCTCTCCCTATCGTCTCCACCTCCATCAGCGGCTCCGGAGAGCTGACGGGCAACTCCTGCTGGGAACGTAAAGAAAATCATTAAGACAAATGGTTTATCTATTCTATACTGGAATATCACCAAACCATATCATTAAAGGAGCTGCATCCAATTTTCTCATGTAATAAAGTTGAATTTGTTTTGCCCCAGTACAGTTGTATAGTTTTGATTTTATTGTGAAGCGCTTAAATCACCTTGAGTGTTGTAAAGGGCTCTATAAATAAAGGCATTAGGAAAGTGAGGAAAGTTTGGACCACTATAAAAAATATATAGTTACAGGACTTAATTCACTGCGTTATCTCTTCAAGCAACTGCGTCATTATGTTAGAGTACTCAGCATTCACTAATCACATCAGGTAATTGTCCTTTGTACAAATTTGTACAAATAGATATATTATACAAGTTAAATTTTACTATTTTTAGACCATCCAAATTCAAAGGGCTAAAACCAAGCTTAGAATGAATGTAGTAAAGCTTTGGAATTGACATGGTTAATAATTAAACTGATATTAAATGTTTTAAAGATGTTTCTTTGGATATTAATGTATTACAAGATGCTAGAAGTACAATTTGCAAAGTATCATGCTGGGGTCTGTACAGTATTGCGTTAGATTTAAGTCTAGTTTTAATACTTATTTATCTCGATTTTTCTTTGCATATTTCTATTCTCTTGATTAGGGGTGTGCAAAAATATCTAAATCTCATTATATTGAATTGTTTAATGTACAGTATCGATATCGTGGGCTGCTATATCAATATATCGCTAAGAGTATTTTGGTATATTTTGCTAAATTATTTTGTTAAAGTGCTACAGTTTTGTTGCTTGTTCAGTAGAAGGAAACTCATTTATTCAACACAATTCGCATTTTCACTGTTTTGAGGATTAAAATCTTTGTGTTTCATATTAACTTTGTACAAGAAGTGGTTTAACAAAGACTTTTAGTATCACAGCCATGATTTAGCCAATATTTTTACAGAACCTGTATCAAATCGAGTTGAAATATATCGTACTGAATCGAAAGCTCACTGCATCAAGATCATATCGTGGCCTATGTATCAAGGTATGTATCATGTCGGCAACTTCTTAATGATACCCATTACCCAGCCTGATGTTCTTGAGTTTTATGTTGCTACGCTGGAGTGACCCAATTGTGGGACAAATAAAGGTTGCCTTCTAGGGATGTAACAATATCCAAATCTCTCGGTACGATATTATCACGATATGCATCTCACGGTACGATATTTATTGCGATATTTTGCAGAGGTGAATATAATTGTGGATGTGACACTTTTTTTGCTTTTAAAATACCTTGACAAAATTTTGGTGTGAATTATTTCCGTCGTCGTAATCTCAAGAATTCAAGTTAAAAACATATTTCTTCATGTTGTCTGCACTGAAATTAATCATGGGATATGTAGTTCCTGGTGTTTATCAGCTGTTGCTACTATAAAACCATGCATTTAAGCAAAGAAACTTGTAATTTGATATATTGTGACAGCCCACGATATTATTGTGAGACTTTTAGCAACATGATATCACAATATTTTGGTTATTGTTACATCCTTGTTGTCTTCTTTTAATAAAATTGAAATTATTTGGGACCATTTTAGTGTTTTTTAATAACAGGGACATCACAGTGTAAGTTCACCAGTGTTCAGATGTTCAGGTGAGATGATCCATGTTGACTTCACTTTGTTTTGGTGTCACACTTTAAGTAAATCCTGTGTACCACTGTGCTGTACTGTCTCTGGTACCATGTCGGATGAGGCGCATACTGTACCTCTCTGACGGGCCTTTGTCTCTTGCTGCTCCGGCTCTCTCGGCTGCTCTTCTTGGCTTTCTTCTTCTTTTTGGACTTGGGCGCTTCTTCTGCATCACACACCGCATCCTCCGCCTCGTCCTCGTCTGCCGGTAACACAACATCATCATCATTACAGAGGGAGAGGAGCTGACCGCGCACTGGCACGACTTAACAAACAGCCGTGCGCGCGAGGGGAGTGCACGAGAGGCATGTGCACGCGAGAACAGTGCGCGCCAGCCAGGGACGTGCGCGTGAGGAGCGTGCGTAAACGTACACACTGAACGCCAAAACAATCCCGGGTCAAACTTTGCTGTTGTCTGCCTTTGAAACTTTGACAACTCGCGCCCTCTGTCACGAAAATACACGTGGTCGGTCCGTGCAGAGAATGGGCGTAATAACAGCGGTAAAAACGTGACACAAGTGGCCAAGTTCGGCAACTAAACAATCATGGCGAGTGACGGACACGGTCGAGTACTGGCTAGCTCAAGCTAACGTGATCATTAGCTTTACGCGCAGAGGCAGAGTCGGTCACGGAGCTTCGACGGGGTCAATAAACCGAGCTTACCGTGGAGAAGAGCGTGCTCCTCCGCGGCTCCGTAGTCCTCCCTGTCATCCTCGCTGCCAGACATTTTCCCGGCGCCTGGTTTGACTGCTGCTCGGTGGAAGAGTCCCTCCTAAAGCCTGCTGCTCTCCGCTGAGGGAGGAGGGAAAATGACGTGGGTCGGAGCGGACCTGGGGAGTCCAGCGGGAGGGGGCGACCGCGCTGCAAATACAGAAAGAAAAGGAAAGGTTGTTGTTTTAAAGCACTACATTTGTCTATATTTTACCACGTAGATTACTACAGATAGCAGACTGTCACAACTTATAAGTTCAATGAATTTACGCTCAGGTTTTGTGTTTTTCAGGTGCAGGGGAGGAGGGTTTCCAAAGGACTAAAGAGTGACATGTGAGTGCCACATTCGCAGATCCTGACTCTGAACAGCGCACGAAAGCAAAGTTGGAGCTTTGGACCATAGACTGTATAATATAAACCTTACCTGGATCCAGTGAACTTGTGCTGTGCGCGCGGTCCCAGCTCGAGGAGCTCTTCACTGAAATAATTGCTTCAGCTTTTGCGCGTGTTGACGTTTGTTGACGGTTTGAAGCCGGTTTCATCAATGAAAGGTGAAATCTTCAGAGAGCTGTCAATGACCCAAAACACGCCGCACCGTGCCCACTTTTCTCTGCCCCAGCCTCAGAGCTTAGCTAACATCCTCACACACACAAAGGGGGCAGACATCCCATAATAATCCCCCCTCCCACACTTGCACAGGACTCTGCATAGTTACCTCGCAACGGACAGACCATAATACTCTGCCCCCACCCCCTCCGCACGCACGCGCATGTACACTAACACGTGCGTGCACAGCCGCGCTCGTGCACGGGATCAGTGCATGCACGCGCTACTTTCCTGTCCCAGCCCATAGCAACCATGTTGTCATGGTGACGCCCCCTCCCTCTCGACAGACCATAATATTCCAGCAGCGGCATGCATCCCATAATATGCAACTCCCCAAAAGACAAGAAAGAAAAGCCAGCGGGCACATGGTCTGCACTATCAGGGCTCGTGCCCGCGTGAGGGGCACTGAGGGGGCACAGGGCTCTGAGAGGGGGCACCTGAAACCAGACTCAGGCCACGGTCCAAACTGTGTCCAAACTGAGCCACAGGTGAAGCATTATGGCCACAGGTGAGGCTCTGTGAAGTACCAGTCTGTACCAGTGTGACCTACAGTCCCTGACACGAAACCAACAGGTGTGAGCTCCACGAGCAGGGCCAGGGCCAGGGCCAGGGCCGGTCTGAGGCCCAGGGCAGAGCTGCTCTTAAAAGGCACAGTGACCATAACCTGCAGAAACAGAAGCAGCAGAGAAAGAGCCGTGTGAAAGAGCCACATCACAGAGTCAAGTCTAAAGGCCACAAGTCAAAGAGATGACAACCAGATTCTCTGTGATCTGTGTTTAGTAGAAGCAGACAATGAATTTCAGTTCTCTGACAAATCACATCTGGACCAACAACAATACAACAGGTAAGCTTTCAAACACTCACGCACGCACACACACACACACACACACACACACACACACACACACACACACACACACACACACACAAGCACAGACACAAGCACAGACACAAGCACAGACACAAGCACAGACACAAGTACACACAAGCACACATCCAGATACATACACACACTTCTGTTTAGTTCAGGCCTGGGCCTAAACACACAGTTTATTTGGTTTTGGTGGATGTTTATTTTTCCAGGTCAAAGCAGAAACTTTCATGAATGATAAAAACACTGTTGATCTAAAAAATAAAATAAGAATGATCCATTGATTTATATCGCACCTTTAATACACCAGGTGTGTTTTACAGTGGATTATTCACTCACTCCACACTCTGTAGTGGTCTTTTACTACTGTAGCCACACCTGCCCTGGGGCAGACTGACAGAAACTCCCCAACCATCAACAACACTTTTTTGTTTTTCTTGTTGAGGCCCCTCTTCCTCTCTCTCTGTCTCTCTTTTTTTCTCTCTGTCCCTCCCTCTCTGTCTCTGTGTCTCTCTGTTCGTGTCTCTTTTTCTCTTTTTGTGTGTGTCTCTCTGTCTCTCCCTCTTTCTCTCCATGCCTCTCTTACTCTCTCTCTTCGTTCCTCTGTCTCTCCCTCTCTCTCTGTCTCTGATTGTGAGGTGCTTGCTTCTGTGAGGCCTGTAGTGTCTCCGCTGGGCATGCTGCTGCTGCTGCTGCTGCTGCTGCTCTACTGTACACTTACATGCAGATTGCATAGCAACAAAGCCTATGTCTGTCTCACGTCTGTTACTTTCGCTCGACTGCCCCTTCACTGGTTCACGCGCATCACCTCCTCCTACTCCTCCGACTCCTGCGCCGCCCGCACACACCTCACATACAAACCAATGCGCCATCTTCATTGTTCTATAATATTCATGCATGGTCCGTTCATCCCCCTGCCCCCTCCCCCGTGTGAGACCCCCCTCCTGCCCGCCCCCCCGCTCCCTGCCTGACAACACTGCTGCCATCCCATAATATTCATGAGCACGCGCCGCACACACTCGCGCTCTCACGGCTTCTTCCCTTTGTTGGCACAGATGCAGGGCCGTGCACAGAGCTGAAGATATCGTCTCCAGGTTCAGACAGGTGCCGTCCTCCTCCGAGTCCCCACATGCAGATGCCAGGTGCTGCTGACACACATGCCTCACTATGACCTTGACGCGAATCATGGAGTCACCATTTCAGAAAGAGGCCAGTCATCGGACGTCAGATCAGACAAACCGCTTCTGCAGATCAAATTCCTCAACAAAATACTCATACTCTAGTAAATCACCAACAGGTTGGGTTCACGAGTTCTTAAGAGTTTATAGTTTAAATTTAAGCTGAAGGAGGTCACTTTCTGTGGTTAAATTTGACTTTTTTGACCTTTTTTTTGTAGTTAAAATTCTCAGGCCTATCCACATGAAACAAAAACTGACATAAAGTTCCATGTTGATCCAAATATTTTTACACTTTATTATTGAAAAGTGATTAAATTGTTCCATTGAAAGAACTTCACACGGTTAAAAAGATTTCAAATTAAAAATTGCAGATTTAATCGTCGAACAGAATGTAGATTGGAAGCGATGATGCTCACTGTAAGAATGCCAGCAAGAAAGTTACATAGTGCACCTTTAAATATCAGCTCATTTAAAAGGTCCTGTTGATTCTTGAGAGCTTCAGAATGTTGCTTCCTCCTCCAAAAACAAAAAACATACTTCTAGTTGTTGTGTTTTTGTTTCATTCACACATGTTTGAGTAACGCTTATTATTAGTCTGTCTGCATCTCCAAAGCTCTAAATGCTCTGTTCCACATTGTGATGTCATGAAGCAGTGGTTTTCAAGTTAACAACTCCATTTTACCTTTACATCTGTAGAGATTGGCAACTCCAAGGCAGAAATTATCTAAATGATTCTTGTGAAGGTGTATGGAGTTTAAAAACACAGTGGAGCACTTCCTGTAATACACCATGACATCACAACCACGACAGGGCGGCAGTAGCTCAATTGGTGGAGCATTTGTCCACTGATCCGAAGGTTAGTGGTTCAAATCCCGCTCTGGACATAATAAAACATCACTTGTTAAGCAGTCAAACCTACTGCCAGCTCTCACAGATGAATACTGTTGTTGTGTCCTTGGGCAAGGCACTTAACCCACCTCACCCTTAGAGTCTGTGTAAATAGGTGAATGGTTCCTTGACGTAAAGCGCTTTGAGTGCCTTGGACGTGTAAAAGTGTTATATAAAAATGTGACCATTTACTAGGGCTGGGTATTGTGAAGAAGTTGCCGATACGATACATAGGCCACGATACGATACAGTGCACTTTCAATCTGATACGATATATTTCAAATCAATTCAATACGCTTCAATAAAAAATAAAGGCTAAATCATGGCTGTAATACTAAAAGTCTTTCTTAAACCACTTCTTGTTCAAAGTTCATATGAAACACGCCCATTTTAATCATTAAAACCTGTGAAAATGTGAAGTGTGTCGCAAACATGAGTTGTCTTCCTCTAAACAAGCAACAAAACTGTAGCACTGTAACAAAATAATTTAGTAAAATATACCAAAAAATCCTCTTGGCGATATATCGATACAGCAGCCCATGATATCAATACTGTGTCATCACAACGGTACGATATATCGATATTTTGATATTTTTGCAAACCCCTACCATTTACCACAAGATTTTTACCATTTGAGACAAGAACATGGAGTAAATTTGCAGGTTTGTGTGTCTGACGTGTGAATGAAACAAAACACAACTCCAGGTGTGTTTTTGATGAAACAGCAACATAAATTAGAAAATAGCTTAATATGGGCCCTTAAAGTATATATTTTTATTTTAACCCCTTAACGCCTGAATTTATGTAGTTTTGTGTGTGTGTTTGCCTTTAAGTAGATGGTAAATTAAGTTTAGATTTTTAATTTGACTATAGCAAATAAATAAATAAATAGAAATGTGGGTATGTTGCAAATTGTGACAACTAGAAACAAGTGCTTGCCAAAGAAAGTCCTGACACTGGGGGAATGCAGCTGCTATCTCGACTTTTATCTTGATCCAAAAAGTTTGTTGCATATTTGTTACAGTCGGCGTTAAGAGGTTAACATAAAATATATTGAAACTGAAAAAGATGACATTATATATTGAAATAGGGTCCACATATTTTTTCTACCCGTCTGAAATTATGACATAAAAATTTTAGAACGTCGTGAACCCAGCCTATAGGCCGTTTCAGAATGATAAAATGTCCCCAAACTGGAGAACGATAGATAAAAAAGAAGGAAAGTTATTTACGAGAGTGAGGTGAAAGGATGGGCATAACAGAGGCGCCGGACATGACAGTGACCACCTCGTCGCCATGGAGTCGCCGTGGGAGACTGCGGAAGACGTCATTTGGAGAAACAGGGGACACAAAGGCGCAAAACGACACGAGGATGGGCCCAAACACAAGAGAAGGGGCCTAACAAGAACCTGTCTTTGCAGATGGGGCGCCGCGAGTCACAGGGTTCAGGTAAACGCACATACAAGTGTAGTCATCTGAGTCAACACCAGACACAAATATACTATAGATCAAAGTTTATGTAAAGCCAAAAACAGTCGCCTAGACGAGGATCTTCAATAAATTCTACGCCATAAATATATTTTTAACTCATCCAGGTGTGAACAAAATCCACCAGACCTAATATTGTGTTTGAATATTCTCAATAAATGCACAAAAAAGTAATATAGTATGCATTTAAGTTCATAATATTAATTTTAAAGATGGTACGAAATGATAAATGCGCTCTTACTGATTTAAAAAATGAATATATAAATAAAACAATTGCAATTTTCACACCTTGGGCTCATCCTAGTTTTCAATTTAATGATTTTTTTGCATTAAAATAAAAATTTGGGTATTAAAAAAGTACATTTTAAGGAAGAAATCATATAAATATTCTCTGTAATATGCACCTAAACTAGTCAAAACTATTCTTCTTAATAATAATAATGATTCATTTTCAGAATTCAAGTAATAAAAGCCCTGCTAGAGATGATTTTTGTGTCCGGTTAACATCAGGGAGGGCATCTGGAGTGAAAAATAACCCAAAAATCACCAGATGCATGCGTTTCAGTATTTGCTTAAACTAGACTGACTAGAAGCTTCCTCGATATTCCATGCATTTCCTAACAGCGTTTAAGCGCCTTGTCTATCACGTACCCTCCTCTTCCTCCGTGTACGTGGTGATTTATTTGCCCCAGTTTCAATATTTGACGGCGCTGTGTTTTCTTCCCCTTGTCTAAATGTCACCCCTTCTTCTTGGACAATATAGGGAGAGGGAGAGAGGAGGAACCCGGGGGCAAATGCAGGCGACACTCACGGGAGGGAGGGGGCAAACTCGTAAAATGAGCAACAAAGTTTGGGAAAATTAAACATTAGCGAAGGTGTTTTTTCTCACATGCGCGGCCGTACAGGTGGATGCTGAGTCATACTTAGTTAGGATACTTTTTTATACTAAATTGTGTTTTATATTGGATTAAATTTAAAAATCCACATTTGCTCTTAATTATTACTTATTCATTGGGTTAAATTTTCTCTTATATGCAACATTTTGAGTATTTTTTCTTGTTAAAAATTTAATATGTTGCTTAAATTGTCCTAAATTCTCATAATTCTGAAACCAAATTTTTTTTTAAAAGTTGACCGAAAACTGTAAACTCTCTCATTAATTCATCAGTTTATATTGGTTTAGCTGTATTCACACATACACTTGAACATTAGGATTTGAACCTGAACTAAACCTGGACTAGACCATGACCAAACCAGGACCTCAAACAGGACTAAACCTGGACTAGACCATGACTAAAACAGAGCTCAAAGCAGGACTAAACCAGAACCTTTCGTAAATAAGAGATAAATGGGTTGCCTGGTGGATCAAAGATGCCAAAATAATAAAATAATAATGGAAACTATTTGTAAACATTTTCAAACTTGCTCTTGGGTCTGGCTCTGAACCCTCCCACCAGGATCACGCCTGTGTCTCTGTCCTTTATAACCTGCCCCATCACGCAGCGCTCACTCATTCCCTCATTCTCCAACCTCTGAACTGGGATCGGACTATTTTATCTTTACACTGGGAATACTGCAACTGTGTTTTTTCAGTAATGACAGAAGCTAAGACCACTGGACTTGAATGATAATGGGTGTTTTCTTTCTAATTATCTTTTAAACTGGATACCTGGGTCCTGATTGGCTGCTGTGTCACAGACTGAGAGCATGCTTCTGCGGATGGAAGTTGGAGACACTTTGGCACAGAAGACTTAGTCAAACATCAATAAATGGGTAAGAAATAAGACAACTACAGCGAGTGGTTCCAGGTCATAGCTTTCAGTTTCCTGTTATAGGCTCTTCAACAGATATAATATTTAGTTTTAAATGGTTAATTGTCATGGCAATAGTCCTCATTTCCCATCATTCTGAAACCCATGGATTGAGAGCATTAAGCAAACCACTAAACAGGCTGCGTTAAACACCTGCTCTGGTGCGTTAACACCTGTTCTGTATTGGTTGTAGTTTGTGCCCAGGTTTGTCCTGATGCAAAACTTTCCAGTCCTGGTTCAGTCCAATTTGGTTTAGTCCCAGTTTTGATGTGATGTGTGTAAATGTGAACATATTTTGGTCTCTTATTTGGATTGTTATACAAATACAGACGACCTGTTGTATACCTGAGATAAGAGAGCAGAAGTAATGCTCTAGGAGAGAGTGGTAACAGGCTGTTGTCTTCACAGATTTGTGGGGATCGTCCCCTGAGGTGGGACAGGTTTAAGCAGAGCTGCAGAGGGTCTGAGGAGGAGGGCCGAGCGCTGGTCCTGAACACGGCTGACGCACTCAGAGCACAGACACACAGTCTGATGCCAACTGTCTCCACTGTCAATCGAACGGCACCACTCCTCCTCCTGTTGCTATGGGCGATCTGCCCCACCATGGCAACCAACTGGCTGTAAGTCTAGCGTGCAGAGGTGCAGAGAAAGAGGGAGTTTGTTTGTCATGCTATAACTTTAAAGCACAGTGACATGTCTCTAAATCTCCCCGCGCACTGCCCTCGCCGCCTTTGTCTCTGTCCTTGTGACCTTTTCTCTTTTATTCTTCCTCTCTTCATGCGCCTCTCTGTTGCCTTTTCCACTGTTTTTTCTCCGCTTTAAAACTTCGTTAGTTCCTCGTTCCCTTCTGCTTTCATTATGCACATTCCTCCTCTGCCCTCTGCTCGTCCATTTCTCTAAAAGTCACTACAACAATGTGGTCCTATTTGTCCCCGCAGCTCCCTGGCGAGGCTGCCGCGCTCCAGGCCTGTGTCGGGGGCTGCTCCGTGCGCGCGGCTCAGGGGGCTGACCCCGGGGCAGGTGGGAGTGTGCAGGGCAAGGGGGGAGGTCATGGAGTCTGTGCGGAAAGCAGCCGAGATGGTCATAGAAGAGGTACGATACGAGAGGCTTTGGGATGAGAAATAGAGAGAAAATGTAGGGGTGGGATCAGACAGAATTACCACAAGATGAGACGAGACATGAGATTGGGTAAACTTAAGAAACAAGAACAAGACAAGGCAAGATTTCAAATATTATTTCTAATTAAAATGTGTGGTTCAGTTCATACTTTTGACCCTTACAATTTTTGATTTATTTTTTTGACATTTTTTGGCTTCTCAAAATGTTAACTCACCAGCGTTTAACCCTACAAATCCAAATGCAATCATATTATAACAGTGTGTCCAATCTTGTGCTAATTCTGTCTTGCAAGATCTTGTAAAACGAGATCAAAATGTGGTAAATGTGGTAAAGGTGCACTATGTAACTTTTCTAGTGGAGAGTTTGCCACCTGCTTCTAGGATGACCACTTCCAATGGTAAAGAAAAAAAAGAGGAACAAGTTAAATATGATTGGACAAGGTGGGATGGATAAGATAAGTGGAATAACTCTCCATGATTTTCAGTTCAGCACAGACAGAAAGAGATTTGGAACAGAAAGATTACAAACATATTGAAACCCAGAAAGCCAGTACACCCACATAAGTTTTTATACAATTCATGTGGCTTCAATCAGAAAGTGAGAAGTGGGATGAGTGGGACAGGGGCCTAAACAGCTGTCAAAGAAAACAAAAAGAGGAACATGTGGTCACCCTACTTGTACTTGTCTTCATGAAGATGTTATAAGTTTGTTTAGAATGTTTCACAATATGATTTTAGACTTTCTAATCATGTTTTGGCATTTTAATTACTGAAAAAACAACTTTAAAGTCATGCATTTGGAATTATAAGTGTAGTAACTTGGTCTAGTAGTGGTATTGTTGCATGTATCCATCAAGATTTATTGTCAACATTCCAGGCAGGTCAATAACATCTCTACAGAGACAAGCAGAGCGACAGAAAAGCTCCGTGAGGCTCCTTTAAATGTGATATTCAGTGTCTCACCTTGACCTGTGTCTCAGTGCCAGCACCAGTTCAGAAACCGTCGATGGAACTGCTCCACGACTCCTCGAGGAATCAATGTGTTTGGAAGAGTAATGAACCAAGGTAAAACTCAATATAAACATTTAAAAAATACTGAACTAAGGTAAAAATGTCTGTGTAATCCCTCAGTCGTTCAGGTCAGGCTCCATCATGAAGGAAAATGTTCCATCTCAAAGCCACTAAGCGCTCATTTGAAGATAGTGAGCAGTCTTGCCTGATGTCACGTAGTTCTTGAAGCTCCAGAGTTCAATAGAGGCCGCATACTCTAAGTTTTTTACCTAATTTGCTTTTGCCAACAAGGACTTTGAACAGTAGACGACGCTATTAAAACACGATATACACAGATAAAAGCAAAAAAGTTCATTTAGTGTTTAGCTTCCACTTAAAAAAAAATCTAGCTGACAGAATTTAGTTTCCTTTTGCAGTGAACAAGGTAAAATCTAATCCTCAAAACATTTAAACACATGAAGGTTATGAAATAAAACAGTGTTCTTTATTGCAGGCACTCGTGAGGCGGCCTTCGTGCACGCGCTGTCCTCCGCTGCAGTGGCTGTGGCCGTGACGCGCGCCTGCACCCGGGGGGAGTTAGAGCGCTGCGGCTGCGACAGGAAGGTCAGGGGGGTCAGCCCAGAGGGTGAGCATGTGGCATTAGCAATGGGCACAACAACACCACAACACTGGGTTACTCATTATTGGTCTTGTACACAGCAAAAATCATAATGAGTACAATATCGTTACAGATTTAAGTAGTTCAGATGATTTGGTTTGAAGTATTTGAAGTAGTCTAATGTTTTGAAACAGATCAGATACATCTTGAAAGAAGCACAGTGCTGCAAACCTTTCCGGTGTGGAGGAGAAGTTTTTGTTTTGCCGGGAATGTTTCACTGTATGCATTAAAGTTATGCATTTATTCCATTAAAGGTGTTTTTTATTGTAAGATTTGAACTGTGAACGTCATCACCGCTCTACAGATTTGTGCTGTACTTTGCTTGATGGCGCCACATTCTGTCTCCATGAGATTGTGGATTATTCTAGGCAAAGTAGAAAAGTTAGATAATGTACCTCTTTCCAGAAAAACAAAACAAAACAAAACTTAGTCTCTCATCCACAGTGTCACATTGTCGTTCTGTCGCTCCACAGGGTTCCAGTGGTCCGGGTGCAGTGATAACCTCTCCTATGGAGTGGCGTTCTCCCAAACGTTTGTGGATGAACCGGAGCGAGCCAAAGGGCTGTCCGCTGGCCGACCGCTCATGAACCTACACAACAACGAGGCAGGAAGAAAGGTCAGTTTGAACACACAAACAGCAAAAAACAGATTCTCCAGCATGAGTGAAAATGACTAATTATGAATATTAAACTTAAAGGTACAAAACATTTGGCATTAAAGATTTCTATTTTGCATTTATTTATGAATTTTATTGCTAAAATTATGCTTGAACCCTGCATTCTTACTGTTCTTACTGCAATGGTAAGAATTAGGATTGGGTATCATGAAGAAGTTGCCGATACAATACATACCTCGATACATAGGCCACGATATGATACATATCTCGATACAGTGAGCTTATGATTCGATTCAATTCTTAACTCCTTCTTAAACTATGTCTTGTGCAACGTTCATATGAAACACACACATTTTAATAATTAAAAATGTGTTGCATAAACGAGTTTCCTTCGTCTGAACAAGCAGCAAAACTGTAGCGCTGTAACAAAATAATTAAGTAAAAGATATCACAAATACTCTTGGCGATATATTAATTCAGCAGCCCATGATATTGATACTGTATCATCACATTAAACAATGCGATATATATGTATATATATTGATATTTTTGCACACCCCTATGCTTGAACCCTGCATTCTTACTGTGAGTGTGTTCACCTATCCACAGATCTGACTTGAAACGTGGCCTGGTGAGTCTCCTGCTCGTCTCTATGGAGATAGATACTGTATGTTGTGAAGGTCATACTGTGGAACTTTTCAGACAAAGCAATAACATCTCCTTAGACGCAAGCAGGTGACGGACCCTCCACCAAAAAGTTACATAATGAACCTTTAATTTGGGTGGTTTTGACTAATTTCAAGATTCATGCATACATTTTTATTTCAAGCTTTTGCCATGGGGTAAAAAATGCACTTACCTGTTGACTGAATTATTTTGACCAATCAGAAATGTCATGAAACAATTTAAATAATGCCATATAAACAATTAAATCTAAAGTAAAAACTACTGACAATAAAACAAATATTTAAGAACTGATCTAAGACGATGTCCAGTTGTTTCAGTGTTGTCCCTGACAGAGCGTGTGTTTCAGGCCATCCTCCACAACATGCAGGTGGAGTGTAAGTGTCACGGCGTCTCTGGCTCCTGCGAGCTCAGGACCTGCTGGAAGGTCATGCCCCCGTTCAGGAGGGTGGGCGTCGTGCTTAAAGAGCGCTTTGACGGAGCAACTGAGGTACAACACAAACACCTCAAAAGAACGCTTTCGTATACACTGCAAAATAAAATACTTACACGAGTTAAACTGGCTGGATTTAAGAGTATTAATCTTCTTTAGAGCAGTTTTGATTTTTTTTTTTTTTTTTTAGCTATTTCTAGATTCTTGGACCTAGTATCTAGAATTTTGGGTTAGTATTTCTGATGTTTTTATTTGCTAGTGGAGGAGTGAAAGATGAAACTTGTGGTCAACTAAATGAAAAATATTTAGCTTTACTCAAGAATTTTTTTTAAAACCAGATCGCCAAATCTATCATCATTAATATTCTTAATTAAAGTGAAAGTCCTACCCTACCTCTACCCCAGACCCCTATAATTATAGTTTGTAAAAACTAATTATCTTATTATTTGACAACTAAATAATGATCTTGAATGAACTAATTTTCATACCCTTGCTCTGTCAGGTTCGGCTCACTCGTATTGGTTCGCGGCCGGCCTTGTTGCCTCGAGACCCCCAGGTTAAACCGCCTGCTGCCAGGGACCTGCTCTACCTGGCTCCCTCCCCAGACTTCTGTCACCTGGACCCAGACAACGGGATTCCTGGGACCGCAGGCCGAAGGTGCAATGGTAAGAGTTAGGGCTGGGGATCATCAAGAAGTTACCGATACAATACTTATCTTGATACAGTGCACTTTCGATTCTATAGGATATATTTGAAATCAATTCTATATGGTTCAATAAAAAATTATTTACTAATCATGGGTGTGATACTAAAGTCTTCATGAAACCACCTCTTGTGCAAAGTTCACATGAAACACACCCATTTTATTCATCAAAACAGTGAAAATGTCAAATGTGTTACATAAGGGAGTTTCCTTTTTCTGAAAAATCAACAAAACTGTAACACTTTAACAAAATAATTGAGTAAAATATACCAAAAATACTCTTGGCGATATATTAACACAGCAGGCCATGATATCAATACTGTGTTATCACATTAAACGATACGATATATTTCGATATTTTCGATATTTTTATACACAAACATTTTTATCCCAAAAACGAGTTTGTTAAAATGACTTCGACTCAGGATTCTAATCTCTCAGTTTCAGTGGTTTTGACTAATTTAGATTTGGACCTATACCTTATTTTACTTTCAGTAGAGTAGTTCTTATTCCAAGCCAAATTATTTACCAATGGGTTAAGAAAAATGCACAACAGAATCCAGGCACTCCAAAGAATTAAAACTCACATGAGGAAAAATAGAAGCCAGGACCAGTTTGGACGAAGCATGCTGGCTTTGACCATCTAAATAAAAGCCTTTTAACTATATTTTTCCTTGTGCAATTTTTACTTCTTTGGAATGCCTGGAGTCCGTTGTGTTTAAAGTTTTGCTCTTTTTCCAAGAGCACCGTCTACCTGCTCCCACTGATTGGAAAACCTGCAGCAAACAGCCACATTTTTGTTTATTCTGTTCAGAAAAACGCACTTTGAATGTTTTGAAAATGTTGTAATATTCTACATCACATAAGCAATTAAAACTAACCTTGTCAAAACTGTTGAAATAGGACTAGATCTAAAATGGTTGAAGTGTGATGTATTTTAATTTGACATGTCTGGATGCATTAATCTGTGTCAGGGACGTCCCGCTTGGCTCCGGACGGCTGCGAGCTGGTGTGCTGCGGGCCCGGGTACAGGGCGGGCCGGGCCGAGGTGGTACAGCGCTGCTCCTGCAAGTTCTCCTGGTGCTGCTCAGTGCGCTGTCAGCAATGCAAAAACACTGTCACCATTCACACGTGCAGAGTCTAAAGTCCTACAAATATCTGACACATGTCCTACAAAAGGGAAATGACTGAGGAATTAACACGTAACAGACCAACAGACAGACACGAGATGGTCCACGGGCTGTGTACGCTGCAAAAAAGAACGTGCATTAGTTAAAATGATTTGAATTCAGAATATTTATCTTGAGAATTGGCAGTTTCCAGATTCTACAATGATAATGTCAAACTTCTAGAAAACGGAGATTGATTTTATTGTGCTTTGTATCTGATGAATGGCAAAACTTCTCTCTAAAAACCAGACAGAATTTAATTTTCTTTTACATAACCTACCGAGATGACAGCGGGGTTACACAGACATATTCATTTTGGCTTCCTCCATCTGTATTAAATATTATTGGCCTACAAAGTATTATTATGTCCCAGATATTAGTTGTATTTCATTCGTACTGACCAACAGTGGTTCAAGCTTGTAATGTTTCTGATTCTTTTACTACTGCCCTCTGGTGGTCTTCAGAGCCTCATAGAACCCTGGTTATTCCTGTAACTACTGATTTATCTATTATTTATTTAGATTATTTGTTGAAAGTGAAGGCATTTCCCTACTTTACATATATAATGTGGAGAAAATTTGCATTACTTTTGATGCAAATAGATTTAAATCAATATACAGGTAAATATCCTAAAATAATCTTGACAAACTAATTAAAAACCTCGACTTATAAGTTTCATAATTAAATAAATATTCTGAATTCAAGTGCTTTTGAGTTTTGAGTTTTGCAGTGTGCATGTAAATAATCAGCAGATGATCGTTTTGGCTCAACTCTGAGCTTTTTCACGAAGAAAACATAAATAGTGAGACAAATACAGACATGCTCCGACAGGCAGGCTTGTATCCACACACGGGGCTGGGTCATATCACATCGCTCCACCACAGAGACCATTTTCACTGAGCCGACAAAGCTTAAACAGCTGAACTTAACCACAACTAACAGAGAATGTGTACAATTTACATCTATGGTGTTTAATTCAAAGTAGCAAATGTTTGTACATCAAGAGGTCAAAATGTCTCATCTTCATTTGGGTTATTTATTTGTTTAATGCCATGTACCAGTGTAATCTGAGCTTCACTGTATTAACATCAGAGTCTGTCTTGTGCTTTGTCCATTATTGTACATTTTTGCACATGCATTTCCTGTAGATCTGTTTGATGCATCTAATAAGCACTCTAGTAAAATTATCTTTCACTGTTGTTTCTTTCACTTGTCCAAAACACTTGCATTCAGTAGAGGCGTAACGATATCCAAGTCTCACGATACGATATTGTCACGGTATACATCTCACTGTACGATATTTATTGCGATATTTTGTGGAGGCTTACAAACAAAACTATTAATATGCTACTTTTAAATGCCTTGATAAGACTTAATTCAAATAACTAAGACTTAAAAGTGCTTAGAACTGTTATTATGTTAGTCTGCACTGAAATGGAGCAAAGGATCTTGGTCAATGTAGTTCCCTCTGTCTTTTTTTTTTTTTTTTTTAGCTATTGCTGCACCATAACTCTTAATTTATGCAAAGAGACTTGTGATTCGATATATTGTGATGGTCCAGGATATTACTGTGAGAACTTTGACGATACGATATCACGATATTTCGGTTATTGTTACGTCCCTGGCATTCACGTAACATAACTTTTACTATTTAGATGGAGGGCAGATCAGAACTATATGGTAGAAATTGCAAATGTTTTCACCTTGTTCATCGTTAATATTTGAGATTACTGGGCCTAGTCACACAAAACAAAAACTGTCTGAAAGTTCAATGTTTTCATGTGGATCCCAAGAAGAGTAGCTGGTGTCACGGACATCAGCTAATAGGATCCGAATCAAATCAAATCAACTTCTCTGTCAGAATAAATTAGGTTCTGCTATATCAGTAAGTGTATCAGTAAGGCATTATTCAGTCACACATACCCATAAATTAACTTCTCTATTTCAGGATATAGGTATTACATTGTTTTTGAGAGATTAAAATGAGAGCAATACGATGGAATAAGTATTGTGTTAGATGAGAACCATAAGGAATTGTCAGGATAAGATTATTTTATCCAATCAGGTGTGATGTACGAGAACCATGAGGAAGTAAACAACAGAAAAACAAACAAAAAAAAACAAATGCCTATTGTTAAATAAAGGCCAGTGCCCTCTGCCCAGGCTGGCGTCACCTAGTGCCTCCGTTCAAAATTTTATTTCTCTCCAGCGACTAGGTCAGGAATCAGAATACAAAAACCCTGGAAGTGCGAGTCCGGGTAACAGCCAATCAGCGAAAGAGACATATATTCTGTGTTGGCAACGATTCCCGAGATCAAGAATTTAAAGCTGGAATAAAGAGAATGTTTGGTGAATTTTATCAAGGGTAAAGACGTTATTGCCCTTCTTCCTATGGGATTTGGGAAAAGTTTAATATACCAGTTTAATATACCAGTTAGTCCCGTTAGCAGTCACGATCAAATAGCAGCGATTGGTTAAATAAAAAAAGTACCCGCCTACTGTCGAGTGAACGAATCCTAATGCTGCGAGGTCAGACGGTTTCTACAAAGTGAAACAGGCTGATGAATCAGGTATAAGGACATCATGAAAGTCTAAAAAGTAATCCAATAGTTTAGAGGATATTACATAAAGAAAAACTGGTTTGTGACTCAAAAAAAAAAAAGGAAGCGATATTTCTGCAAACCATTTTATTACAAATATTCAGTGATTATAAACACCCACAATTAGTTATCATCGCCATGTTGAGGATGATGTGTTCAAACATTAAGACTAAAATTGTTACAGTATTGATCAAGTTTGTTGTCTACCGATAAAAAACAACAAAAAAGTTCAAGTTTTGATGAACTGCTAAACATTTTCCAAAACATGTTCAATGAATTAACACATGATGCATAAAATGAAAGAAATTATCGATAAGAGACGAGAGAACACCTCCACAAAAGTCATGAGGTCTGCATTACTATACTGCACTTTGGAGTGATCTTAATCTCATTCAACTCTCCAATTCAAAATACACAGAAAATGAAGGCTGATCAAGTACCACTTTGTTTTAAGCTTCCCCTTTAATGTGTAACCAACAATTTCTTTAAAAATATAATACAAGTCAAGAAATACACTGCAAATAAGACATTTTGATTAGTTATAATGATTAAAACAATAAAATTCAGAATAATAGTTAAATTTAAGTAGAATTGACTAGTTTAGATTTATTTACTAAAACCGTTTCAGGAGGTTTCTGAATTGAATATTTTTTGTGACAGTGGCGTAATTTTGGAGTGAATTATGAAAGCAGTCAAAAATGTGTTAAAACAAGTTAAGTCATTTTTAAAAAAAAGAAGTCCAAACTACTAAAAATTCATATTCTGAATTTCAGTAATTTTATCTCACTATGTTTTGCAGTGTAATCTTAAAGACTTTATTCCCAGCTAAATAAATGTTTTAAAAAAAATAAAAGGTTGGAGCATATGTGATAGGGAGGGGATCCCGCCCCACCTTTATACTACGGATGAAAACACTGGAAGTTCGTAAAGAAAAGTGAACAGACATGGAAGGGTTTATTGCTCGCTAAGGCAGCTCCTTTAGCATTTTAAAAAGGCACACTGTAAAAATGAATATCTAGACATGTTAAAATGACTTGAAACCTATTTAAAATGTTTCTGACTTGTTCCAATGCGTTACTTCTAATTTCAGTCAAATTATTGCTAGTGGGGTTTGAAAAATTCACTTAACCCAGCGGCACTGAAATTGTCTAAGCCCAGAAGCAATTAAATCTTATCAAAGCTTAAATCTTTAATTCAAGTCTTTTTAAGCAAGGCTAGATATGACATTTTTGCAGAGTATGTTCAAGGCACAAAGTGTACACATTATCAGAAGACACAAAGGTATGGTACCTCCTCTCTGCCTTTTGTCCACTCTTATTTAAAGGATCGTGGGTCTTACAGAGTGACTGCAGCACAGGTTTCTTTGACTTAATCTACAACAGGACGCACTTTCGCTTGGGTTTGGTCTCAGGTGGCTCCAACGCGGCTAAAATGGCCTCATCAAACACATTCTTCAGCCCTCGCTAGTGAGAAAAGAAAGACGAAAACAACAATTAAAATAAATAACCAGCAGAAATTCAGTATGAAAATCTGTTCAAGGGGTTAGAAGGTTGGGTTCATTTCATAACTTTCTAAACGGCCTGTAGTTTCAAAATGACAGTGAGGCGGAGGGCAGGTCAGAATGTGACAGCTAAAAATGTCCAGACACATAATTTAGAAACTGGAATGAATTTCACATCCTAAATGTCAGCATAAATAAACTCAATAAACCGTATTTTCCGCACTATTGGGTGCTCTGGATTTTAAGGCGCAATGTCATTGAATTTTCTAACTTTTTTCACAAATAAACCGCACTGGACTTTAAATGAAACACAACAGTTGGATGGGTCATTCAGACTTTGTTTGGTCATGGTGACTCTGGGCTTTGTTCAGTTGTGGCGTGTAGGGAGGGTGCTGTCTGGGACCGCTGGATTGTTGGCGTGTTCGCAGTGAATCAGTTGTTCTAGAAGTGGCACATTGCACTCGCTATTTCGGTTCGTTCCTACGTTCCGTTCCTCGTCGGCGTGGAGTGATGAGTGTGTCTGTGGGTGTTTTTCGCTGTGCGGTCACTGTCTGCTCCGTGTGTGTTTGCGTGCGCTGCGGGTGGTGCGGCTTTGTAGTTTACTGAAGTCGTGCTGGGACACCCGAGTGGATTTGTGTATAGGGCGCTCTGGATTGTGGGGCGCGCAGTCGTTTTTTGATGGGATTGAAGGATTAAGAGTGCTATAGTGCGGAAAATACGGTAGTATTTAAAAAGTTGTGGAATTATTTAAAAGCAGTGTGATTGTTCACAGCTAAATAAAACTGATAATTGATAAGAAACTGACTGATAAGCCTCAATGTTATGTAAGGCTAAAATACACTTTATTGTCCCAGTAGAGAAATTAGTCCTCTGCATTTGACCCATCCTTCAATATACACAGCACAGACCCATCTCCAGATCTTGAGACCACCTTAGCTGGAGAACCTTACCTATTGTGCGGCAAAGGAGAAATTAAATTGAACTATTGTGCATGTTTTGGGTTGATCGGGGAAACCAGAGCATCCGAAGGAAACCCACCCAGATACAACAACAAACAAGCAAACTTCAGACAGAAAACCTCAGGAATCGAACCTGGAAACACTAGCCACTCTACCACCACACTGTCAGTTTTCTGATTGAATAATCCTTTCAAATTATCAATCACTCAGTTATAAAAGTGCCCTGCCCTACAATCATTACAATAACATGAACCCAACCTACAGCATGTCATGTGATACGACATTTTCACATTCCCAAACCAACATTACCTGTGTGAGAGCAGAGCACTCCACATACTTGACGGCCCTGAGCTCCCGAGCCAGTTTCTCTCCACTCTCTGGGTATAGGGGGCGCTGTTTGTTCTTTGCCAGTTTCTCGATGGTATTGCTGTCTTCCCTGAGGTCAACTTGAGTGCCCACTAAAAGGAACGGTGTGCGGGGGCAATGGTGGGAGATCTCCGGAACCCACTGAAAATTCACAACGACGTAAGTAAGACATGAAGCAAAGACATTAACTACATCATAAAGCCACTGGTAGTATGTATAAAAGCCATTTGAATGGAACAAAAATCACATTTAGTCATTATATTATTATATTTAGTTGATGTATATTTTTAACATCCTTTTGAATTTGTTAGAATGATGATAATAATAATTTAAGGTGAAGGTGCAGTTTATTTCCCAGTGCTTCAGAGCTCGAGGACCCATCTCCATGAACTTGTGTTACACTTGGTCAGGACTAACTTACACTAACTAACGTTTACCTATTGTGCATTATGTTTTGGGTTGATGGGGCAAACCAGGGTGCCCAGAGGAAACCCACCCAGACACAGTGTGGTGGATACCTCTCCCACCACGCCACAGTCTCAGTATTATTTAAGTTCATTTCATTTACATTAAGTTAATCACATTACACATCATTTAATTCCTTAATTTAGACTTATATTCTAATTTGAGTGCACACATTTTAGTTAATATAAGTCTGATTTACTTACACTTGTTCTTTTTGGTTTTTTGAGCACCGGACAGAGGACCCTTGGGAGAGACCATCGTGACTCAACATTAAGTTAGTTTGTTTAGTTTGATTTAAGATCACTTTATTATCACTTATTATTTTCTGTATTATAATTATTTGCCTTTTTGTTACTTTGATTAAGTTAGTAGTTTTAGTTAATTATTTAGTGTAATTCTCCCCTCTTTGTTCAGCTTTAGTTGGTCCTCAAGTATTTAAACTCCCCTGTTCCTTTGTCTGGTGGGGTTAGTTTTGTTCTGTTCAGTTTGATTTTGAGTTACCCCAGTTGGGCCCAGCTTTTTTGTTAATAATTTGCCTAATTTGAGCCTTTGTTAAATTATATCTTTTATTGACTTTATTAAATTTAAACTTATTTTTTTTTACCTTTTCTTTGCCTTTCTGTCTGGTCCACTACACACAGGAAGAACATATAAACTCCGCACAAAGGCCCAAGCGATCCAGGGGATCAAACCCAGAACCTTCTTGCTGTGAAGTGTGAGTGCTAACCACTCTGCCACACAAGTCACTCTGTCTGTATTGTTATTTTCACCTACAGTAGTGTAAAGGAGTTTGAATAAATCTAAAAACAAGAGCTGCTATCTAAATGTGAATGGAATTTAGAAAAAGCAAAAGCACTTCCTGGAGAATGAGCGCACCACCTCATGAAATCATCAGGTGGAACAGAGCGCTTTTCACTCAACTACGACTCAACTATGCATGAATTAAACAAGACCCAACATCAGGTACGTTTTTGTGAGAGAATAACATTACAACATAGTGAAAAGCTCCGTGTCAGTTCAGCATATTATGAGTAAAACTTCATTGCGTTACCTTTTCCTTGACATTTTCAAAAGATGATGGCGAAACAACAGAGAAGCACACGAGGAACACGTCTGTTTGTGGATAGCTGAGAGGCCGCAGTCTGTCGTAATCCTCCTGACCTAAGAGGTGAAAATTTACACGACAGTTATAGACCGTGAAAAGCGCAAAATAAACGCAGCCTCCTATCAATATTATGAACGTACCTGCTGTGTCAAAAAGCCCAAGTGTGTAGGGCTCTCCTCCAATCATCACCGTCACGGCATAGTTGTCAAAAACCTGCAGAGAACATACAGTACAATATTTTAATACTAATATTTCTGAAAAATTTGCAGGGATTTCACACTAGTAGCTTGAAAAATATAAAAATAGCAGTGTAATATAGTCTAATATAGTCAAATTTGTACTTCTATGGTTTAAAAACTAACTGAGCTTGTAGTGTTATCATGAACATGCAGAAGTAACAATTTTTATCTGTAATCGGTGTTTCTTTGATCAGTAGAAGGAATAAGTGACATTTACACACCAAAATACTGATTCTATTTGATGAAATAAATTGATTTAAATGTGGACTGTTTATGCCACCATAGTCTCAGTATAAACGTGTGGGAAACATTGATAATTTGTTGTTACAGCCTTATAAACAAGAAATAATTAGGCAAAAGACTAGGATAAGATCTGAATTTGGGTGTCATATTTTATTCATTTCATCATAAAAAGGTTGATAGCCAAGACTACATAAAGATATTAAGCCATTAAGTAAAATGTGTGGGTTTTAGAGGACGAAACACCTCAAATTAATGTTACAAGCTCTAAACTTTGGCATACAAAAACCCTGATAATTTCAATAAACAGTTAAATATTTAACAACAGGGTCCATTATTAAGTTTCACCTACAATAAAGAGGCTGTAAATTCTGGAGCCAGTTTTCACATCTGGTTAGTGACGGCACATCAGAGGTGTTGTTTAAAAAGAGTTTGAGGAAATGTTTGATATTTCATGGTGATGTTTGATAACCTTTCAACTGTGGGTGTTTCATTGTGTTTTAATCCATGTTTGAATCTAATTAATTTAATCCATTGTGTTTAAATTAAATTATTTATATATATTTTTTTATGCACAGCGATAATGTTGGATTTTTAATGTATTCATAAGTTGGAGGCTTTAATATAAGTCCTTTTGGGGTTTTTGCCTCTTCTGGCACCTACTTTTTTATCTAGTGTTTTTTTAATTGTTATGTTATATGTGCAAAATAAAAAAATATTTAAATAAAATTAAGTAAATAAATTAAAAAGTTGTGAACCTCAAAATCTGCACTACGCAACTTTTCATGTTGTACGTTATGTCAACAGCTCGTTTCAATGACGAGGTTGTTGTTTTGTTTAACAAGTTCCACAGTATAACATAATTACATGTGTCACCATGGAGACAAACAGGTGGTGTCCCCGGGCCAAGTTTATGGTCTGTGGAGAGGCAAGCCTACTCACAGAAAGAATGTTTTTTCCATTCCTACCTCTAACGGCGTGAAGACAGACACGTTTAATGCAATGCTGTGGAATCTGGTAAACATTTAGAGGGTGAACTTTTGATTAGGGTGACCAGATTTACAAAACAAAAACCTGGAACATCCCTCGTTTGAGTTGGTTTGTAATAATAATATTGTGAAACGAGTGCATAATTAAGGAAAATTGTTATGCACTCAACTAACAATATAGTATAGTCACATTTTCTTTGTGTTTTGGTCATTTTTAAGCAGTTTTTCTGTATTTTACTGAAACAAATAGCAATGTATGCCTCTCTTTACTGCTGGCAAATATCACATTTGTTGTATAAAACTGGGACACTGGTTTGGATAAATCTGCTGGGACAGGGGACACAGGACTCAAAATCATGACTGTCCCGGGTAAAAAGAGATAATACTTTTGATACTTTCAGATATTTATTCAAAGTTTTTAGGCCGTCGTGCACTTACCGTGGGAACATATTCAGAGGGGAATTTGTTTGTTGTGTAGGAGATCAATAAGCAGGTTTTTCCTACTGCACCGTCCCCCCACCACCACGCATTTTATAGTCTGCATCTATAGAAGAGAGACAAAATAGGAAATCATTACCAGGCTGCCAGTCACACCAGTGGAGGAAGTACAAAACTGTCACATATCCTGCCACATAAACAGACCTCCTGCTGCACAAGTAACATGCGATTTTGACTCAGCTGGCATGTTTAAAGTTAATTAATCTATATAAATGACACTGGATGACCCTACCCCTTTAAAGAACGCAAGGGCCCATAAGTTTTTATAGTATCCTGACGAGTGGGCTTGTTATTGCATGTGGAACTACAACAATATCGGTGACAGGAGCTCACTTCCGCATACCTACCTTACAATTAGTGAAAACTGATTTTGTAAAGCAAGGTAAAGTCTTGACTTTTACCACAAAACACGAGAACGATTGACAAAGGAATGAATAAATGTGTTAAAAATAAAGTCTATCATGCGGGACTCCAACTTAACCATTTGATAAGAACCACTGGAAAGATAATAAACTCAGAGATAAAATTACGTAAGGGAAGGAAACATAAAGTCTAATCAAAGTACATACACGTGGTTTACCAAAATACAGACGATTGTGATAGTTTAAGATAAAAATACAGCGTAAAAGAAATACTTTACAGGGCAAAAGTGGCGAGTTTGCGCTTTAATCAGCTATTTAACAACTAGTTACTTGAGATTCTAGCGTTTACGTGTCATGAAACTTTTACCTAAACTATCCCGCTGTCAGACTGATCGTATTTTAAACATTTATAGTAAAATGATAACTTTTCTCACCGCTTTTCCTCGGACAGGTTAGGCGTTGGTTACATCCGGGTTTGGGGCTTGAGCCTCAGTGCGCAGGCGCAGAAGAGGCACGCACGGAGCGGGTTCAGAGCGCAGAAACAGCGCCATCTGCTGGAAAATCTGACACTGTTTTGACAATGTTTACTCTGTGGACTAGTAAATGTCGTTTTATCATTTATGTCTGGCAAATGTTTTTAATTTAGAGTGACCAGGCGTCTCTGTTTATCCGGGACAGGCCCAGTTTTGAGCCTTGTGTCCCCTGTCCCAGCAAATTTATTCAAAACCACTGATTTGTCCCAGTTTGTGCACAAGAAATATCCCAGGTGTCCCTATTTTTAATCAATTTCTCCTCTGCCAACCTTAAAAAGAGGCATACATTGTCATTTGTTTCAGTAAAACACAGAAAAGCTGCTTAAAAATGACCAAAACACAAAGAAAATGTTACTATACCAGGGGTGGGCAAACTTTTTGACTGAAGGGTTCTAAAATTTGACAGAAGGGCCAGACCAGGAGCTGATGCTTCGAAGGGTGTGTTTTGGTAATTCATCTCATAATAGAAAAAATAATAACATGCGATGTGTAGAAAACATATTCCATGTTATTGAACTATTCCATAATTGAAAATCATTACAAAGCATTACAACAAAATATCTGTCTTTCAAGTCCCACAGTATTTATTATTTAATGAAATTACTTTTAAAGCAAAAAGTATATATATTTAATTAAAATTATTATTATTATTAAAGTTTGGTGGGCCAGATTAAAAAGATTAAAGGGACTATACTGACTCACATTAGAGCAGAGTGCAGAACAGTTTTCCTTAATTACACACTCATTTCACAATTTTATTATTACCAACCAACCCAAACCAGGGATGTCACAGTTTCTTTTTTATTTTGAAAATCTGGTCAACCTATTTTAGTCACAAAGCTTTTCTTCAGTTGCACGTAAAATCAAATAAATGGGCCCAAATGTTTTCTTATTTATCTGACAATATTGACACCAGTCTCTTACTAGTTTTTCTATTTATTTAGAATTTATTATTACCATTTATATTTTTTCTCTTTGTTATTAAATTATATTGTGATGTGTGAGCTACTGTGTCCAAATAATTTCCCTTGTGGATCAGTAAAGTCTGACTAAGTCTGTATCCCGGGTGTATTAAAAATTTTGACCTAATTGCATTGTTTGTTTCTTTCTTTATTATTAGATTTAGACTTGAACAAATTTTATTGATCCACAAGGGAAATTATTTGGACACAGGAGCTCACACATCACAATAAAATATGATAACAAAGAGTGAAAATGTAAATGGTAATAATAAATTCTAAATAAGTATCAAAAAAGAGCAAGAAACAGGTGTCAAATAAGACGTAATTATATAAATGCAAATGTACAAGTCAAAATAAAATAGAAACATAAGTAATAAAACATAAAATCTCTATATACAAGAGGTCATAGGAAGACAACAATGTGCACCAATGATATGATTAGGCCACAATACGATACATATCTCGATACAGTGAGCTTTTGATTCAATATGATATGTTACAAATTGATTTTATACAACTCGGTTAAAAAAAAAGGGTGAATCATGGCTGTGATACTTAAGTCTTTGTTAACTCATTTCTTGTGCAAAGTTCATATGAAACACGCCCATTTTAATCATCAAAACAGTGAATATGGCAAACTGAATTCTCCTGGACTCAAGCCAGGACTAAAAATCAAATCAAAATATTTGCACAAACTGATATAAAAAGAAAAGATGTTCCAAATCCTCCTCCACTGTGTCACAAAACACACATTTATCTGTCTCAAATTTGAATTTTTGTTTTAGGAGTTCATTGGTTGGATACATTTTATTCAAAAGTTTAAAGTGTATGTCCTTCACTTTAGGGGAACTGGAAAAGAAAGATATTTAGTTCTAATAATTTTAATTTCTTTCTTTTTTTCTTTTTTTCAACATTTCTTTTAAGAATGAATCTCTTTTAACTGTCTTGGGGAAACAATAATTTAGTAAGGAACATCTCAAAAAATGTGTTATTGCACTTTGAATCACAAAATTCAATGCCTTCAGTGCAAAGTTGTCTCAGTCCAGGAGAAATATCAGAATACAACAGATCCTGCTTGACCATAGTCCTAATCTGTAATGGGATAGCTTTTAAAACTTGGTTATATTTTCTTTTGGTACACTGAATTTTAAATTTCTGGCAGAAATCAGCAGGTTGTAAAATAAATCCTTCCTCATCCAAAAAGTGAGCTATAGCTAAAACAGATTTTTTGTCATCCAATATGATCTATTGTCCCACACTTAGATTTATGAGGAGTAAAATTATGTTTAAAGATTAGTTTCCAGTAAAGGAGGACCTGTTGGTGAAAATCTGGAAGTTTCACTGGTAATTTGTTTAACTCAAAATCACATTTTAAAATAAAGTTGATACCACCGGAACACGACTATATTCCCTCAGCCTCTCTGTTCCCGCATTTCTAAGGTTTTCTTTCCTAAATTAGGCCCCATGTTCCCACATTTCCTTTAACATCAATTTATGTCAGAATCTATCCTCATTTCTCCCAATTTGGCCATCAGTCATGCCCAACCTATTTTCCAGCTTCAGCAGATTACAGATGTAATGCAGAGGTCATGATGCAAAGGATTCTAGGTTGAAATTACTTTGAATCATCCTTTTAAATGCGGTATAAAAAATAAAAAATAAAAAAAATGACTTGATTTAGAGTTTAATTTTAAGACCAGTCTAAGAAATAAGAAACATCTTAGAAATAAGGGAACATAATGCAGACCCCGATACCACCATTATTACCGCGGTTCAATTTGGTTTGATATTGGATACTGGATACTCGACACATTCAAAGACATTTAACTTGTAGTACATATCACAGATTTTTTTCAAACAACTTGTGACATCTTCATAATCAGCCAGGGTATGTATCACAAGACAGTACTTATTAAAAAATCATACTGTGAGCTATTTGTGAATTCAGCACTCATTTAACCCACCAGTTGTTTGGAAAAAAAAAAAAAAAAAGTTAGAAGTTAAATGACTGTCTTTGAATGTGTCGAATATCCAGTATCAAACCAATTCAACCATGGTCTGTTACTGAAGATTAAACTGAATATAATACCAAATAGAGTGGCTATTATTCATAAAGTCATTGTCTCCACTTCTAAATCAGCTGCTGGCACGTCTCAAAGTAAAAATTAAATGTTTTATTTTGAAAGTAAACCACCGGAAGTTTGAGTCGCTGTTTTTGCCGTGAACTTTTTCTCAGCGGAGGCTTCTCTTTGTCAAAGCCCTGACTTCCGTTTCTGTGTTTTCTACAGATTTCTGGAAACTACGACCAGAGGAGACAGCTACAGGACTCGGTCACAAACTCTGCACCGTGGGGGTATCACGCTCAGACTTCAGTGAGAGAGGTTTAGTTTAGTCTTAGGGTTTCGTTTTGACATCTTGTTTCAGCTTTAAAAACACGAGTGTACGGCTAACGCTAGCTGGCTAGTGGTGGTGGCAGCCAGCTGATTGATCCCAGTATGTTTCGGTACTTGAATGACGTGGATGAGGACCCCTTCATGATGTGAGTGCACCAAAAAACCTCCGTGTCAATGCTTTTTACTGTGTTTATGTTTATAACCAAGCACAAAGACTTAATGTTTGCATACGGTGATGTTTGAGCCAAGCTAAAGTGTAGATTACAAAGCCAAGCTGCAGGGGCCTACTGATATACCACCAGAGCTGGGCAAAAATACTCAAATATCCACATATCGTATCGTGTAATTGGATGATACAGTATCGATATCGTGAGCTGATGTATCGATATATCACCAGGAGTAATTTTAGGTATGTTTTACTTTTTAAAAATTATGTAAGAGCTACAATTGTGTTGACATGTTCACTGTTTTGACTTAGTAGACTTTTAGTATCACACCCATGATTTATCCTTTTTTTACTGAACTGAAACGATTTGAAAAATATCGTATCGAATCAAAAGTGCACTGTGTCGAAAAACGTATCGTTATATATTGCCAAGAGTAATTTTAGGTATATTTTACAAAAAAAATTGTGAAAGAGCTACAATTGTGTTGACATTTTCGCTGTTTTGATGAGTAAAATGGGTGTTTTTTGTATTAACTTTGCACAAACTTAGTGGATTTAGTAGATTTTTAGTATCACACCCATGATTTAGCTCAACTGTATCGAATCGATTTGAAATATATTGTATCGAATTGTATTGAATCGAAAGTGTACTGTGTCCAAACACGTATCGAGTAGAGTAATTTTAGGTATATTTTACTTAATTTTGCACAAACTTAGAGAACTTAGTAGACTTTTAGTATCACACCCATGATTTAGCCTTTCTTTACTGAACTATATCAAATTGATTTGAAAAATATCGTATCAAATCAAAAGTACACTGTGTCTAAAAATGTATTGTTATATTACCAAGACTCATTTTAGGTGTATTTTATGAGAAGAATTTGTGTAACAGCAATAATTGTGTTGACATTTTCACTGTTTTGTTGAGTAAAATGGGTATTTTTCATCATAACTTTGCACAAACTTAGTGCACTTAGTAGATTTTTAGTATCACGCCCATGATTTAGCCTTTGTTTTTCACTGAACGGTATCGAATCGATTTGAAATATATCGTATCCAGTCGTACTTTATCGAAAAACGTATCATATTGAGGCCTATGTATCGAGCTCTGTATCTTTTTGGCAACTTCTAATGATACCCACCCCAACAGACCATCTAGCAAACTCGATTATGCAATAACAACATCAAAATGTAGAGTAGTTAAGAGCAAACAGGCATTTCTAGACATAAACTGTTCTGAGTTGCCAATTTTATTCACTTCAACCTGTCAAAACATGTACACATACAATGTAAAAGGAAGTATCTGATTACTCACTTCAGATCAGATTTTTTACTTGACATTTCAACAATCTGATCCTCTCCTGGGTGTCAATAAGAAGTTGGTGATACGATACATATCTCGATACATTGAGCTTTTGATTCAATATGATATATTTCAAATCGATTCGATACGGTTCAATAAAAATACTGGATAAATCGTGGCTGTGATACTAAAAGTCTTTGTTAAACCCCTTCTTGTGCAAAGTAAAAGTGAAACGCACAGATTTAGTCATGAAATCAGTGAAAATGTCAAATGTGTCGCATAAATGAGTTTCCTTCCTGTAAACAAACTGTAGCTCTGTAACACAATAATTTTGTAAAATATAACAAAAATACTCTTGGCAATATATTGGCCCATGATATTAAAACAGTATCATCACATTAAAGCATATGATATATCAATATTTAAACATTTTTGCACATCCTAATCTGATCTGAACTCGAGAAATCTGTTTAGAATTCATTTTTTATGTGCATGTGAACAAATACTTTTTACTTGTCCTAATAGAAAAGTGTTATTTTGACAATGTTTTATCAGCAGAGGCAGTGACATTTCTTACGTAAATGACATGATTCTTACTTAAATTACATGATATAATCGAGGTTGTTTTTTAACCATGGGGGATGGTTTATCATAGTTTTTTTTAATGGGAAACACTGAGTCACACTGAGTGATTCTCGGATTTAAGTCTAACCATTCTAACTCTTTCTTAAAAAAAACTGATTCTGGGGTCCAAAATTGTTTGGTTTCTTAACTTGTCATGACTGAACAGACATGACTGAAATCTCAAATTTAAAATCAACACTTGCCCAACCCTACACTGTCTGAGCCTTGTCCTGTCTGCTTTTACAGGGATCCTTTCGCTGCTCACAGACAGCACATGAGGAGCATGTTTGACCCCTTCGGGATGGACCCCTTTGCCCTCGCCGTGCCTCAGATGCAGATACGTCCTGCTCGTAGACCAGTGACTGCGGTAAGAACCTGTGGTGTCATTTTAAAGTTAATCGAGTATGAATCACCTTGTTTCTGACTAAATTGACATGACTGGCACTGATGTGTGGGTATTTTGTACTAAATATGTTTCTAGATTGTTTGAGATAGATTCTATATATTTCTATTCTATTTGACCAAAGTAAAATCCAAAAGTGTTGAAACCGTTAATTTAGTCGGATGAAAAATGAAAACATTTCATGTCACACCGGATACAAGTCGCACTTTTTTTGAGGGATTTATTTTATAAATCAGAGACCAGGATGACATTTCATCATGAAATGCAAGTTTGACTGTTAACGTCACATGTTATTGACAGTATTCTATAAACAGCAGATAAATTTTAGCAAGAACTCTCCATCTCCACAATCACTAAATATAATTATTGAATAAATTGAATTCTTCATCCACTGTGTCACTTCTGAGCAACTCCATAAACAGGCCGCTTCCTTCTTTCTGGTTATTCAGACTCAGCATCAGTTTCCAGTTAGACAGAAGTAATGGTGCGATTCAACATGATACAGACTTCAGCATGTCTTTTCTGCATGCATTTCTGAGTTGAAGTGACCAGTAGACAGGAAGTAACATGACACAAGACACTGACACTCCCTCGAGGCTGTCAGTGGAAAATTTTAATTTATAAGTCGCACCTGAGTGATAAGTCACAGGAAACACAAAACGAACCCGAAAAATACGGTACATTTATCGCCATTTTTATCCAACTAATCACAAACCATCATAACAAGTTTTTGCCTGGCTTAGACATCTTTTTAATATACAATAATATTCTTAATTAAAAAAAGAGTGGTACAGTTGTTGTTCTGAAACAGGAGGCTTCATGAACATGTTCACATGATGGAACATGATTATGGTAATAAGAAATTAAGCTTGCTTTGTATTTTTTATTTTTTCATTTGCAGGAAAGAATGACCGGTTCACCAAACTGTCAGACGTTTTCTTCTTCTACTGTGATTTCATACTCTGCCACAGACAGCGGCACTCCTCAAGTGTATCAGCAGACCAGTGAAACGCGGACAGGCCCAGGCGGGGTGAGCACAATACAACATTAAAAGAATATGGAAAAAAAGTCTTGGCAGGGTTTTATTCTAGCTTGGATCACAAACGTATCACACTCATAACTCATCCCTAGAATTATATTTCATTAATTTGTTACGTGAGAGTTTTTCACGCCACTGCTAACAACAATTATACATATTAATCAATTACCTTTTTAAAGATGCAGGATAGAACATTTTTTCCAAATAATATATTTGATTGGGTTTGAGAGTGGCCATCAAAAGGAACAATTCAAAGCTAAATATTCTTTTGAACGAGTGGATTTGAGCGCAGAGCTGCATTAGCCAGAGAAATATTGAACATTTCTGACATAAAGCCATAATAAAGCCGTTATTGTTCTACATTGTGGTTTTCATTTAACTGATAGCATAGTTTGACTGTCGATCTCTTTTCTTTCGCTCAGATCCGTGAAACTCGTCAGTCGATGAGAGACAGTGAGAGCGGTCTGGAGCGACTGGCCATCGGGCACCACATCGGGGAGAGGGCACATATAATGGAGCGCTCCCGAAACCGCCGCACTGGAGACCGGGAGGAACGGCAAGACTTCATCAACCTGGATGAAAGTGAGTCCTTATTGAAACTGTTTAAAAGTGCACTGTGTAGCTTTTTAGATAGGGAATGGTCAGTTTCACAGTATTACATTTGTGATTCCTACATTTAGCTTTTTTTATTTTTTTTTTTTTAAACACCTTGGAAAAACTGAGCAGCATTAACTCTCCTCAGATTTGACCTCTAACCCGGTCTGTGGGCATCACCTACTTGCCTCCATGGAGTTAAGTTTAAAGACATATTGTGGAAAATTCTAGGCAAAACAAATTTAGCATCTTGCATAGACAAGCAGTTGGTGAACCCTCCACCGGAAAAGTTAATAAATGATGTACCCATAACATTCATCAGTCGGTTTCACTTTGTGGAAACCGTCAGACCTCTCAGCATTAGGATTCTTTCGCTCGATGGTTGGCAGGTACTTTTTTTCATTTAACCAATCGCTGCTATTTGGTCGTGACATATGTAATTCTCCGCTTGGTATATTAAGCTTTTCCCAAATTCCATTGAAAGAAGGGCAATAATGTCTTGGCCCTTGATAAAATTCATTGGACATTCTCTTTATTCCGGCTTTAAATCCTCGATCTCGGGAATCGTTGACAACACAAAATGTATGGCTCTTCTCTGATTGGCTGGTGCCCAGACTCGCACTTCTGGGGTTTTTGCGAACCGTGTATTTTGATTCTTGACCTAGTTGCTGGAGAGAAATGAAATTGAGTGGAGGCACTAGGTGGTGCCAGCCTGACTACCCATAACACGGGGTAAACATGGGAATATCAGATTGAATAAGTTTTACAATTATTCAGAGTTATTGTGATGATAAATTGTTACATTATCAGTGAAAGATTTAAGTATTATTCATAAATCCTCTTTGATATTACCACTAGGTGCATCTTATACATATTTCATTATATCCTTTTCTAAATAGACAAATGACATGAGTAATGCATTTTACTTGTTAAATACTTTTCCCAATACACAATATAAACTTGGCATTGTTACATAATTTAATCCAATCCATAATTTAATTTCTTTTTTGCTTTTTTAGCTGAGGCTGCTGCTTTTGATGAAGAGTTCAGGAGAGAGGCTGGACGGTACGGCCCAAACCCGAGGTCCCTGGACTATCGTGAGCGACGCGGAGGAGGGCAGCAGCTGGCCCTCACTGCCCCCCCGAGCGCCGACTCCCCTTCAGGCCATAGGCAAGAGTCTCCCAGACACCGCCAGCACCAGCCGCGCCCACGCTACGACTGGTGAACAGTGGACCAGGTGTGTGGTTTATTTAAAGGTCTACTATAACTTTTCTGATGAAGGCTCTCGGTTCCCCACATGCTTGTCTCATTTAGTTTGTCTTATTTCATTCATAAAGTATAAAAAGGCATCAACAGTGTCACAACATCAGACATACAAGAAATAAATGAAAAGGAGCAGAAAGAAGAGTTTAATCTTATGTTATCTGCCCCCAGACAAAACATCAACACTGTTACATAGTTAATAAGAATTTTCAATTCAGTAATAATGTTGCCCTTGGGTTGCCTGAATGGGTTGTGCTATGTGATATGAGGTGGAAGTCAGAGTAAAATTCTATGGTAGAGTTTGTCCTTAGACTGTCAAAATGAAGATTTCAAGCATTTGTTTAAGTTTTGATCGATTTATTTCTTCAAGTGACCATATTGAGCACTTTATCTGTCGGGCCCTAGTTTTGAGTTGCTTTATGGTTAATATCAGCCTGATTCATCAGCCAGTTTCACTTTGTAGAAACCGTTTGACCTTGCAGTGTTAGAATTCGTTCGCTCGCCTCTGACAACTTTATAGCAGACCTTTGCTTGGGTGAGGCTTTGGACCGGGGTGGGAGGTTGTTATTTTTTATTTTTTTCCTTATTCTTTTTGTATTTTAAAAAACTAAAAAATTGGATTGCAGTATTTGTGACTATGTATGTATGCAAGCAAGCTGTACTCATTTCAGAACTCATGAATGTTCAGGCAATGTGATTAAGCAGCATTTCAATAAAAAAAAAGTTCATCACAAAAAAAAAGAATTAGTTTGCTCTACGCTAGGCAGGTACTTTTTATTATTTAACCAGTCGCTGCTATTTGGTCGTGACGTATGTAATGTACCACTAACGGGGCTAACTAGTAAAAGAAGCTTTTCTCAAATCCTGTAGGAAGAAGGGCAATAACGTTTTTCCCCTTGATAAAATTCATCAAACATTCTCTTTGTTCCGGCTTTAAATCCTCGATCTCGGGAATCATTGCCAACACAGAATATATGACTCTTTGCTGATTGGCTGGTGCCCAAACTCGCACTTCCAGGGTTCTTGCAAACTGTGTAGTGTATTCTGATTCCTGACCTAGTTGCTGGAGAGAAATTAAACTGAGCGGAGGCACTTGGTTAATATCTCTAATTACTGGGACAATTCACATGAAACAAAATTTACAAAGGTGTAATAATAATTTTCTCATAATAATATTAAAGTGTTTTCATTATTCAGTCTCACAGGTTTACATTTTAACTGTTGAAAGAAGTTTGTAGATCAGTTTTTCTAACGTTTGTGTATCTTTTTTGTTTCAGGACTGAAGCTTAAAATGTGAACCAGTGTATATGGAGAAGTTTTACGGGACATCGGAAGGATCGGTCAGACTGTCATTGATTTGAACAGAACTGGACTGCCTCTACATAACAGCATATTGCACACAGAACGAAACTACACACGCAGTAGTTTTCCTCGCAGTTGTGCAACTTTAATGTTACTTCCAAAACTCATAATGGCAAATTTGAGTCCACATATTATTCTTATACTTTATTTATAATGATAAACTTGACTTGTTTTGGCCACTGCACATTAGTGCTACACAGTGCAACTGCTGTAAAGCCCATTTGATGTTCGTGAAGGCGTGTGTTTGTGAAATAAATTGTAAAACTAATAATTAAACTTAATAAGGAGTTCATTAAACATTAGATAATTGCAAATGTGTTCCGGTGGCTTGACTTGATACCTCGTTTGATAGGAGAAGTGACGGAGTGAAGAACTAGTTTTTGTATGTAATTGTTAGACTTTTTGTGGTATTGCATGAAATAAATAAGTCACCTATTTTCATGAAGCATTTAAATGGATTTTTCTTTCTCTGTGGCACCACTTGTACGGCTTTTAAAGATCAGATGGAGTGCAAAACTACAGCAGCCAATAAAGTCATATCTCGCAGCTCATGGCTCTGAGATCGGCCCTTGCTGTTTGTCTCTCTCTCTCTCTCCTTTGGACGCTGTTTCTTGTTTCTTTAATTTCATTCAGGACTATATTTAAACGCACGTCCTCCAACTGTGTCACCTGTCTGCTCGTCTACCTTTGATAATCCTCATTTGATGCCACTTCAAAAGCTCAGCTACAACTCGACCTGCTCTTTTATACAGATACACTAGAATTCTCTCATATTGCATTTTCACATCACACTCGAAAATGGTCATGTTTGTCCATTTTTCAAATTTTTGTCAGTGTACTGTGTAACTTTGCAGGTGGAAGTTCTGCCATTTGCTTGTCTCGAGATGTTTTGCCTCGAATGTTACACACTGTGGCATTAAACTAAACTGTTTCCATGGCATTTCCAAGCAGAAGGCCAAGTTATAGGTCAGATCTGTGGAGATGCCTTCCCCTAGATGCTACAAAATCAGAATGCATGCTTGTAGGATATTTTGAAGCAATAAAAATAACTGTGTAAGATAGAGAAAAAAGGGAAAATACTGTACTTTTAATGCCACACTACAGAATATTCCAGGAAAAGCAATGATACTGTATCTTCACTGGTATCATTCAGAAGTTGCTGATACGATACATATGTCAATACATAAGCCACAATACGATACATATCTCAATACATCTCAATTCAGATTCGATACAATTCAATAAAAAATAAAGGTTAATTCATGGTTGTGATACTAAAAGTCTTTGTTAAACCATTTCTTGTGCAAAGTTCATATGAAACACAAACATTTTAATCATCAAAAAAGTGAAAATGTCAAATGTGTCAAAAGAGTTTCCTTCCTCTAAACAAGCCACAAAACTGCAGCTCTGTAACAGAATAATTTAGTAAAATATACAAAAAAATACTCTTGGTGATAGAGTATAGAGTACAGAAGCTCAGCAGGGCCGGGCCTGGTCAGTACTTGGATGGGAGACCACTGGGAACATCAAATGCCACTGTGGGGCGCCATTTGCAAAGCTGTTGTTGTGTCCTTAGGCAAGATACTTCACCCACACTGCCTAGTAAGGAAGTAGTGTGGATTGGCAGCCTCGCTTCTGTCAGTGTGCCCCAGGGCAGCTGTGGCTACTGTAAAGCACTTTGGATATCTTGAGAAGCGCTATATAAATGCAATGATTAATAATATATTGATAGAGCAGCCCATGATATCAATACTGTATCATCACATTAAATGATACGATATACTGATATTTTCAATATTTTTGCAAACTCCTAATCGCAAGCAGGTGGTAGATCACCCACCAGAAAGGTTACATATTGCCCCTTTACGTAGGCATTTTGAATGTAAGTTTGAACACAAGCATCATTGAGAATACAGTATTTCTGATGCATTTGTTTAGGAGATATGAGAAAAATCCCTATTGAAACGCATATAGAATCTATAATTGTTTTGTTTCTATATAGGCTTTCTTTTTTTCATAGAATAAGAGAACTGAAATGTAATGACATAATAATAAAACACATTTAAATATAAAACGTATCATTATTTGACTGTGAAAAATCTTGATTGACCAAACATGATCATAACATTTATTATATCAGAGGTCACGCGCGCAACCTCTGCCATCTCGTTCCAACCTTCATTTTCCATTCCTCCTCCTCCCTCTTTCCCTCCCTCCCTCTTTCTCTCTTTCTCTCTCTCTCTTCTCAGCATCATCTCGTGACTCACGCCCCCCTCCCCCTCTCACGCGCTCCATCTCCCACTCCTCCTCCTCCTCCCACACTCTCCTCTCCCTCTCTCCTCTCCTCCATCGCTCGTTTATTTGCTCAGATTTGACCACTTGCTCTGCCAGGCTTCAAATCCGCTGCAGGTAATGTTAAAAAGATAGATCTATTTTTCTCTCTTCACCCCATCCTCTTTCCCTCCATGTTGTTTCTCCTTCTCTCCTCTTCTCCATTGGTTAGTATTTTCAGCTGTTACACGATGTTTGACATGGTAGTACAGGTTGATAATATCTGATTCTTACAGATGCAACATTATTTTGTAGTTTTTTCTGTGTTCTGTAATTTGTTAATCTAGGAATCAATTCTCAAAAGCTCAAATTTTTTACTGTCAGGACTGGAAGTGGATTTTATCTGGGGAACTGCTTCAATCTGGCTCACTTTGCTCAGAAAATGCACAGTCATGTTTTATAGATGGTTTCCTCTATCAACCTAAAACACAAGCAGTAATTATTTAACTTGGCACTGACCATGAACCAAGCTCAGGATTTGGATGGGTTCCTATTTGCCTTTTCATCCTGACACTCAAGAATGGGTCAAACGCAGAGGATATATTTTCATTTATGTGTTAAAATCCACTACGTAACTTTTTTCTTGGAGGTTTCGCCACTTGCTTGCCTTAATAAACATGTTACTGCTTTGCCTGGAATGTTTCACAGTGTGGCATTAAACTTATCTCCATGGAGACAAACAGGTGATGCTACCAGGTAACGATATCCAAGTCTCACGATACGATATCTTCACGGTATGAGCCTCACGGTACGATATTTATTGCGATATCGTGGGAAAACTGCACAGGACATTTATAGCGTAGTAGTAGCAGTAGTAGTTGCAGTAGTAGTAGTAGTCATAGTAGTGGTTGTAGTAAAGTAACGTAATGATTATTATATATTTTAAAAGATGATCATGATTTTAGTGCATAATATAGTTGTCAAAATCAGATACTAATCGATACTAAAACCAGTATTGAAAATAGATACTCAATTTATGTATCGTATCATAGAAACATGATAAAACTGGACCTCTCTTGAACAGTTTTAGAGTAATTTTTAATGCCAATATTAGGGCTGTAACGACGATATCCAAGTCTCACGATACAATATTGTCACGGTATGAATCTCACGATACGATATTTATTGCGATATCGTGGGAAAACTCACGATTAGGGATGTAACAATATCCAAATCTCTCGGTACGATATTTTCACGATATACATCTCACGGTATGATATTTATTGCGATATTTTGTGGAGGCTAAACAGCTAAAACTGTTAAAATTTTCCTCTTAAAATACCTCGACAAGACTTAATCCAAAGAACTAAGACTTAAAAGTGATTAGAACTGTTATTTCTTCTTGTAGTCTGCACTGAAATGGAGCAAAGGATCATGGTCTATGTAGTTCCCTCTTGCTTTTTTGCTGCATCATGACTCTTAATTTTAGCAAAGAGACTTGTAATTCGATATATTATGATGGTCCATGATATTATTGTGAGAACTTTGACGATACGATATCACTTTATTATTGTTACATCCCTAGTAACAGTGTGTGTTTTTCAAGGTATTTATGAGCAATAAAACCACCTTTATTGGAGTAAATACAAGATTTATTTAGCATTTTTAACCACTACAGTGTCTAGGCAAAGCAATAACATCTCCAATCATGAGAAAAGTTACATAGTGCGTTTTTAAGATCGCTGTTTTTATGTGTCCTCTGTGTTTATCCGAACAGGCAGGATGTCCATTGTCAGCATTGTTGCCAGGGAGATCTTGGACTCCAGGGGGAATCCGACTGTCGAGGTTGACCTGAATACAAGCAAAGGTGTGAAAAACATGTCTGCTTTTATATTTATTTTGTATCATATCGTCTGTTCTGTTTAGAAAAGGGGGTAAATTACAGTGTTATTTCGTTCTTCTGCAGGTTTATTCAGAGCTGCAGTTCCCAGTGGTGCATCAACTGGGATCTACGAGGCCTTAGAGCTCAGAGATGGAGACAAAACACGCTACAAGGGAAAAGGTGATGACTAAAAATAACAAATATACCTAGCTGTTTTTCTGTTGGTAACATCAGAGCATTCTTGAATCCCTAGTCGAAAATGGAGCTGAAGAACAGGTCAGAATTTGCTATTTTAACAGCGAGATTACAGATTTGTTGACCTCATTTATGGTTAATATTTCTCTAATTACTACACCAATCCACATGAAACAAAAAACTCATTCAAAGTTTAATGTCTTTTCTATCAGCACAATTGAACTAAGATATGTTTTTGCATTTTATTAGACTATTTTTAGTGTAATTGTGGTCAAAATAAAGGACTTTAAATCTACAAGGTTTTAGAGCTTAGAGATGGAGACAAAACACGCTACAAGGGAAAAGGTGATGACTAAAAATAACAAATATACTGACCTGTTTTTCTGTTGGTTGGGTTCAAGTAACATCAGAGCATTCTTGAATCCCTATAGTCTTTAAAAAAAGCTGAAGAACAGGTCAGAAGTTGCTATTTTAACAGTGAGATTACAGATTTGTTGACCTGATTTATGGTTAATACTGCACCTATCCACGTGAAATAAAAACTCACTCAAAGTTTAATGTCTTTTCTATCAGCACAAATAAACTGATACCGTATTTTCCGCACTATAGGGCCCACTTAAAAGCCTTTAATTTCATCAAAAAACAACTGCGTGCCTTATAATCCAGAGCGCCTTATATATGAATTTAATGGGGTGTTTTAGTACGACTTTAGTAAACTACAAAGCCGCACGACTTGCAGCATTACAGCTCCCATAGTCAGGAGCATGGCGGAGTAATACATACTGTGATTCCTTTTAATATCAAAATGCACCTGTCAAGAGACACGTTTACAACACCCACTTTAAACTCAAGGCTGTTATAAAGTTAAACTGTGAGCTTGCGTGGGAGCAGTGGATGAGAGAAGGTGAACACACATTCACCAAGACAGGGAGACAGCGCCGAGCGACTTACGCCACGATCTGCCAATGGATCATGGACGCCTGGGCTAAGGATCAGTATCAGCTGTGGTCCGAGCTTTCACCAAGACCAGAATCATCACTGAACTGCCAGGGAACAGTAACCACACTGACTCGGATCATGACGAGAGGGATGCGGACGAGCTGGACGCCGTAATCGCCCAACTAGTTTAAACAATTATGAGTTATTGTGAATACACTAACAATTTAGCATCTCAGACAGTTTTTTTTTTTTTACACATTACAGCTGAACAAAGTTGAGAGTTATTGTGAACGCATTAAATAAAGTTTGACTGACTTATCTAACTGTTGTGTTTCGTTTAATGCGCCTTATGGTGTGGTTTATATGTGAAAAAAGTTTGAAAATAGACCATTCAATGACAGTGCACCTTTTAATTCAGAGTGCTCTATAGTGTGGAAAATACGGTAAATTTTTGCATTTTATTAGACAATTTTTAGTGTACTTGTTCACTAAAATCCTTTATTCTGGTCAAGTTATTGCCCAGAAAAATATAAGCTTCGATATTTTTATTCGGATGTCTTTTTCAAAAACAATAACGATTTCCACAAATGTTGAACTTGATGATTTAGTGACTACACCCTATAACTTTCATTATTACAACAAAAATCTTCACGTTCACAGTAACAATTCTCCCTAACTCCATCTGTATAAAATATTACAGGCCTATGTAAAATGTTGCTATGTCATCTGAAACCAGCAATGCGCCACAATGCACCACACCGAAGCTTCTCTAAAACTAATTGCACTCTGTGTTATTCTCCGCAGGTGTTACAAAGGCAGTGGGCCATATTAATGACACTCTTGCACCTGCTCTTATTGAGTCGGTGAGTATGAGATTTGACCTGGACTGTCTGGTACCACTTTACAAGATCTGCACTTTAATTAGCCTTAATAAAGCAGGTACTCCTCATCAAAACTGCACCAGGAGTTGTGTTTTGTTTTTGGTTTTTTTTGCTTTATTCACGCGTTTTTAGCACAGAAATCCTGCAAAAACTACTTTCAAACAGAAAAGCAGACCTGAAGAAGAGACTTTGTGATGTCATGTGGTAATACAGGAAGTGCTCCACTGTGTTTTTAAACTCCACACACCTTCACTAGAATTATTTGGATAATTTCAGCCCTGGAATTTCCCATTTCTACTAAATTAAAGGTAAAAGGAGCTGTTAAACTTGTAAAACTGAGCATTTTGAGCATTGGAGATGTAGATAAAATAATAATAAAGAGTTACTCAAACACGTGTGAATGAAACAAAACACAACTTCACATATGTTTTTGATGAGGTAACAACATTATGACATAACTTAAAACTCCCAAGAATCCATTTGTGTATTATAAGATCTTTAAGAACAGAGGCGGTGCTACCATTAGGCAAAAGGAGGCGGCTGCTTAGGGCCCCCAAACCAACTGCCCTCAGTGCCACTAATGGCCGTGGCCTCAGAGCAATTTGATTTTCTCTTAATATGACATTAAGGGTGTTTTCACACTGACAGTATTTGGTGCGCACCAAACGGTCCATTCGAACCAAAAGTGGTTAGTTCGGTTCGTTTGCGTTGGTGTGAAAGCGTCAATCGGACTCGGACCCGAACCAAATCAAGTGGACCGAGACCGCAAAAAAGAGGTGGTCTCGGTTCGCTTGAATCCGCACCAAATGACCAACTTTGGTGCGGTTCCTCTGGTGTGAACGCGAACCCGGGTCCAAACCATAGACAGTATGGACAAACAGACTATTCGAAATGCATCATGGGAGGGACACGCGTCTCCTCTGCCTGAAATGACGCGCTGTACGACTCCAGCGCAGTAACAGACTGTTGTCCAGACGCAGACGCGATTCATTTTCGAATTATTTTACCAACAATGGTCCATTACTGAGAATGTAACACACGAAGATCAGAGCAAGTATCAGTGTGCGAACGTGTGGCTCCAGAGTGAGTCAAAATTGGGGGTGCGTAAGCCTGTTCGGGACCTACACGCACAGAGAAGTCCCGGTGTTCCCCGTGATCACACAGCAACCAACATTTGTTATTTTAGGCTTTAATTAACCAAATAATTTCATGGCAATAGGCAATCGCCCATTCAATTGATACAACTTTAAAAAGTCCCTGTTTTTAGCCTAGTGTGAGAAATACAGTCGGACTAGATCCAAACCAGAGTCCTGAACCAGCGGGGGCAGCTCCGGTTCAGGCCGGGCTCAGAGGAGCTGGAGCGGGGAGCCTCGACCTGAGGAAGCGCTTTCCCCGGGAAGAACCAAATGCGCGGAGAACGGACGCTCAGAACAACATATAACAAACCAAACTGGACTCACGCTTCTGTCCGGATGCTTTGCACCACCTCGGAACCAGCCGTGGTTCTTGAGCGCGGAGAACCGGAGCAGCGCGCCCCGGACCTGTAGTCCACAGCGCATTCTTGCTTTTCCCGCACAGAACCAGCGCGCAGACGACGGAACGTACCCGCTCAGACCCAGTCATTGCGCACTGGTCTTTCTCGCCACCGTTTGGAACCAGCACATGGAGGATGAAGCCTCCGGACCATCTGACCAATGAGCTTGTAACAGAAGACCAAGGACCAGACCCCAGCCCCGTCCTGAGGAGCTGCGCGCTACTGTGAGCGCTGTTGGCTGCTGCTGTTACCCGAACTCTGGGCTGATGCGGTGAGTTTGTACAAAGTTCTACATGTTGCTGTTTTATGAGTTCATGGTGATAATTTGAGATGAGGACGGCCCGTGGTATTAACAGGAACATCGGTGTTGATAACTGGAGTATCGCTGTTTTACCGGGGAAACAGAGACACGTGAATCGAACCAGTTTTGGTTCGTTTGCCGGTGTGAACGCGGACCACACTGGAGTGTATTTGCTACATAATAACAATTTTATTGCCTGGTGCGGACCAAATAATCGAACTAGCGGTGTGAAAACGACCTAAGTGAGAGTATTTTACTTTTAAACAATAATCGTAAATAATAATAATACTAATCATATATAATGGATGTAAACAAAAATGTAATTGTTCCAGCAAAAAAATAAAACTACTTTCAGTTCTGGTTTTCTAGTAGGCGACCGAACTAATAAGACAAGTTTCCAATCCAACAAAATTCAAATAAATAGAGATGCATGTGTCTCAAGAACAATGTGGAAAAACTGTCAATAAATATATTAAAAAACAAAACAAAATAACATTATACAAAATGCATTATAGTAAGGCCCCCAAACTCAAGTTCGCCTAGGGCCCCCAAATTGCAAACTCCACCACTGTTGAAAAGGACTGAAGATTGAAGATTAGTAATTACTTAATTTATACCCTACTAATCCTGAATCTTTATTAATAAACTATTTGTTCATTATGATTTAAGTATGTTTTCATGCTTTATTGAGGCTAATTAAAGCATGGTTACTCGAAAGTGGTGCTGCCTGTTCTAATTAGAGGTAGTGGCCTATATATCATTATTGTCATTGCATTTTGCTGATAACAATGATACTGTTGATTTATTCACAACTACAAAAATATTTAATATGACGTACAGGTTCTTTATGTTTTCAAAAGGGCTGTTAATGTTCATACAATTTAGATTAAAATACGTACACTACCGGTCAAAAGTTTTAGAACACCCAGATTTTTCTAGTTATTTATTGCAAATCAAGTCGTGCAAGTCCAATGAAGAGCTTGAAATGGTACAATTGTAAGAAATGAACAGCCAGAGGTTAAAAAAAAAAGATAAAAGATACAAAACGCAAGTCCAAGCTCTGCCAAAACTACCTCAGGAACAAAGAACAAGACGGTAAAGCTTGAACACAAAAAAAAATTGACAGAAAAGTGAAGAAACGTACAAGTGTCACACATTTATGGAAACTTCTGCAACAGACTTAAGAACTTTCAGAAGAATATTTGATTTCTGTTGTAAAAAGAACGAGCCACGAGTGTGTTCAGCTGTTATATCTGCCAAAGGTGGACACTTTCATGAATCAAAAGTTTAGAATACGTTTTGGTCAACTGTAAACAGTAAAAAAAAAAAAAATGGAAAAAGTGTGGTGTTGTAAAACTTTTAACCAGCAGTGTATTTGTTTGTTTTTAAAAAGAAAAAACTAAAATTGAATTGAATATTGTGATCACTACAAGGAAAAGAATTGTGATGGAAAGTTTTTGCATTTCATTTGCCAAGTCAATCTAATCAGAAAGTAGTATGCTTTTGGGTTGCCAGATCCTGCTACGACTAAAATCAGTTTGCAAAGGCTTTCTACAAAGATGATTGTGATTTTTTTGCTGTTTTAAACCAGCATGTATTTAATTTAAGATGTTCACTTATACAAAACATGAATGTGTGTTTCTTCTCACAGGGGATCAGTGTGTTGGAGCAGGAGGCTTTAGACAACATGATGATTGAATTGGATGGTACCGAGAACAAATGTAAGACAAGACTCTTCTGTTTTCAAACCACAGGCCGGTGTAACTTTAGCATCATCGTTTTTCACTTCTAATGTTGTTTTTCAGCTAAGTTTGGAGCCAACGCTATTCTGGGAGTGTCTCTGGCCATATGCAAAGCCGGCGCTGCAGAAAAGGGCGTCCCATTGTACCGACATATCGCTGATCTGGCAGGAAATCGAGAACTAGTCCTTCCTGTTCCTGTAAGTAAGAGGTCATTTGAGTTTCTGCAGGTTTTATACAGAAAACACACACATCTAAGCAAAAAAAAAGTCAAAAAAGACAATTCATGCACTGGTGTTGGCATGATACTAGAATTTCAAACTCTATTTCGATACGAAGGAAAAGACTCGATACTTGAAAACAAAAAATCTTGGCCACCGAGACAAAATAATACTTCTTGTTTTAGGTTTCCATGTGGTTGTATATTGGCTAGAGATTTAACAATAACCAAAATATCCTGATATCGTATCGTCAATGTTCTCACAATAATATTGGACCATCACAATATATCGAATTACAAGTCTCTTTGCTTAAATTAAGTTGAGTTATGGTGCAGCAAGAGCTAAAAAAAAAAAGAGGGAACTACATAGACCATGATCCTTTGCTCTATTTCAGTGCAGACTACAAGAAGAAATAACAGTTCTAAGCACTTTTAAGTCTTAGTTCTTTGGATTAAATCTTGTCACGGCATTTTAAGAGGAAAAAGTAGCATCTTAGCCTCCACAAAATATCACAATAAATATCGTACTGTGAGATGTATTTTGTGAAAATATCGTACGGAGAGATTTGGATATTTGTTACATCCTTAATCGTGAACCTCCCCACCATATCATGAGCTTTCCGGCAATATCTCAATAAATATCGTACCGTGAGGTTCATACTGTGACGATATCGTATTGTGAGTCTTGGATATCGTTACAGCCCTAACATTGGCATTTATAAAGTTCAAGATTATTCTAAAACTTTTTAAGAAAGGTCCAGTTTTATCATGTTTCTAAGATACAATACATAAATACATAAGTATCTATTTTCAATACTGGTTTTAGTAACGATTAGTACCTGATTTTGACAACTATATTATGCACTGAACCAGGCATGTCCAAACTATGGCCTAGGGGCCAAATGTGGCCCTCAGACAAATGTTTCTTGGCCCTCAGTCTTCCAGGTGACTTGGCCCAAAGTAACTTGCATCAACTAAAAATATTTTTTTTATTGCAAGTTTTTTGAAAATTTGCCATGATAAAGCTAATAATTAATATTTAGTGTGTGGTTTTAAGGATCTTAGCATGAATAAAGTCTGACGGCTCACTCTAATGTGTTAAACATGCAAATATTTCAATTATTCACTGTATTGAGCAGCAGTCTACAGCCCTCGATCAGCCCTCTGCATCATCTGTGTTTAGATATGTGGCCCTTGATGAAAAAAGTTTGGACACCCTGTCTAAACTATCTTACTATATTATGCACTATCATGATCATCTTTAAATATATATGTTATAATCATTACATTACTTTACTACAACCACTACTATGACTACTACTGCTACTACTGCAACTATTACTACTACCACTACTATTATAATTCTCGTCTCGTCTTAAAAAACACACTTTTATTCTCTGGCTTTTAACACTGCATGAGTTGTTTGGTGCTCTGTGTTTTTTAGTTATTCTATTTGTTTGATCTATTTTACTTATTTACTGCTATTCTGTGACTTTGTAGTTTTTACTTTTATTTGATTTTACTGGTTTTATTGTTTTAGGACTGGTGTGACCAAATTTTAGCAATTTACCTTTTGCTTGTTTTCATTTTATTGATCTCTGTGCAGCACTTTGGAAACTACTTTTTTGTTAAAATGTGCTGCAGAAATAAAGTGGATTTAGATTTCACATTTATGGAAAAATTGGCCTGATTTGACAAATTTTATTAATCTCAATTAATAGTGGACTATGTAACTTTAGCAGTGGAAAGTATTCCACACCGTGTCTCCATGGAGTAATTATTTCTTTATCTGGAATGTTGCGTTGTAGGCAATTAAGCTTATTTATTTTGCTTTCATTCAAAAACTTGCTCGTCTCCATGGAGGTGGATCAATATAATGCCATAGTGTGGGCATTTTAGTTAATCCAATAACATTATCCCCCCCCGCGCTGAGAAGCAGGTGCTGTCCCTTCCACCAGAAAACCTACATGATGTCCTTTTTAGTAGATAAATATATGAAACTACACAAATGAAGTTGATTTATTCTGCATTTCAGGCTTTTAATGTGATCAACGGAGGGTCTCACGCTGGGAACAGACTGGCCATGCAGGAGTTCATGGTGCTTCCTGTGGGGGCCGAGTCCTTCAGAGATGCCCTGCGAGTCGGAGCAGAGCTGTACCAAACTCTGAGAGGTGTGATCAAAGAAAAGTACGGGCAAGACGCGACAAACGTGGGAGACGAGGGAGGATTTGCCCCGAATATTCAAGAAAACAGTGAAGGTAATGACAAATTAATGTAAAAGGTCTACACGGTTTTTCAATCAGAAGTATATCCAGACTTTTTCAGTGGGATTCTGTTATGCTGGGATTGAGAATTTAACTTTTATATCAGTTTAGTGTCAGACTGGTTTAGTTCCATGTTTTGTCCCAGTTGTGATGCCAGTGTATTACCAAAGCCTGTGATTGGGGTGATATTTGCATAAAAGAATTGAACACTTAAACATTAATGCATTCATTTGGGTTAATTTATGACGATTTATCATATTTCTATATAGTCTATAGTCAGTATAATCAAACTAAACTTGTTTAAAGCCCGAATATGCTCCCTCAACCTGTCTGAGTGGGTTTGTAGCTGGTGTTGCCAATCGGATTCCTCGCTAAAACTCTTTTTATAATTTAGGGAATCAACAAAAAACAGAAAAAGCTAAAAGGTATCAAAACTTGCACAGTAGATTAAAGATCCAATATTATGCAAAATTGACTCCGGTGAGCTTTTAGCCATGTTATAATGTTGTTACCTCTTCAAAAACATTCCCGGAGTTGTGTTTTGTTTCATTCACACATGTTGAAGTTACTCTTTATTATTAGTCTGTCTGCATCTCCGAAGCTCTGAATGCTCTGTTCCACCTTGTGATGTCAAAAAAACAACAAAAACAATATTTTTCTGATGAGGAAACAACATTATAACCTAGATCAGAAAATATTGTAATGCAGAACCTTTCATTTTCTAGGTATTATTATATGGGTAGCTAAAACATTTGGAGATGGGTCCCACAGCTCGTATTAAAATCAAATCAAATGCAGCCGACAAATTTTCCTATAAAAATATGTCACTTCTGTCTCATATTTTCCATTGTGTTTTCAGCTCTGGAGCTGATCAAGACAGCCATAGAGAAGGCTGGATTCACAGATAAAGTGGTGATCGGGATGGATGTCGCTGCTTCTGAATTCTTCATGGAGGGAAAATACGACCTGGACTTCAAATCTCCTCCAAACGTGGCTCGCAACATCAGCGCGGACGAGCTGGCCAGTATCTACCAGGGCTTCATCAACAACTACCCAGGTATGTGTGTGTGAGATAGTCCAGTTAAGAGGGTCAGATGAAGCAGAGGATGCAAAGGAGAGGGTCAGATCATACAGAGAATGCACAGGGGAGGGCCAGATGGAGTAGAGAATGTAGAGGAGAGGGTCAGATGGAACAGATTGAGCAGAGGAGAGGGTCAGATGGAGTGGGGGATGCAGAGGAGAGGGTGAGATGGAGCAGAGCAGAGGGTTAAGTGAAACAGATGATGCAGAGGAAAGGGTCAGATGGAGCAGTGGGTGCAGAGGAGAGGGTCAATTGGAGAAGAGGATGCAGAGGAGAGGGTCAGGTGAAACAGATGACGTAGAGGAGAGGGTCGAATGGAGCAGAGGAGAGGGTCAGATGGAGCAGTAAGTGCAGAGGAGAGGGTCAAGTGAAACAGATGACACAGAGGAGAGTGTCCATTGGAGCAGAGGAAAGGCTCAGATAGAGCAGAGGATGCCGAAGAGAGGCTCAGATGAAGCAAGGGATGCAGAGGAGAGAGTAAGATGGAGCAGAGGATGCTGAGGAGACGGTCAGTTGGAGAAAAGGATGCAGAGGATAGGGTCAGATGAAGCAGATGACGTAGAGGGTAGACGTAGACGGAGAGGGTCAGATGGCGAAGAGGAGACGGTCATATGGAGCAGAGGATGCAAAAAAGAAAGGCTCAGATGGAGAAGAAGATGCAGAGGAGAGGGTCAGATGGAGCAGAGCAGGGGGTCAAGTGAAACAGATGACGCAGAGCAGAGTGTCAGTTGGAACAGAGGATGCAGAGGAGAGGGTCAGATACAGCAGAGGATGCAGAGGAGAGGGTCAGATACAGCAGAGGATGCAGAGGAGAGGGTCAGATAGAGCAGAGCAGGGGGTCAAGTGAAACAGATGACGCAGAGCAGAGTGTCAGTTGGAACAGAGGATGCAGAGGAGAGGGTCAGATAGGGAAGAGGATGCAGAGGAGAGGGTCGATACAGCAGAGGATGCAGAGGAGAGGGTCAGATAGGGAAGAGGATGCAGAGGAGAGGGTCAGATACAGCAGAGGATGCAGAGGAGAGGGTCAGATACAGCAGAGGATGCAGAGGAGAGGGTCAGATGTAGCAGAAGATGCAGAGGAGAGGGTCAGATAGAGCAGAGGATGCAGAGGAGAGGGTCAGATAGGGAAGAGGATGCAGAGGAATGGGGTTGGATGAAGCAGAGGAAAGGGTCAGATGGGGCAAAGGAGCAGAGGAGAGGGTCAGGTGAAACAGATGACACAGGGGAGAGGGTCAGATGGAGAATAAGATGCCGAGGAGAGGGTCAGATGGAGCACAGCAGAGGGTCAAGTGAAACAGACGACACAGAGGAGAGGGCCGGAAGGGCTGGAAGATCCACAGGGGAGGCTCAGATGGAGTAGAGAGTGTAAAGGAAAGGTTCAGATGGAGCAGAAGATGCAGAGGAGAGGGCCAGCTGGAGCAGAAGAGAGGGTTGGATGGAGTAGAGGATGCAAAAGAAAGACTCAGAGGAGCAGAGAAGAGGGTTAGACGGACCAAAGGATGCAGAGGACAGGGTCGTATTGAGCAGAGGATGCAGAGGAGAGAGTAAACTGGAGCAGAGGAAAGTGTGAGACTGAACAGAGGATCCAGAGAGGGGCAGAGGAAAAGCTCAAATGGAAACAATTGAGTAGCAGAAGAATGACTTGTTTCTTATTCGTGGTGTGTGTTTACTTGTATTACCAGCTACAGTATTTTCTCAGCTGCAACAATACAATGCGTGCAGTCTGTTCTCTCTCCCTCACTCTGACACTTGCTGTTGATTAGGTTTAATTATGGGCTGCAGAGCACATTTGGTAAAAAGACCTCACTTCTTTAGCCTGTTGTGTTGTGCATGTAGCTTGTGCGAACAATTTGTGGATTTTGTTTTAATGTAATATGTGATTGTATTGATTTTATGTAGTTCTGAGTTCTCTCTCCTGCTCTTACAATTATAAATGCTTGTTCCTTTCAGTTGTTTCTATTGAAGATCCATTTGACCAAGACGACTGGGAGGCTTGGACAAAATTTACAGCTTCAGTAGGCATTCAGGTGGGACAATATGGCAAAATATATACAGCCCTACAAAGGTTTGGTTTGGTCAGAAATGAGTTCATGTCATTTTGGGGGATATTTGAGGCCTCCTTTATCATCTGAATAAACATCGTGAGTCAGTTTGATTGTTTTAACGAGAAAATAAAGGGCTATAACAATCGTAATATCCAAAATCATAAGAGAAACCACAACAGACTGTATCAGTTTCACACTCTGGCGACTTAAAGGGATAGTTCGGAACTTTGGACATAGGACCTCATTTCCTAGTGAGCCAGAGTGTTGGAGAAATGTGGAGACACTTTTTTAAATATTCCATCCAGTCCTTGTGTTTGCAGAGGTCGCTGGTGCTAGGCTAGTGCATGTCAATGGCCATAGTTATCCTGCCACTAAAAACAGTCTTACCCACTCCACAAAACACCCAAAGTAAATCTATTATAACGCCAGACTGTCCATGTGAATGTCTGTGTTGATAGAATAATTTTAGAAGTAAAACCATCCTTGCATTTGAAGGATTTACAGTATGTCTGAGCAGCAGCGAGTTGTGCTTCCTGATAAAAGCCTGGCAGTGGCGGATTGATATATGAGAAAATAGTCCCTCGCAGACATACTGTGCTTGTGTCTGCTATATAGTTAAAATCTATGACACCCATGGATCATTATGTTAGAATCTGAACATTTTAAGTAGCATTTTTGTTTCATTTGTTCCTAAAATAGCCTGTGTGACCCCGCAGCTCTTGCAGGGCTCTGTAGAATACAATGTGCATCACTGATTAAGAAAATAAAATAGGAGAAAGAAAGAAGTAAGTACAGAGCAGTGGGTGTAAATCATGGGGGTGAAAACGGGTTGACCAAAGCAATGACATCTTGAATATACATAAAGATGACTCAAATATGCACAAATCACTCGAAATACAACTTCAAGTGGATAAATGAGAAGAGAAATAAATATAACATGGTTCTATGCTCTGAAATGTTGATTTATTTTTTCACAATATGCGACAATTCATGTGATGCAAGGGTTAGTTTTATTTCAAACATTATTCTATCAACACAGACATTCACATTGGCAATCTGGTGTAATAATAGATTTGCTTCGGGTGTTTTGTGGAGTGGGTAAGACTGTTTTTAGTGTCAGGATAACTATGGCCATTGACATGCACTAGTCTAGCACCAGCGACCTCTGCAAATACAAGGACTGGATGGAATATTTAAAAAAGTGTCTCCACACTTCAGGTGGAGTCGTACGTCACCTACACTTTTCTCCACGGAGATGTTTTTTTCTTTGCCTAGAATGTTTTGGCATTAAACCAGTTTATCTCCATAGACACAAGCAGGAGTTGTTAGGTATTTTTCAGCACTCTTAAATGAATAAGTCCAAGATAGATACGTTTAATTCTTTACTGAGGAACATCCCAGGCCAAGAAAACTACTCCATGGAGACAAGATGGTGGCAGACACTCGCACCAGGAAGATTTGGCGTTGTTATGGTTATTTTCGTTTCGTTTTTGTTTGTAACTTGTTTCTTCTTGTGTGCAGGTGGTGGGTGATGACCTGACGGTGACAAACCCGCGCAGGATACAGAAGGCGGTGGAGGACAAAGCCTGCAACTGTTTACTGCTCAAAGTCAATCAGATCGGCTCCGTGACCGAGGCCATCAAAGCGTCAGTTATGATTTTGTTAACTACTTTTAATTTAGTTTGAGTTTTGAGTTATTAGTACAATGATTTTTTTTCATTTTTGGAATATTTTGCATAAGTCAAAATTATCAAGTAAAATTCAAAACTGCCCTGTGTAACTTTTCTGGTGGAGGGGTGTCAAATGCTTTTCTCCATGGAGATGTTATTGCTTTGTCTGGAATGTTTCACAGTATGGCATTAAACCTTTCTATCTTCATGGAGACCAAACCAGACCAAGTTACAAGTCAGATCTGTGGAGAGGCGACCCCGCTCACAGTCAGAATGCCTGTTTTTTAGGTATTTTGAGCTATAAAACCACCTGTAATTGAATAAATTTAAGGTAGAGCTGTTTAATGTCATACTGTGGAACATTCCAGGCGGAGCAATGATGTATCCATAGAAACAAGATCAGCCAGAGAAGTTACACAATGCAGCTTTAAGTGGAGTAAATGCATTATAGCTTTAATCAAAACCATTATTATTATTTAGCCATCTCATTTTTTTTATTATATTTTTGTTCAGCGTTCTATCGACAAAAATATTATGTTGACAAAAATGTTGGATGATAAAATGAACATCTCGGTTGCGCAGGTGTAAACTGGCTCAGGAGAACGGCTGGGGCGTCATGGTCAGTCATCGCTCTGGAGAGACAGAGGACACTTTTATCGCTGATCTGGTGGTGGGACTTTGCACTGGGCAGGTAAACATGTATACAATTAAGTACAATTTACAATCAAAATCGCAAAGTGGATGGACGTAAACATCAAATCAGCATTTTTAAACACCATCATCTCTTCCACAAACAACAAAACAGTCTATAAATGTGCTAACCTTGTATTTAGATCTGTACAAACATGTTCTGAAATGCAATTCTTCTATTTGTTTGTCAGTTCATAGACCTAATTAACCAGAATCTTATTATTAAAACATAAATCACAAAACTAATCGCAGTGCTTGTGAGAAAATTCCCATTCCCACAAGTAAAATTGCACTTTTATTTAACCAAGTTTTAGTCACAAACTTTTCTACAAAGTACAAATACTGGAGCTAAAGCAGGTTTACTTAACAGGCCTACACAAGAGCTAAACCCCATAAATCAGACGAGGACTAGCCAAAATCCTCTTGAGTACCACCAAAACTCTAATACCACGAGTACACAGCAGAAAGTGGAGTGTTAAAACTGACTCTCACGGAATCAATTTTAACATTTTTAGAGTTAATTTAACATTTTTGGAAATGTTATTTAAGTAACACTGGACCAAAGATGATTCATCAGCCGGTTTCACTTAGTGGAAACTGTCTGACCTCACAGCAGTAGGATTTGTTCGCTTGACGGTAATGCGCCGCTAAAGGGGCTAACTGGTATATTAAGCTTTTCCCAAATCCCATAGGAAGAAGGGCAATAACGTGTTTCCCCTTGATAAAATTCACCAAACATTCTCTTTGTTCCGGCTTTAAATCCTCGATCTCTGGAATCGTTGCCAACACAGAATGTACGGCTCTTCACTGATTGGCTGGTGCCCGGACTTGCACTTCCGGGGTTTTTGCAAACCATCTAGTGTATTCTGATTCCTAACCTAGTCACTGGAGAGAAATTAAACTGAGCAGCGGCACTAGGTGGTGCCAGCCTGACTACCAAAGTTGCTGTTCAACCCCGAAATCAAGAGTTATATTTATGTTTTGAGAGTAAACAAATAACACTTTAGAGTTAGTAGAGTTATCCTGATTTAGCTAAACAGCACAAAGAGGTGTTTTATTTTTACACTTAAATTTAGTTAATTTAAGATGAAATTATGTATAAAACTGGTTCAAGCTGGTCTTCTCTCGCGGGAGTTTGAAGTGGAGGGTGGGAGGTGCCAAATTAACACTAAGGGAAGTTGAATTAACTTCAACCAGAGGTGGAACCAAGTCTTTGTTTTGCAAGTCTCAAGTAAGTCTCAAGTCTTTGACCTCAAGTCCGAGTCAAGTCCCAGGTCAAATGTAGGCAAGTCCAAGTCGAGTCTCGAGTCACTGTCCAAGTCAAGGCCAAGTCAAATTCAAGTCGTCTGCTTTGAGCTTCAAGTCATTTCAAGTCTTTAAACCAAAATAATTGTAGTAGAAAATAATTTAGTTAATTTTTCCTTTTTAAATGTCTTGACAAGTCTTAGAGCGAATCATTATAAACAGAATAGAAAGAATTCAGATTTAAAAGTGCTTCTCAAGTCTTCTCAAGTCGCGGGCCTCAAGACCGAGTCAAGTCCCAAGTCACTGACCTTCAAGTCCAAGTCGAGTCCCAAGTCTTAGTCCATTTTATCAAGTCAAGTCAAGTCCTAAAAATAGTGACTCGAGTCCAAATCCACGACTTGCAAGTCCCCAACTCTGACTTCAACCATATCAACTCTGGCAAATAGCCTCAACTCAAACCCCCATCTAACTTTCAGATAGTTAAAATAACTCTTTTTGTGTTTAAAACAACTCTGAAATATTTTACCCTGAAATTTTGACCCTCGAGTTTTTGCTGTGTAAGATTTATATTTGAGAATCAGTGTTTCTTATGAAAACAGTTGTTGGACACAGAGTTAAACGGCCACATAAATCATTTTCATAACAATAATAAAAACCCTAATGAATGTTAACAAATTAAAATCACTGTTGGGTTTTTCCTGGATTGTTTTCTTCCATAGATTAAAACTGGAGCCCCGTGTCGATCAGAGCGTCTGGCCAAGTACAATCAACTAATGAGGTGAGTATTATTATTTTAATTAACGAAAAAGCACTGTACTTTTTTGCACTAGCTTTCCCTGTCACAGCATTACCCCTCTAACTCTCTTGTGCTTTTCTTTTCAGAATTGAGGAAGAGTTGGGCGATCAAGCTCGTTTTGCTGGACATAATTTCCGTAACCCCAGTGCCATCTGAGAGCCGTGCGCAGTGTCCATCAACGGTCACACTGTCATACTGTCTGCACTAAAACAGTTAAAAAACATACATGCATTTTCGTTGTTTAAACACCTTAAACATTTAGTGAGTCCGTTTGCACAGCTTTAAGCAAAGGCCCTGTCTGTGTCTGTTATTGGCTGATATCTGCATCGTTGTTACTACATAATAAGACTTTCACCTTAACTGTAGGAGTGTGAAATATTGTGATTTGACCCTGTTATAATTGGACTTTTGTGGAGATGGTTTTGTCACAATTTAATGTTTTTCTGTTTTGATGCAACTCTTACGCTAAAACACACATAAGTCTACTTTCAGAATCAGAATTGCAGCCCATCAGATGAGGAAATTATCAAAAATATAGTTATGAAATTATATAAAGAATCAGTGTGACTGTATGACAAATCTGCTTAAAAATATAACAGCCCCATCCACTTCTCCTGTTGCTCATCATAATCTGAGTGACAGGTGGATTTAACCAGTCAGACGAATTACTTAAAAGGTGATCAATGAGAAAGATTCATTATAAAATTTAAATTCAAGAAAACAAGTATTGCCATCCCTGATAGTGTACCTTGTCGTGTCTTCCTTGTTGTCTGACCTGATGTGATTCTCAGTGCTGTGCAAATGAACAATGTTACATGTGTCAATAATGGCTGGAGCTCAAGTGCAATAAAAGTTAACTTTAAAATCATTGTGATTTCAGTGAACACTTCTTGTTTCTTCTGTTTTTGTGCCTGTTTAATATGTTCTGTAATGTGGCAAAAAGGGAGTCTGTAATGTTTGTGCTGCACAGCTACGCCACATTAGACTTTTAAAACATTTTGTGCGATATCATGAATTGTAGATTTACAACAACCACTGACCATCCAATTTGCAAAACAATATATAATAAAAAATTAATAAACTAGAGTGCTAGAGAGCTGAGTCTTTCCCACAGCTATACACATACCTGAAGTTTTTTATTATTTATTATTTCACTTGCCTGTCTCCATGGAGACAAGCAGGTGATGTCACCAACTGTGGAGAGGTGAGTTTGCTCACCGTGAACAGTATTGTATTGAATGTATGAAATAAAAACACCTTCAATTAAAAAAAAATGCAAGATAGGCTAGTTAAATCCCATATTGAATTGCAACACTTAAGGCAAGGCAATAAGATCTGCATGGAGACAAGCCAGTGGTGGACTCACACCAGAAAAGTTACATTGTGCACCTTTAAGAATTGAGATTAAAAAGAAAGACGAACTTGAATAGTATTTGACTGGAATTATATTGAACAACACTAATGTAAAATGGCTTGGCACTACACAGTAGCAAAATAATGTATATTTTATAAACCAAAGGAAAAGAAAACAATAAAAGGGAATAAGAGAAGGCGACATAAAATATATGATTAGAGAATAAACAACCCCCAAACAAGGTAAACGAGGACTAAACCAGGTGTAAATCAGAAAAGAGATAAGAGGCTTAAACCAAAAGGAACAGAACGGGTCCAAAACCAGGACTAAACCAGGTCTAAACCAGGACTAAACCAGGTCAGACTGGATTGAAAGCATGACTCAGATCTGGCAGTCCCGCTCGTGTCGCTGTCGTGCCGCGTTGCTGCCGCTTCTGTCGCTGCTGATGATGAAGGAAGACTGGGAGCCGCGCATGCGCTTTACGCACAGTCTCCGTCCGTGCGTCGCCATGGAGACCACACAATAGAAGACGGGACAGGGGGCTGCGCGAGGGGGAGAAGGGGAGCGGGGGGGAGAGGGAGGAGGTCCATGGTCTGCAGAGCCGCTTCAGTGGACACACGCTGCAAGCTTTTCCCAGACACACAGAGGGAAGGAGAGATTTGGCAAGGCTGAATAGAATAGGCTATTTTAAATATTGAGGTCTTTTCAGTTTGGTAGTCCATCTTGGTCACGGTTTAATCCTGGTTTAGAATTGGTTTAAGCCTGATGTAGTCCTAGTTTACCTGGTTTGGAACGGCAGTGGTCCAAGATCAGTCCTGGTTCAGACGCACATGGTTACGTCCTTGGTTACGCACGGTTCGGACGCTGGACTCGCTTGGTTCAGATCCTAGTTTAGACCTGGAATTAATTTAATCCTCACATTCACAACATATAAAACCCCAAATACTAAAATGAACTCACGGTAAATTATTTTATTTACAATATGAGCTCTTTGTTTTTACGCACGTACGTTGCATCTTCCTATGGATCGAATTGGGGCTCACTGAACCTACATGACACGGCCTATAGACCTTCTCCATACAGTAAAGGTGACTCTAGAGGGAGCAGCAGAGACGGACCCTCCCTCTTCAGAGTTTTGGCCCTCTCTATGCGCCCCCCCTTCCCCTCCTCCTCCTCCCCTTTTATGCAAATCACGCCCTATCCTCTCTCCCTTTCTCTCACCCAACGTGCATCCCTCTCTCCGACTCACCCCTTCGCCAAAAATTGTGACTGTAAGACCGTGGAGAGAGGCATAAAAAAGTGCAAGTCGTTTTCTGAGAAAGAAGGGGAGTAGTCAGGGAGCTGGAAGAAGAGGGGGGCAAATAGAAAAAGGGGCGAAAGGGGGTGGGGAGGAAGAGACGAGGGTATACGCATCAATTTGTACAGTGTTCACTTGGCACCCCTGGTTCTACTGCAACGACTAGCGAGGGCTTCTTCTGCATTATTGTTATGATTGGAGACGGTTGCAACATGAGCCCGCGCCAGCCTCTGTTGAGAGCCGCCTGGTCTGGGAGGTGTGCGTGTCAGCGTGCAACATAAAACGACAAAACAGAAAGGACAGAGAAGAGTGAGAGTGGAGCACGCATCGTTGGATATTATAGGTAAGGGGAAAGGAAAATGGATGCTTATAGCGCTCTGTGTTTGGTTCTGTCCCTGCTGGCCGGTTTGGTGCACTCTCTTAAAAATGTCTTTGTGCTTTAATATCATCCTATCGCTGCGCCGTGGCCGTTATATCCAGCGGAATTTATGTGAAACGCGCTGGTTTGTGTGGGGAAAGGTCTGTGACTCTGCTCGAGCCCGTTACTGAGGCGCTTCCATGTTACCTTTCTGTTAAGATTTGCAGCGCCCTGAAACTATGCACATGCCGTTGTGTCGGCGGACATATGCGGGACTGAGCACGACCCCGGCCTCGAGGGCTGTGTCCCGTCGTGCAGAGGAGGCTCGCGGCGGCCCCTCCGCTCCTCTGCTCCTCCGCTCCTCTGCTCCTCTGCATGTGTATCAATAACATTCGCAGCATAAAAGAACCAGGCTCGTTGCAGTGGCCGCTCGCTGGTGATGTAAGCAGAGCTGCTGCATGCTGCTTTGCATTACACGCAGTAGTCGATTAGTTGATAATGCATTTGCCCATATGCACAGAGAAATATACTGCTCTTGGTACCGTGCGCCCCGTGCCAATAGAACCGCAGCTGGACTGAGGATAGGCTACCACCTGTAACTGATAGCCATGTAGCCTATGCACTGGTATCCAATGCTTTCCTATTGTGGTGGTCAGAGCATGTATCTCCCCTCAGATAGCAACAGAATGCATGCACGGTGTGTTGTTATGTGGATTTAACACGAACAATAGGCTATTTCTCTTGTTAACAGCACTGAATCAGTCACTGCAGCATGTACTAATAATTAATGCACAGCCTCGTGTTGAAGCCTCATCCATAGGCTCCTTTAAGAAACATGGCACCAAACAATGTTACTGTTGTACAGCACCTGAACTGTCTCTAAATATAATATGTTTCTCCTTGTGCTCTATTTATAACCTCATTTAAAATGCATGAGACACTTTTTCATCTGTGTGGAACATGAATGAATGGATTGTCAATGGAGTGAAGTCAGTGCACACTAATACAAATAACACAAATATGCTCCCAGGCTCCGTTAGATTTGGGATTTTGAGGTTGTGGGTCAGATTTCCCTGATGTGTTGCTGGTGGGTGACTGAACTGTGACTCGGGCCATAACCAGGACATGAGGGTTAACCACAAGTGTGAGGTTTGGCTGTTGTGGTGAAGGTGCAGAGGAGGGAGGGGGGCATACAGGAGACACGTGCTGGTCTTCTGTCAACTGTCCACTGCCTCCACATCCAACCATAGCTCTGCACGTGCCCACTGGGTTCAGATGTACGATATTCAATTATACAGAATAATACAGGGCTAACAAAAATGTATCACTATTTCTTTCCTCATAGTGATCGCTCCTGAGTTTTCATTTTATTTGATTTGTGTTTTTATATAATGGCCTTTTACATTAATTTTCTGGACATTAACAGTACAGACTTTTAATAATTGTAATTTAACACTAGTCTAATTTTTTCCTCCAAACTCTGCTCTAAATTAGGGCCCAGTTGAGGACATATCGGATATCGGGTTAAATCTTGCCGTTATGGTCCGATAGTCCACGTGGGAATGTTATATCTCATTATAAAGTTTAGTCTCCCTATATTATGTCCATTTAATCCAATTTACAGACAGATAAATGTCCTAATATGTGCCCTCACGTGATCTTGTTTACACCAGTGCGCAACATTCAGGTGTTGGCGTTAAAAGCTCTTGTGTCTGATCCACGATACTGACTGTAAATGAAAGTGAACTTCAGCACAGTTTAGGGCAGCAACAAAACTACTGCTTAACAACATGCTGGGTTATATTATTTTTAAGGGCAATCATTTTGAGGATTAAAAAAAACACTTATTTGTGAAGACTTGTGATGTGAGATGTGCCGTATGAGCGGTGAGTAGAGCGACCAGATGAGACTGGTTGAAATTCGGGACAGGGCTCAGAAATGTTGTTGAACTCTAAGATGCTTTTCTTTACAAACGCACAAAAATCACATTAACCAATAAAAACATTGAGTTTTAATACATAATTTTGTTTAAACGCAGAAAGGAAGAAAGAACAAAACAAATATGGAATCGACAAATCTGGGTCTTAAACTCGGTGCGTCCGTATTGAAGACGAATGACTTAAAAGTAGTGAACTGAAACCCATAATGTAGGGGTAAACTTTATGGTACTGCCTCACCTGCCTCACCTGACCGCACCTGCCTCACCTGGATCACCTGACCGCACCTGCCTCACCTGGATCACCTGACCGCACCTGCCTCACCTGGATCACCTGACCGCACCTGCCTCACCTGGATCACCTGACCGCACCTGCCTCACCTGGATCACCTGACCGCACCTGCCTCACCTGGATCACCTGACCGCACCTTGCTGTCTCCCCTCTGTTCTCCACTCAACTCCAAACGCATCTGTTACTGTCTCCCTGCGCCTTCAGTCAGATGCTTTATCCCGGTTATGACCAAGATGAATATTTTCCCTGCGAACAGAGCGTTTATATCGCGCGTCTGAAGCGGCTTTAAGCGAATGTTTCAGCGGCGCGTTGGTCACAGGAGACTCGATTTGACGCTTTGGATGTGAACTCGGCTTTAGACATCGCAGCCACTAGAAGCCTCTCTACGAATGTTTATCAGAAAATAACTACATTTAGGGACATTTAGGGCCGGATTCGGAATTCGGGAAACAGCTTAGATTTCAGAGCTGTCACGATCTGGTCACGATCTGGCGGTGAGTGTAGCAAATTATGTCGGTTTAGGAGCTACGTTCATTCTTTCTTTGTCCACTTGGTTATCGCTTAACTACTGTAGCACCCACACATAAACTCTTACATAAACACCCTGTTTTTTCTTACATTGGCCGACTGTAAAATGACTATATTGGCTGTACACATTTGATAATTACGCCGGTGCACGCATTTATGATAACTGTTATAGGCTAATAACGGTAGTTTTTACTTTGTAGGTAAGAATGTGATGCAAAAATGCCATTAGGCCGACCTACTGTCTTTAAATATGACTGTAAAGAAGCAAAAATAAACAATTTTAACAATCCCAAATTAAACCTAACAGAATTAAACCTAAGTTTTATAATCAGTTGAAGATTCACAGTGAGTTTTAACGTCACTAAATATATCGGTGGTTATATCGGCTATCGGCAGCTCCAAAGCCTGTTATGTCGGTATCATATCGGATTTTAAAAATCCATATCGGTCGGGCCCTGCTCTAAATCACAGTCTTTTATTGACAGAGGATTAGCTGCTGTGGACCTCTTCATTAAAAAGAGCCAAGCTGGTACTGACCATTTGAAATGACTGAATCTCCATTCAAATGTGATTAATTGCACGACTCTACCAAATGATCGTGAGCTTTGTATTAATACGACAGAAATAGAATAGTAGTGGATAGTGACAATAGCCACAAAATACTTATATTCAAGAAAATGTTAATTGGTGTTAATATCACCTGTGTATTTCATGAACAAAGAACATACAGTATATTTTGGAAGCTCTATCATTTTGTTGCTTACATGGAGAGAGGAAGCTTGTTTATGCAAAACAACTGCAGTACACAGTGTTTTGACTATTAAAATACCCATTTCATGTAATAGAGATATCATATCACATGCAGTGTATCAGTTAACTTGTTAAAATAACACTGATATACAGCAACTTGTATTGGAGATTGCGAGGTGTGTTGTGATTCACAGCCCTTTACTCCAATACAGCATCATGAAAGAAAAATATCTCAACTGTAATTTAAAGGTGCACTTTGTAACTTTTCTTGTGGAGGGCCCACCACTTGCACGTCTCCATGGAGATGTTATTGCTTTGAATGTAAACCTAAATCAGTCCCCATGGAGAGACAGTCAGCTGGAGCTTGGTGACAGGTCAGATCTGTGGTAAGGCGACTCTGCTCACAGTAAGATGACATGTTTTCCCACATCATGAAATATGCAACCTTCAAACATAGCAATAACTTTTCCTTGAAGACAAGCAGGTACAGGACCCCCCACCAGAAAAGTGCAACTAGTGTTTGCACCTCATGTATAAAGGTTTATCTTATTTTATCTTATATTAATGTAAGCTAATTCTATTCTAAGCAATTTTTTTTCTAGGTATTGTAGCTCTCATGGTGTAGCATCTTCAACATCAGCAACCTATTCAAGAAACTCAGTATGTTTTGTGTTGTAAAATGGACTCTTTAAAGAAGACATCATGAAAACAAGGACACACAAAGAAGCGGTACGAGCTGTTAAATGAATCCTTTAAATGAAACTCACTTGTTTAGTAGTACATTGATTTTGGTTTTAGGGCTGCAACCACTAATTGGATTATTTGTGACTAACTGATTACTGAAGGAACTGGCAACCTGTTTAGTAATCAGTAATCATTATCTGGACGATATATGCCTTATGTTTGGATGCACCGATCCAGCTTTTTCAGTTCTAATACCAATTCCGATTATATAGCTTTAAGTATCTGCTGAACCGATACCAGTGCAGAGACTGAAAACAACATTTTTTCATTTAAATAAAAATACAATGAGACAAAACTGATTCAAATGTGTTACGTAGTTGTTATTTATCTCTCACGCAGCTAGAGCAACCTCTTTGTATAAACAAGAGAGAGATACTTTATTGACTTGGAAGGAAATTAAAAGATAAATTATTTTAAGACTTTCTAGGCCAAGTCTTAGTACATGAATTTATAAGTCCACCCATATATATGTATCAGGTGAACCCATATTTAGACGCATCCAGCAAATGTTTCAGTATCGGCACAGATATCTGATACCAGTGTTGGATCAGTGCATCCCTAGTCATATGTTGTAAATTTCCTTGATAGAGCTGTAATTAAATAAAGATGGCACTGATATTGGTAAATATTCCAAATCATAAACTCATTTGACATATTTTTCTCTTTATCTAATTCAGATTTAGGGGTGATGTAATTAAGATAAAATTTTAAATCAAAAGCACAAAGTAGTAATAATAGTTTGACTAATTGAGTAATTGATAAAAACAGTTGACTAAAAATAATGGTTACAGTAGTTGCAGCCCACTTTGGTCCTTCCTTTGTGCTTTTACATGTGATTAATTTCTGTTCTGTTGTGGCCTTTCAGGCGCCCATGCGCAGTGGGCGAAGGCGAGGGGCGAGTGAGGAGAGAAGGGGGAGGCGACCTCACACAAGCCCCTCCCGAAATGAACGAAGCGACAGACAAACGGTGAGAGCACGGCCATTTTTCTTTCGGGATTTTTCAATTTGCCATAAGTCCTTATAAATCTGTGCCCTGTGCCAGGCTTATGCATAGAGAAGAAGGTAGAGCGATAAAAAAGTTTAATTTAAAGTGTGTGCGCTCGTGTCAGGGCAAGAGGTGGGGAGACAGGCAAGAGATTGAAAATTGTACTCAAGTAAAAGTACTTTAAAATTATATATGGTACTAGTAAACTGTAACTATAAGTAAACTGTGCCCTTTCTTTGTCTGTTCATTTAAATGCTATAACTATTTTTTATGTTATCTAACTAACCATCCCAATTTTGTCTACAGTATCTAACTGATATTACCAAACTATTCCTATTTTCACTAATTTAACTAAGTGTAATGTTATGCATCTAATCTACTCTACTACTTAAACTACTGCTGACTTATCAATATGTCAGTGCTCTAGTGCATTCTGCCATTGTGTCTTTAGGCAAGACACCTCACCCACCTTACCTAATAGGAAAAATAGGTGTGTGAGTGAATGAATAATGTAATGTAAAGGGTCCAAAAGAGGCTATATGGACCAAATGCACTATTATTATGAACTTCAAGGGTCAATATTATGCTTTTTAAAATCTTTTATAATGTTGTTTCCTAATCAAAAACAAACTTGGAGTTGTTTTGTTTCATTCACACATGTTCAACACACAAATCCTGCATATTTAGGCTGAGTTCTTCTCTCAAACAGAAAACACTCGGTTCCACCCTGTGATGTCACTTGGTAATACAGGAAGTGCTCTGCTCCATTTTTAATCTCTGCACATCTTCACTAGAATCATCTGAATCGTTTCTAATGATTCTGTAATTGCCAATCTCTCCTGAACTAAAGGTAAAAGGAGCTGTTCACTGGAAAACTACCACTTCATGACATCACTAGTTGGAACAGAGCATTTTGAGCTTTGGAAATGTAAATAGACTAATAATGTAGGCTTACTCAAACATGGGTGAATGAAACAAAATACAATTCCAAGTATGTTTTTGAGGAGGTAACAATATAGCTAAAGCTCACAAGAGTCAATTTTGTGCAATATAGTACCTTTAATTCTACTTCTTCTTTTTGTACATAGTGTTATCTTATGTTTTCTATCCTAACTAACTATCTACTTCTACTAACTACTCAAACACAAACTGCTACACAGACTAGCTCTATGTTGTGTGCATGTAAAAGAATCCATTTTATATGTTTCCGTGTGATGCTTCGTGCTACCTTTGTTCTAAAAACAGACATGTCCCTATTAGGCATTCTGAGGCGTCACTACAGAATTAAGAGTCTTATGTTGTTCTAGCAAAGAGGTGCTGCCGAGGAACTGGCTGGAAATCGCTTCAGTCGCAGATCACAAGGCCATGATTCATCAGAGAGTGAGGGGGAGGAACTTGTCTCTCCTCCAAAAAGACAGAAAGTTCAGGTTTGTGTTGAGTACGTTATTAACCTGTTAAGTAGAGGTGGGAGGTATATAGAAACAATTGATTATAACGCTATTGTTATTTCAGATATACTGTATGTGAAACTGGGATATCCAGGATTTTGTCTCTACTGGAAACATGTATTAAAATATCTCATACAAGTGGTATAAACAGACATTTTTGTGTTGTTTACAGTCCATTGACTTTGTGCGCAATACTTTAACCTCCACTACAAAGTCTGGAGAGGATTTTTCATCATCGGGATAATAAAGAAAAGATATAGAGATGTTTGTCTATAGACCTATTATGTAAACTAGACTTTTTAGAGCTGTTAATCATGTCATAGTTCTTTCCCTCCACCATTTACTCACCTAAAGTTGTACTTAGAGTGATTTGTGGATGTTTAGATCAGTTATTTTTAAGGCGCCGTATTGCCGATCAACCCCCACATTTCTTAATTGGTGATACATGTAGAATTTTGCAGCATTGTGTGATCATTTTGGTACAAATAAAAAAAAAATCTGGTGCTCACAAGTGTGATCTGCAGCTGTCCGTCGGACTTGCCAATTCTTTGTTGTAATGATGTTTACAGCGGCGTCAGCTCCCATTAGGCTCCTTAGTTTTATAACACAGAAGTCAGTGGACTAGTTTCTTTAGTTCAATAAGTTGGTTAGATGAATATTGCAATTTAAAATGTACAAATATATCATAATGATCTACAGGCGTCATAGATTATAGCTATATACCAGACACAAGTACAGTAATATTGCTTTATTAAATTGTTAATTGTGTCTGTTGAAAACATTCTAGGACCAAAGAGAACAAGTGCGCAAGCAGCCGGTGAAGTTTATGCCTCTACAAACATGTTATGTAATGCATATGAATTCGTTTAGTAGTCCATATTTCAGCCTTTTCTCAAATGTGAACACTCATGGAGGTGCTTAAAATGTGCACTAGGAACTTGATTTTAGAGCACAAATCACAAATCTAATCACAATTCTTGTCATAAAAGCAATTTAACACGTAAATATAATTTAGCCCTATTACGAGTTACATTTTCCTGAGCTAAAATGTGTTTTTTCTCCAGGAGACGGCCTCTACCCCAAATCCTCCACCATCCACACACACGACTGACAGCTCGACTCCTTCCAACGCCCCGCCTCCGACATCAGCTGCCAGCCAATCCCGTGAGAGTGACAACGAAGACGGCCAATCGCAAGGAAGCAGGAGTTCTGTTGTCGGGAGCCTGGCCAATAGCAGCAGCAGTTTGAGCAGCGGGCGGGACATAGACCAAGACAATCGTTCCTCATCTCCCAGTCTGTCTGCCTCTCCTCTGGGAAGTTTAGACTCAGATTCAGATGGTCCTGATTCACCAAAGCAAAAAGACACAGATAAAAACAAAGACGGCGGCGCTTCTAAGGTGGCCGGAGAGGAGCGCAGAGCAATGAGAGATTTAAGAGCAGATGAGGGAGGAAGGGTGGAGGAAAAACATGAAGCGGACACAACAGGGGAGGACTTTCCATCGTTGAAGCCCCCGACTACCCCATGCTCCTCTTCTGGTCCTTCTCCTTCTCTGCGAGGAGCTGGGGACTCGTCAAACGATAGCAATAGTGGGAGGAAATCATATTTTTCCATGGACTCCAAGCTTGGTGTGTAAAGTTGAATACGGCAGCGCTGCAGCTGGCGATGCAAGCAGCAGAGTAAACCCCAAAGTTAGCCCGCAAAGTGTTTCCAAGGCGACGATATCTGGCGGGGACTGTCCAAATCTTCCTCACTCGTTGCCCCCGCCTCTTCCCCCTCCGCCCGCTCTGAAGCCGCTGGAAGTGAGCGTGCAAAGTTTGCCAACGGACGCAAAAACTGAAAGAGAGAAATCAGAAAAAGACAAAATTTTAGAGAAGGCGCAATCTACGCCCCCGTCGCTTCTTCCTCAAAGCAGTCCGCAACCCCAGACGCAAACATCACACCCGCACCACTACAGCGCCCCCACCTGGCACGGGCCCTCGCCGACCAGCTGCCACGGGAGCTGGGGGTACAGCCGATACCCCAACAACCATCACCAACACCAGCCTCCCGTGCAGCAGCAGCAGCTTCCGTCCGTTTACAATCCATCTTCTCGCCATGTTTCGTCTCACCCCTCCTACCTCCCCCATCACCATCGCGAGTATATGCCCAGATATACGGGGACAGAGCGGGATAGGGCGCTGGCGGTGGGCGAAAGGGAGCGGGCGACGAGAGGGGAGGCGATCGGAAACAATAGCACAAGTAACAGCGGGGGTCGAGATTTTGGGGGGTTGCCAGTTGGTCAAAATCGTGAATTTCAAAGCTCAGCGAAGAGAAGGAGCAGCGAACATTGGAGACAGGAGAGACTTTGGTCCAGCTTTTCGAGAACGGGAACGAGAAAGAGATCGAGAAGGTCCGCGTGAGGGTCCACCACCAAACCAAAACCAGCCAAGAGAGTACGGACCCAACGGCGCGAGTGTAAGCCATCCCCGAGACAAGGACGGAGGGAGATGGAGCGAGTTCGGTGGTCAGGCGAAAGATCAAAATAACACCACTAACTCCTCCAATGGGCTGCCCGTCAACGCCATCTTAAACCGAGATCCACCTGCGTCGCCCCAAAGCAACAGCAACCACTCTTCAGTACCCGCCCACCCTCCAGGATCTACCAATCGTGAATTTCCTCCGTCGATGGACTCAGCGCATACGCCTTCTTCAGGTGCCGAACATTTTCATCGAGATAGGGATAGGGAGTTTTCTGGGGCGCCTCCTAGTGGTACAAATCGGGAGTACTTAAGCCCCTCCGGTGGTCCAAATATTGGGAGGGAGTATCCAAGTGGAGCGCAACATCAGTCTCACACTCACTACCAAGGAGCCAGGGATAGAGAGAGGGACTCGGGGTCAACTTTGTACCAAAATCGTGGTGGGTCCAACCAGCCTCCAGCTCTGTCCCCCTCTTCCTCTGCACATTTTCCACCAAATTCTTCCTATCCGCCGTCACAAAGCTCTCACAACCAAGCAGCGCCCTCTAGCTCACGACCCGCTCATTACCAGTCGTCTGCGCAGACCCCTCCCACACCTTTGTCACCTTTACCAAGCCCGTCCACCAACCAGTTTTCCTCTTATCCTTCCGGTTCCAATTCTGGATCGCTTCCGGCTTCGAGTTGCTCACCTGGATGCCGACCCGCCCCCTTTCACGGCACCCTAAACAGCCACCCTCCTCCTCCTTTTACCGGGAGCTATCACTCAAATGGAAGCAGTAATGTGGGTGCGAGCAACAGCAACACCAACGCCGCCAACAACACTAGCAACGCGCAATCTCTTTCGCCTCAAATAGTTTCCAAAGGGCCTCCACCTCTTAGTAATTCTGCCAATAATAATTCAGCTGCTGGCCCAAATTCGACAGTGGCTGCTGGGGATGGTCATGCAGATTCAGGGCCCTCGGTTGCACCTGTGATCAAAGAAGAGCCAATGGAGGAAAGAGAAGAGGGAGACAGCCCGCCCCCAGTGCTGAGGAGTCCGTCTCCAGAGCCCAAACCTGTGGATATTCCCATCCACGCCAGCCAGTCGGCAAGGTAAGAACCATGGTTGTATGTATGTTGTCAGGAATAAATCAGGTCAGACTTTACCTATCTACTAGAGCGCTAAAGTAGGACTAAACCAGGACTTTACCAAGGTTTAAATCCTGAACCAAGACTTAACCACGACTAAGGCTACGTTTATATGGTGACAGTCTCAACAGAAGTTGCAAAAGTGGCGTCGCATCTTCACTTTTTATTCCATGTTTAGATGAGCGATTTCAGGAGGAAATCTGCGTCCATACGGTGACGCAAAAGTGTGTGGAATTTGATTGGATATGCTTGCCAGGCGGCTCGGTGGTGATGCATGTGACGTAAACGCGTTTGTGACCTGAGCAGATCTGACCAGAGTTTTGCGTCTTGGGCAGTGTAGACGGAAACACTATGGCGAAGTGTATTCAACTTTTCCACTCTGGAGGGTGGTTTCAGATTTTTACAGTTTTAAGTCCCAAAAAAGCCGTCAAGGTCTAAATGAAAGGCACTTCCGATAAAATATTTTGACGCTTTTACCCACAAGTGTTCTTGTGTAAACAGGCTTAAGACTAGTAAACCTAGATTAAACCAGGTCAAAACGAACACTAACAAGGTCTATGCCTAGATTCAAGCATGACTTATGCAGAATTATATATAACATGACAAGATCTAAACCAAAACTAAAATTCAGAACTAGTTCAAAACCAGTCCATATTAAACTGGAACTTTCCCTGTTGGAAAATCCGGACCATTAAACCAGGAGTAAACCAGGAGTAAACCAGGTCTAAAGTAAGAACACTAAGCCATGTTTAAACTAGGTATAACCAGGTATTAAAGAAGAACTTAACCATGACTAAACCTAAACTAGAACTAAAATTGAGTTATATTTAGGGATGTAACAATAACCAAAATATCGTGATATCGTATCGTTCGCATTCTCACAATAATATCGTGCACCACCACAATATATCAAATAACCATAACTGCACAATAACTGCTAAAAAAAAAAAGACAGAGGGAACTACATAGACCATGATCCTTTGCTCCATTTCAGTGCAGACTACATGAAGAAATAACACTTCTAAGCACTTTCAAGTCTTAGTTCTTTGGATTAAGTCTTGTCAAGGCATTTTAAGAAGAAAAAGTAGCTTATTAACAGTTTTAGCTGTTCAGCCTCCACAAAATGTCGCAATAAATACTGTACCGTGAGATTTATATCGTGAAAATATCATACCGTGAAACTTGGATATCGTTACACCCCTAGTTTTATTATTAACTGAGTATGATGGTTCTCAGTATTTAATTGCATTTGACCCTTGTGAGGATCGCCGTCACATTGTCATGGTCTCTCAAAAAGTAAATAAAGACATAGCTCTAACGACCATAATAATATGTTTATGTATTTAAATTTCAGGTTTCATAAGGTTTTGGATCGAGGCAGTGGAAACTCATGCGCTCGCAGTGACGTTCTGTTTGTGCCTCTGGACGGCTCCAAACTGTGGAAGAAAAGAAATGAGATGATCGAGAGAGCGAGGAGAGAGGTCGAGCAAAGAGCAAGAGACCTGAGAGAGAAAGAGAGAGAGCGAGAGAGGGAGAGAGAGAGAGAACTGGACCGACATCTCCAGGTAAGTGGATCCCAACATGACAAATACATACACGAGTCTAGTAATGGCACCTCTGGCTCTTATTTTGATTTTTAATACCCATATTTTTAAGGCAATCTGATAACTGCTTCTATTTTTTTCGTATTATTCTTTGAACATCTATGTGAAAATAAAATACAGCATAAAACAGTGAGAGATAACGAGATGAGTGTTACAAAATTCACTTTAAATCTGGAATACCCATTATGCTTGTTAATGAGTAGAGTTATTTTTCTTTTTTCCCCATTATATTTGCAGAACTTTGTGACAAAATCCCACCACTGCGGACTAAATGCGTCGAACTGTAAAAAAAAAGTTATCTGATCCATTGCAAACCCGGTATAAACAACACTGATGCGTTGCTAAAATATGAGCCCGAAAATTAATTCATGTGAGTAGTAGCAATGTGCCAAAGGGTTTGTGAGCGCCAAGATTCAGTTAAAAATATTACTTCCTCCTTTCGCGTTTAAGAATCTGTTAGCTCAGCTTCGAGGCACAGTTCAAAAGATTTGCTTTAGTTGTGAAAGTCTTTTTAAAGTGGAGGCTTTATATAAAATGTACTTTTGGAGCTTTCTACCATGTCAGAATGTTCCCTAGTCAAAACATGTCTGAAGAGGTTTTACATGTTATCCATGCATGTTTGAGTAATATTACGATCTCTCCTGGGTGCTGTTCGAACCATCCTTACGGTTAGTAATATGATTCTGTCCAAAGCTCAGCCTGCAAGCCTACATCACCCATGCTCCTGCACAAAAATTCTCCGTAAATACACAAAAGCATGATACAAAACATAAACTACAACTTCATCAACCTGGAGCGATGTGTAGTAGTTTTATTATCAAAAAGCCAGGCGATTGTGTTGCGATGGTGCTGAGAAGGGGGAGTGACACAGAGCAAAGGAGGGGAGACTAAACTGAAACTTATTAAAGATGTTGCATTCTGTAACTTTTCGGATTGGGGCCTCTCTTACCTCCTTGTCTCCATGGAGATGTTATTGAGTTGCCTGAAAGGTTTAGACTTCTACATCACCATGGAGGAGATACCAGCAGGTCAAGATACAGCTCAGATCTGTGGAGCGGCTACAGTCTCACAATAACAATGCATTTTTTAATGTTGTTTTGAGCATTTAAAGATTTGTTATTAATATTTAAAATAGACTAGTTTAATGTTACTATGGAACATTCCAGGCAACAAAATAACATCTCCCTGGAGACGAGCAGGTGGCAGACCCCGATTAATACATTGTTTTCGTTGAATATATTATTTTCAAAACAGTAAAAGGTTAGACAGGCTGGCGCCACCTAGTGCCTCCGCTCAATTCCATTTCTCTCCAGCGACTAGGTCAGGAATCAGAATATACTAAACTGTTTGCAAAAACCCAGGAAGTTGTAGACCACACACCGGCAAATTAGCGAAGAGCTGTGAAGCCAAGACTGGGTGGTTTTTGTGGTTCAGCACAGCAGTAAACAAAGCGGTCGAGATGGATGTAGACAAAGCCAGACATTCTTTGTTGGCAACGATTCCTGAGATCGAGGATTTAAAGCCAGAACAAAGAGAATGTTTGGTGAATTTTATCAAGGGGAAAGATGTTATTTCCCTTCTTCCTCCGGGATTTGGGAAAAGCTTAATATACCAGTTAACCCCATTAGCGGCGCATTACATATGTCATGACCAAATAGCAGCGATTGGTTTAATAAAAAAAGTACTCCCCTACCGTCGAGTGAACGAATTCTAATGTGAGACGGTTTCCACAAAGTGAAACCGGCTCATGAATCAGAATAGGTAAAAGGTAACGTGCTGATCTAAATATGTTATGTTAGCAGTTAATACCCCACAGACGTGTAATACCCCCTCTTGATTATCACGTATAAAGAGTCAAATTGTGTTTGCATGTTCTCTGTTTTTCAGCAGAAGGAAGTGAGCTCAGCCGGACCCGGTCGTGGGGGCTCCTCTCTCTTCTTCCCCTCGTCTTCCTCCATCATCCTGGACCCCTCCTCTTCCTCCGCCTCCTCAGTCAACCCTCACCCTCCTCCTCACCCGCAGCACCACCCCTCGCACCCACACGCTCACCTGCCCCCCACACACCCGCTCCACCCCTCTCTCTCCCACTCCATCCCCCACTCTCTCCTGCTGCCCTCTATGGGTGGGGCCCCTGCGGTAGTCGGCCCACAGGGGAGCCTCGGTATAGGGATAGGAGGACCGTACTTGGGCCCCGACACCCCCGCTCTGAGGACTCTGAGTGAATACGCTCGCCCGCACGCCATGTCTCCCTTGGGCGCTGCGAGTCGGGCGGCGGCGGCGGCTCACCACGCGCAGGTGCACCACGGACACCCCCATGTGCACCCTTCATTCTTCCTGCCCCAGTTTCAGAACCACGCCTTAGCCCACCCGCACCACCTCCCCACGGACGCCGCCACCGCTGCTGCCATTCTGGGCTTCTTATACGGAGGTAGCCTGGAAGGGGGTCCCGCCGTCGGGCACCCGGGAATGCCTGGAGGTCACGTACCCGGAGGACTGGGTGGCGCAGGTTTAGGCGGGGTTGGTTTCCCTCACGCGGTGCCCACGCATCGAGACCGACTAAAACCAGGATTTGAATTTAAGAGTGACGATCGCGTGTATCCTCCTGGTTCGATCCCGGACCCCGCTGCTCTGGCGCTCGCCCACTCCCACTCCCACGCCCACGCCCACGCCAGTGCCCACACCCACTCCCTGCTACTCGGAGCTGGAGGCGCCCCGGAAGTCTCCATCTACGGCACGCCCCCTCCACCTGGCCCTCCAGCCCCGCCCCACCTCCAAAATCCACCTCTCACTCCGGTAACACGACCCCCGACCGCGCCAGCCCCCCAACCGCTTTCCAACCCCGCTCCCTCGTCCCTCCTGCCCCCGTCTTTGCCCTCTCACCCCACATCTGCCCCGCCCGCCCCTCCCGCCCCAACCGTCCCCACGGCTCCACCTGCGCCCGCCCCTCCGACTGCCCCGCCCACCTCCACAGCCTCCTCCCTGCATCAAAGCACCTCGCATTCCTCGTTCCCCGGGTCGCTCCCCTCGCACCTGCCGCCCGCCCCTGCCCCCGCACCTGCTCCCGAAAACTACCCCACCCCCAACCGCTCACCTGCACCCTACGAGAGGGAGAGGAGCGGGGAGAGAGAAAGAGAGAGAGACAGAGCGCCGGCTTTCACTGAGCGAGAGAGAGAGCGGGAGAGGGAGAGAGATAGGGAGAGGGAGAGAGGGGGCAGCGCTGGGACAGCAGGGGGCGCCGGAGGAACAGGAGGAGGAGGGGAAAACCTGGGACGGCTCCAGATGTTGAATGTGACTCCTCATCATCACCAGCATTCACACATCCACTCACATCTGCACCTGCACCAGCAAGACACAGGTACAACTGCTATAACAAGGATACTCTGAATGTACCGCAGTCTGTCTTTGTACTGACAACAGTGAAAGCAAATACTAATTAAACCTGAATCGTACTGAATGTTTATAGAGTAATAGAAAGGAAATTGCACGGTAATTTATAATGATGAGGGGGAAATGCCTTTTGCAGCCTCATTCCATATTTTTACAGATAAGGGAGGAGCTAACTACACTGAAACTACTCTGAAACTAACACATCTACTTGTTTACAGTTACAGTTTCAGATTAGTTATTTAGCTCCTCCCTGGAGGCAGATATGAGGAAATGTCCACCAGCGTCTGACCAAAACTGAAGATGCAGCTTGGATGAGTGGTGAAACGTATTTGACCAAATAAACTTTTGTCCAGTTGACAAATTCTCCTTTGCCATGGATTCTACCTGGATGACTGAGAGATTTTTCACATAAGTCTTAAATGTAGCCCATCACTTTCTTTTCAACATTCAACCAGCAATATTGGAACAAAATAGTCAGTAGAACTGTATATCACAGACCTACATGCAGATCATGACAAAGCAACCTAAAAAAAACACCTGAGGGTCGTGACCCAGTCTTTGGGAAACAATGTTCTATAGTGTTAGGGCTGGGCGATACTGATATATTTTTCCATTTTTATTTTGTCTTATTAAAAATAAATACAAATGGCTTTCAGTATACAGTTTTTGAACATGAACATTACATTACTGCATTTGAAACTCAAAAAGTGTGAGTTCTGTTCACACACATGCTTTTATTGATGGAAGAGGACTGGTTGTAAACCTCTCAGTCAAAATGGCTCATGCTGATCATTGATCATTAGAAATGACTGAATCTCAGTCTTGATCAAAATTGTAATAACTGCACAGCTACTACTTAACATATATTTATTAATACTTGGGTTCTGTTGTATATGGACTAAATATATCACCATGTCAGATGCGTCTGTGCTATTTCCACTCTATTACCATGACTATATACCATCACTGTACTCTTAAGTAAATACTATTGATCAGGGGTCATCAAACTAAGGCCCTTGGGTCGACTCCGGCCCTCGACGCTCCTTTGACTGACCCCCCAGCCCCCACAGGGAAAAAAAGTTTAGTGACCCCTGCTATTGATAGTTGTATTTATTATATTTAAATACCTCACCTCTGTCCCTTTACTTCACCACTCCTTTGACCCCTATTGAATATCTCCTGTCTTTTCTGTTACATCATTGGCATCCAGCGGCGGGCGGGGTTCACCCCCTGATGGACCCGTTGGCGTCGGGCTCTCCTTTGGCGCGCCTGCCGTACCCCGGAGCGGCTCTTGGCACCCCGATCCTGGCACACCCCCTCACTGACAGCGAGGTGCTCCGCCAACAGCTGTTTGGTGAGGAGAAGGCTCCTCGTCCATGTACTCAGTTTTATTTCCCTCTCTAAGCATTCGACACGAGGTATGGTTGGACACTGTTGATCACATGTTTGTTGTTGGTGTTTTCGACAGGCGCTCCGTTCCGTGAGCTGCCCCAGTCGTCCTCCCTCGCAGGGCCCATGTCCGCGGCTCACCAGCTGCAGGCCATGCAGCAGGCCCAGAGCGCAGAGCTGCAGATCCAGAGACTGGCCTTGGAACAGCAGTGGATCCACCATCACCACCACTCCCTCACCCAGGACGAGTACTACAGGTACACTCAGACAGGGAACGAACGAGAGGGCTCTGTATTTATATTTAGCCATTTGGCCTTTATGCTTTATTAGATCAAACAGATAACAGGGTGAAATGGGGTGAAGAGTGAGAGAGATTCTTAACAGTGAGACCAGTAACATTTTGTGCTACAGCCAAACCTTTGCCTTAGTTAAACCTGTGGATGTCCAGTTTAACAGGTAAATGCGCCAATGCACCAACAGGTAAATGCAGTTTACTGTTAAACTGCTTCACACTCTTTTGGGTTTTCTCTCTCATTAAATTCACAAAAGACAAAAAAAAAAATTACATTTTCTTTTGGCACCAACATAAATTTGCATTATGTAACTGTTCTGGTGGAGAGGGACTACCTGCTTGTCTCCATGGTTACTGCACTGCATGAAATGTTCCACAGTATTCAGTTCAGATGCTTTAATTGCTTAGCGAGCTCGCCTCTGGAAGTGTCACCTGTTTGTCTCCTTGGAATTAGAGAGATAAGTGTAATGTTATTCCAGGAATATTCCTGGAAAGTTGGAAACAACCCTGGACTGCTGCCGCTGAACTAAAACGAACTAGTTCTGTTTTTCACATTTATAAGAGAACACCTTTTAAGGCTTTGTATGTCTGTAACCACTCTGCACTGACATTTACAAATGATGAAAAAAGCTAATATTGTGTAATTTTACCTTCTGTTTGTTGTAGTCACCTGAAAAAGGAGAGTGACAAGACCCTGTGAGGGAGGGTGAACCCAAGAGCCGGGAGAGGAATGTTTCTGAAAATGAACAAAACGAAAAGCACTAAACTGGACTGAGACCAAACAGACTTTAAGAACTGAAGCACTGAGAGGGTTTTGAAGGATCGACTAAATGGACAAAGTTTAAAAGATGTTGCACAGTCGCTGTTCATATTAAAGGTTTGGACTCTTGAGCTTCCCTGTGTTTTGTAATGAGCCCTGTACAGTTCAATGGGAGGCGGCGGATTTGTACATATGTAACTATTTGATGCCAGAAGGAATGTGTACTTTTATGTTTTTGCATGTAGCGGCAAAAATACACTATCTACATGAGTTAAAATAGATAAAATTCAGAAAATGATTTTTAATTTTTTTTCTAAAATGTTTGTCCTTGTTCTCGATGTAGACTTGGGTTGGTTTGTTCCAGTTCTGGTCTAGTCCAGAGTCTAGCCTGGTCTCAGTTTAATGACAGTTTCATTTTTATGGTGTTTGTGCAAGTAATTAATTTGTTTCAAGATATTTCTGACTGTACATAATTAGAAAAAAATATCTGTCATTTGGAAGATATTTTCTCTTGGCAGGCAAAAAAATCAACAGATATTTTTAAATACTGTTGATTATCAGGACTTGCTCATGCTACTTCTAGTCCTAGTTTAGACCTGGTTTAGTCCTGGCTCAGTCCAAGTTTAGTTTTAGTTTAATCCTGATTTGGACATGTCTGGACATTAATCTTGGTGTACACCCAGTAAAATCCTAAAAACTTTTTAGGTCTTGTTCCCACATGCACACATCATATCAGATTTAGGACTAAAGTGGGACTAACCTGGAACTAAACTAAGCAAAGTCTACATCAGAAAAAGAATATTGTTATTATATTTTTTTTCCCCTAAAATGTATTCAACCTTGTTTTTGTTCACGATGTAGACTTGGTTTGGTTTGTTCTAGTTCTGGTCTAGTCCTGGGTCTAGTCTGGGTTGGGTCTTAGGACCAAACCCAAACTGAACCAGGACCAAAATCAGAATGTGTGAATGCGCAATCAGTCCTAGTTTAGAACCCGGTTTAGATTTGGTTTGGACAAAATGTGTTAAAACAGATATACATTGAAACAAAATAGTCAAAAATAAAGATTAAAGTTATTATTTCAAACTATTATAACTCATGTAGATAGTGAGTTTTTGCAGTGTAGGCGCTTTATTCTGACCTGGTGGTACTTTGAGTTCACTTTTTACCCCTCTTTGCTCTTGGAGGGTGTTCTATATGCATGAGACCAGCAATCTAGTGTTATGTTTTGCAATAGTAATGTTCTTATTAATGTGGTCTGTTTGTTGATAATGACATAATTATATATACAGTACATATTATTTGTATTATTTTTTTACATTTTATGGTATGGCGGTCAGTTTTTATTTTCAATTTTAACTTGTGAAACGAGACGCAATTCAAAGCAAAAAAATCTGGAAATAAATTATAATCTTTTTTGCTATAAATTCTGTGTTTTGTTGATTTAATGGTCCTATGTGCAGTTGTAGGATCACCAGACTTTTTTCTCTGGCCACATTATCGCTCCTGACTCCAGAATTATATGACCCAGACCAAAATGACACCAGCAGGCCTCAGTGTAGTAGAATTTACGAGCCCAGTACAGCCGTCCACAAAACTATATCAACACGTAACTCCTGGCACATGTTTGTTTATCGTTACTAGTGGTTTGCAAGAATCCGTGTATCATTCGTTTATTCGTTTTTCAATATAAAACCAAAAATAAGAACAAGAAAAACAACAATTTTCTTCATTCATTGTCTTCAAAACCCAAATGAAAAAAGGGATAACGATTAATTTTTTCAGTTTTCAATTTTGTGTTTAAATGAATAACTGTGATGCCGGACGGAACCAGGATTGAACCAGGAGTGTCAGGACAGGCCCAGAGGTGCACCCGCGTACACTGTCGGGTGATCAGGACTGAGACCGCGACCAGACCGGGACTGAGATCGGGACCAGACTGGGACCAGGACCAAGACTGAGACCAGTACTGAGACCAGGACTGAGACCAGGACTGAGACCGGTTTAGTCCTGGTTTAGTTCTGGCTTAGTTCTGGTTTAGTCCTGGTTTAGTCTTGTTTCAGTCCTGTTTCTGTCCTGTTTCTGTCCTGGTTTAGTCCTGGTCTCAGTCCTGGTTTAGTCCTGGTTTAGTCTTGTTTCAGTCCTGGTTTAATCCTGTTTCAGTCCTGTTTCAGTCTTGGTTTAGTCCTGGTTTAGTCTTGTTTCAGTCCTGTTTCACTCCTGTTTTAGTCCTGTTTCAGTCCTGGTTTAGTCCTGTTTCAGTCCTGTTTTAGACCTGTTTTAGACCTGGTTCAGTCCTGGTTCAGGACTTGAAATGGTAAACGACCATTATCCGTTTTTTTCCATTATTCATTTAAACACAAAATACAAATTGTTATCCGTTTTCATTTTGGTTTTGGAGACAAATAATGAAGAAAACTGTTTGGTTTTTTTTTTCATTTTCTTACTTTTGGTTATATTTAGAAAAACAAATGAACAAATGATACACAGATTTGCAAAGGTATTAAGTACTTCACACTTTGTTTTAATTTGAAATACCACAAAGATATTCCATTTATTTATTTTCAGGTGCGTTGACGTCACTGTTTGATCTCGAGCTTGTCAGGTGACGAAAATTTGGCACAAATTTCCCGCCAAATGTAAAAATGTCATATGATTATTTTCATATAAAGATAAATACTTGATCTACAAAATACAAGATGCAGACATGTTATTATTTGGCAAAAAGTAATTAATTAAAATGGTTTGGGCTGGGGGCCAGTCAAAAGGGCATGGCGGACCGGAGTTGGCCCACGGGCCTTAGTTTGATGACCTCTGTTTTGAGCCATAGAGCATTGTTACCTCACCAAAAACACACCCGTAGTTGTGTTTTATTTCATTCACACATTATTTTTTATTAGGCTTTTTTTTTTTTATTCGGCCTCTCCAAAGCTCAAAATGCTCAGTTCCACCTTGTGATGTCATGAAGAGGTAGTTTTGTGAGCTGTTTGGGGTTTTCACGTATACATTCAGACTGTCTTTGTTTTATACAAGTCACTCATGCACAAAGCATATCAAATTCCTCTTACTCCTCCCCCTCCCCCTATGCGCCCCTTGTCTTTCTTTTTTCTCTTCTCCCTCTCTCCACGCTCTTTGTCACTCGCTACCTCCTTTCACTTTCTCTCTGTATCGCTCGACCTTTTTCTGTATTCCTCTCTCCTTCACTCTCACTCTCTCTTCAGCTCCAATTTCCTCCCCCTCTCTTCTCCTCTCTCAGTAAATCTCCCCCCCAATCCCTCTCTCACCCCTCTGTCGTTCACTGTTCTCTTTCTTTCAACATCTTCACATTTTCTTTCTTTCTCCCCCTCTCTGTCTATCTTTCCTCTCTCTGTACCTGCTTTTCTCTCCTCTCTCTCTCCCTCCCTCTCTTTCTCTCTCTTTTCTGTATATCTCACCATATCTCTCTCTTTTCTTCTCCCACCTCCTCTTTCTTTCTCTCTCTCTTTCTTTCTTTCTTTCTTTCTTACATCATCTCCAATTTTTCTTTCTTTCCTCCCTCTCTCCTTATCTCACATCACCTCTTCTCTTCTACCTCTCTCTCTATTCCTCTAACTCTCCCTCTCCCCCTTTCCCTCTCTCTCTTCTTTCACTCCCTTTTTCTCTCTCCCATCTCTTTTCGCTCTTCACTTCCTCTCCTCTCTCTCTATATCCCTTCTTCTCTCTTACCTCCTCTCCCTTCTCCTCTTTCTCTCACTCTACCTTCTCTCTCTCCCCCTCTTCTTCCTCCCTCTTTGTCCCTTCTCCTCTTTCTCTCACTCTACCTTCTCTCTCTCCCCCTCTTCTTCCTCCCTCTTTGTCCCTTCTCCTTTTTCTCTCACTTTACTTTCTCTCTCTCCCCCCTCTCTTCTTCCTCCCTCTTTGTGTTTCTCCCCTCTTTCAGTCATTCTTTATTTTCCCTTTGTATGTCCTCCCTTCTCTCTCGCACTCACTTCTCTCTCCTTTCTCTCTCTCTACCCCACTCTACCTCCTCTGTCTCTCTCTCTCTCTACCTCCTCCCCCCTCCCTCCTTTCTTCTCCCTCTCTCTGTGACTGTGGCTAATAGGAGACACATGGGATGAGTGCGAGACACAGGAGTTGAGTTGCTCCAGTGAACAGCAGCCACCCTGTAGAGCCAGCAGCATTCCACACGGCGCACGGCAAAAAACGACAGGAAAAAAGAGAGAGAAAACAAGATATAAATGAAGTTATGAAAGAGACGAAGAGAGAGAAGGAGGGAGAGAGAGAAGGAGGAGGAGGCGGAGCTGCAAAACTCTGATTTACTAACATTGCACAGTTGTGTTCAGAGTGATTCAGGTATGTGCACGCAGAAGAGGAGCTGATGTTTTCTTTTTTCCCAAATATTTTTATTGATTTTCAGGCCAAAAATGTTTACATGAACAATTGACCACATTAACAGAGGTCAACATATAACTAAAAAAAGGAAAAACAGGCCAATTCATACAGTCTCAGTGTTGGGGAGTAACGGATTACATGTACTGGGATTACGTAATCAGAGTACAAATTATGAGTAACTGTATTCAGTTACAGTTACCGTTTCAGTGAGTGGTAATTTGATTACAGTTACTTTGTTGAAATAAATGGATTACATGGCGATATTTTCCGGTTTTCACATTTTGGACTAAATCAGGACTAAACCAGGATTAAACCAGGTCTAAAAGATGGACTAAATCAGGTCTAAAAGCAGGACTAAAGCAGGACTAATGCAGGACTAAAACCAGGTCTAAAACCAGGACTAAACCAGAACTAAATCAGGACTAAATCAGGTCTAAACCAGGCCTAAACTATATGACACCTAACAGTAGAGTGAACATAATTTAAGGCAGCAGTGATCTCATATAGAAATCATTTCTCTATCAATAATATTTTTTTACGCTTAAGTAAAGACTGGGTTTTTTATTTTCTTTTAGCAGATAATTATGTTATGATTTCCTGGTCTTTGCTTCTCTACAGCAAACAGTTGCTTATTCATGGAGACTTGGGCTCAACAGAGAATTTGAAGAGAACAAGAATTTTCAGGACGTGGTTGCTGTATTCATGTAGTTTTAAAAAGCATGACAATATCAAGTAATCCAAAGTAATCAGATTACATTACTCACTTTAAGTAATTTAATGGATTACGTTACAAACTACATTTTGGGGTATGTAATCTGTAATCTGTAAGGGAATATATTTTAAAAGTAACCTTCCCAACACTGAGTCTCACACACACACAATACATGTATCACAAATTTCGGACTTCTGGTCATCGCGCAGTGCATACAGGGAAGGATTT